ATTAATATAGCGATATTAGTTTCATCCATCCTAGACCATCGTACGTACTATAGTCTTCGATAGAGTATACTTTCGAGTAAACCTATCCGGGTCTCTAGTATCGCGTACGCTCTGCTCCTCCTCAATAGCTTCGTTCGGAATCGCTACGTTATTATTACCCGACGGACGAACTATATATTCGAGGTTTCGGATTTCGTTAATTATCGAGGAAGACTCGGTATACTTTATACGGCATAAGACGTAATTAATAAACCTCTTATAAGAAACTTCGTTAATTATTTAGAACGAGGTTACTATATAATACCGGTACGCCTTCGAAGCTATTTACCGTATGTTATATAACCTTCGTAAGAATACGTATTTATTTAGCGGAATCCTTACGTTATTAAGCGAAGACTTCGCTTAGATCCTCCTTATTATACGACGTAATATTAAAGCGTAAATAATAAACGCGTATTTTTAATCCTCCTTTATTTAGCCGTAGCTAAAACGTTTAAAGCTAATTAAAAACATACGGCTTCGTATAATAAACGCTAAAAACCAGGAATTCGTAAAGTAGCTTTAATCGTTATTATACGTTATTTATATAAATAGGTTTATTCCTTTACTTAATATTATTATATAAACGGATTAATTAAACGACTTATATTAAAGAGTTTATCTAGAAAATATATTATAAACGATACCGATTAATCTCGATTATTTCCGTTTACGAATTCTTATTTCGCCTTTTAATAATACGGTTAGGAATATTAATAAATAACTTTTAGATAAGATTCCCGGTTCCTTTAATTAGTATTTATTATCCGACGAGATTATAAAAGTAGAATAATACGATTTAGATATACCTCTAGCCGAATACTTACGAATATTATAACTAAACGGAATACCTTTAGCTACCTTACGTATAAAAGTAAGCGCTCCCGTAATGCTTTTACGTAATTTAAACGCGTCTTAAGGGCTTTATAACGGGACTCGATTAGTTATTACCGCTATACGACGATATAATATCTATACGCGTATTTTCGGTAATAGTTTCGACGGCTAGAAACGGGTTATCCCGAGGATTAAACTTAACGTTACGAACGATAATTAACCGATTCCGTAATCGAAAACGTAATATCCGTTATCGTTATATTTTATAATAACGATAAATAAAGCCTAAGGTTAGTCGTTTAATATTATAATACTTAATTTACGAGGGTTTATTTTTACGTATAGGTAGTTTTACGTCGCTATATCGAGGGTTATTAACGTACGGAACGTTACGGTATTAATTCTAAAGAAACGAAGGAATACGAAGGTATTAAATATCGTTTACCCGGAGGTTCTTTTCCGGTAAAGTTAGCTCTTAATTACCTTTTCCTATACTAGAAAGGGTATTAACTTTTACGTACGTTATAAGTCTTACGAAGATATACGAAATTATATTAAACGTAATTTTAATTCTTATCTATATATACTTAAGAGTATTTTAAGTTATAACTATACGGATACGTATATAATTTATTCTAAATATACGGAACTATATTAAACCTACTACCTTCGTATAAATTATTATTTCTACTTACGTAATTTACGCTTAGCTTTTTCTATAACGTATATCGTTATACGGAAATATTAATCTTTATATAGTAATATACGGATCCGTACGATATATATTAATAGCTTATTACTAGCGGAACGAAATTATACGATATATATCTTTATAATTATCCTCAGTAATTATATCTTCGTCGTCGTTCTATTTCGCTCGCTTATTAGCGCGGCCCGGATTAGTATTATTTATTTCGTAACTATTAATACGGATCCGTATAATATATATTATATTAAACTTATTATTACCGCTTACCTTTTCTTCCTTTTCCTTCCGGAAGAAGTACCCGGACGCGCCGCTACCGTAATAATAATTAATATACGTACCCTTATCGATGCCGTTTATTATTACGTATTTTAGGAAGCTTTCGTTAGACTTCGTATAGCCCCGGTAAGGAACGGCCGAAAGCGTATTAAATATATATCCGATAGCGGCCTCGATATTTTACGGGCGGGATAGGTTTAGTTCGTATAGGAGCTACCGGCCCTTAATTTACTTCGTACGGAGCTCGAGATTACGTTCGGGGGAAAGCTCCTAAATATATAAATTAATATACGTTCGTTATTCGTAATACGGATACGTACGAAAACGCGCGTTAGGAGGCGCTATACCGAGTTATTTTACGTTAGGAGGGCGGCTTTAGCGAGAACCTAGCCGTTTAAAGCGGGATCCTCCGACGGTTATTCGGCTTCGCCCGAAACCCTACGGTCGATAGCGATATCGTCGCTTATTATATTATCGCTCTCTATTTCGTTATTTATCGTATAAAAGAACCTTACTTTATACGAAACTAAACGGAAGTATATAAAACTATAAAGGATTATTTAAATTTATATAAGAACGTTAGCGCGTACGGGTAGGGGCGGCTACGTACGAAACCGTACGAAAAGAAGCGGGAGGTATAGGCTTTAAAAAACTATATTAATTTCGTAAACTAAAAAACTATTTCGTATTAGCGTTATACACTTCCGTATATATATATAAGATTAATATATAAGATATATCCTTCCTAATCTTAGAATCTAATTTCGTACGAATCCGAAATTATATATCCGAGATAGTATAAATATACCTTATTATATAAGAAAAGGATAAGGAAAGGAGCTAAACTTATAGTTATTAATAGGCCTAGGAAAAAAAAGGAAAAAGGAAAAAAGGTTTAGTATAGGTAGAGGTATAGGACCTTATGGAAAAAAAAATATTACTTACTAAGGATTATTAAGCTAAGCGAAATATAATTCTATTATTACGAAAAGGTAAAATTCTAATTAATTATAGAAAAATTTAAACATACCGAATATAATATTTTTTTTTCATTTAATTAAAGGAAATAATTAAAATAATTAATTATTTTAATTCGTTAAAAATAGGGCTAAGTTATATAGTACCGCTATACATAACCTTATTTTACGAAAAAGGTAATCTTATTATTAATTAGAGAAAAATTCGTATATATTAAATATGGTATTTTTAATAATAATTACGAAAAGAAACGGTTAAAAAATTAAGGTTAATAATAATTACGAAAAGAAACGGTTAAAAATTTTAATAGTAAGATTAAGATAAAGCCTTGCATCCACGCCTCCCGAAGGGAGGCCCTGGCATGCTCGTACCTACCTATAATATAATAGTAGAGGCACCTAAGCTATGCAAACCTGCTAGCCCGCCCATGGGACACAGAGATATCAGCGCAGCTCGCGTGTCTGCCGCTTGGGCAGAAGAAGAAGGAAAGAGGAGAGAAAAGGAAGGAAAGGAAAGAAAAAAAAAGGCGCGGGTGAGGGCTTCGGTGGCGTGGGATCTGAAGAAGAAGGACGGGACACAATTAGAGCTGCGCATACTAAGCAGCCGGCAGACAACACGTCTGCCGTCGAGGCGTCGTCGCCCTTCCTGGTAACCAAGACGGGCCTACATGCCCCATCCCATCTTCCCCTCCCCCCTCCCGCCCGCCTTTTGCCGGCGGGTTACGGTGAATGGGCTCTGCGCAGGGTGTGGCACGTACGGGTAAGCAATCGCGCAAGCAGCGAACTAGGGCACCTCGACTATAGCTGGCTTTGCCTATCGCGGCGCCTCCGTTCCTCTCTGCCTCCCCCCCTCTCTATTCCGCAACTCGCATCCGCCCGCCGCCTTGTCGCCCACCTCCCTCACTTGCCCACGGCTGGCGCGAGCCGCGGAAACGTCGCGCTCGCTCGCCCTCATTCCTGCCTCCCGCTCGCTCTACCCAACCCTGCCGGCGTATGAGTACCTACGTGTAGACATGGCTTCCCTTGCCCGTGCGTGTGCGTGTGTGCGCGCCGCGAGCCCGTACCGTGTCCATGTCCCCAGCCCTCTGGCTGCGCAGGCCGTGGGTATGCGGCGTGCAGCGCTTGGCGACCCGCCTTTTCCTCTCGATGGGCTGGCCCCCCCCCCCCGGGCATCGTCTGCTGGATCCGGAAGGTGAAGCCAATCCGCCGCCCGGCGCTGCGCGCATATGCGTGCGTACTATACATAGTTGTATTGTGTCTAGGTGGTGTGTTTGTATGTATGTATGTATGTAGGTAGGCAGGTAGGTATGAATGGGTGTGTATGTTCTCTCTCTCTCTCTCTCTCTGTTTACCTCCATCGTACGCAGATACAACACCTACCTACCTAGTGTCGAGCTCCACTAAGTCAAAAAACGAGAGCTACCAGATCCAGACCCAGACCCAGACCCAGGCCTTGCCTCCTCCTCTTCCTCTTCCTCCTCCTTCGTCTTCCTTCTCTCTTCCCTTTCCCCTCCCTAGGGTGGCCGCTCGGTTAGTCAGTCGATCCCCAACGTCGCGCTCGCTACTACCGCTTGGCGGGGGACATCGTGCGTGCTGGGGTAGCCGACCATGCCGTGCCATGTAGGCGTATACCTACGTCCACGGGTAATATGGCTCTGGATGTGTGGGCTTGGACCAGCCGGTGCTCGATGGAGCACGTACTAGTATACATATGGTAGCTATATATATATAGGTTTATACCTATATATACCCTGGATATGTGTGTGTGTGGGTAGGTAGACATATCTCTCTCGGTAGCGCTACGGAGGTACCGAGGAGGTAGGAGGTAGGTAGATAGTCTATGGGTAATTCCAGCACCCATGGCCTTGGGAAAATCCTATGGTATACCTGCCTACCTACCTACCTACTCACAAGCCGTGGGCAGTAGCAGCACCATGCTTGCCATCCTCCCCTCCGTCGTCGCGGCACGACTCCGCGAAATTGCACAACACCGGCGTGTACACATGTAGGTACGTCGGCTGTTGTTGGTACCTAGGTAGCGGTTCTCTGCCTCGCTGGCTCCGTCGGCCCAGCTGCCTACTTGGAATGCTGCTACTCTCGACGGGCCGGTAGGTAGGCAGGCCCGTGTGATGATAGCTCGAACGGGGGGGTCTAGAGCTAAGTTGACGCGTGAAATGGCATCTTGGCGTTCCACTCGCGATATGGTATCATACGCGCATGCATCCAGACTACGACGGTAACCGGTCGTATGCCGATCGTTTCCCATCGAAATGCGTGCGAGACGTCCTTCTATATAGGTAGCTAGCTTCCCGACGTCCCTCGATGTGACCGTAACCGGTGACCTTGCTCCTGTTGCTCGTTCGCCTGAGTTGGTCAGTCGTGACAGCGTCCCTTCGTTTCCCGAGTAGCTTTCCCAACAACTACTCTCACACCCGTGCCTCCTCTTCCTCCGCTCGGTAGTCATGAAGATTCAGAGCTCTACGCTAGTTCTCTCTACCGCCGCGGGCCTGCTCGCCCTCGGCGGCAGCGCCGAGCCCATCGGGCGCCGCATCGGTTCCAAGCGCAAACTGCCGCTGGTGCAAAATGTAAGAAGCATGTCCCATACACTGACACTATGGTCAGAGACAGGTAGACGGAGGGCGCTAACCGGATGAAACAGAGACCCTACGTAGACTCTATTCTCATCAAGGACCTGCTCGGATGTGCCCAGGACCTGGAGGACATAGCTTATGCATCGCCGCGCCGCAACCGAGTATGTTTCCTTCCACCTTGTTTAGCTTATTCGTATTGTTCATTGTAAATATTATAAAGAAGGGGACGTCATTGCTTACCACTTCAACCACCGCCAGGTCCACGGCACCGAGGGACACCAAGGCACCGTCGACTACATCGCAGAAACTCTCGAAGCCCTCGGCGACTACTACAACGTTACGCGGCAGCCTTTCACGACCGAGGCCACCATTGGGTCGGAGACATCACTTTTCGTCGATGGCGAGGAACTTGCCGCCGGCAGCTTCTCCTTCGGTAATAACGGCACCTGGACGGACATACCGCTGGTAAACGTTGCCAACCTCGGCTGCGACGCTGTAAGTTATATACACGCCCGTCTTACACCACCATACGCATGGCGATGGGATGAGATACTACCTCGGCTCCCTCTTTCTGTCTCTAGCAATAAGGGACGGACGGCTAACCGGTTATAATCACATGTAGGAAGATCACCCGAGTACCCTGGCCGGAAATGTCGCCCTTATCGCGCGGGGCACTTGCACGTTCGTCCAGAAGATCAGGCTGGCAGGGGAGAAAGGCGCCGTCGCTGCCATCATCTATAACAATGCGGAAGTTGGTGTTGCCACGGGCACGCTCTCGGGCGTGAATGATCTGGTAAACCCCCCCCCTTCGAGTGTCTAGGTGCCTGTCGAAAAACGGCACCCGCAAGCGGTATAGCTGACCAGATATTAACTTCCGCAGATTCCGGTCGGCGGCATCACACGCGCGGATGGCCTGCGGCTCGCAGAGCAGATTAGGGCCGGCGAAACACTGACCTCGACGGGAGAGTTCTGGCAGTACGTCGCGAACGTGACGAGCTACAACGTTATCGCGAGCAGCAAGCGCGGCGACCCAGACAACGTGCTTTTCTTAGGCGCGCACAGCGACTCGGTCGAGGCCGGCCCCGGTATCAACGACAACGGTAGCGGCACGTGCGGCCTGCTGACGGTCGCGCGGGAGCTCGCGAAGTGGCGCACTAACAACCAGGTCCGCTTCGCCTGGTGGACTGCCGAGGAGGAGGGCCTTCTTGGCTCTGACTACTACGTCACCACCTCGTCCGACGCCGAGCTCGACCGCGTCCGGCTCTACCTCAACTTCGACATGATCGCCTCGCCCAACTACGTGCTCGGCATCTACGACGGCGACGGCAGCTCCTTCAACCTCTCTGGGCCCGCCGGCTCCGCCGAGGCCGAGCGCCTGTTCGAGGAATGGTACAAGTCGGAGGGCTTGCCGTTCGTCGGATCCGAGTTTAACGGCCGCAGCGACTACGGGCCGTTCCTTGAAAGAGGCGTGCCGTCCGGCGGTCTCGACACAGGCGCCGACGGTATCAAGACCGAGGCCGAGGTAGCGTTGTTCGGTGGCACCGCCGGAATTTTCCACGACCCCAACTACCACACTGCTCGTGACAACGTGACCAACTTGAGTCTTACCGCCTTCCAAATTACCGGCCGAGGCATCGCACACGCTGTCGCCACCTACGGCCGCAGCTGGGAGGGATTCCCGCTCCGCAACGTCACATCGCTGACCAGGAGGCTCTCGCCGAACAAGCTCAACTACGGCTCCTCCCAGAGCAAGTCGAGGCACGCCAAGAAGACGTACTAAGTACTAGTCAATAGAGGGGGCGCAGAGGCGACTTTGACATAATATCGTTACCTAGTCAGGTAGTTTCATAGCGTTATCTTGTAATGCAACAGCGTGTTCCCGGCTGTACCGCCCGCGTCCCGCCCTATTCATCCGTTAGTCGATAGATATCCCTGCATCGTGCCATGCCGCGGTGCCTCGGGTTCCCATCGTGCGCAACGCTCTTAGTCACGCAGGCGCGCACCTAGGTCCCGTCGGCGGCCGTGGTGGTTCTCTGGATCCTTTGGTAGGGTTGCGAGCGATTCCGAAGGAATGGGTGAGCACGCGATCGTGGCCAACGTAGCACTGCTAATATATATTCCCCACCCCTTGCATGCCCACGCGGTTCGACGCCAATCATGACCGGTTTGGGCAGCCGGTTTACCTCGCGTAGGTGACATCCACACTCATCCAACGTCAGCTCTGGGATCCCGCCCGTCTCCATGGGCGAATGGGAACCATCCGAAGGGCACGTCCCTGCTTTGTTTTGATTGGGGTGAGATGGGGAGTGAGGCGTGATTTCGAACCGAGCCGGACGAATCGACACGAGAGCGCCAAGCCGCCACCTTCCTCTTTCATACCGAAGAATGTCGTGTCTTGGGGCCTTCTACGGCGCTGATCTCCCTGTCCGGTAAGATGGTATAATTCCAGGTCCGGGCCAGGTCCAGGTCGATTAAGCCTGCAGCATGCCGTAACCCCACGGGATATCGATCAAATACGACTGAGTGATGTGATTAACTTTCGTGCTTGTTACCTATGCCCCCCGCTCGGGCCTGTTGGGGCAGATCCTACTCCGGCCCCTAGTCGGCGGTATTCAGAGTATTTGATGCCCGCTCCAGCCTCTCTTCCGAGAGTCTTGTTGTTTCCCCATCCTTGACCACTGGAGCCAAGGCTGTGTACGCTCTAAGCAGGAGAGGTCGACGCGGTCTGCGCCAACGTCAAGATGAGATCTCAATCTCTCGCAGCGGCTGTTCTGGCTGCCGTGCCCAGCGTCTTGGGCATTACGCCGGAGCTTATGCTTTCCGCAAATCGCTACGGCGTCGCGGCACCGAATCCCAGTGGTGTTCGTACAGGGTTTCCCATCGCGAGTTTCCGTGTGTATGCTGACAAGTCGTGACAGGAATTCGCCATCTATACGGTTTCGAACTATTCGTTCGAGACCGGTAGGAGGTCCTCGCAGTGGAACAGGCTCGATCTGAAGACTGGCGAGATCTCCCTCTGGCATGCCGGCTCGGGCATCTCGGAAGTGGTGTTCGTCGGGCCCACCCCTTCAAGCATAATTTATATCAACGGCACCAATGCCGAGGATGATGGCGGCATCAGCTTGTACTCGGCGGATGCCAATGCCCTTGGCGATGCCAAGTTGATCGCATCCCTCCCTGCACCGTATTCCGGTCTCAAGGCCGTCCAAACACCGTCTGGCGAGATCCACTTCCTCGTGTACACCAAAGCTTACCCTAACGGTACGGCCTACAATTCCGCGTTAGCAAGCACGCCCTCGAGTACGGGGAGGACCTATAGCTCGATCTACGTCCGGCATTGGGTTGGTATCCCGTCTATCACACTGACAATATGGCGAGAGCTAACAGACGTTACCAGGATACCTGGCTTGGACAGGAGAAGAACGCCGTATTCGGAGGCGTGCTGAAGCCGAACTACGGCTCCTACACGTTTTCCGGCGAGCTCACAAACTACGTTACCGGCATCTGCGACGTAATCTGTGCCGAGTCCCCCTATGACCAGAGCGATGATAGCGACTACGATATCTCTCCCGACGGTTCCACGGTCGTCTTCCTAACAAAGGACACCACGCTTCCCGCGGCGAACTATACCACAAACGTCATCTACAAGGTGCCGTTCAACGGTACAGTCGACGACGCCGTCCCGATCAACGCACGGGGCACGACCAAGTACCCCGCCGCACAGGGTGCGGCCACGAGCCCGAGGTTCTCTCCCTCGGGAAAGCAAATCGCGTACTTCCAGATGAACGGGATCTACTATGAGTCAGATCGCAACATCCTATATGTTGCTAACGCAGACTCGGATGACTTCAATGTGACAGCACTTGCGCAGAACTGGGACCGGTCACCCGGTGCACTGGCGTGGGCGGCGGACTCGAACAGCATCTTCGTTGCAGCCCCCGATCTGGGTCGACAGCGCGTCTTCCCCATCCCTCTGACTGCCGACGAATCGTACGTGCCTACGAACATCACAAACGAGGGTGTAGCCTCCGGTTTCTACGTCTTGCCCGACAACTCTCTGCTGGTGTCCGATTCCAAGATCTGGACTAGCCGTGACATCTATGCCGTCACGTCGGAGGGCAAGGTAACCCAGACCTACTTCCAGGCTAACCTGGTTGACCCTGGCCTTGCCGGACTCGGGCCCGAGGACGTATCGGAGTTCTACTATTCGACCAACACGTCGGAGACGGACCAGCAAGCTTGGATCATCTACCCAGAGGGCTTTGACGAGAGCAAGACGTACCCGCTGGCGTTCATCACACACGGCGGGCCGCAGGGCGCGCACTCGAACTCGTGGAGCACACGGTGGAACTTCAAGGTGTGGGCGGACCAAGGCTACGTCGTCATCGCGCCAAACCCGACGGCCAGCACGGGTTGGGGCCAGAACCTGACGGACGCCGTCCAAGGGCGTTGGGGAAGCTACCCGTACTGGGACCTGGTACACGCCTGGCAGTACGTCAACAGCACCCTCAAGTACGTCGACACGGCCAACGGCATCGAGGCTGGCGCATCCTTTGGCGGGTACATGACGAACTGGTAAGCTCTATGCTTTTGCATCCCTCTTTCTGTTTTGCAAACGGGAAACTTCCTGCGGTTCAATTCGAGTATGCAGTGCAAGCGCTGACCAGAAATGCGTATAGGATCCAAGGCCACGAGTTCGGACGGTGGTTCAAGGCGCTCGTGACGCACGACGGTAGCACGTCGACATTGAACCAATACGCCAGCGAGGAGCTCTGGTTCATGAACCACGACTTCAGCGGCCCGTTCAACGAGACCGGCTTCCAGGCCGGCTCGCCTTTCTACGACTGGAACCCGTTGCTGTACGTCAACAACTGGGCGACGCCGCACTTCGTGGTGCACAACAACCTGGACTTCCGGTTACCCGTCAGCGAAGGTATCCTGCTGTTCAACCTACTGCAGACTAAGGGCGTGCCGAGCAAGTTCCTCAACTTCCCCGACGAGAACCACTGGGTGCTCAACCCCGAGAACAGCCTCGTGTGGCATACCGAGATCTTCAAGTGGATCAATTACTATAGCGGTATCAGTAATGCCTCGAGCCCTTACTAGGGTTGAGTAATGTCAAGTAATTGCAGCTTGGAGATGGGAGGATCGCTCCCTTCCGAGTCTCCCTAATATAGTAATGCTCATATCCAATCCCCCAGGCGTCTATAGCTGCCGCGCCGCTGAATAGTCTGGTGTGATTCATGTGGTAAACTATCAGGATGGCTGAGCCACTGATATGAAACCCGGGTAAAGTTGGTTTGCGAAGGCTTGACGGCGGTCTGGTGTTTTGGGGCGGCGGCAGAAAGCGAAGCTGAAGGAGAGAGAAAGGTCATGACCCCGAACCACGGGCCGACCAGAGAAGAAGGCAGAAGAAGGCCGAAGTGGAAGGCAGCAGCACGCCACCCTAAAGAAAATACTAGTGTTGGCACGTATCTACGCCACACGTCATTCAGCCGGCATCAGTATTCGCATTTATAGGTATTAGTTGCGAATTGGCAGTTTCGAAACCGTCGCCATCCCTTATTCTGTTAGCGAGGTGCTGTCCGTGCATGGTACATTGGCCAATATGTAGGTACCTAAGTATATACCTATGAGTATGCCCAATGTACTGCATAGTAGGTACATATTGGATTAGTACCTAAGGTAGTTATGGTTATGTGACAGGTATCTAAGTACAGGTCTCAGGTACCGTGTCTCCTAGCCTACCGACCTCATATACCCTATAAGGAGATATCAAGATATTCGCATATTACCCATGGTTGTATATTTCAATCGCCTCGCCACCTAATACCTCGTATCAGCTCGTATCACTTATCGACTTTCGCTTCTCAACCTCCATTCATCCATCCCCGTCCTCATCGCAGACGTTAGTCGTTTCAACGGCCCCAGCCCGATATCAAGGAATTCCCCATGTCCCCCGATGATCTCTCGCTTGGCATCTCGCGAGAACGGACCCAAGCGGAAGGATCACCAAGCTTTTATCCCTGCAGATCGCATACAATCTCCCCCTCCACCACCCCCTATATACACCTATGTATAGACATACATACATAGGACCGTCTTGGTGCCAAGGTACTTGTGGTCAGGTCCAAACCCAAGTTGTCACACTGAGCAGTTGCGCGACAGTGATCAGCACATTCGGCTCGACAAGCCAAGAGCCCGCCGGCTTCCCGAGTTCGAATCAGCCGGCTATGGTGGTTGCCGCGCCAGGATGAGCCGCACGAATCGCCAGGTCGTCGGCCAATGGCTGCCCACAGCCGGAGCCGATCAACTCATCCTGCACCGCTGCATATTCACCGATTATTGTGACCGCTGGGCCGTACGTAGGTGTCGTGAGCACTGTGAGTTCCGTGACTTACTTACCTACTCCTTTCTCGTGCCCAGATAGGCTTCCATCTGGGGGTGGCAGAGGGGGGATTTGGAACACGGTCGACTTGTTTCCATGTGCTGGTGTTCGGTTGCCGCTCAGCCGCATCCTCAGGAGTTGTCTGTCATGCTTTTATGCAAACGTTACGGCTACCGGTTAGTGCCGTCGGTTGTCAAATCTGGCGGGCTCTAGAGGTCCCCTCTCTGATATAATACGTCGAGTGGTGGTGATGGTGAAAAGCGGCAATCTTCCCGTACTTAGGTATTGGTGAGGCAACAACGTAAAAGCAGGAGAAAACCTGAACGTGTGCCCAGCCGGAGCCCTCGACGATCGGAATCCCTCGAGGACAAGGTATAGGCACGATCTTCAAAGGAATTGGTCCGTGACCGTCAGAGTCGTAGATGGCCAAGCGGCCTGCATGTATCCCCGTTTCCTGCCGATTCAGGGGCAGAGAACACTTTGCCGTCGAACCGAAAATCGCTACTACTCCGTGTAGTTGCAGGTGGCATTCTCGATCCTAACCCTCTTCCTTTCTCTCTATACTACAAAATTGCCGCATAATGAATGGCTACGCGGTGTCGGGGGCCTCGCTCTCCCACGAGGAGAAGATGTCTCTCATTGACGATAAGTCGTTGTCGGACGTGGAAAGCGAGGGTGCTCGTACAGACTTCGAGGGTCGCTTCTCAACCATGCAATGGACTGGTTCCGTGAAGACCTACTTCGGCGGTTTGCGGCTGTCGTCGTGGGCCTCGACAGCTTTACGGATGGTCATGTTTCTGCTGCCTAGTTTCGTCCACCACCGATGCGCGCGCGAGCGCTTTCGATCCGAGAGGCTTAGCCCGACAGCATACCTTGACGGGATGCGAGGCCTAGCCGCCCTATTCGTCTTTTTTTGCCACTTCTTCTATACGGCCTTCAAGATAGCCGAAGGCTGGGGCCACAACAACGCCAACTACGAGATATGGAGGCTCCCGTTTGTGAGGCTGCTTTATAGCGGACCGTCCATGGTCTGTATCTTCTTCGTTATATCGGGATACGCCCTCTCCCTGAAACCGTTGAAGCAACTTCGGAGCCGTTCGTTCGACGGCTTCTCTCAGACTATGACCTCCTTCATCTTTCGTCGATACTTCCGTCTATACCTCCCGCCACTAATATCGACATTTGCCGTCATGGTCCTACTACGGCTTGGCGTCTACGAGATGACCAGAACCTTCTCAGGCGATCGGAAATACGTACACAACGTAATAGAGCATCATCCCGTTCTCGAAGAAACCGCGGAGAAACAGCTGAAACATTGGGTGCGGGAAATGTATAACTTTGTACACATTTGGGGCTGGGAGAAGTTTGGTGGAGCAACGGGTTACGATGTCCATCTCTGGACGATCCCGGTGGAATTCCGGTGCTCGATGATGCTCTTCCTGGTCATATTGGGCACCGCGAGACTGCGGACCAGCGCTAGGTTCGTCTGTCTCGGCCTTCTCATGTGGTTTGTGCTCCGAAGCGATCGGTGGGAGATGGTGTTGTTTCTCTGGGGCATGGCGATTGCCGAGTTAGACCTCATCAGGGATGCTCACGAGCCGAACATCTCTCAGCCGCCGACCGCCCCGTTGGCATTGCTGCCGCTCGAGAAAACCGAGGGCGCCCCAGAAAAGAGACGCTGTGCCAACGGCCTATTATGGACATTGGCCTCTATCCCCAGTCTCTATCTCATGTCCGAGCCGGACGCCGGGCCTGATGGGGTTCCCGGTTGGAAGTATCTCGGTACGCTCATTCCGGAGTGGTTTTCGGACAGGTACCGATACTACCAAATGATCGGCTCGGTCGTCTTCGTCTTCTGCGTGGCCCGCTCGCCCAGTTGGCAGCGCGTCTTCAACTCGCCGCCCGTGCAGTACTTTGGCCGCATCAGCTATGCCCTTTATCTCATGCACGGCCCGGTGCTGCATACCGTCGGCTACATGGTAGAGCGGTGGGCCTGGTCGCTCACCGGCACGGAAGGCAGCGCGTACAACTGGGGCTTCGTTTTGGCGAGCATTTTCAACATCCCGCTCGTCATCTGGGCCTCCGACATCTTTTGGCGCGCCGTCGACGCGCCGACCGTCCGGTTCGCGAAATGGTTGGAGGGCAAGTTGTCGATAAAGGAATAGGATGTGAATACTCGATCTGGGAGCCATCCCCGGCACGAATTCGGTATAATTTAGGTGTAAATAGGGTGGCTATTATTTATAACTCGGGATATTTCAATACTTAGATGAAAAACTATTCTCTTGAGGTTGATGGGCTCGTCGGTAGCCCTGTCGATATTCCTCGTCCAAGTCGATATTATAACCCTTTTCAAGCTATCCCGACAACCAGACATAGCTCTATTGGGGCGTATACATAAAGTAGTAGCAGTAGTAGTAGTAGCAGTAGTAGTAATAGTAGTAGTGACTAACCGCCCGTGGAGGCTACGCGTTGAGGCTATCCTGAAGGTCTCCTGCGGGGCTCTATGGGCGTGCTGAGCTAGGCTATTCACAACTGTTCCTAGTAACACACACAGCAACTCCTGTCTATTAACGTCTCGCGCCGGTTTCGCGCGTTTCTCTCCAGATCCTCCCTCCCCCAAGCGAGGGCAGTTCGCGGTCTGGTTCGTTGTTTCTTTTGCGAGGGGTGTCCCCCCTTTTGCTGTTCCTTGACCGCGCCATCCGCCTCAGCAGCCTGTCGTGTTATCCTGCAGCTCTCGCAGAGCGTTGTCTGTTCTCGCGCCGCGACGCCACAACAGAGGTAAGACCGATTATATTAGTCAGTCTGGGTACCTATATACTGTGCCCCCCGAATGCAACGCGTCAGCTGAACTCCGTGACTCCCGTAATGCAGCTACACAGAAAGCAGGTTACTCGGGACAGTCGTGAAAACGTCGTCACTGCGTCCCCAGCACTTTGAACGAACCTTTCACTCATGAAATCCTACGGCTTCATATACGTAGTTCTTATCCATAGGTTACGTAGTTTGATTATGAGCATAGATACACCCACGCTATTTTCCGTCCTTGGTGGGGAGCGCGGTTAACCACGGAATATATCATGTTTCTTTCGGCAGGACCTTGATGGATACGCCCTCCCCTTCGGGTAACCGAGCAATAAAATGGAGAGATCGAGGCCGCGAGGGGAGTGAAGCTGCGACGGTGCCGGTTACGAATCGACAGTGATATATTCGAATGGTGAGTACTGGAAGCTAGGAACGCTACCTAGGGGCAGCAGCGAACAGCATACATCAAGCAAGTCTTAACGCCTCGGAATGCTTAGCCGGCGCTGTCATGCGAATTCCCTTCCTCCCCTCCTCGGTATCACCGCAATGAAAGCGTCCTCTAGACCCAAGGACCCGCGTCCCCAAAAGTGATGCATGACCAGCCTGCCTATCTAAGCCCGTCGTCTGTCAAAGAACCAAGATCGGTGCGGCCCGGTAGATCAAAAAAAAAAACCCGTACGCCCCAAAAGATGCGGTATAGATTTCATCGGGCAATGACCGATCACGTGTGCCGACTTCTCTTCCCGTCCCGCCCAAATACGTCCTTCCCAAATGCTATGCCTCCTAGATCGAACAGTTCGGCAAAGTTGATCGGCCGCTTCTGTCCGGCACCCTTCCCTAGAAGGTTTGTGGGCCGTGGTCTGCTCCCCCGTTTGCTATTCCGCGACCGGGACGGGTGGGCTATCGGCACGGTTGAAGAGCACTGGGTGGTGTTCTCGTTGGCCCGAGCCGAGTCGGAGAGGTCTAGGTTGGCCAAGTTCGGGTAGGACTCCTGAGGGTATGGATGTGAGGACTGGAAGGTAAAATTCTCCCGAGTCGGAACCGCGAAGGATGGCGGGTGTTCCTCGGTGGCGGGGTAGTTTGTGGGCTGTCGGGGACCGCCGGCAGTCGAGGATTCGTGTCGCATGTTGGACTCGGGCCGTATCGCGGGCACGTGTGTTTGGTCGTTGGGGCGGTGGATTTCCGGCGAAGAGAGAGGCTCCGGCTTCTCGACCTCATCTTCACTCTCCATCGCTTGGGTGGCATCCCTGCCGTCTAATCGCTCAGTAGCCCACTTCCGGATTTGCCATCCCTCCCCGTCGCCCAACCCAATGCCCGACTTGTCGAGGAAGGCAAGCAGGTCGTCGAGACAATCTTGGTAGCCGTCGGCTCGAGCCTTAGCCTGGGCGGCGGCGGAGGTTTTGTAGAGTTTCGTGACAGATAACGCGGCGGCCTTGAAGGCGTCGAGCAATTGTTCGGGCGGCTCAGAACTAACGGCGGCTTTGGATGGCGAGGTGCCTCTTAAAGGATCCATCTTTCTCTCGTCAATACATGTGTCTGCTTGAGGGCCTCGACAACGTAGACTATACAGGGACAAAGGGGGGTAGATGGCGAAGCTGGCCGTTTCGACAGGACAGACAAGGCGGTGGATAGAGCCAAAATGACTAGATCCTTCTCTTTTTTTTTCCCTTTCTCGTTGGGTTCGGTGGGGCGTAGTGGTGGACTGGTGGGCCGAAGCCAGCGAACAAATGGAAGATTGCAGCTTACGGAGTAGGGCTGGTATGGCTCGCGGGGAGGAGGGTAAGGAGAGGCAGAGACTCGAGGGGCGAAGAGGGAAAAGGGAGACGCATCAGAGACAGATGAAGATGTGAGGTGATACAGCAAACTGTGGTAGTCCGAAGGGGAAGGGAAATGGGGTGAGCGGGTTGGTAGGCAACAAAGGGGGAGGTTTTGTTGTTGTTGGCTTCTGGCGTCAGGTGCTGATGGATGACGGTGGCTTTAGTGGCGGTTACTGTCCATCCCACACCACCGCCACTATCGCACAGGCGTGTTAGAGCCCTAGATTAGCAAGGGCAGTGGGTTCTACTACGTAAGAAATCCTACATATGTAGAGATACATCGCACACACACACACACAGCACATTTTATCCGACCGAATAAAGGGCCAATTTCTTGCAGCACCCAACGTGCTACAGGCATGTACCTAGATACATACCTAATACTGGCACGTTACCCCTACCCATGGCTGAGCATATGGTGCCTCCCTGCCAAACACAATACAGGTATGTAGATGCGAATTATATCAACCCATCCCCTCATACACTTGTGCACGTAGACACTCTCTTGAAGAGAGAGACATATATATATATGCCTGCAGAGGTATGTGCATACAGATGTAGGAGGTATCTAGGTACATATGTAAGGTTTCGTAGGGATACCTACCTAGGTATTTTGCCCCATTGACCTGTATTACTCCACTAGTAACCGGCCAATCGTCCGTCCTACACGTACTCATGTACTCATAGAACCCAATTGTGGCGCCGCGACGGGAGTTTGTTGGATGGAGGGGCGGATACTTGCGCCCTTTCCGCTGACTCTGGGGAGAGGTATTTTGGGGTGAGTACACTCAGCAGGTATCTTTTAGCGAAGGCCAGTGTCTAAAGGCACCTAATATACAGGTACCTCTACATAGGTAGCTACCTAACCTTCTAAGGCATGGATGTTTTACCCATCTCACGTTGGTGGCGTGGCTTGCATTACACCCTCGGATAACCTTCAGCAGCATTTGCATAGGTACATGTACTCGTAGGTCAACCTCACTGGCATGATAGGTACCTACTCTTCTGACCGGGGTTGGAGCCGCGCCGGTCCACTTTTGATTAGATAGCACCCGCATCTGTCTGGTATTCTCATTTTCGGACCTTCGCAACCGCTTCTAATCCACCCGCCACCTAAGTCGCGTTTACCTCGAGCATCTCCGTATTATTCTGGCTTTTCCTCTATCTCTAAACCCAACCGTAACTTTCCTGCTACGGCATCAAGTTGTGTACTCCGTCGGTAGCGCCTGGATCTCCTAACTAGTCCACTCACACCGGCTACCGACTCGGCTAGTCGCGTCGCAGTCGCGTTAAGTGTCTGCTGCACTGCCAATAACCAACCACAGCCGAACCCATCATCGCGACCCCTCCCCTTCACAACCATGGCTCCCTCGCGTCCGAGAGCCAGCGCCGTCGATACCGACGCGTCCATGTCTGATGCGCCAGACCCCGCGCCTGCTCGCCCAGACGAGATGGTAAGCTTTATCCGAAGCCGTTGTGCTGCTGCCCGGCTGCTGTTCTATTCGACTCCCACCTGCTCGCCATATGCTAACTTGGCAGCAGGAGATAGATGAGACGCCCGACCACAGCGACTCCGACACGAACCCGAATACCACAGCCAGCAGTGTTGCTGGAGACCAGACCGTCGACGGGCGCAGGAAGCGCTCGGAGGCTAACCAGCTGCGTCGAAGCGTGTTTGGGAAAAAGCACGACCTGCTGGGAGAGTCCAAGGTATGAGATCACGCGCCCTTGCGGAAAAGGAGCAGCCTCGTTAATCGTAATGCGCTATAGGAAGACGATAGCATTCGAAGATTTCGCTATCTGCTGGGATTGACCGACCTCTTCCGACACTTTATCGAGACGAACCCCGACCCCAAAATCCGCGAGATTATGCACGAGATCGACCGCCAGAATGAACAGGCTGCGAAGTCAAAGAAGAAAGGTGTTCGCCAGGGTGGCGCCGAGACCGGCCGCGCCCGCCGGACGGAAGCCGAAGAAGACGCAGAGCTGCTCAAGGATGAGCGACAGGGAGGGTCTGCCGAAACGGTGTTCCGCGAGTCGCCGCCCTTCATCCACGGTACCATGCGAGACTATCAGGTAGCCGGCTTGAACTGGCTCATTTCCCTCCACGAGAATGGAATTTCGGGCATCCTCGCCGATGAGATGGGCTTGGGAAAAACCCTTCAAACCATCTCCTTCCTCGGTTACCTGCGCCACATTATGGATATCAAGGGCCCCCACTTGATCACGGTGCCAAAGTCTACACTCGATAACTGGAATCGTGAATTCACCAAGTGGACGCCGGAAGTCAATGTCCTGGTTTTACAGGGCGCCAAGGAAGAGCGACATGCTCTCATCAACGAACGTCTGATCGATGAAAAGTTCGACGTTTGCATAACTAGCTACGAGATGATCCTTCGAGAGAAGGCACATCTCAAGAAATTTGCCTGGGAGTATATCATCATCGACGAGGCGCATCGCATCAAGAACGAGGAATCTTCCTTGTCGCAAGTCATTCGTCTCTTCAATTCACGGAACCGACTGCTGATCACCGGAACCCCACTTCAGAACAACCTTCACGAGCTCTGGGCCCTCCTTAACTTCTTACTTCCCGATGTGTTTGGCGATAGCGAAGCTTTTGACCAGTGGTTCTCGGGACAAGACGCCGACTCGGATGTCGTCGTGCAGCAGCTCCACCGAGTTCTCCGACCTTTCTTGCTACGCAGAGTTAAGGCTGACGTCGAGAAGAGCCTGCTGCCGAAGAAGGAAGTCAATCTCTATATCGGTATGGCGGAAATGCAGGTTAAGTGGTATCAGAAAATCTTAGAGAAGGATATCGATGCTGTCAATGGCGCTGGTGGCAAGCGAGAATCCAAGACTCGTCTGCTCAACATCGTGATGCAACTGAGGAAATGCTGTAACCATCCTTATCTCTTCGAAGGGGCCGAGCCCGGCCCTCCATACACCACCGACGAGCACCTGGTGTATAACTCGGGGAAGATGGCCCTGCTGGATAAGCTTTTGCGAAGATTACAAAAGCAAGGAAGTCGTGTCTTGATCTTCTCGCAGATGAGCCGTCTGTTGGACATCTTGGAGGACTATTGCGTATTCCGAGAGTACAAGTATTGCCGTATCGATGGTGGGACCGCTCACGAAGACAGAATTGCTGCGATCGACGAGTACAATAAGCCCGACTCCGAGAAATTCATATTTCTTCTCACCACTCGAGCCGGCGGCCTCGGTATCAACTTAACCAGTGCTGACATCGTCATCCTCTACGATAGCGACTGGAACCCCCAGGCTGATCTCCAAGCTATGGACCGCGCCCACCGAATCGGCCAGACGAAGCAAGTGGTTGTCTACAGGTTTGTCACCGAAAATGCCATTGAAGAAAAGGTCCTGGAACGAGCGGCACAGAAACTCCGCCTCGACCAATTGGTAATTCAGCAGGGACGTGCCCACCCTGGAGCTAAGGGTCCGGCAGGTAAAGAAGAGCTCCTGGACATGATCCAGCACGGCGCCGAGAAGGTCTTCCAGACGAAAGGAGCGGCCGGAATGCCCGCCAACGGTACCGAGCTCAACGACGACGATATTGACGAGATTCTGTCCAAGGGCGAGAATCGAACAAAGGAACTCAACGCCAAATACGAAAAGCTCGGTATCGATGATCTTCAGAAGTTCTCATCAGAGTCCGCCTATGAGTGGAATGGGGAGGTGTTCGGCAAGAAGAAGGATATCGGAGTGAACTGGATCAACCCCGCCAAGCGCGAGCGCAAGGAACAGTCCTATTCCGTCGATAAGTTTTATAGGCAGGCCATCTACGGCACCAGCAAGGCGGAGGCGAAGCCAAAGGCGCCTCGGGCTCCCAAACAAATCGCCGTCCACGACTACCAATTCTATCCACCACGACTCCGGGATCTCCAGGACCGGGAAACGGCATTCTACCGGAAGGAAATAGGCTACAAAGTCCCCCTAGCCGATGGTGACGACGAGAATCTGTCCGAAAGAGAAGCCGAGCGTGCTCTAGATCAACAAGAGATCGACAACGCGACCCCACTAACTGAAGAGGAACAAGAGGAGAAGCAAAAGTTGTCCACCCAAGGTTTTGGTGAGTGGAATAAGCGAGACTTCCAGCAGTTTATTAACGGCTCCGGCCGCTACGGGCGTCACGATTACGAGCGAATTGCCGAGGAGGTTGACAGCAAGACGGCCGCAGAGGTCAAGGCATATGCCAAGGCCTTTTGGCAGCGATATAGCGAAATTGCGGACTACCCCAAGTATCTGCAGATTATTGAAGCCGGAGAGGAACGGATGCGTAAGACGGAACATCAGCGGAAGATGCTGCGCAAGAAGTTGCAGCTATACCGCGTGCCCCTTCAGCAGATGAAGATCAGCTACTCGGTGTCGACCACCAATAAGAAAGTTTACACCGAGGAAGAAGACAGGTTCCTCTTGGTCATGCTGGACCGACACGGCATCGACTCGGAGAACATCTACGATCGAATCCGTGACGAGATTCGCGAAAGCCCTCTGTTCCGATTCGACTGGTTCTTCCTCAGCCGGACACCGATCGAGATCAGCCGCCGATGTACGACCCTCCTCACTACGATCGTGAAGGAATTTGAAGATACGCCGCCGACAAAGGTAAACGGGGTCAACGGCAAGGGCAAGAGGGAGCCGGAGGACGAGGAGAACGACGAGGACAGCATCCTGGGAATGGCGCCGGCCAAGAAGAAGTCGAAGACGGGCGTCAAAGTAGGTTAACAGATCGCGATTCGGCACGGGGCAACCACGGCTGTCAGATGCTAACCTGTCACTCACAGAACAAGGCGCTCGAAAACGTCAAGAGCGGCAGCAAGACCACCACCGCCACTCCGTCCTCGCGAGCGTCAAGCGTCGGCTCCACCAATTCGGCTCCCGCGCCCAAGAGCAAATCCAAGGGGAAGAAAAAGTAAGGCGAAGATGTCGCTAAGCACGAGAGGGGTAGGGAATGCTGCGAGGGCACGCCGCCCGCGATTATCACTACCTTCCTAGACCCCCAGAGGGACGTTGCTTGCTTGCCTGCTATCGCTACTGCTCACTGTCCCTTGTCTCTCGTCTCGACGGGGACAACGGTAAAGAAAAGAAACACACACACACACACACACACCACACACACACACACACAATAAGATATAAAGAAGGGAAAGGGACAGGGACGGGGTTCCGGCGTACTTGTTTTTGCTCGCATTCTCCCCCTCTTCTTCTGCCTTATTTTGTCTCCCTCTCCTCCCTTCGCGACGGATCCGACGGTAGAGGAGAGAGATTTAGATGGATGCGCACTACTCGACAGTTTTTTTGTTTCTGAAAACTTATCATCTTTTTTTTTTTTTTTTTGCGAACTTTGCGTCCCCCCGCCGAATCAGCTAGCAACCCCCTCCCAGCCCCCCCTGTGTACGCCGCTGCGCCCCCTCGGAAGGATACGAGGGGAGGACGCGAAAGACGTCCCGAGGTAGAACCACGAGACCAGATCGAGCTGCCTAGCTTAGAGAATTGAGTGAGCTTTACTACTACGACTGCATATATGTCGATCGAGTGCTTAGTAAAATACGTAAAATACCTTTCTGGGCATCTGGATTCACCGTGCCGATATAGCCTGTACAAGCGAGCTTAACTTCTTCTACCTTGCGGCTCGCAGACGATGGGAGAAGGCTAGAGGGAAGTGCCTGCTTGACTTGCTTTGCATGAGCTGCGGATTGCCAGCCCTGCCGTCTCGGTATCCCCACGAAGAGGGGGCCGAGTAGGGAACACAGGCCGCGGCGTTGACGGTTAAACTGCCTCGGGCGACATGATCAGGTATCTTCGATTGCAAGCCGCACCACACCAAGCTAACTATGTAGGTAGGTAGCGTAGCTACTCTTGGTGCCCTACTCCCCGCTTCCGCTCCCTGCCTCGTCTCGTCTTGTCCCTTCATTGCTCATGTTTCCCTACGCCTACGCCTACATATGTAGGCCTCCCCTCTCTAGGAGAGAATAAGAAGAAGGAAGGCCTATATACGTATAAGTAGGCAAGTGGACCGACGAACCAACAAAAGCACAAGAGACAGAGAACATGTACAAATGAACCTTCAACGCCGAAGCCCCGCGATGCAAATTTCTGCCAGGAGAGAAACAGAAAAAGAGAGGGAGAAAATCCTATGTAGGATTGAGTAACCAGGGAGAAAAAAGAGGAAAGACACTGGGCTCTACCCATTTTTTTTCCCTCTCCTTATTTTTATCCCTCCCTTCTATACCACGAAAATAGGAACGACGGAGAACAGATGCCCCATCTCGAGACCACCACCGTCGCCTCCGGTTGCCGAAGCTGGTGCTACGGGACGGGGCACGACGTCCGCGGAGACGGCCAACTCGCGATGAGGACGGCCACGGCGATTCTATTGCCGGTTATCGCGCTCGCGCTCGACCTCGTACCGGAAGTCGAAGTAGCCCTTGTCGAAGTGGTGGATGCGGACGTAGCCGTCCTCTCCGCCGCTCGCGTAGCTCTTACCCGTGGGGTCGGCAGCGACCGTGTTCTGCATTGTATCGTTAGCGATTGGCGTTTCTTTTCCGTCGCTGATATTTTTGAGGAAGGGTAGTAGTAGAGTGGAAATGTGCGGTGGATTACAGATACTGATGCGAGGACGAAGAGAACATACCAAGGGTCCGAAGTGGCCTCTAACGCGACCGATTTCGTCTTCGAAGATCTTGTGGTAGAAGCGCGCCTCGAATTTACCCTGGCGGGCGGCGGTGGTGGTAACGTCCATGGCAGCCTGGCCGCCTCCTAGTATGACGTAGTCCTTCTTCGGGGTGATACAGGCGCTGTTTAGCGGCGTGTCGGAAGGATACGTCTTCAGAGGCTCGAGGTCACGGGCAGATATCAGTCGGGCGGTCTTGTCCTTGGAGGCAGTGATAAAGTAGGTGCGGTCTGGTGACCACTGCAGGTCCGTTACTTGCATGTTGAGCTCGTGGGCGGGGATGTTATAGAGTTGCTCTCCCGTCTGCGCGAATGTCCGTCAGTTAGGACTTTTCTGTGTCCGTACCAAAGCGGGCGGGATCACGGGCATCCTAGTCGAATCCCACCAGCCGTTCTCGCACACTTACCTTCGCGTCGTACTGCGAGACGGAACCGTCCTCGTGGCCGGCGATGATGTACTTGTTTAAGTAGCTCCAGCCGGCGACCGTGGCTTTGCTCTCGTCGCAGACAATGGTGAGGGCGCGCTCGTCGCTCTGCTCGGCGTCGACTTCGGGGATGATGTCGAGGACGACGATAGTGCCGAGGTGACCCATGCGCTTCTCGGTAACGCCGAGCAGCTGGCGGCCGTCCTCGCTGAACTCGACGCGCTTCACGGCGGTGGGGAAGTCCCAGGCCTTGAGGCATCGACCGGTCTTGATCTCCCAGAGGCGGATAGTATTGTCGGCGCTTCCGCTGGCGATAAAGGTCGAGGTCGGGTCTACGTCGACGGTCCAGATGGCGCCCTGGTGGCCCTTGTAGGTGCCGAGTCGTTCGCCATTGTGGGAGAACCAGACGCAGATCTGTTGGTCTTTGGATACGGAAAAGAGAAGGTCACCGTCGGGGTTGAATCTGTACGCGGAGGGGAGGCGAGGATCGCGAAGGTTAGTCCGAGGCCAGAGCCGTGGCGGGAAGGGATTCTAGGATGGTATATGGCATACTTGATTTGGGTCAGGGCCCGTTCCTATTTGCGGATGTCGGTTAGTATATAGGGGATTCGCATTCATCGGGGTAGGAGGGGGGGGGGGGGGGTCTCCTTACATGGCCTGACAGGAGAATTGGTCTCATGGTCGCGGTGGCTGACTCTCTTCTCTGGCGGATTTGACGTCTTCCTCCTAGTCCGTACAAGCTATGGTGTTATCGTGAAGAGGGGGGAGGCTTGATGTAGGCATGGAGTTTTTGAATGATTTGTGCGTGGGGCAAGATTTAGCAGATTTTCGCGGGTTTTTGGTAACCTGCTAGATGCAACAACCCCGACCGGTGCGTCATCCATATGTAGGTAAGCATAGGTACTTGGGTACATCCTCTTGCACCTTCTGAGGTGCGTCTTCTTGTGGTGGGGGACTGACAATTGGTAGGTACCTTGGGTAGGTAGGCGGGTAGGTATATGCAATATCCAGGGGGTTAGCCGCCTTCATTGGTTGTTGCTTATGACAGGTAGGTACCTAGGTATACGTGTACACGTGTTAGGTCTGGTTATGTATCTAAACATAGCAACCCTCGGGGAGTTGACCTTCTTCTTCGTACCTAGAACATCGCCCAGGTTATCCTGTACCCTGTTCCCACGTTGCACCTCTAATGACATATGGTCCGGTGAATTGTTGACTCATCCAACCCTGAGGGGAGGACGAGAGAATCATATCCGTCACCTCAAGCTACCGTGTCTCGCCCGCACGCTTGGAAGCTCCCTAAACTCTTCACCATTTTTACTCTCACCCCGACTCTCTTTGCTCTCAACCCCAGATACACTCGCAACATTGTCTTAGCACGTTGCCTTGCTGTCGTTCCTGGAGCGGTGTTGTTCCTAGCCTTGTTTCACCCCCCCATCTCTCACCTCTGAAGGCCGTTGGACCTGTTATGCAGGGTTTGCGTTTGCGTTTGCTAGGTACCCTACCTATATCGGGGGTGGGCTGGTGGTGTTGGCTTGGGTAGGTGGGTAGGTATGCCGTGTGCCTCTCTCACTTAGGTACTGAACCAGACCTACTACCGCTGACTGAGCTGACCTCGCGGCGCTACCGTAGGGCTAATTCAGGGCTCTAAAGCCGGGCTAAGGACAAACTGGGGGTGTCGGGCGGGATGGACTCGTTGGACATCTGAGGAGCGCGCCCTAACCCTGCGCTACAGGTGCGGCTATAGGGCGCTGTGTAAGCCGGATAGGCGCATAGGGTAGGGGTACGATCGAGAGAGGAGACAGAGGATGACCCCCCGACCTACCTACTTCCGCCGATGCCGCGGCTCTCCTATTCCCAGTCGCATTCTCGTCCCCGTCCGTATTCCTGCTACCACGCCCCTAGGATCGTTCCCGTTGCCCGCGACAGTACCGCGGGACGGTATTACTCTGCAGCGCCAACAATTGATGGTTCGGCCAGTCACACGCCTCGCTACTTTCCCCGTCCCATCTCGTCTGACTACTTGTCAAACTCGGCGGACCGGAACTGGAAAAGCCTGCAGCGCATCCTTCAGCTTTCGACCCTCCTTTCCACTTCAGACGACGAATCCTCCCCTCACCACTCGGAATCAAGCTTACTCTCGACAACGTGCCGCCGCCCTGACCGGTCTCGCCGTTCGTGCTACCATCCCCGGATCGTCGCCCGAAAATTGCCCCTTTGCCTCGCTGTCGCCTGCCTCGCACAAAGCTCTCTCTAGAAGCCACCCCGCCATGGCTGCTACCAAGCTGGACGGCACCGCGATCGCGAAGAAGATCCGCGAGAGGCTTGCCGCTGAGATAGCCGAAAAGCAGAAGTCGAATCCCAAGTATCAGCCGTCCCTCAAGATCATCCAAGGTCTGTGCCGTGTCGCTGGTGCCTTCGCCCCGTTGCTATACTGACATGGTTGTGTCTTAGTTGGCGATCGATCCGACTCTTGTGCGGGCTATATCCCCTTCTCTGTACTCCATATAGGCTGCGCCCCAGCTAATTGACTCATAGCCACCTATGTTCGCATGAAGCTCAAGGCCGCTCGGGAGGTCAGTCCTCCTACTCGACTCCTGTGTCCCGTCTCTAAGCCCTTGGCTGTCTAATCCTCGTGACTCATACAGGCCAATATCACCTGTGAACTTATCCACTTTCCAGAGGACGTTAGCGAGGCAGAGCTCCTTGCCCAGCTACACGCCCTCAACAGTGATACTGAAGTACACGGCATCTTGGTCCAGCTACCCCTGCCCAAACACATCGATGAGTATGCCGTTACTTCTGCCGTTGCGGACGTGAAGGATGTCGATGGTTTCGGCACCACCAACATCGGCGAACTTGCCAAGAAGGGCGGCCACCCCTTCTTCATCCCCTGCACGCCCAAGGGGGTCATGGTGCTGTTGGAGGAATCTGGCGTGGATCTGAAGGGAAAGGATGCCGTCGTCCTCGGCCGGAGCGATATCGTCGGAAGCCCCGTCAGCTATCTGTTGAAGAATGCTGATGCCACCGTCACCGTCTGCCATTCCAAGACTCGGGGCATTGAGGACAAATTGAAGAATGCTGATATCGTCGTTGCTGCTATTGGACAGCCGGCCTTCGTCAAAGGCGAATGGCTCAAACCCGGTGCCGTGGTCATTGATGTCGGAACCAACTACATTCCCGATGCGTCGAAGAAGTCGGGGCAGCGTCTGGTCGGGGATGTCGATTTCGATTCGGCCTCTCAGGTCGCCTCCTATATCACGCCTGTCCCAGGCGGCGTCGGCCCAATGACGGTTGCCATGTTGTTGCAAAATGTCGTCGATAGCACTACGCTGTACTTCGAACGCCAGAAGCAGCGACGCACCATCCCCCTGCCCCTGAATTTGCGCACCCCAGTCCCCTCGGATATAGAGATATCAAGATCCCAACAGCCAAAACCCATTACGCGGATCGCGGAGGAAGTCGGAATTGCACAGCATGAGCTAGAGCCCTACGGGGCCTACAAGGCTAAGGTCGACCTCACTCTGTTGAAACGACTAGAGCATCGCCGCAACGGTCGCTATGTAGTCGTCACCGGAATCACTCCTACGCCTCTAGGCGAGGGCAAGTCCACTACCACCATGGGGCTGGCGCAGGCGCTTGGTGCACACCTAGGCCGGCTCACCTTCGCAAACGTCCGACAACCTAGCCAAGGTCCCACGTTTGGCATCAAGGGCGGCGCCGCCGGCGGTGGTTACAGCCAAGTCATACCGATGGACGAATTCAACTTGCACCTAACTGGAGACATACACGCCGTCTCGGCGGCCAACAACCTTCTCGCCGCTGCTATCGAAACCCGCATATTTCACGAGAACACCCAAAAGGACGGGCCCCTCTACCGGAGGTTGGTCCCCACCAAGAACGGGAAGAGGACGTTTGCGCCAGTGATGTTCCGGCGACTCAAGAAGTTGGGAATTGACAAGACCGACCCCAACGAACTTACCGAAGACGAGATTCGCCGGTTTGCTAGATTGGATATCGACCCTGAAACCATCACCTGGAGACGTGTGCTAGATGTTAATGATCGTCACCTGCGGGGAATCACCGTGGGAGTAGCACCAACCGAGAAGGGGCAGAGCCGAGACACTGGCTTCGATATATCGGTCGCTAGCGAATGTATGGCGATTCTAGCGATGAGCACAAGTCTTGCCGACATGCGGGAGCGGCTAGGCCGGATGGTCGTCGCTACTTCGAGATCGGGAGACCCGGTTACCTGCGACGATATCGGAGCCGGTGGCGCGTTGACGGCTCTCATGAAGGATGCCATCAAGCCGAACCTGATGCAGACTTTGGAAGGAACTCCTGTTTTCGTGCACGCCGGCCCTTTCGCCAACATCAGCATCGGCAACAGCTCCATTCTCGCTGACAAGATGGCACTTAAGCTCGTGGGTACCGAGCTCGACGAGGATCACAGCACCGATGCCGGTTTCGTCGTGACCGAAGCCGGCTTCGACTTCACTATGGGAGGCGAGCGCTTCTTTAACATCAAGTGCCGCGCCTCCGGCCTAGTACCCGACGTTGTTGTCATCGTCGCGACCGTCCGCGCTCTCAAAGTGCACGGTGGCGGCCCGCCTATCGCGCCCGGCGCGCCGCTGGATCCTATCTACAAGCAGGAGAACGTCGAGATCCTGCGGAGCGGCTGCGTGAACCTGAAGAAGCACATCGCGAACGCCAAGTCGTACGGGTGCCCGGTCGTGGTGGCGATCAACAAGTTCGCGACGGACACGGACGCCGAGATCGCGGTGGTGCGCGAGGAGGCGGTCGCGGCGGGCGCCGAGGACGCGGTCCTGGCGAACCACTGGGCCGAGGGCGGCAGGGGCGCCGTCGACCTCGCGCGGGCCGTCGTCGCGGCGTCGGAGAAGCCCAAGGACTTCCGGCTGCTGTACGACGTCGGCGCGGGCACGATCGAGCAGCGCACCGAGACCATCTGCCGCGAGATGTACGGCGCGGCGCGCGTCGAGTTCAGCCCGCTCGCCCAGAAGAAGATCGACACGTACGCGCGCCAGGGCTTCTCGAACCTCCCCATCTGCATCGCCAAGACGCAGTACTCGCTCTCGCACGACCCGGACCTCAAGGGCGCGCCGTCCGGGTTCACGGTCCCGATCCGGGACGTCAGGATGGCCGCCGGCGCGGGGTACCTGTCAGTTCCCTTCCCTTCCTCCCTCTCTCCCTCGTCTACTCCTTTTCCTCCTGCCCCCCCCCCCCCTGGGTACTTTCTTACCCGGAGACGTGCCTCTCTGCGCTCGGGCAGAAGCAAGGCGGATGGTTCTTGCTAACCTTTGCACGACTTAATAGGTACGCCCTCGCGGCCGACATCCAGACGATCCCCGGCCTGCCCACGGCGCCGGGATACCTCAACGTCGACGTCGACACCGAGACGGGCGAGATCGACGGGCTCTTCTAGATCAGGGCGCGCGACGCGCTTCTGCGTAGGGCAGGCGGGGGCGGGCACAGGTCTATCGCGGTTCGCGATAGGCAGAGATGGTAAGGCAAGGAAAGGAAAGGGCAAGGAGGGTGGGTAGTTGGGAGTCGACGAGATCTCGACACGGTAGGTAGGTATAAACATACGCTGGCCTCAGCGGGTTCAACCCAGTCGCGGCCGCGGAGCACATTTTCCACGGCAATCCGGCATGCACAACACACACGCATATACGGCGGAAGGGGCGGCGGATACGAAGAGCACGTAGACAGGTCGCAGGGACTATCGTCGACGATGCACGGCGGGATTGCACACATCTTATTATATATGATACCTTCAACGGCATTGTATTATAACCCCCCCCAAAAAATCTACCGGAATTTCCCGCTCCCCCGTTTCTACTAGGCACTTGGCCGCTGGCTCGCGGGCCAGGGCCTCGTAGATCGCTCCCGTGTGATTACGTGCGGGGGGGCTCGGCCGAGAAGACCTCGGGCCCTCGACGGGAACAGTCAATACCATGTGACCAAGTACCATGCTTGCAGTGCGTTTGGTAACGGGGGGAGAGGGGAGGTAGAGGAGGTAGGCAGCTCGTCAAATATGTGTGTGAATTGTTAATTACTCTTCTCCGCATGCTCACCCCGTCTCGTCCCATCCTGTCCTCGTCCTCGTCCTACCGCAGGCTTCAAAGCAACACTTGTTACGACATACGAGGACTGGCCGCTCGCGCCCTTCCCCTGGTGTAGCCGTATTCCCAGAGCTAATGGCCGCAGCCCCTCACCGCTTCCTCTCCCCTCCCCTTACCGTCCCTCGCCTCACGCGGGCGAGATGGCGATCTTCTTCGCCTCGGGCTGCTCCGAACCGTTGCCGCTGCCGCCGGGCCCTTCGTCGAGCGGTCGCTTCTGGCCCGCGATCTGGTCCACGACGCCCGCGCTGGGCGGCGCCGGGCTGCAGATGCTCGGCGGGGCCGTGGGCGGCATCGCGCGGGGGGTCGGTTCGGGCGGTTGCTGGTGGTGTTGGCCGCCGTTCCCGTTGAGAGAGCCCTCGTACAGTCGTCTTTGTCCGATCTGACTGATGACCCCTTCGCTAGGTGGCGCCGCGCTCGATATGTTAGGCATCGCAGCGGGCGCGAGCGCCTTGCCAGCTACCTCTGAGTGTAGAACACCCCCGTTGCTAGTACTGTACCCGTCGTCGTGTAGACGCTTTTGTCCTGCAATCTGATCCATAACACCCGCGCTCGGCGGCGCCGGGTTAGATATATTATGCATCGGCGGTGGTGCACTCGGGCCTGGCAAGGTTGGTGTAATTGCCGACCCTCTACGGACGACGGGGGGGCGAGCTATTGAATTAACCCCCGGGCGTGTCAAACCCATTGGGCTCGGACGCTGGATAGAGATGCCGGGGCGTGAAGCGGACGGCGGTGTCGGTCTTGGGGTAGTCACCGGCGCCGGGGGCGAGTGCGGGTTAGGCGTAGGGGCTACGGTATTGGGATTTGTCTGTCCTAGTCTCGTTGCGGACGTAGGCGCGTGAGCCGGAGCAGGCGATGCGGAAGGGGCTTGACCTGGCAGTTGTGCCGTGTGGGACGGATGGATTGGCTGAGAGGTTGTGGCCGACGTGGGTGTGGTAGGTTGGGCTGAGGCCCCGTAGCTTGAACGGGCGTCTGCGATGATCTGGACGACAGACCTAGCCATCAACCTGTCGGCTTCCTCCCATCCCTGGAATAGACCGGTGTTCGACAGGCCCTGTGCGCGGCTGATGGCTGAATCTATAATGGCCTCAGCCTGGTCGGTTTTCTCCCTCAGAGCGAGGAGCATGGTGCGCCTGAAGCTGGCGATCCTCCTTTGTATCTCCGCCTCCATTGCGAGTGTTGGCGTCGGTGCCGGATTCGAAGCAGGCATGCTCGGGGTCGGCGTTGGTCCCGCAACAGTAGACGTAACAGGGGCGGGGGAGGCCGAAGTTGCCTGTGGCTGTTGCTTGGGCCGCATCTCACTTACCATGTTTTCTATCGCATTTGTAAGGGACTTTTCTATCGATTCAAAACCAACAGGCACACCTTGCACCGGCAAGCCCCGGACACGGCCTATCGCCGAATCGACAATTTGCGCCGCGTGGTTCGTCTGCTTCGTAAGGACATTCAGCATACTGGACCGAAAATGGGCAATCGCCTTTTCAATTTCTGGCGACAGAGGCGATCGGGAGGTGGTGTTAGGATGGAGCGTATTCGACGGAGGCAGGTGATGGTTCGGAGACAGAGATGATGCCGCGGGTACTTGGACAGGCGCCGCCGGCGAGACCTGTGGGCTGGGCACTGCGGGGACCTCCGACTTGATCGGCGGGCTGTTTTGAGGCGGCAGTTTGGCGTAGGGCGAATTATAAGTACTCTGCTGGGCATTCGACGGTTGTCGAGAGAGATATCCCAGGGGTAGCTGCGCCGGCGCCGGCACCTGTGCCTGGGCAGGGTATACTTGTTGCGTGGTCGGCTGTGTGACTGTAGTTGTATGAGCTAGAGCTGGCTGGCTCGTAGCAGGTTGGAATCCCGTTTGCGGCTGCTTTGTGCTGGTCGCGTAATTTGGCATGCCTGGCGTGAAGCCGAGGGCGTTCGTCGGTAAGTAGGAACCGCCATTCTGGTAGTACTGTTGTTGAGCATTCAGAAGATGTGCCGACCCGAGCTGTCGATCGGGCGAGCTCGCTTTCCGTTTCTTCCCGGCGTCGAGCTCTACGCCGGGGACGCGAGACCACAACCCAGTTCCCTCGGCCTTTTTGAACGCTTCGTTCCCGATCAGGTTGTGGCGAACACTACTCTCCCAGCCTTTCGTCTCCGCAGAGAAATAGAACCACGGATACCTCGACATAATCCTCTTGTAGATTTGCTTCAGGGTTAGGCCATCCGGGGGGCCGTTGGTCAAGGCCTCGTCGATCAGAACACCGTAATTCTTGGTGGGTTTTTGCAACTGCTCCTCGGTGAAGTCTTCTTTTCGGAGCTCGAGAGGCGGTGATTTTGGTCGGGCTTTCTTCTCCTTCTTCTCTCTTGCCCGCTTCTCGGCCTCGGAACCTTCCTCGCCTTCCTCCTTGGGCTTGCGCTTGTTATACTTCCTCTTTTCCGGCTTCTCTCCGTCTTCGGGCAAGGGGTTCTTCCTAGGTCGACCAACAGGCCGTTTGATCTTCTCGCCCTGCGGCTCTTGGGGTATGGTTTTCTTGGAGGTCTCCTGCATCTGCTTCTTTAATAGGCGTCGCTCTCTCTTGGACATGATGCCATCCTTAGGCGGCCTGCCTGGACCGCGGCGCTTGGGTATTTCCGGTGCCGTAAACTCGGGCTGGAGGACGCCTGGGGGAGCTTCGGTTGGCTGGGCGGCGGCAGTCTTCGGCTCGTCGCCGGCGTCGGACCGCACCACAGCGGCTTCGTTGTCACCTTCGTCATCTTCATCATCAGACACGATGGCGGGGGTTGGCACGTTCTCAATCTCCGATAGCTCCTCGCTTGTATCTTGGAAGTTTTCATGGTCGGAATGCTCGAAATCAAAGCTCATCTCCTTTCCTCCAATCGACATGCGCTTGCTAGAAGTCTCCTCTTCATGGTACTCTTCCTCGCCGCCGGTCTGGCCCGGCTGGACCCCATTGATGATGAATGTGAATTCTACGTCCTTAATCTGGAGTCGGTCGCCGCTCCGCAAGGTAACCGGACCATCCAACCCGTAGTGCGCATCCTCGCAAAAGAAGCCATTCTTGTGCAGCGCGATAGCCTCGAACACGCCCTTCTTCTCGTTGAACTCAATCTTGAGATGCCGTCTCGAAATGCCGCGCGTCTTGCTCGCGATATCGGGACCGGGCGAATGGATGCCGACAAAGGGGACATGCGACGGCGAGGGCTGCAGCGTACCCAGGTCGACGGCCGCGGCTCCGGGGGTATGAGAAACGTATTGGCGGTTGGACTTGACGTGGTCGCTTTGTGCATCTTCGTCGCCGTCGTGGGATCGGCTGCCGGAGCTGGGCCGGCGCTTCTTGGCCGGTCGAACATTGTCCTCTCCGTCCGATTCGGGCCCGAGCATGCCGCCCTCCTCACTGACATAGGATTTGCTGAACTTTCCACGGTCAAAGTTGAGGGGCGTCGGGGGTGGCAAGCCGTTTCTCGCATTCTCCTCCACCCTCCGCCTGTAGTTTAATTCTCGCTTCTCGTCCCTCCGGGCCTGGTCCATAGCCCTCTGGTCTCGGCCGATCACGACGGCATATGTCGTCATCTGGAAAACGCTGTCGGCGAACTCGATCCTAGCAAAGGATTCCAGCTTCTGGCTGAGACTCGTGGAGGTACGGTCGGCGGTGGTGGTCAGGGCGTCGCTCTCTTGGGTAAACGAGGCCTGAAGCGAGACCTCGGAAGGGGCCACGATGGACGGCCCGGGGTTCTGGAAGAGAGCCGAGGTGGCCTGGGCAAGATTCATCATGTAGAGGTTGGGATCAACAGTAGCCTGAGCCTGCCTCATCGTACCGGCCAGGGGGCGAGTCGAATAGTCGATATTGGCCGGGTCGGGATCGGTAGTAGCGATAGCTTCTACTTGGTTGCGCGGTCGGGCGGACTGCCCAGGCGCACGAGCGGGTTCGAGCTTGCCGGCAAAGACTTCACCCGCAGCCTTGAGACTGGCAGAGGCTGGCTGGGCCGTCGAAGAAGGTTCGGTAGCACCATTGGTCGCGGGAACCGACTCGGCGGAGACTCCAGGGACATGGCGATCCTCGTCATCGTCGATGTTCACGTGTGTAGCGGCCGGGGTGGAAAGGGGGGAGACAGTCGGCGGTGAGGGCACGGATTGGACCTCGTGGGGATCATCGCAGAAGCCGTGCGGTGGGTGATCGGAGAGTGGCATCGGCGCCGTCGAATCGGGAGCAGAGGGAGAGGTAGTAATAGTAGTAGCGGGAGCAGCAGCAGCAGCAACACCACCGGCAGACATGGGATCAGGATCAGCTGCGGGCGGTATGCTTGGCAGCGGAGGGCGAAGGGGTGCAGAGGCAGGAGGGTGAGCTAGCTGGGGACCAGCATGGGTAGCGGCAGCGTGGGACGAAGTCATCGCTGTATCGTTCAAGACAGCTCCTTCGCCTGCGGCGCGCCGGAATCAATTCGAGGGGGAACGGGGGGAGGCAGATGGGGGACGGGGGCAGGTTTGCGAGGTTATCGAAAGATAAGTGATGGGGAAAATAATACTGCCCAGTCGGGGGAGGCAGATGGTATGTCACCGCCTGCCCGCGAGGGCGTAGAAAAAAAAAGAGCTCCTTACCTAGATTCCTGCCAGTGGTCTGACACTGTCAAACAAGGTTATACTTAAGGTACCCCCCCCCCCCCTCCCAAGGTACGGCCTAACGTACTCAGATACCTACGGAGGTACCGGGAGGATAGGCTGTTTGCTGAGGCTTGCGCTCGTACCAGCGGCGGAGAATCGACGTACTCGCGCGAGCCAAATATACATAGACCGGGCGTGTACTTATGTACCTGGTTTCCGAGTACACATGCGCCTGCTGCAAGTCCACCCCAACCTGCGGCAGCCACTGGTCGATGGCGGGTCGCTTGGGGGTTTTGCATAGGTACCGACCGTACCACCTGCTGGCCGGGCGTGATTGGGCGATTCGTCTCGTCTCGTCGGTACCTCGTAGGTGGTGGAAAGGACATCCGATGCTGCTGCTATAGATGGCGTTGCTGAGACGTAGGGACTCTGCCAAAGCCAAGGCATATACCTAGGTACCTCCTCTGCCTAGAGTAGGATAAGGTCCTCGATATACACGTATACCGGATGTAGGTACACATGTACAATAGGTACAAAGTATACTAAGAGGTGTTGCTTCCACTTTACCTCCTAACTTACCCCCTAAGTACCTAGGTACCTAGATTACAGGCCAATCATCGCCTTGCCTGGCATTAACCTTAACTCCAATCGACTCCAATCTCGCCGGGGGCACCTGCACCCTCCATTTGTCCACTGGAAGCCACCTGCTGGGTTACGCGTTGGCACTAGCCGTGTACGTTGCACGGGTGGTAGCTACCCACTACCTCCTATAGAGGTAAGTGAGTCCCGTACCCACATGTACCTACATATACATGTATCCACATGTACATGTGGCTACCCACCGCAGCACTCCCACCAACCCCAGGACCCGGCTGCTGCTGCTGCTGCTGGTTCACAGCTTCCCGTCCTGCAACTCCGAAGCTCTTCAGAGACGGCTTGGGCGATTAGGCATCATACACGTTGTGCGGAGTACAATGTATACCTGACCTATAAAGAGGTCTTTATAGGTACCTACACCTATCTGATTAGGTCAGGTCATAGGTACCTAGGTATTTTGTACTTCACGAGGCCCCTAAAAGAGGCACCTACCTCTAACCTAAGGTAGGTGGGTAGTCCCCTTTTGCCGGTGCTTCTCCTCTCTCTTTGGCCTGCATCATACGCATTACAGAACACCACCACAATGGAACGCCCAGGACCATGGCAGAGCTGAAAACACGTGTATATCGACCTGTCCATAGGGTAGATATCAGATGCATGAAGATTTCCCTATAGGCCTATTATGAAGAGGAAATGTGACTAAATACGAAACAAGGATCTAAGTATAAAGCCTATACCTATATTATGCTTTCTCGTTCCGTCGCTTGCTTGTCGTTTATTGTCATCGCCACGTGGTATCGTTATGCAGTATCACTCTACGGTATCGTCATATACCTCCACAAAATCTGCGCTGGGTCCTTACCGTACTCCTCACGCGCCCAACAGCGGCGTCCTCTCGTTCTGCCCACGCCCCCGCCTCCTCCGCTCGACCCAGTCGGCGAGCCGGTACGCCCAGTGGCACAGCAGGCCGGCAGAGAAGCCGACGGCGTCGTTGCGGCAGGCTAAGATTCCCGCCGCCGTCGTGAGCATCACCGTCCAGCGCTCCTCGCGCTCCTCGTCCGAGACCTTGCGGTGCTGCTTGCGCACCGTCGCTCCGTCTCCCCGCTGCTCAACCGACTCCTCCCACAGGTCTGGCGCGCCGTAGTTCAGGCTCCGGCCTACCTTGGCCAGCTCGAGGCCCGCCGCCACCACCATCACGCCGAGCAGCGCCTTGGGGAACGCCGCAAGGAGGTCCAGCAGCGACTCTCCGAAGGCCAGGCCCACCGCCATCTTGAACGCGCCCAGGAGGACGACGCTCGCGCCGCTGCGCGCCCCGAACCGCCACTGCGCCGCCAGCCCGCCGGCCCCGTGGCACACCGGCATCGCGCCGAACCAGCACCCGGCGAGGTTCATGACCGCGACGCTCAGGCCCAGCGCGCCGACGCCAGGGGGTGCCAGCTCCGACGGGCCCCTGAGGTCCGCTGCGAGGGCGCCGACAGCGATTACCGAGTTAAGCGTCGTCAGGGGTAGCTGGGCGACGCCCATGCCGATGGCCTCGGCGGTCCAGCGGGGCACGGCGAACCGGGGCTCCCAGGTGCTCCAGCGGGGCAGCTTGCGGTGGTGGTGGGGGTTGAGGCTCGGCTCAGGGCCGATGGCGATCCCGACGAAGGCGAAGGCGATGCCGACGCCGAACACAACGAGTGCATACGGGAAGCGGCGCATGCGCTGCGTCAGCACGAGGAGCACGAAGGCTACGGCGGCCCAGGCGGGGCCGTCCAGCGGCGGGCACGCCCAGCGCGAGGGCGGCAGCATCAATAGCGAGGTCCCCGCCGAGATGATGAGGGACAAGCCGGCGCCGAGCTGGATGCCTTTGACGACGGGGACCGGGATGACGCGGGCGGCCCAGCGCAGCAGGCCAGTCACGCTGAGGAACAGCACGACAGCGCCGACGATGCTGCCCGCTGCGACGGTCTCGCGCTGCGAGGCCTTTGACGCGATGGCGGCTGCAGCGATGGCCTAACAGGGACGAAGAAAGTGAGTTAGCGGATTCTGCTCTTCAGTTACTCCTGTTTACGTATTCCTCCAAGGGAAGGGAAGGGGGGTTGGACATGGGGAAGTATTTGAATTAGTTGGTAGGTAGGTGCGGGCAAGCAACAGAACCGGCAACGAACGAATTTGGTCGAGGGGATATCACCTTCATCGGCTGCACGGGGAGAGGGATACCAAATATGACGCCGGTAGCGATGTTGAAGAAGCCGGAAAAGACGAGTGTGGTCGACAGCGAGATGGAACCGTTGATGGCGAGGGTGATCATCAGTGGTAGAAGAGTGCCGAGGTCGCCGAGCGCGCCGGAAATCTCAGCCAGGGGCGATTTGCGGAGGTTCTCGACATTCCTACGATGGGATCGCCTGATGTCGGCGAGGAAAGCCATGATTCTAGGCGGCCAGACCGACCAGGAAGCCGAGCAGGTCGGTTAGACGTTTATTTAGGTATCTCTGCCCCTCGGCCTCCACAGTAGCCAATTAGCTACCCGAGATCAGCAGGTCGGTGCCTTGTAAGTCGCCGGCTAACCGCCTCCGTGTCGGCGGACGCGGAATAAATCGCCTCGGAGGTTGAGATGCCTAGCGTATGCGTAGCAGTATAGTTGCGTGCAGGTTTCGGGGGTGTTAGCAGCTCGGAATAATGTCGGGAGAGAATGGCGTGGACAGTATGGGAATGGCTCTCGGAGGCGGTACCGCGCCGCCGTCGTCCCTACGGAAATAACCCGAGACGGGACGGGGGTTTCTGCTCTACACGCACGTTGCGGTATGCCGTGGGTTGCGCATGTGCGACAGCAGTGGGAGCGCAGGGACGGGTTCTATTTCTGACGGCATGCGACGAGGTGGTTTCCGAGTCGTTTCCTGGTGCGTGTTCGATCTGTACCGCCAATTGACGGAAGACTTGAGTCGGGTATAGGTACCTATCCCGACCGGTGGAAGTTAGTAAGGCTGTGGGTGGTCTAACAAGCGAGGCCCCGTTGCCGATCCGGGGCTCCTCCAATCGAGACATGCCTAAATAGGTAGATAGACAGCTATACATACCTATAATAACGGGAGCCTAAATGCCTACCACTTGCATGTTGAGGCCAAATTCAGGCGGCTCTGGATTGCGCCCGTTGCAAATCATCATGGTCTCTGCGAGTGCGTGTAGAGGAGTGTCATAACGCCGAAATGGTCGAGAAGAGAGGATCGTGAGACGATGCAACATGGGCGAATGTACCTATATAGGTACCTTAGTACCTAGGTAGATAGATAAGAACCTTATTGGCAACACCTTGCCCGTTTGCATTAGGTACACGTATCGTCTGATAGGCTCGATGCTGTCCGGGTAGCGTCTCCGCGCTTACGTCGTTAGTTTGATCGGCAGCCTGGCCGGTTATTGTGGTGGCAGCTCGGCCGCTTCGGCGGCAGCGAAACAGTTTCCCAAAACGAACGCCCGCGCGCCGCCCTCGCTCCCTCTCGCCTCCTCACCGAAGATCGCGGGAGGAGGAGAGGCCTCGACTGGCTGGCCCGAGAAATCCTTCACGTACCCATGCGTTGACGGCCTGCCTGCCCGTGCTCTCCCGACGCCTCTGCACGTAAGCGTCGGTCGTGACACGATAACCGCGTCGCCGGATTTCCGTTCTGGGATTCTACGTCCGCACATGCTGATAGCGTGCCTACGACGTAAGCGCGGAGAGGCGAGATATGCCCACATACGAACATACGTGCATGGAGGAGCCGGCGCACTTGAAACATCTAGCCGTGGGGGGGGAGTGAGACAGGGGAGCGGAAGAGAGGAGGTACAAGGGCGAGAGCATCCCTACGCATATAGATAAGGCGGCGCGGCGGAAAAGGGAGGCTCTACAGGATCGCTTAGGAACGTATCGATTCCCGTTCCGTTGGGATGGCGGTAGATTGCCATTGCAGGCCTACCTATCACCTGTGGGCTGTAGGATATCTCCGATAATATGTTCAGGTGCGCAGATGCGCGTGTGGTGCCGAGCGCCGAGGCGTGTGCGCGAACCAGCCTTGCCTGATGTTACGGCATTTCTGCATAGGTAGGCAGTTATATGCCTACTCACACATGGGTACATCCGCCGAACGTGGCGGGGTCCCTGAACTCGAAGTAGTGGTCAGACGACGGAGGCGCCCTAGGATGGAGCTCTTAGCTTGTAGCTTCTTCCGGTACCTACCTACGTAATATCTATACCTCGGGTAGTAGGTTCGCCGGATTATCACTCCTCTGATTGGCCTGGCCGTCTCGGAATGGCGGAGGCAAGGAGAATAAAGGAGGAAAGAAAGGAGGAAAGAAAGAGGAGAGGCGAGGGGGGACGGGGCAGGTTAGGGACCCTACCTAATGTATGTACGTAGGTACTACATACCTGGTTGCAAAGATACCTCCTTCTCCAGGTACCCACCGCGCTGCCAAGCCCCCGCTAGCACGGCCGGGAATCCGCAAATAGCGCACGGGACGTCCTGGACCCGAAACGTCTAGTGCAGTCAATTGGAACCCCCAAGAACTCCCCCCGGGTCTCCTCCTCGACTGATCAGTTGCGAGCGAGGCTGCTAACCGAGCTGTTAGTGTATCTACCACATCGGCAACCGACACATAATCTGGCATATGGCCTGTCGCCCTTCATCTGCTCCTCTCTGGCCCTCCTCGCGCCACTCAGCGCTTGGCTATAACTCCCACTCCTTCCCCTCCCCCCCCCCCGTGCCGTGTTGGCAACATTCGCTTGATTGTGTATACTCGCCTACCCGTGTGTTGGTATGCCTGTGCTCTGCTTCGTGAGACCAACCTACCTCGCTTCCTAACGTGGAGAGAAGAACTGCTCCTCTCTAGCCTACCAGCATTCGCACTTTCGAGCCCCCGATTCGGACTTCCCACCACTACCGAGGATGCCGACCTAACGACGACGTATAAAACGAACCTATCTTTCCTCTAAACACCACGTCAGCAAAGGGGACACCTGCGGATACACACATACACCCCGTACGACGGCCCTCTACACTGCGTTACCCCGGCGGGACCCTGCGTTGTGAGAGCAGAGACGTGACGGTGCGGCTGCGTTGGGTGTTACTGCCATGATCGGCGCCGTGCCGTTGCTGCTGATCGCAGCCGTTTTTTATTGTCTATTCAACATCGTCTCTGGGCTTTCGACCAACATCGCCGCCGCGAAGCGCTCCGGCCTACCCTACTTTGTCGTCCGTAAGTTGACCGGGCCGTCCCGTTCCTTGGCATTCGCCTCTTCCCGATGCGCGCCCCTCCGCTCCACGGATGAGAACTAACCTGATCCGTTTTCTTTTTGCTTTTTTGCTCGCCTGCAGCACTTAGCCCATGGAATCGCGTCGGACAGATATTTCACAAATTCTGGGTTCCCGTATACAGACTGCTCCCACGCCGGTGTTGGGAAGACATTGTGGTGTAAGGGACTCCTGGTCGCCCGCTCTCTCTCCCTGTCACTGTAGCTAACACATCCGCCTTGTTATCAGCGTCTTTGACCCTAACTGGCATTACGTCCTGAATCATAAGGCGTTCGCTAAGCTCGGGAACACCTTTCTGCTCGTCTCGCCAGGAACAATCGTCTGCTTCACCGAGAATGCCAACGTCCTCCACCAGATCACGTCGAAGCGGGAGGCCTTCCCGAAGCCGACGGAGGCCTACGCCATCCTCGGCCAGTATGGCCAGAACGTGGTCACCCTAGAGGGTTCCGCGTGGCGCATGCACCGCAAGATCACGTCGGCCTCCTTCAACGAGAAGAATGCGTCGCTCGTGTTCCGGGAGTCTGTCAGCCAGACCAAGGGGCTCATTAACCTGTGGCTCGGCCCCGACGGCCTCGGCAACAAGACCTTCAAGACGATCGAGCAGGACACGGCGTCCCTGATGCTCAATATCATCGCCAACATCGGCTTCGGCCTCAAGATCCTCTGGCCCGGCGAGGAGTTCCCCGCCGACGCCGACCCGCGGCTGGCCAAGTACGCGACCCAGGAGCCGCCGCCGGGCTACACGATGAGCTTCGGCAACGCGCTCGCGCGCACCTTGGATTACCTCATCCTCCTCCTCATCGTGCCCAAATGGATCCTCCGTGTCGTTCCCATCAAGCACGCAAAGGTCGCCGTCGAAGCCGAGAGCAACTTCGTCGGCTACCTCAACCAGTTCTTGCAAGAGAAGATCGATGACGTGCGCAAGGGGAACAACAGCGGAGAGCAGGGCCTCGACATCATGGGCTCGCTCGTCCGCACGAGCTACGGAGACGGCGCGGCAGAGGGATCCGCGCCGGGGACGACCACCTCGGGCGGCAAGAAAGGTGCGCAGGTCGCGCGGCTGACCGACTCGGAGATTATCGGCAACGCCTTCGTCAACATCGTCGCGGGCCACGAATCGACGGCAAACGTGCTGCACTTCGCACTCGTCGAGCTCGCGACGAACCCGGCCTCGCAGCGGCGGCTACAGCGCGATGTTGACACACAGCTCGGGGGCACGGATCCTAGCACGTGGGACTACGATGCCGAGATGAACCGGCTCCTCGGATCGATGGTCGGCGCCGCTATCAACGAGACGTTGCGCCTCGTGCCTCCCGTGGTCGACATCCCGAAGATGGTCTCGCCGACACAGGACCAGCCCATCACGATCGCCGGCGTGCGCCACATGCTCCCGCGCGGGTCGACGGTCGGCCTCGCCGTCATCGCCGCGCAGCGGAACCCGCAGTACTGGCCGACGAAGCCGAGCAAGGTCAGCGACGCCGAGACGGACATCGACGACTTCGTGCCGGAACGGTGGCTCCAGATCGACTCGACGGCGGCCACGACGACGACGGCGGTCGAGGGTGCGGACACGGAGGACTTTGGCGGGTACGCGGGCTCGGACACGAGCGCGCAGCTGTACCGGCCACCGCGCGGGGCCTTCATCCCGTTCTCGGACGGGGCGCGGGCGTGCCTGGGGCGGCGGATAGCGATCGTGGAGCTGGCGTCGGCGCTGGCGGTGATCTTCCAGCGGTACAGCGTCGAGCTCGCGGTGGACGAGTGGGCGAGCGACGACCAGGTGGGCGCGATGAGCCGGGGCGAGAAGGCGGAGGTGTACGGGCGGGCGCAGCAGCAGGCGCGCGAGGTGGTGCAGAGCGCCACGAGCCTCATCACGCTCAAGCTGCACGGGAACATGCACGTGCCGGTACGGCTGGTGCGGCGGGGCGACGAGAGGTTCGTGGATTGGGTCGACGCGTGACGTGCATGCAGGGTGGGAATATCCGGGAATGGGGAATACGAAAATAAAATGTACTCTATAGCAAGGCCACATGTAGGCTCGAGGCTGAGCTCGTGCGAGGCCTAGTTGCCTGTATACCGAGTGGAATAATACACGTTCGTAAATGCCTTCAAGAGACCCCAGGGCATCTAGGGGTGGTGGCTATTGGCCGGGAAAGGAGAAGGCTGCCAAGGCTGCCTTCCCGGTGCTACCATTCGTAGGCGATTACAGTATCGACTCCCGCTCTTCCTCGTCGGATTGACCCTTAGGCCCTCCTAGAGCCGTCGTAGGGTAGGTGCTGTGTCGATCTCAGCATAGGAGGCGGAGGTAAACTAGGTACGTGGTCAATTAGCGAGTTAAAAAAAAAAGCGGTGGCTACGAAAAGTCCAGGTTTGTGATCTCGGCGGCGCGTGGGAGGCATCGCACCGGGTCGTAATTCGTAGTGCGGACGAGGAGGAACGCGGCCGCGTGTTGACGATGCCGAAACGCCTAAGCTATCCAGCCTCGTCTCCGGTAACACTAGGCTGTTTCCACCTAGCAGACGTGCCGCCGGTGGAGGAGGCGGCTGGTCGAAACGGCGCAGGGGAAATGCCCAAGCAGGCATCTCGTATCGTTGCTGATAATGAGTGAGATAGCAGCAACATGGCGGTAGGCAGGTAGCTACCTCCTAGGTGCATGGCTACCTACCTAGGTCAATACGGCCAGCAGGGGGGCAGAGGCAAAGGCAAGGTCAACGCTGCCAGCCGCTTTGGATGGGGTGATTTCTATGGGCCGAATGGCCTCAAGGGAAGAGAAACAAAACGCAACCCATTTGGCGCTGCGAGCAACTAGACGACGTTCACAAATCGTGTTCTCGTTGTCGATTTGCCGAATCTTGGGCAGGCTATGGGACTGGCTCCACCTGCCAGCACCATCGCTCTGCTACGTAGTACCTACGTTCATGTACCTAGGTACCCAGATAGGGAGCCAATGTTGGGTACCTGTACCTATGGACCAGGGCCGGGCAGATGTACCTGCGTACCTAGGTATATATGTAGGTACATCCAACGTGGGACATAACTGTCGTCGCTTGCCTTCCATCGTATGGGGGTGTGTGTGGGAAAGGCAGGTAAGGTGCCTACTGTGTTATGTACCTAACAGGATAAGACTCCACTGAGTGACATTATCACGGCACACCAGGTACAAGGAGCAGGAGTATCCAGATACCTGACGTAGGGAACCCTATGGGTATAGGCTAGGGATACCTGTAGGTACCCAACCCCAGGTAGGTAAGGTAGGGATACGTGGATGGCGCCTTGTTCCCAGCTGGCAGTTCGCAGCGTTGGCGTTGGAGAGGGCCGCAGGAGAGAGGGCCGCCGTTGAGATGGGGGCTTCCCGCAATCTGCACGTCAAGACTGGGCAGAGCAGGACGATGAAGAAAAACATAAACAACCACCAACCCTCACCTAGCACACCACACCGCCGCGCGCCGGCCTTTCCCCTCCTCCCCTGGTTCCCCATCAACCAACCCGGCCACTAGAACAACAACGCACACCCACGTCTTCGACAATCCCCAAACACATATGTACAACTCCCAGCCTCTTCCCTCCCACCACACCACCTAACACCAACCGCCAAACCCGCCTCTTTCTTGACGTTGTCGTCAATCGCCGTCGCCAGCCACAACATAGACATCCCCAGTCCATCTCGGGCCGTCTACTACCCGTCTCGTAGACAGCATTGCATCCCCCGCCGCATACTCCGCGCGACATCGTCCGTCTACCGACCCATCGCCGCACCCACCCACACCATGTCCGGCGCCAACAGCTGGCTGCAGAGGCAGCGAAAGACCGATCTGGCTGAGCTTGCTCAGCACACAGGCCTCAAGAAGTACGTACGAAATGCCATTTAATTCGAGCTGTGGTGGGGGAGTTTTTTTTTTTTTCATATGCCTCGGGTGACAATTCTGTTTCTGTCACGTCGTCGCGTGATCCTGTCCTCTCCTTCTGCGCCTTGGTAAGCGCGACGTAAGGGGAGCAGCAGCACAGGATAGGATGGGACGCGGCACGCGGCACGCGATGACGGGTGCGCATATGATGTTGTAGGATGGAGGAAGTCCAAAGTGACATCCATCTTCGTCGAGACCGCCAGCCGCCTGCGGGGCCCCGGAATCGCGGGACGGCTAGCCTGGCGACGTCACCCTGCTTTGTTATCCCCAACACAATGCGCGAGGGTACATGGCTAACTGCGATTTCCTCCTTGTTCGCGCGCGCAGCTACGAATCCTTCAAGAAGACCGAGCTCGAGCTAGCCCTCGACGAGTACCTGGCCGAGAACGCGTCGACCTTCTCGGCCGACCCCAAGCTCGCCAACTACTACTCGACGCGCGCGAGGACCACCGGCTCGCCCCTCAAGAAGGACGTCGACGCCCCGCCCGAGAAGCTCAAGGTCTCGCGCCGGCGGACCATCAAGGCCCCCGAGGACCTAGCCCCGCCCGAGTAAGTCGAGCCGTCGCGTCGCGTCGCATCGCGCGCTGAGAGCTTTGCGACCGAGGCAAAAGGCCCGGGCCCCTCCCCCGCCCCCGCGCCTTTGTCTGTCCGCGCCCCCCCTCCCCTCGGGGGGCCCTCCTCCCCCCGCGCGCCTGGCTAACACCCGCGGTGGTCTCTCTCGCAGGTCCGAGGACGAGCCCGCGAGCGCTTCGTCGGCCGTCGCGCGCACGCCCGGCCGCGCCCTCTCGCTCGCCAGCCGCATCCCGCTGCCGGCGACGCCCGCCGACGTCGCCGAGGCCGTCGACCGGTCGACGGTCGCGGTGCGCGCCCACGTCGCGTCGCTGTACCGCGAGTCGGGCATCTCGGAGGCGACGCGCGCGACGCGCGCCACCCTCTCCACCGTCGGCTCCGTCGTCGCCGCCGTCTCCCTCTTCGAGCTCTACTTCCTGCGCCCCGAGGTCCTCCCCGACCGCTACGCCTTCACCGTCCCCGCCGTCGCCTTCCTCGGCACGCCCGACTACCCCGTTTTCGTCCCGGACCTGTTCCTGCTGCTGAGCGCCTCCTTCTGGTCGCCCGCGCTGCTGTGGGCCTTCACCAGCGCCGTGCTGCCCGCCGCCGCCGGCTACTTCGTCAACCTCGGCAGCGGCGCGCGCGAGGGCGGCCGCGCGCCGCCATCCCGCACCACGCGCGCCGCTACCAGCGCCGCCTCCGCCGCCGCCGCCGCCGCCGCCGACGCGGCCGTCGACCCGCTCGCCTTCAGCATCGCCAAGGCGCTCATCTCGTACGTCGTCTACGGCCAGGGCGCGACGTTCGGCGGCTGGATCAGCGCCGCGGCCATCGCGCGCGTCGACTCGGCCGTCTACGGCGGCTACCGCGGCGTCCTCGTCGGCGCCGCCGTCACCGGCGTCCTGAGCATCTACGACGCCGTGCTCAAGAAGTAGCAGAAAAATTGTATAAAGCGGGCGAGGCCGGGGCCGGTCGGGATCGAGCGAGCGAGACAGAGCGAGAGAGCATAACCAAGAAAACAAAAAAAAAAAAAAGCAACGGGAATCCCGACGGACGGACACGTGTAGATAAAACCCCCGCCGCGCACGGCTCCGGCCTGCGGGCCCTGCCCCTTTCTCCACCTTCCACACTCCCATCCTTGTTCTCTCTTCTAGTTGCTCTCCTCGAGAGGCGACGGAGGTGAGGAAGAAGGAAGAGGCAAAAAAAATTGGATCGATATTTTCCACGTTTTCCTTCACTCTCGTTCTCGCGGCCGGGCCGGCGGGGTTGGGGAGGGGGGAAGGGGGGGGGGCGACGCTCTGGCAGACGGCGTTCGGGCGGCGTTGGGGGCGGCCGGGGGCCGGTTCGCGGTCGGTGACGGTGACGGTGACGGTGGCGTTTTTTTTTTTTCTTTTCTTTTCTTTTCCTTCCCCCTTCTCTTTTCTTCTCGGTTTGGTGCAGTCTTCTTCTTCGCCTTGGTTGATACCTCCCGTCCCTCTCCCGTCCCTCCACCTTTTTTTCCTTTTCTCTTCAAATACGGGGGGGAGCGCAATTCCCCTTCTCTCTCTCTTAGCGCCCCCGGCTCCCGGACGCAGAGGTCGGGTCGTGGCATTTTCTGCGCGGCCCGGGGGCGGGGAGTTTTGTTATTGCTTTTCTTTTCTTTTTCTTTCTTTTCTCCTTTTTGTACCACCCCGCCGCCCCTGTCACAGCAGAATCCGGCGCCCTAGTTCCTTGTTTTTGTTTATTTTTCTTTCCCCCCCCCCCCCCCTGGATTGTTTATTGCACGCGACGACGTGGCTCGCCGAATGCTGGATGTTGATAGTGTTTTTTTTGGGGGGGGGGGCTTTTTTTTGGCACGACTTTGCTGCCCTCTTGGCCGCTGTCGCGAAGCAATGTGCGGAGTGCACGTGGGCGCGTCTGGATAGGTGCGCCAGTCGGGGACGAAGGAGAGGTGCGGGAGCGGAGTGGGCAGGTGGACGGAGAGGCGCGAGGGGTCTGTTTTTTTTTTTTTTTTTGGCTGTCCGTCCGGAGCAGCGGGTGCTCGGATATCAGCCGGCGCGGCTCTGTGTCGCGCTGTCTCTAGGCCCGTACGCTGCTCCGCCTCCGGGGGGAAAGGGAGGGAAGGAGAGAGATTAGATATTTAGAGGAGGGGCACGACGTCGCTAATAGGGTCCGCGCGGGCGAGTCTGTCGAGCCGCAGCGGACGGGCAAAGACGCGCGCGAGGCGCGAAGTGGGCGACGAGCCGGGCTGGTGTAGACAGCCCCGTGCGTGTGGCGCCGGGCCATGTACACAGCCGTAGCATACGGCGTGCCGTGAGGACTATATTTACAAGCTGCTTTCCCGACTACCGCGTTCCATCCCAGAGCCTTGGCTGCCGTCACCTGATCGTGAGTTTGCCGCACCGTGTCCCCTTTGTCCTGCCCATCGCGAAGTTGTCCTCGTCGCTATGTCTCCCAGTGTCCAGAATCCAGGAAGCTATGTAGTAGGTGCGCACATAGAGCCGTGCTCCCCCTCGGCTGGCTTCTCCTCTTCTCGCCCTCGAGCGGTCGTCCGTCAGCCAGTTAGGCCGGACCCTGCCCCGCCAGCAGCAGCAGAGCGTCCTCCTGTTCGCCTCACCACTACGCTTGTTCTTCCTACATCCAATCTGCAGTCTCGAGTTTAAGTAGCTCCGGAGTACCCCTAAGAGTAATAGGTTGCAATACAAATGGTCTTTGCTTAGCATTATCTATCATGGATGTACTGAGAATCACACGCTCAACTTCTCAGCGCATTACATGATGCCCGACATTGAATTTTGTCTACCTAATGTAATAGCGCTAGAAGCGCGGAGCCACAAAAGATATCTATGTGTGTGTGCGTATAAAGCAGTCAAAATAGGAGAATACCGAACTCCTCGCATGCGAACGCCCCGAATACGCCTCGACGTATGCACGGTACTCTGTACCAGACGTCACGGGTTTCCCTAGACCCTCTCTCCTGCCATCTCGTGATTCCCCCCGCCCCTTTCTATATATTCGTCTGGGCGCCACGGCTATGGCTACGCTTGTACTTGTAGGGCCTTCGGCCACTTTCATCTTATCCTCCGCACATATTACGATTACAATTACTTTATTCCTGCTCCGCAGGGTTCTCCCACTTGATAGGGTGTACCAGCATGCTACGTAAGCATAATCTCCCAGAGCTATTGGGATCTTCCTCCTCTTCTTTCCCGCCTCGTCGGGTGCCTTCGCCGGCACGGCCGCCATTCTCGCCTCTGCCATCCATTTGGGCGTAGCCGAGCCAGCGACGCCATAGAAGGCCCGCGAATTCGCTGTTATAATACCAGCTTGTTCCCTTGTGGTTATGTTCATTTGTGAGATCGAAAGGGGAGCCGTGACCGCCCGAGGTATGGCCCCGGCCGCCGTTGAAGGCTTTATCAATCTCCTCCTTGGGCCACCTACGGTCCAGATAGACGGGATGCGGAGCGTAGACAGCCTTCAAACCATGGTGCAAAGCCATAGAGGCCGGGAACATCTCGCTAAACATGCTGTGATGAAGACGCCACGTCTCCTCGTGCATCACACCCAGCAGACGGCGGGATAATCGAGAAGCAGTCACAATAGCGCACCGGCGTGGCGGCTTTTCGAGCTGTGTATTGTAGCCCGTCACGTCTCCGGCAAAGACCCACCCGGACTCGTCAGCGTCAAACAGCGGATTCAGCGTGATCAGATCCGCCTCTTCGCCGACACCACACTGTTTCACATCGGCGCCACTCGCGCAACTTCGCGGTAAAAAGACTGCGTCCTGCTCAAGGCTGGCCTTCCCGGGGAAGTATACCGGGCCTAAAATTGGCCGCAATCCGGACGCCAAGGTCTCCCGGTGGGCGAGCTCGCTAAAGCTCTCCCAGCTTCCGTGTAGTTCGGGGATATAGTATTTGCTCGAGCGCTCCCATATGCCGTGTCGGCTTTGCTTGGCGCCCCACTTTCCTAGACGATCGAATAGCTCGTAATACGATCCGGTCCAGCGCATATCCATCTCCCAGTTCCAGAAGTGAGCATATTCGGGATGCGTCATCGCAAAATGCTGAAGGGGCATATGGGCGGATCGATAGACGCCGTGGATATCCCCGTTGGATGGGTTCTCGAAAGTGTCCCCAAAGTTGCCTGGATAGTACAATCTCATTTGGGCCTCGGACCATAGGGTGCACAGCCCGTGGAACTCGCGTGGAACGTTGTCGTCGAGAATTCTCTGCACCGTCCCCGGGTCTGCCCAGATGGGTGCGTTGTTGTCGCGGACGTGTAGGAGAAAATGGACGTCATACTCGCCGCCCGACTTTAGGTTGACCTCGTTTATCAGGGCGCGGAAATTCAGGAGTGAGTGGCTCGTCCACTGGAATCCGACGTAGGTGCGTATTACAACGGCGATCCGGTCCATCCGTTTGCGGCCCGACCGTGCCAACTCAAAGTCTCGAGTTGCATTGCCAGTAAAGAAACGACCTTCGTTGGCTTTGGTACACATCTGCTGCGCATCTACCCAGTTGACGCCGTCGTAATTAATCCTTCCACCTTTCTCCCAGACCGTGTCGCTGCCTTCACGTTCCGTGTCGAGAGCTTGGCCAATTCCACCAAGCTCAAAGTCGTATCCGAGACCGTATGGACCATACCGCCCAAAGCGATCAAAGCAAACATCTTCTCGCAGGCCGAGAAGGTCATAGGCTCCGAGAGCCGCCTTTGGCTGGCCCTGAGGGATGCCTCTGTACGCGTAAAGATCAGGAGCGGGGATTTTCCTCTCTGGGTCGATGTAGCATCGTTTTACGGGCACATACGTCCTCTGGTACTCGTCGGAATCGTAGTCCGGATGAGGACGATAGATGCTAGGCTTGGCAATCTTCGCATGGTGAGTAGGTGGTGTGCTAGGTGGTGTGCTAGGTGGTGTGTGATCTGGCTGCCGAGTCTCGGGATATTCAGGCATATACTGTGAAAACGGCACGACTTCTCTCAAGCCGTTGTAGTATCCATCGAGGCTACAGTCATCATTAGCAACTTTGAAGTCGGATCACACGTGTAAGTTTTCATTCAACTTACTGCCTATACCTCAGCCAGTGCGGTCCGTTTATATTTCCCTCTTCCTCTCCTTGCGTTGGCTTGTCTATCTCACCACCCGGCTGCTCCGTCTCTACGCCCTCCGGGGCATGGGGGGGATCTTGGTGTTCGTTTTCTTGTCTCTGTAAACCTACATTTTCAGGAGGCTCGGTGCTTTTGATCCGGACTTTACCCCCATCAATGAAGTCTAGGACATCACGAGGTGGCCCCGCCAACCGGGGATTGAAGACGGTAACCGCGAGGACGAAAACGATCAGGATCGTCCATACCACCACCCGTCTGTAGAGACAATGGCCAAGCAAGGTCTTGAGTCTGAACTTTGATTGCGGCTTAGTAGTGACGGGGAGGTATGTCTCGTTCTTTCGAGAGACGAAACTTGGAAACGAGCCCGACTTTCGGGGCACGTAGGCAGAGAGCTGGTCCATATTCCACAGGTGGCTCCGAATTGGGAATCTCAGGTGAGGAGATCGATGCTCGGCATCGAAAATTCCAACATCCCAATATTATGCCTCCGTAGATGTGGGAAGTGGCGCTATCCCTATGTGCTGACCACCCACTGGCTGCCGGATGGCGGAGAGGAACTGACGAGGGAGAATACCGCTTGTCGGCCCCAGAGATAGCGATCGGACGAAGCTAACTACGGTGCTGTTCGTCTCACCATTGGAATATTAAACAGTTCGGATATGCTGAGAGTAGAGGAGTGGAGGGCGGCAAAGAGACGAGCGGGCGATTCTAGGCGTGTTATTAAAGAAGACGAGTTTTGAACAAATGCCGAGGCGAGGAAGAGTGGTCTCCTCAAACATAAATTGTGAACCGAATTGTGATGGTTGAAGACAGTGGGGATGAAACCAGCCCACGACGACGCTGCCAATGGTGCTGTCGATGCAGCCGGCTGCCTTTCGTTTGATGAAACAGTATGGTTCGTACAACGGATCGTGGGCTAGAGGAGCTTCCTAGCGCGGAAGCAATGGCACAGGAGAGGCCGCAAGTGAAGATGGACAGACGAGAAGGGAAGAAGCGAAGAGAAGAGGGAGGGAGAGAAAAAACGAGAGCAGTAGTTGGTGCTTGTGCGATGAGCAGAAACCAGGAAGAGCCGGGGATGGTTTGCTTTGACTCGGATGCGAGTTCCAATCGCAGCTGGGTCAACTGGGGAAGGATGGCACAACAAGGGACGGCAATAGCAAGTTGAGAGTTGAGATCAGAGATCAGAGAGCGGTACCTGCCGGGTTGTACCTGGTTCCGTTTCTGCCTCTGCGGCCAGCGCTGCTTCTCTCGCCCCTGTTGCCGTCCCTCCACGTTCTCTTAGGTCGCACCTAGTATGGGACAGCTCGCGAAGAAAAAAAGGGGGGGGTGGAGGGTTGGGGTTAAGATTAGAACAAAGGGGGCGTGGGTGTGGGCGGTCGATCGTCTTGGGAGAATACGCATTACACAGATACCTATGTGTGTGTGCGTGGGTGTCTGGCGGGCATGTGGTAGGTATACTCACCACCACCGAAGCCAGTTCTGCTCCGACGGGCTGCTTCTCTTTATGGTGCCGAGACGGTGATGCCACCCTAACCCTCGATCCCGGCCGGGACTGCTTCGACGCGACTTTGGCATGCTGGACGAAATCCAGCGGTCGCAACGCTCTCGGCATCGCCCAGCATCTGGCTGCGCGTCCAAGGCTACATGCCTCAGTCTATTCCCAAAGGGTGGTGTGCGGCGTCGTACCTGGGTATGACGAGTCGACCATCTGTGCGTGTGCCATGCGAGCCCGCCACCAGGCAGGTACCCTAGGTACGGCACATAACGGGGTCCAGCTAGACCCGTCCGTCTAATAGAGGTAGGTTTTTAGTAGCCGGAGCAGGCCTTGGCTGGCGGAGACGATTGGAATGGAACGCTAGGTACCTTAGGTACCTGTATTTCAAGATCACGTTAGGTTAGGTTAGGTACCTGCACCTCTTCAACTCACGTTTCAGCGCCTGTATTGGTACATGAGTGCCAAAGTACCGGACGCAGGTACCTGCCCTATCTCGTCTCCGAGGTGGGAGGTAGTCACGTTAGGTTGGCTTTAATCCTGCAGATACCGGCTGACGTCTATTATAGGTACAGTATAGAAAACTCGAGGAAACTGGCCCGGTACCTGTCTATGCGTTCAGTGATGAGGCTTCCAGGTAGGGCACCTGTCGCCAAGCGCCAAGAGCAGGCATGTACGGGGAATAGGGGGGGAAGGGAGGGAATCCCACCGCCAGGGCTCCTATATGCAGGCTCGACGGGGCCGGGTCCAGGACGCTCCATGTTTTGCCGCCGCACCTAACGTTACAGAAATTGTTCTAGGCCGAGTAACGTTTATTACGAACGGTCGTCGACGACAGACGGGCAAGTCATCGGAAACACGCATTGAATGCACTGCCACCCTCTTAGCAACTCGTCTGGTTCTACTGGTTAGCAATATTTACGTACTATCGACAACTTCCAAGTTTTCACCAACTCGCGTTGTTTCATGAAAGATGGAACCCTCTGCCCATCGCCTACCTGCGTAGGTAAAGTCTCCTGTTAGTTTCCATCTATTCTCGCTCTCTGTTTCCATTGCCTGCGCCTATGCATACCTAGGTATCTCGGCGTGTGCCTCCGTGCCTAGGTAGAGGTAATTCTGTCAGGCACGTAGGTAGGTATACCTTTTCTACGGGTAAGTAACATCGTGAGGTGCGCCTCCTCATCTCCTTGAATCGCTCCAGCGTTGCACGGTCGGCAACGTGAAGATGGACAATTGCGTCTGTCGAGGTTGTTCGCTCTACTACCCGGAAGTAAGACAACGAACACAAAAAACTGATACGGTGTATTCGACTCTCTCTCTCCTCCCCCCCCCCCCCCTTCTCTCTACCTTTGATACAAATCCCACTTGATATTAGGTATAGAATACTCCGATGGCTAGGTATTCAACGCAATTCATAAACTGTATAAAAATAAAGGATGTCTTATCTCGAAAGGGGCGAACACGATCAATAGGTTATCGCACTCGCATACCTACACAGTTATACACGTAGAGATGCGGATGAAAATAAGGCATGGATCGAATTCGGCCTGCGAGGCTGCCTGTTGCAAAGCCCGGACGAGTTGCGAAGGCAATGATCGGCACACCGGTAGCATTTGCTAAGATTGCACGGCTGCCAAGTTCCTGGAAGGCTTTCCCGCTTCTGCCAAGCAAGAGCGCGCGCACGCCTCGAGGGGGGCACAGGATCTGCCAGGCCATCGCCAAGGACGCACGACGTGAGATCCAACATGAGACAAAATGGATGAGCGTACTTTGGTCAGATTTGTCTGCTTCCGGGCCTCTCCACGGATGCCCGAATTGTGTTCGAGACTCTAGGTCAAGGGGAAATGTCAGGAAGTTTAGTAGGTACCTAGGTATAAAGGTACCCAACCTAGACACCTGAGGTAGGTAATAAGGCGGGTAGGTACCTAATGCAGCCTTTAGAACATCTTCAGCGGGTACCTAGAAGAAACTCACAGCGCCCTCAGCTTTTATACAGGTACCAAATGTAGTGCCTTCAATAGGAGCTTAGGCAGGTATTCACGATATATCTAATTGTATGTATTGCCTCCAAGCTTATACATAAATAGGCGCTCATGTAGCAGCCGCCTCGCGGGTCTCGCTTTTACAGGCATAAGGAGGACACTTCAGCTGCAGGGTACTGGGGTTCTGACCTGACCACCTTCGAGCTTGCGTATTTCGCCAATTACCTAAAACCTCCCCTCCCAACCCGCTTGGAAACACTTCTACCCACCCTCCTTTCTTCTATTCTTACGCCGGCGCGATAGCTGGTATCAATTATATAAACTCTCTTTTCAGCCTTCGATCCTCTAGGGGGAATATTTCGCAACATACGCTACTTCTGTCAACCACCTCGTACCAGTGGGCACACATTTGCGCGGAGTCCCCCCCCCCTTCCCCTCCTCCTCCCTCTCTCAAGGCCACTCAGCCCAAGGGTGCCCGCGCAATGTAGCTACATTCAAGCTCTAAACCCAAGGATAATAGGTGGATGCTAAGGACGTACCGAAGGTTATAGCTGCCCATGGGACACGCAGGTTCCAGAGCATCCCGCCCGTCGCTGCACCTACGTAGGTACGACACGTCTCCCCAGCGTGGGCTTCTTCAGCTATCAAACCTAAGTGATCTCCGAGCTCCGGGAACTAAGCGATGGCACCTAAGCCAGAACCTCGGCCGCTTCCCAGACAGCAATGTTCTAGCCGCCTGGTCGTCTCGAGGCCGCCCGAGATTACTTCCGCTGATGGATATCGGTATACATAGTAAGTGGCAAAAGCCACTTACTATGTAGGCCATACGTATCTCGGTATCCTCAAATGTACCTAAGATGAGAGCGTGTAGCGGTGTCGCGTCCTCGGAATCACGACCGATACGGGGAATCCGTCTAGGGTGATCGGCGGCGATGACGTCGGGTGATTAATGCATATGCTAGTGCGTGAACATCTTTATTTAGCGACACACCGGCCTCATCAATCATCCGTCCGGTGTTCGTTCTGCAGGGGGGAGAGTGGGAACGGCTGCCCCGCAGATCAGTCCACGGCCGCGGAAGAGCAGGCCTGTGATGGCGATCTCTACGACTCTGCTGCACTTCCGATCCGTCTGATAGCTGCCCGCAGCGTCCGGTCCGCTAGACGATGAAACAGTGTGCGTACCGCAATCCCGGAATTGTTTCATGCGTACATTGCGACGGGAACGGTCGCCCACTCCGCTGTTACTATTTTATTTCTGGCCACTGTGAGAGGGGCAATGTTATTTACTATGAGATAACATCGCCTGGGCCTGAGAGGTTAGTACACGATGACGTCCCCATGCGTTGATGTCGGTAGGACCCTATTACGGCATCAGGTCGGCAAGAAAGTCGAGTCTTACCGTCCACGAACATCATTGGATGGTCGTAGGATGTGGTGCAAGATCTGACGAGCTCTAGACAAATTTTCTGTTCAACCATCAACGGTTAGCACTGCATATGCCGACCGCACAAGTCATGCCGTGCAACTGCCGCACACTACTACTACCTACCACTACGTATCACCGCGCGGAGACAGATCGCCTATCACCTAAGTGACCGACAGGTGGGAAAAGGGGGGGACCTGGCGGAAGTAGAGGTGACGAGCATCGTGGCAAGCTAGCATGTGGTACGCCGTGGTTGGAAGCCGATATATCTAACAAGGATTGATGCTAACACAGCCTAGAGATAGCGGTAGACACGTCTCTTCACGTACTCGTCATCCTCATTCCGATAGGTATGTCTCCCAGGGCGTTGTGGGAATATGAATACCTAGATATTGTTATATGCTGTATATGCTACCTCTAAAGCAACAGGCTCATCTTCGGCGGAGCCGCTATTACCTATCCTGATGCTCTGTTGCTGTAAGCCGCCTATTAGATCGATTTAATCGTCGACGAGTCCCGAGTTTTCCTGACGGCCCGCGATCGGCGCGCCCCTTTTCAGGATTGGCAACATTTTCTACATACGTACCAGAAATCGCGCCTCATTTCAGACTTCTTCTTTCTTTCTCTCGTGTGCATCGGGCACCTTTGGCGAGCCTTGCTGGCCGGAATTGTTCGCGCCCTTACCACTGGCGCCATTTCCGCGCAGGTTTTCATCCCTAGCCAGACCGCTGTTCTTCTCTGCGAAAATCTTCTTGGTGGCACGCCTCCTTCTTTTGGCGTCTACCGTCGCTCGCCAGCCTCTGCCCCATCGGATGGATACCCACGCGCAAACCGTACCCGTAAAGACGAATAGCGCGCTGATGGTGGAGAACCAACCGACCCCAATGCCGTTGATGGCCGGGAGGACCACGGCCGTACCCACGCAGGCGAGGAGGTAGCGTATCGCGTAGTTTCCGGCGATGACTTCTGCTCCACGGCCCGGCATCACATCGAGGCAGTATGTGTTGAGCGACGGGAAGCAGAATAGCTGCGCCACCCCTTGTAAGAATAGCACCACGACGGTCAGCGGGATACCGCCGACGTTCTTCTCCACTGACCAGCCATAGATCAGAATGCAACCGGGGATAACGATTCCCATGAAGGGAAGAGCCGAGTACATGCGATCCTCGGGGATACGCACGCCCCGCTTTTTGATATACTTCTTGACCACGTAGTCCGCGTATCGCCCCCCGATGAACGTGCCAACCAGATAGCCACAGCCCGGTGCGAGGTAGAATAGGCCTCCCTGCATCGGCGTTGTGAGGTTGTATCGGGGGTTCAGGACGTACCGGATGGGCGTAAGTAGGCTGTACATATTCCAGACGAGGGAGGCGCTGGACATTCCGGTGAGGAGCAGGTTTGGATATTCCCAAAGCAGCACCACGCGCCAGGGGTTGATCATGCCGAGCAGCACCCTCGCCTTTGCTACGCCGCTGTAGCCGACAAGATCATCCATCTTCTTGTGATAGATCGTCTCCGGCAGCAGGAAATACGATCCGACGGCTGCGACGCCGGCCAACCCCGTCTGCAACCAGAATATTACCCTCCACGACGTGAACGTCACTATAATGCCCCCAATAAAGGGGCCAAAGGCCGGTCCCACGAGCGTCCCAGACATGAACCAGCCTGTGGCCGTCCCACGTTCGGTAGGACGGTATATATCACTGTTTTTTCGTTAATAAACCGACCGACTACTGACCACCGGCTACGAGCTACGTGCAGTTATCATCGTAGTAGAGGAAAGTGCTTCGGGACAGAAGGAGGTGAGAAAGAGATGGCTAACCCGATAACTGCAGCACCGACCAAAATAAAGGAGGTACCTTCGAACGCGGTGAGGAGACGGAATACGAAAAAGGCGCCCAGATTTGGGGACAGAGCTGTGCTCATACTGCACAACAAGAATCCGATGGACGTCACAATTGTAACCTTAATCTCACATATGTCAGCTTGCGGACGCAGGTCGTACTGCACGTACCTTATCCACCTGAGTCTATCGACTGGGAACTTCACCAAATACTATCACGCCCCAGGACAGGTTACAGGAGGCGAGAAGCAGGGAGGCGAAAGAAAGGAGAAGGGGACATAGGTGAACCTCACCATTCTGCGGCCGTAAACTTGGCTCATCGGGCCCCAGAACATGGGGGATAGGCCCATGAACAGCATGTAGAAGGCGTTGACGAGGTTGACGATGGAGCCGGTGGTGCCGTACTCGGCGGCGATCTCGGGCGTCGCCGCGAGCACGGAGGTGCTAGAGATTGGGGCAAGGAAGGAGCAGAAGGAGAGTAGGAGCACGATGACGAGCTTCCGGTGGGGGGGCAGGCGGTCGTACATCTCATCCGGGATCTCGACCACGGAGCTCATCGGCTCCACCGGCATGTCCGGCCCTAGTGAGTGGTTCGTCGAGCATTGTTCGAGGCGGTCCACACCGCCGACTTCGTCCGCGTTGGCCGGGCGGATCGAGCCCGAGTCTATCGTGTCATCCGAGCGGGTGGATAACGAACTCCTCGCGGGGGAGTGTTCTCTAGGCCCCGGAAGCCGTGCCTGGCCAGCGTCGGCACCGGCGGCTTCCGGGTGCGGGTCGGCACCCTTGGGCTCGGACATCGGGAAAGGGGAGGATGTAGCCAGGAAGGGAGCCCTAGGCGACTACGTAGGTGGGCGGGTAGGCGGATAGATGCTATAAACGTAAAGGTTGCAGGGACGACCTGTACATCATAGTAGGGAATAACACACAGAATCTTGACAGGGTTGAGAGGAGAAAGAGAAGGAATAGCCGTGAGGCTTCACAACGGGCCTAGCTGGCGATTTTTTTATGACAGAAAGACTATCGGAACCAGAAGCCACAGCAGCACTTGGACACAAGTCTCGTGAGGAACGGGTGTGACCCGAAAAGGGAGGGGCGGAAACAACGTGGTGTTTATTATATCCGGTGAGTGCCGGGCCGGAGAGGTAACAGATGAAAAGGTAGAGAGGAAAAGGGGGAAACGGCCGCGAGAATAACTTCATATTATAAGGTAGGGAAGTCCAACGAGTTACGTATGAAACAACGACCTCCCCCCCAAAACCTAGACAAGAGCCAAAAGGGGGGACCAGGGGAGAAATCACATTCCCATGTAAGCCTTAGCCAATCTGCTCTCTAGCAATGGCAATAATAGCATCGATAACGACATACACGCACCTACATACTAACAGACATGCATTGTGGGCTGTATTGGAATCCCGTCGCTTTTGCCTCAGTCACCCACCGCTGTCCGTGTCCCATGTCTTTCTTGTCTTGGCCTTTTTTTCTTCTCCCCTTCTGGTCCTGGTGTGGCTACATGGGCACAATCCATGTTCCCGTCCCGCCCCTATCTGGCCAACCCATCGCCAGGGAACGCCGGCACCGGATTGGACAGCACTGGACGGACCCGCGCCGAGGATCGGGGGGGTTGAGGAACCTGGGCCGAGCTTGGCCCGATGCGGCATGGGCGGTGGTTTTCTGCCCGCTGGCTGACAGCTGGGCGACACGCCGGCGGGGACCCGGTTGGGCGACGGGAGAGAGAGACGAGATGGACGAACCTGAGGACCGTCTTATCTGCCTGCGCAACTCTGCAGAGGCATGCAGGCCGGCTACGTAGGCATTTACTGCATTTACGGCGCGCCATACAGAGGCCTCCCCGTCCAGGCGATGTACCGTTAGAGAAAGAAAGAAAGAAAAAAAAAAAAAGAGGCGGGATTGCACACATAATAAGGTAGGTAGGTATTACGTGTCGGCCCGGGCGTTGCAGCGTCGACAGCTGGGACCTGTCCCCATTCGGTGACGCATCTCTTCTCTTCTCCACACTTACTAACAATACCGTAACTTACGTACGCGTGTGCATGCTCGCAGACTTTGACGCTTGGACTGGCGGCCGCGATTTCTCGCCCCCGTTGCGTGACCAGGGGAGACGGAGGTTATGGGTTTGTATTTATTGATGTTCTCTCCTCCCTTCTCCCTCCTTCTGTCTCTCCCGCTGTCCGCGAAGAATAGGGCTGGATGTCGCCAACGGCACCCCGTCGAGATAATACCAAGAGGGATGATATACCGCCTCGAGTAGAGCGGGCGAAATGCCGAGGTTGCTATCTACCTATCATCACCTCGCCCGGGGAGGCCGGCGCTTTTCGGCGGCGGTGAAGGGCGAGATGGGGCCGCCGCTCCGGTGCCGCAGGCTCCCTTTCTGGCTTAGAGCTTAGCGATGGGGCTCTTATAGGTGCACGTAGGCCAATGGCGAACGTCGTAATAGGCAGGTTGACCTTGCTTAATCTCTCTCTCTCTCTTTTTTTTCCCGCCCTCCTACTTTGCCATCCCCCTGCCCTGCTTGTCGCTGCTGGCGCTGGTGGGTTAACTCGATGCGGTCGGTCGGACGTCTTGTCGGGATTTACACGAGATTAACTGGGTCTCTCGATGGCCCGTCGCCATAATCCGCCGTAGGATCGGCAGCTAAAACTGCACGACCGCGTTCACGGCCTCCGTTGCCGCTGCGATGGTGACTCCCAGTGCCATGTAAGGAGTCATCGACGGCCATCTGGCCGTGGCGAGACAAGTCGTCCGTATGAGTACATGTCTATCTATACGGGCCTATTGATGCTCTGCACGCACCCTGCCGAATTGCCCAACACTCGCTTCGTTGGGATGGCTTCGAGGAGGGTTGCCGTTGTCCCACCGATTATCACATGGGAACGTGGATGGGACGAACGGGTTCGCACGCGCTCGTGACAACGCATACCTACCTAAACTTACCTAGATGCGTGTAACAGAGAAGCGGTATAACCTATCATCTCGATGTCGTTCTTGGACGATGTGACGACGGAAAGAATGTTGATACGATGGGTTGGCCGTAGACTTGCCTCGTTACGGAGGCAAATGCGACCGCTTCCATGCTGATGGCCCCCCTAGGTGTTGGGCATTGCGCGTTGCGGATCGCGAATTGTGCAAGTCCGCGATAGGCCCAATGTCTGAGATCTATGTGCCTCCATCTCTCTGACCTGACCTCCCCAACATACCTACCCAGCTAACCATCTATGCCTGCTAAGAAACACCAAGTGGGGATCATTGCGGCATCCTGCCCGGTATACTTGCCGGTATATAGGTCGACATCGACCACAGTTGGATAGGAGTGCAACTTCGAGCCTGTGTGTAAGTTATGGAGCGAGCGTACGGGGCACTCGACCGGACCTCTCGTAGTTAGCATCGGCGAGCTGATTGAGACCACTGCGTGCGGATTGGAGGCAGTGTCTCGGGCCGTCGTCTTGTCGATCTTGGGTTGCCGATACCTACGCATGTGCCTCTACCCACATGCAGATAGACGTACGTAATTGGGATGGAAAAAGGTCCGATGCGGATTCGATCGATTTGTGGTGGAAGGATGGGCGATTTGACGGCCGATGAGTGTGCCTTATCCGGCAGGTAAGGGCCAAGTGAAAAAAAGAAAACAAGGAAAAACACCCAAGTAACGAAAGAGGGTGGAGCCTTAGGTAATGTGGCTAGTTAGGTAAGTACCTAAGTATATGTACGTGGGTACTAACAGCATCCAGCCTCACTTTTATGGCTGTGCTTATCGCCAGGATAACACACGTGACTTGTCCACTAAGCCCGCCAATCTCGTCTCGCCTCCCATTTAGGACTAGGCGTGGTTTGGCCCCCTCCATCGCGCACACATCTTCAATTCCACGCAAAAATCCATTTTTGACGACCGACCGTAGGGATATACGGAAAGCTCTACGAGACAACTCTACAGCACCCAGCCGCCGACACCTTTTTCAGGCAGCGCGATTTCGACAAACATCCGTCAAAATGGTACGTTGGATTAAGATGCCATGCCGTGCACCATTTAATAGCATTCCGCACACCGGCCGCGATGACTACACGGCGACAAAATTCACGATGGGAGGGACGTTTCGATGACACGATCTGGTCGAGGAGAACGACGACGACGACGATCATCGCAAATCGAAGGAAAACGAGTACAGAGGAACGATAAGAAAAAGACGGCCGATATATATACCTAATCCATCGGGGCTTCCGACTAGAGAGCCGCGGGGGAGCTTTGGAGGATATCGCTACTATGAACGGCGCTCGTGAGACGAACTGACCTCGAGTCTCGGAATCCGGAGGCGTCACTGCTAACCTGCGCTGCTGTTCTGCATGCGACCACGGGCTGACGCGGGCCTTCTATCTAGGTCAACATCCCCAAGACCCGAAAGACCTATTGCAAAGGCAAGGACTGCCGGAAGCACACCCAGCACAAGGTCACCCAGTACAAGGCCGGCAAGGTACATTCTCCCTCCCGACTATACTCAGGCCCTCGCTGGCGCCTCGATCTGACTTGATTCTCCAGGCCTCGCTGTTCGCGCAAGGAAAGAGGCGTTACGACCGAAAGCAGTCCGGTTACGGTGGTCAGACCAAGCCCGTGTTCCACAAGAAGGCCAAGACGACGAAGAAGGTCGTGCTGCGGTTGGAATGCGTCTCCTGCAAGACTAAGATGCAACTGGCGCTGAAACGATGCAAGCACTTCGAACTCGGGTATGTCCACGTCCCCGAACCCCGTCCTTCCTATGCGATGGGGATGCGTTTTTTTCTCTGATCTCTCGGTCTCATCTCTAACCCTGCCGGCTACAGTGGTGACAAGAAGACGAAGGGTGCCGCTCTTGTGTTCTAAGCACACACACGCGCGCGCGCACGCGCAGAATTTCATCATCATACATACTCTCGGTTATTGCACGTTCTTCATTCCATGGCAAAAGGGTGGTCCATTATACGGCCGGGCATACAACTGGCGACGGGAGTCTTTGATGCTCGGTATTCGAGCACGCATATAGGTTAATAGAACCTAAATCTGCTCCGCTGAACTTCTCCGCCTTTGCCGTGCGTGATGAATTGCAAGGATCCGGGAAGGGCGGGAGGGCGGTTTTGGTATCCGTGTTCTCGTTCCGTGGTCAAGACCACGCTGTCTCCGTAGCGGTAGGTTAATACTCGATATCTACGCGCCAGGTCGGTCATCGTACATGTTCCTACTACGGGTGTGCTGAGAAGCCGTCTACAAATGTGGAGTTTGATGAAAAACAGCTCTTGGTGTGAGATAGCGCAGATCGTTTCGATGCCGACCCCTGACGGAATCGTGAGCATTATGATGTATTATTCCGCCCGGGAACTGTGCGCCCTCATCTTCGTCTCCAAGGCGAGATCTAATCCAGCCACCATAATTAGCATGATAGCATGACAACTTTGAAGCGAACTAAAAGTCTAGTTCTTGGTAACAGCTATGCCTGTGACTGGTATGTGTAATCGTCCAAGGATTTATATTTACGGAACCCGCTAGACATATACCAAGGCCCTCGCCGCCTCGAGGACGTCTTCAGGCAGCTGCTCTTCTCATAGCTAACTGGAATACATATATTATACCTACATCGTCGAGACCTCAGATGCTCGAAGGACGCTCGGCATAGCCGCGTGCCTTTGATGTCTCCACGCACGCAGCGCGATGCGCGCGCCATCCCGGCCCGAGAACAGGGCAGGGCAGGTCAGAAGCCCTCGCCCAGGAGCACGGTGCGGCCGCCGCCGTACCACAGCGTGCCGACGCGGACGTCGAACCCCTTCTCCTGCCCAACGATCCACTCGCCGACGAACCGCCGGCGCGGCGCGGCGGGGGAAGCACCCCCTGGCGGTGCCGCAGCGACAGCCCACACCTCGCCCTCGAGCCAGCGGTTGACCTCGTCGATGGCGTCGACCCAGCGCCGCCGCTGCGCCGCAGTCGCGTGGTCGGCGTCGCCGAGATACCGCCCCAGCGTCACGTGGGCGCTCGGCACGACGTAGCGCGAGTCGACGGCGACGCCGGCGGCGCGGGCGCGGGCCCAGAGGTCGCGGCGCAGGTGGTGGTAGGTGTAGCGGTCGGGGCGGGGGGGCTGGCCTGGCTCCTGGATCGGCTCTCCCTCGTGGTGGTCGTCGTGTTCGTCGTCGAGGGGCCCGGGCTGGGCGGGCGGCGGCGAGGCGCGGGGCTCGTGGCCCGAGGCGGGCACGAAGGACAGCGCGAAGGCCGACAGGTCGTACGAGACGAAGGGGCGGACGAGGCGGGCGGGGGCGCGCCGCCGCGCCGGCGTCGCGGTGTAGTCCGCCAGCGCGCGCACGGCGTCGCGCCCGAGCGCGGCCAGCAGCGCGCTGATCTCGGCCGCCGTCCGCGAGAACGCGAGCTCCAGCGTCGTCATGTGCATCCGGTAGGCGGGCATGAGCCAGACATCTGCGCGCGCGTGTCAGTCCACCAGGGGGGTGAAGTTGTTGGCTTGCTCAAGGGGGGAGCCGGGACCGGAGAAGGGAGGGGTGGAGGGGGGGGGGGCCTTACGCGGCGCGGCGGCCCGGAGCCGTCGCTGGACCTCCTCGGCCAGCTCGAGCACGTGGTTCGGAGGCCGTGCCCACACCGTCATGCAGTGCCTCCGGTCTTCCTGCCGCGCGTTAGCAGGCTGAGGGCCACGAGCTGCGGGGTATCGCGGGTGGGTGGCCCCCCGGCTCCTGGTCCGGGACGGGGGGACACGTGTGCGGGGAAAGGGGGTCGGACGTACTAAGAGCAGACGTTAGCTCCGGTCTAAGGGCAGGCTAGGGCATCGCTGGGCGCCCAGACGCTGGCTTTCTTGTACTCACCAAAACCGGGTTCTATCGCCGGGTTCTCCAGCCGGAGCAGGTACGGGTCGATGATCAGCTCCGTGAAGTCGGGCGAGAGAAACCTTGCCCGCTGCTGCGCGTTGCGTCTGGCGCGGTGCGCCGCGTAGAGCTCCTGGATTTTCGCCTGCGGAGCCCGGTTAGTCCGGACCGTGCCTCGCCGACGCGCGGACCGACGCAGCAGGGGGGCGGGGTTCACTCCACCGGGTCGTCGTCGCAGGCCTCGATCAGGGCATCGTACGGGTTCTCGCCCGGCTTCGGAACCACGCCGGAGAGGTCCTCCAGCTTGTTCCTGACGTCTGTCGACTCGAGAGCGGACCCCATCTTTTTCGTCTTCCGAATCGCGAGACCGGCCGAGGGCGAGAATCTCGAGGCTGGGAGAGGGGATGAAAAGAGGAAGAAGAGAGTGTGTTCAAATACGAGGCCGACTCTAGCGATGAGGAAGGGAGGGGCGGTGGAGAGGGCGCAGATGCGGCTGAGGACCGTGATATTAGGTAGGTACCCGTTGGGTTGGCCCGCCCGCTCTCGAGATGGGTGTGGATTGGTAGGTAGGTAATTATGCCCACTTCGTAACGCGTGTCCGGCGCAAGGGGTCGGGCAGTTTGAAATGCCTATGCCTCCGTACCCACGTTATGGGGGTAAGGCTAGGCTGGGTGTGGACGGCATCGAGTTGTGGTCTGCGACCCAACGAGACAAGGTGAGGGGGGTGAATGCATTACCTATCGCGGGGTGGTGGGTGTAGGCAGGGTTGTAAAAAAAAGTTTTTAAGTTAAGTTTCATTGAAACTTAACTTAACTTAACTTGACTTTTTAAAAATGAAAACTTAACTTAACTTAAAAAAGGGTTTGAAAATAGAAACTTAACTTAACTTAAGAAATTTTCCTAAAAACTTAACTTAACTTAAAAACTTAAACTTTTTTTTTCAACCCTGGGTGTAGGTATCGATCTCGGTGTGCCTACCTGAGGTACCTACCCACCTTAGGTACCTTAGGCACCTAGGTACCTAGGGTAGGCATTAATATTATCGAGAGGTGGGTACCGTGAGACTGCGCTGAGGACGCGCTGGCTAGAGGGGTTCGGTAGGTACCGAAAGGTACCTACAGTGTTTAACTAATAGGCACCTACCCCAAAGTCGGTACCTCGGAGCAGTTTCATCGAGAGTGTGATGCTATATTATTTCTCAGCCTTTCGCTCTCGATCATCACTAGGCCGGCCACGGGAGACAGCCAGTCGACTCACCTCGCTAATGGTTGCTGACTGGATAACGCCTCGCACTGGCGGCACCGGCGGACGGTTGAGAGCAACTATTGCGTTTTGCAAGCTGAACCCTGATGCCACGTCGCAGGTAAGAGAATAGAGGCGGCATCGTGGTTGGATTGCTTTAAGATGCGCTTTTAGGCTGCGATGATCATCTGGATCAAGTAGGCGTCTCGGTAATGTTACTAGATGCTCCGCTCCGCGATTCGCCACCAGGCATAGAAGACGCCGACCGAGATCCCCAAATCCGCCAGCGACGACGTAAGAGACGTTAGTGGCAGATGCCGGCCGTCGTGCTAGTAATTAGAGGCTTCCGACCTTTTCCGATTTTTAATAAGGATAAATCGTTTGTATGTAAACTAAGGTATATAAAATGCCTAGTCTGTATAGGGGTGGCTCGTGAAGAAGTGAGCTAGCTTGTAGTGGTGAGGGTTTAAACATACAATCGCCAAGCGCCAGAACCCGGCTGTAGGTATTATATTATAACTCACTACGGAATTCTCCACGCACCTGGAGCAGGTGGTTGACGTGGCATTTCAAAGTGGAAGAAGCCTCTAGCCCCCAACCCTGCCTCAATGTTCGTTCTTATGGAGTGTTGCGCAAGCTTGTCTCTCCCTTAGGTGGCTATGCCTTCCATTGTGCCTATACCTTTCAACCAATTGCAACAACGAGAGTTGTCACCATGCCGCAGCCAGGTGAGGCAGCGTTGTCTTAGCGGCTAGCATAATTCCGGACTTCCGACCTCATGTTTTCGGAGGGCCTTAAGGGACCTTTCTAGGAGGTTCCCGCGATGCTCGTGGGAGCCGCCCTCGAAACGCGGCTCACCTCGCTACATTAGCCTCTGAGTGTCTTCTGACGGCTTCTATCATCGCCGCTTTTGACCTTGCTATCAGCGGTCGGCCGCACTCTGAAGGTTAATAGGGCGTTGGTCTCTGGGTCGCGCTTAAATTCCTCAAAGTATTTGTTGACAACCACCATTATTGCGCTCTCGGTCGAACGACGCTCCGCCGCTGGGACGCCTGGCTTGCAGATGACGTTGATCAGGTCGGCATTGAGCTTTCCGGCGAGCTCGAAAAACTTGCCTGATTCAGCCAACTTCGCGATGTGACCGTGCGCCAGCTCGTTCCGCTTTGCGTACAGGGCGATGCTCTCCCTCACATCCCGGTATATCGTGGTGAGGGGTAGGAGATTGGTAAGTTTGGTTACCAGTTGAGTCATAGGTTGGGTTGGGGGTTCGCTCTCGAAACAATTTTCGGCGTCCGCCTCCTCTCTGGCCAGTGTCTGGTCGATCGTCGCCCATGACTGGGACAGGAACTCTACCAATACTGCATCGTCGCCAGACTCGGGTTGTGTGGTTGGCGTGGTGCTGGGGGCAATCGACACGCTGGCGCCCGCCGAGTTACCATCTGCAATCATCTGCGCCTCCAGGGCCTCTTGCTTCTTCTGCACCTTCTTCTGGTGGCGCTTGGCCTTTTGTGCAATCTTTCGAGCCTCACCACGGAGAGCCCCGAGTGCTGCAGCGTGGTAATCTCCGTACCTTAGGAGCCATGCGTCTCTCTCTAGCTTCTCCAGCTTTAGCCTCGCGTCCGCGTACTTGGCGTCGATAGCTAGCCGGCGGTCGATCACGCGGCGGATGCTGGCCAACGACTCGGCCGCGAGTATGTTCTGTTGCTCGCCTGATGGTGCTTCTTGTGCCCGCTGGAATTTCGCTAGTATAGCCCGGACGTTTGCCTCGGTCGCCGGGCTTATAATCCTGCAGCCTTGCCTGGTCCGTTGCTCTAGGAGGTCGTCGAGCCACTTGGTTGTGGCTTCTAGGGGGTCTGGTGCGTCGGAAATCGCCCGGCGCTTGCGGTTCAATATACTTGGCGAGTCTGTCATATCGTGTCCTTCTGATGTTGGTGGAGGGGTGGCGTTTGAGAGCGTGGTGGTCGATGTGTATTTATCACTAGTTCTTCTCTAGCTAGGATGTAAGTCGTTAGATGTCGCCTATTCGAAAATGAAGTTGGGTGTTGCTTGTGGGTGCTGCCCTTTTTATAATCCTCTGTATCGGTTGACTGGTTTGTCGGGATATTTATATAAGGAAAAAACCCCGATTTTAAGGTACGTATACGCCGAGGCTACGGTAAATATAAATGTATAAGTTAAATATTTAATTATATAATTAAAAGACATTAATCTAGTAATATAATGAAATTTTATTATTACTATAATAATAATAATAATAATAATAATAATAATAATAATAATAATAATAATAATAATAATAATAATAATAATAATAATAATAATAATAATAATTATAAATAATGATATAATATAAGTTAAATTTATAGATATTATGTAGTCCGTTTTTAATCTATTACGGCTTACCGCCCATAGTTTTTAGTTTAGCTAGCAGCCTACTTTGCTGCAAGTACTATCTCGGCTCCTGTAATACCTGATCTAGAGCTAGCCATGCGGAAACCTACTAATACGGAGGGTAGCTACCCATTGTCGGGTAAGTGAAAGCAATAAACAAGCCCCCAAGCATAATACAACCGCTACCTCCTCAGCGGGATGTCTCTTACATTTAGGAAATAAGCGAGACGACGCCCTCTATAGTACAAGGCGACACATTAAAGCTATCAGCACCGGAAGAGCGTATGTACCTCTCAGGTAGGTGGGCCCCCGGAATGCTAATACTGGTCATACAAAGACAAATGGGGTTACCTATTATCACCACTCGCCGCCATGGGCGCAATCGATGCATGGTCACTACTAGTCGGGTATTACAATGGGTGTACGGATTAGTAGAAAGAAGAGACAATTAGTATTACATTAGACCTGGGCATTCGATAGCATATGCACTTTAGCATAAGAAGCACCCAGCGTGCCCTCCTTTCCTCTCCGACTTGCTACGGCTCGCCAGCTTTCCTTTTGCATTCATCTCTCTATCTCTCTCTCTCTCTGTTTCTGGCTACATGGCTGCCGAACACGCGAGTGTTGCCCGTTGGCAGGTGAGCAATATTTGCCTCCCCGTTTTCTGGTTCTCGGTATTTCGTATACGAGGCTCGCTGCAGTAAATACCGCTGGTGCTATATCTTTAGGAGCCTCCCCCCTTCCTCCCTCTCTCAATTCCCGAGTCTGCTGCGCAGTAATAACTCCATTTTTGACGTCGACATCTCTGTTAGGACGACTTATTCCCGCACATCGTGGATCGGTTAGCTCGGGAGACGCCCGATGCTGTATACGGCTTATGGCCCAGCAGCCCGACCACCTACGAGGACGGCTTCCGCACCGTCACATACGCTCAACTGGCCAATGTCGTCAACGGCCTGGCCTGGTGGATTAGCGAGGAACTCGGTCCCGGTCAAGGCCATGAGGTCTTAACGTACATGGGGCCTAATGATGTGCGGCTTACTGCCCTAGCCTTGGCTGCACTTAAGACAGGCTATGTGGTGAGATTTGCGCCGCTCCGTCACCGTCCATGCTCATTCCCTTTCTAACCAGCCGACAGATCTTCTTCACATCACCACGCAACAGCCCCGCAGCACATAAGGGGCTCTTCAGCTCCCTCAAGTGTCGAACCTTGCTAACAACAGACCCAATGCCGCCACTTGCCCTACCCATCCTTGAGACAGTCCAGCCGCGTAAACTCGCGATACCGAGCGTGGGCCAGTTACTCGGACACTCTTATCCGCACTTTGCCTTCGGGAAATCCTTTGAGCAGGGTCGCTGGGATCCTGTTTTGATTTTGTATGTGTTAACGAGGAACGATAGACTGTGGTGCTCGGCTCGTCTCTAATCCCATCTAGGCACACGTCTGGGTCGACGGGCTTACCAAAACCCGTCGTTTGGACTCAGGAATCGGCAAGGCGACACTGCAATGCTACGAGCCATGAACCCCCAGAGGGGTGGACTTCACTCGACCGCACGGTCCAAGGTAAACGGGTGATGTCGACATTGCCTCCGTTCCATGTATGTCAAGCCGAGTTGAACTCATCCTACGTTCGAATTCACTTTCGCTAACTATCTCAGGGGGCCGGCTTAGGACAGTTTTTCCTTTACGCTATCCCCTTCGGGAATGTTGTGATTGCACCAGCAACCACGGCTATTGTTACTGCACGGGGCCTTGTCGATGCCCTCAAACAAACGCCGGCAGACGTAGCTTTACTGGTGCCGTCCGTGGTCGCCGAGTTAGCACAGGCTCCTGAGCTCCTTTCCTACTGCGCAGATCATCTCGAGCTCGTCATTTATATCGGAGGCGACCTGCCGCAAGCCATCGGCGATCGTGTTGCAGCAAGGATGCCTCTGCATGGCCGGTGGGGCACGTCTGAAGTCGGCACCCCCCCACAGATAATATTACCGGCCGGGTCAGGGACGCACGACTGGCATTATATCTATTTCGACCCTTGTGCTGGCGTTGCTTTCGACGAGGTTGTAGATGGTGCCTATGAGTTGGTGATACGGCGTGACGAAGCTCTTGCTGACACCCAAAACGTATTTGCGATACCGGGGCAGCAGCACCTTGAGAAAGAATATCGCACCGGTGATTTGTTTAAGCCACACCCAACTGCGCCCAACGCATGGCGCTGGCAAGCCCGCGCCGACGATATCATAGTCTTTCTTAATGGCGAGAAGTCGAACCCCGTATCCATGGAACAGCATATCTTGAGTCGCAACTCTGATCTTAGCGGCGCTCTCGTCATAGGCTCCCAGCGGTTCCAAGCGGCTCTGTTGATCGAACCGGCAGCGGCAGCAGCTCCCCTGAGTACGGCAGAGCAGGCTGCCTTGATCGAGCGCGTCTGGCCTAGTGTTGACGAGGCGAATCAGATGGCGCCGGCCCATGCGCGAGTCGAAAAGAGGCTGATACTAGTGACTAGCCCTGGCCGACCCATGATTCGAGCAAGCAAGGGAACCATCCAGCGGCCCATCAGTTTGTCTCAATACGCAGCAGAGATCGACAAGCTTTACGCGGACGTTGAGATGACTCTAGAAGATGAACCGACAGATGCGCCACTAGACCTAGCTAATAGAGATGTAGTCGCACTCCGCGTTGTCGAGAGTGTATCGGCTGTTACTGGCTGGTCGAGCCTAGATGATGGTGTTGGTTTCTTTGATCGTGGGATGGACTCTTTACAGGCGCTCCAGATCACACGCGCTCTCCGGCGCAGCCTACACCTCCCTACTCTTGCCTTATCCACAGTCTATCAGAATCCTACGGTTTCCCAGTTAACCTCAGCTCTCTTAGGGGAAGGGAAGGGTCCCGGAGATGAAGACATCATGGCTACATTCTTGGATACGTACCGTGGACTCATCCATCAGATACCGGCATCCAAGTCTCCCTTTCCCGGCCAGGGGTGGGGATTGATCAATGTCATTTTGACGGGCTCTACTGGAACGATAGGCAGATACCTATTACGCGCTCTACTTGATCGTCCAGGGATTGGCCATATCTTTTGTCTTAATCGTGGCAAAGACGGCGGGAGCGCGGCCCAGAGCTCAGGGTTCGCCTCTGCTGGGCTGACGAGGGACGGTCTCAAAAATCGAGTGACTTTCTTAGAGGCGGATTTCGCACACCCCTCACTTGGTCTCGGCAACGCGAGATACGAAGCACTACGCAGCCACGTTAGCCTCATCATCCACAACGCCTGGGCAGTGAATTTCAACCTAGGCCTAGCGTCGTTCCGGCCGCAGTTGGCAGGATTGGTGAACCTATTTAAGCTCTCGGCCACCGCAGAACACCTTATCAAGTTGTTCTTCGTCTCTTCCGTTGGTGCCGTAAGCGGTCGATCAGTCGATGCCGGACCGGCACCCGAGACGGTGCTGGAGTCTTTTGGCATGCCATATGCGAACGGATACTCGCGGAGCAAGTTACTATCCGAGCTCCTCTGCGATACCGCAGCTCGGCATCTGAGGATCCCCGTAACGATTGCGCGCGTGGGTCAAGTGGCCGGAGCTGCCCGCCAAGGTGGCGAGTGGAAACGCTCTGAGTGGTTTCCGAGCCTCGTGATTAGTTCTCTTCACCTCACTTGCTTGCCGGATAGCCTAGGGTCTCAGTTCTCCACGATTGATTGGATCCCTTCCGACCTGCTAGCCGAAACGATGATTGATCTCGCGCTCAACCCCAAGTCCAAGTCAGCGACCAGCTCCGGCGCTGAGGTGTTCAATCTGCGTAACCCTCACACCGTGACATGGGGTGAGGTTTTGCCTACGATCATCGCCGCGGCTCAGGAGCATGTGGGGAAAATACTGCCGGTGGTATCGCCGTCAGCCTGGTTAGGTAGACTGGAGGAAAGCGTGGCAGCCGCGGAGAACGGCGGCAGCGATATGTTGGTTACTGTGGCTTCGTTTAACCCAGCCATGAAACTGCTGGACTTCTATCGCGAAGGGCTATGGTCTCTGGGGGCGGCGTCGAATCCAATGTCAGTAGAATGTGCGCTAGCAGCCAGCGCAACTCTACGTGAAATGTCACCTGTGGGCACCGAGTGGATGCGGAAATGGATTAAGGAGTGGACGTCATCGGCTGAATAAGGGCGTTGTTCCAGAAGACAATAGCGCATCGCCATATTAGTCATATCCAACCCTCGCTCGCTTCAACTAAGTTCATCAAGGATAATGTAAAGAATAACAATAGGAAACTCTTGTGATCTAGGCGCCTTATTATCTTGACCTTCTTTATTAAAGGAGAGACTTGAGAAAGGGGGGATGGTAATACCAATAATATTCGTTAGCATCTCAGTCTGAGCACCAGCCCACGCAGTCGTTCTGACTCCATTAATACTGGTAGTCTGAGTGGCAGCTTATCCTTGCGGGGCCTCATATAATATATATATATGTAGGCTACACTGCCAAACGTAAAACTCATTACTGATTTTTGCTTTGTATTTCACCCAATTACCACCTTATAGCTGTAAACTAGTTACAGCTATAAGATGATACCTAGTTAGGGACCCATAGATCAGCATACCTAAACGTAGCGCATCTGAAAGGGCTACGTGACAATATACTCCAAGCTAGATTGTATCTATATTTATCTTAGTACACTCCAGTTCCCTCGTCAGGATCTGACGCCTCGTGATCAAGGATGTCCCACGGGGAAGGTATTATTGTTGTTGGAAGATTATCCACATATATACACCAAAGCCAGCAGTCATTACCGCAGTTTTGGGGGTTGTCAGTATGAGAAAAGGCATTGTCTCATAGTGCCCGCCCATACTTACAGATATCTCCTGACATAACAAGTTCCCTGAAGGCATTGGATTCACATTACAGGTTCTGTAAAGATCTAGACTTGAAGTTACTGGTATTGAATAGTGGCTTTCCTGAGACATAGCATAATCTCGTATTATTTATGCCCAGTCTTAAGCAGTGAGGATCCAGGTAAGGATAGTAACAATCATGAGTGACACCTGGTAGGCTCAGGGTGATTCTGCTCAAGTCCTTTGCTGATTCTTCCTTGTCTTGGGGGCCACCCTAGTTGATCCTGGATATCACCATTCACTCCACTATCACTGTGGCTCCCCTCTTCCTGTTTCCTAGTGCTTATATTGTTATTGTTTTGTTTCCATCTCCTACCGGCCTGTTCCGGCCCATTCTACGGAGCCGGCTCCGCCTTTTCGGCGAACATACCCACTTTTCCGGAGTAAACACCGGCTGCATTATCTATACCCTCCTGAGGATTGAACTAGCCCCATTCCGCGTAAAATTTCCATCTCCATGTTTCCCTTCTTTTCCAGTCACATCTGTCTTCCTCTCTTCCCCAACCATCATCAGCATTCCATCCACCCATCCACATACACGCGCATATACGCAGATCTCCCTTTCATATGAAAACCTGAATCCTCGGCCCACGAAATTGTGTTGGCTCTCTTGACTCATCCCAAGACTCAATCCGTGGCTCTTGACGGCCGGTTTTCTCCCTCTCTCGATATCACCTCTCAATCTCTTCTGGGATTCACCGTTATCTATCCTCTTTTACCACTACCCCCATCCCTCGAGTAAATCCTTTCAACCGTCCGCACTTCCCTCGCGATGCCACCTAAGCGGAACCCGTATTCTCGCAAGAGACCGGCTGTGAAGCCTGCTGGTGGCAGCAGAGCCGGAAATGCAAAGAAGCATAAGTCCACCCACAAAGATGAAGGCCCATCGAATAATAGGAAAGTCGCGAACGGACTGGACTGGAGTCTCCCACCCATCACAAATGTCGATGCTGCCTTCAAGGACCTAGTGGGACGCCGCAAGGATTCTTTTGATCTCATTGCTGACCACGGAGGCTTTCGTCTCCGAATTGCTACTATGTGCTCCGGCACAGAAGCTCCCATCTTCGCGATGAAAATGCTTCAAGACTCTTATGGCCGATCCAACCCCGGAAAGCAAATTTTGGGATTCGACCATGTCTTCTCTGCCGAGATCGAGGCGTTCAAGCAAGCCTACATTGCCAGAAACGCCGAAGGCAGTATACTATTCAATGACATGAGAGATTTCATCCGCTCTGAAGATGGAAAAGCGTAAGTTAACTTGCCTTCCCCGCTGCTCGTGTGAATGACTAACTGTGATATGTAGCCCCACCGCAATGGGTGCGGTAGAGACCATTCCCGGAGATATTGATGTTCTCATTTCCGGATGCTCCTGTGTCGACTTCTCCAATCTCAACACGCAGAAGCGAAAGGACTTTCTCCATAACCTCTGCGAAAAAAAGGTCTGGAATGACCACGACTTTGAGGAGACCAAAGACGTAGTTGATGGAGCCATTAAAGAGGCTATCAACGACAAGGGTAAAATGGGACAGTCAGGGCAGACGTTCTTTAGCATGCTCCACTATGTTAGAGAGTATACACCCAAGGTGGTCATACTCGAGAATGTCCTAGGCGCACCGTGGTCGGTTGTCGAGAAGATGTGGTTCCCCGCCGTGGGCTACAGCGCCACATACATGCATCTGGATACCAAAGATTATTACATTCCCCAGACACGCCAGCGCGGTTATCTTGTGGCTTTAAGCCGGGATGCCTTTGGAGAAGACTCCGCGCGAGAGATCCTCGACGAGTGGAGAGAGCTTGTCAAGAATCTCGGCCGAAGGGCCTCTGCTCCGATCCTCTCGTGGCTGCTTCCAGCCGCCCATCCTCTAACAGAGAGGGCTCGTCAGGACGACTCCGAGAAGGCATTGATGCCCAGAAAAGCCGACAGCGACTGGAAGAGAAGCAAGGTTCGCCACGCGCGAGTACGGAAACAAGAAAAACTCGGTAACGAGCGCCCGTTGACCCAATGGGGGTCGAGTAACGGGCACAAACGACCGTACGACCGCATGGACCGTCTGGTTCTCCTGACCCAACCTGACCGGGTCCTCGACTGCATTGAGATTTTCTATCTTCGCGGCCTCAAGTCAGGTCTCCAGATTGACGGTCGACGATATAAATTTGATATGCTCTTCAAAAGCCGAATCTACGATCTCAGCCAGAATATAGACCGAAATCTCGGAAGCGTGCCGCTTGGGATGGCCGGCTGTATTACTCCTTCGGGAATCCACTGGGTCACCGATCAAAACAGGATCCTGTCGGGTTTCGAGACATTGGTCATGCAAGGGCTGCCGCTATCACGGCTCGATTTTGCCACGGAAACCCAGGACAACCTAAGGGATCTTGCCGGCAACGCGATGACCACCACTGTAGTCGGTGCTGCCTTCATCTCCACGTTAATCGCAGTGGACAGACATTATGGAAGCCAGACCGACACCAAAGCCGACGGCTGGATCGGACCCTTCCCTACGATTACCTCCTCCTTCAACTTTGGTGTGAAGGCTCATGCCCCTATTATGGGATTTGAATGGAAGAGCGTTGCAGACTTCAGCACAACTTCTGCTTCGACTACCGATATTCCGTCCTTATACACGTTGCATAAGAGATGTCGACGTTACTGTTTTTGCAATAGAGCAGCAAAATACAGTACTGTTGACTTCCGTCGATGCACGGTATGCTCTACTATCCGATGCCGATGGTGCTCGGGCAACCCGGAACACTACGTCGAATACGCGAGCAGGCCACCAGACTTCCTGCTGCTGTCCGAGGTGGAACACAAGGTAATGTCATACTTGCCGAGCACCATCATAAAGTCGATCGTAATGGAATCTACACCGAATCAACCTCAATACCCTGGACCAGCCATTATCGGGGACTCGGCAATCATGACTCATCTCGCATCGGCAGTATTCTATTACCACCACATACACATAACCGAGATTATCACCGTCTGCTACACCGCAGAAGGCGGCCTTGAGCTGAGGGCCGTGCTGTCTGAAGAAGGCCTCACCTGGTATATGCACCTCGATGCCTGGGGTGATCTCGGAAGGGGCTTCAGGGCGGCCCATGGCATAACCATAACTCAACTGGCACAGCCTGTTGCGAAGGCAAGGCTAGACCCTGCCTTGAAGTTCACCTTGCCAACGAACGAGTCCTGGATGTTCTGGTGCTTCAAGGCCATACCAGTTGAGGTGGAAGTCTCGAAACAACACGGCAACGACCAACTGGAAATCGTTACGATTTCAACGAGAGAAGAAGTAGACAACCTCGGATTCTATCCCGAAATTATGGAACTCATGCCCTCGATCTGCGGTTTATACGAACACCGACGAAAATGCGACGCCCCCGAAAAGAGTCTTTATGTAAACTCCCTCAATGAGAGACGTTTATTTCTGTTCAAGGACACAACCAGGACAGGAATGCCAAGTCAGGATAGCTGGGTTGTTTCGCACGACTGCCGTCCGTTAGAGATTCACGAATACCGAGAAGTCCTGATCAAGTTTGCGTCTGGTGTCGATCTCCATGAGGGGGCTAAGGCGACGACTGTGAAAGCTACCGTCGACGGGTTTTGGATGCCACCGCAGGCTTTCAAACTTGTCCGGGGTCCCGAAAAGTACAGCGAAATCCTACGAGGAGTCGAAATGCTGAAGGTATTACAATCCAAATACAGGCTGGTCAAGCCTCTGGATCCAGTGCAATGCGTCCTCATGGATGCTCGCATCGCGCGACACTCAGTGTGCGATACAAACGATATAATCAAGAAGTATAGGTACCTCGCAGAGAACGAGACAGACGACGGTTGGGTGACCGTGGAGCCATTCGAGCTTCACCACCTATATGACTTTATCTCGCATTTGAATGTTAAAGTGGCCAATATCGAGGATCTGAAGGTCTGCTTTGAGATGATGGATGCTGCCGCCTACAACGAGTCGAGGGAGACTAAGTCCTTCTATAAGGGAGCCCCCCCGTCATTGCCACAGATCCGATGGGTTCGAACCGGGTCCAAATATATTGCCCATCATCACTCGCATGAGATCGCAGCTTTTGAGAGCGAGATGAAGGCCCAGCTCCCCCCTTTCGAAGTGAGAGTTCAAGTCGTGCCACATCCGGCTGTTCCGCCGGACATGTATACCGTTTCTATACGGTATCTGGTGAATCCCAAGGGCCCAGCCTACAAGGCCCTTTCGTATTTACCGCAACGAGACGAAATGGGAGTGGAGGTTCATGCCTACACTCGAGTCGAAACCAACGTTGTGACGTCCGAAAACTTGCAGATACGTTCAGAAACTTCCGGAGGGGATACGAACAGACACACATTCCAGCCGTTCTTTAAGTCGTTGCGCGGACTCCCCACTAAACCCCTTGCTGAAGACTCTCGAATGTCATCATTCAACGGGAAATTGAGTACGTCACAAACACGATCTCTTGGGTGGATGCTCTCGCGCGAGAGGGGTTCTCCTGTCTTCACGGAACATGAGATCGAGGAGTCGATCGAGCCTCATCTAAAACTGCGACTCGTCGGTTGTGCCCAACGCAAGATCTGTCGCCGTGGAGGTGTCCTCGCAGATGACGTTGGCTATGGCAAGACGGTAGTGACACTCGCACTGATCCACTGCCAGGAAGAATTCGACATGGCAGAATCTATCGAGCGACGGGCCGCCGAAAATCCGCACTGTAGACACCTCAAGGCGTCTCTGATCATCGTGCCCCCCCATTTGGTCGACCAGTGGGCTGAACAAGCCGTCAAGTTCGTTCCCGCCAGCGAAAGACACATAGTTACGATAAAGACCGTGTCGGACCTGGAGGACGACAGGGAAATGTCGCTGCTACGACGGTTGGACGACGCTCGACTTATCATAGTGAGCAACGATATTTTCGGCCAGGTAGACTATCACTTCAACTTGGCCAAGAATGCGGGATGTCTCGACCCGCCCTTCGAACTCCTCCAGGAGCGCGGAAAAACCAAAGGCAGAGCGCTCCGCGACTGGTACAAAGAGGCGCTATCGACCGCTTCCAAGTATACAAGTCGGCTATTGGTCTTGAAGGAAAGCGAATCCGGAGATGAAGAGGGCCTCAGGGAACTGCATGTGGACATGAGTGAAAACTTTGATGTGCAGGTGCGGATTCAATCCAGTTTCACGGAAGACTTCAACAATAATCAGCCGCATCGGGCGCCTGAAGGCAAAGCCTCTGAAAGATCTCGAGACGTTAAGGGCAAGGGTAAGGGTAAAGGACGAAAGGAACCCTCGAAAGAGGTCGATAACCCCGAGAACCTCGACGACGAGGATAACGACGCTACGGGTCAAAGCCCAAAGCTCACCCAGAAATTCCCCTCCGAAAAGGGTATCTCAGACAGCTTCACCCATATTTTCGAGGCTTTCAGCTTCGCCCGCGTGATCTACGACGAATTTTCCTATGACAATTTCCCGACGGCGCTCTTCGTCCAACATTCTCGAGCTTATTCGAAATGGGTTCTGTCAGCGACACCGCCGACGAGAAACCTCGCGGCGGTGTGCGGTATCGCAGATCTTGTGGATATTCATATCGCGCGACCGATGCGCCGTCGTCTGGGGGTCCCCCGGATCACGCAAGGACCCGAGCTTGGAGAGCAGAGCAACGCCGAGAGGCTGTTGGCCCACAAGGAATTTTCGTCTGACCAGTGTATACGCGAGCGGCACGAGAAAGGAGAGGAGTTCCTCCGAGAATTCGCCACGTCCAACCCCTTAGACCGGGATCTCGCCGGTGGCGTCACGGTTGAAGAGGTGGTGATCGTCTGCGAGATGAACCGCAACGAATCCATCCACTACCTGGACCTGCAGCAAGAGTTACGGGCCTGCGGCTTCGATGCCGACCTGCTTCCTGGCAAGTCTCGCGCCTTGCTAGCCCCTATAATTGGTCACCAGTGGCACGGCAATGGAAGGGCCGTTGGTACGAAGGCACTTCTCCTGCTCGCGTCGCTGGGGAAACGGGAAGAATCACAACAGTCGGAATCTCTCCTCCTGAGTCACCGCAAGTTTCTCCTCCGGAGCGCTCTGGCCACTTTGAAGGCAAACGCGGACAAAGTGATCTGGCTTTGTAACCGGATCCTTTCCCACGCGAAGGAACGCCAATTCGACAACGCGAAGAGTGTCATAGGCGACGTTTGCACACTGTTCAGAGGAATCCTGGCCGGTGATACCGCACAGTGCGGCGGAATTCACCCTTGGGCATGTATACATAACCAGGTATTTTCCAGGTCACCCAGGACCGACGACCAGCAGGATACAAATACCCCCTCTCCCCGACCGGAATTCGTTCTTAAGCGCGACGCGGACTTCCTCCGCGCTCTCAATTACATGAGGTCCACGCCTTGGACCTCATATTACAAGCTGAAACCCGATCAACTCAACGATCTGGGTGAGAACGAGGCACTAAACCTAGTGCTAGACGTCTGCCGCGTCTACGGGGACCAACTCCCCGGATTGAAGGACAAGGAGCCTCGAGACGCCCTGCGGGGCCTCGTCGAGAACGACGAGGCCGAACTCACCGTAGCGGCGAAGGCTCACAACGATAAAATGACCAAGGGGACGGCGGCGAGCGTCCCCTCATTTTACAACACAATCCGCGGAGAGGCGTCCAACGTGAGGAAGACCAAGGTCTTCTTCCAAGAGCTCTGCCGTGGTGCCGGCATCCTCTTCGACGACAGCGAGAAGGTGGACGAGCTCTCTCGTCGATGGGATTCGCACAAGGCCGGCACTTTAGACGATTCCGACTACGTTGGTTTCGACGACTGCCGGCTGCTGAAGCCCGAGAGGTTCCCCATCTTCGGCAGGGAGGTGCAAGCTCGCGGCGCCAAGTTCACGTGGTCCGGGAACGACGTCAGCGACACCTCCCTGCAGCTCCGAAAGGCTCTGGATCAGGTCGTTTACGCCCTGAAACAGAAGAGGATCGTCGAGAACCTCACTTCCTGTGAGAAGGAGGGTCGGTGCGATGGGTGTGGCCTCGTCAAGCCCACCCAGCGGCTACACTTTGTCCCGGAGTGCGGCCACCTCATCTGCGCCGACCATCTCCACGCTGAGCTCTGCGGTGACTTAGGCCCCGATGGCCCGACGCGGTGCCCGTCGCAGCTTCGCGGTACGACGATACCGATGTCGAAGCTGGGCGGCGCCCAGCGGACGCTGGACCCGGACATGCCGGGCCGGCAGCCCCCGCCTCCCGCTCCCCCATCTCGCGCAACCGACGACGGCAGCCTCGCGGCGCTCAGCTCGAAGTCTCAGATGATCGTGGACACGATCAGACGAATCCCAGACGACGAGTTCGCGTTGCTGTTCGTGCAGTTCGACCCGCAGATGGAGGAGCTCAAGCGGGCGCTCGACCTGGCCGGGATCGAGTACACGACGGCGCCGGTGGGGGCGGCCGACCTGAAGCCGCTGGACGACCTGCCGCGGCTGCGGGTCTCGGACCTGCGGGCGCGGTGCGGCGAGCGGGGCCTGCCCGTCGACGGGGCGGCCAAGACGCTCGTCCAGCGGCTGCGGGACTGGCAGGCGCAGCAGGAGCGGCGCGGCGTCGCGGCGGCGGCGGCGGATCCCAAGGTCCGCCTCCTCAAGCTCAACGACGCGACGTCGGCCGGGACCAACCTGCAGTACGCGAACCACGTGCTGTTCGCGAGCCCGCTGCTGGCGGGCACGCAGGAGGAGTGGGACGCGTACACGCGCCAGGCGCGGGGCCGGTGCGTGCGCTTCGGGCAGCGCCGCACTGTGCACGTGTACCACTTCGTGGCGGCGGGCACGATCGAGGTCGACGTGCTGGAGCTGCGGCGTCGGGCCCGGGTGCGCGTCGCGCCGGGCCGGGCCGTCGGCGTGCTCGAGTCGTGCCCGCCCAGCCGCCTGCAAGCGACCGGGGAGGACGCCGAGGACGGGGATGCCAAGCAGGACGACGACAGCGTCAGCTCGACGCTCGGCCAGCATGACGTCTGGAGGGCCATGAACGAGCAGAATTGGCTCACCACGGTGGGCATCGAGTATTGACGCGTCGTCGTCTTCGCCTTCGGGTTTTGTGCGGGGTATCCGCGGGGTGGTGGGAGGGACAAGGTATGTTTTGTCTCTTCGGGGCATGGTACAGGCGGCTTTGGGTGATGAGGCTAACCGAGCACGCTGTCTAGGGACACAATCTGTTGCATAGGGTGGTTGGGGAGGGGAGGGAGGGAGGGAGGGACAGAATGGAAATGGCTTCCTATGGGGGTGTATAGGAAATGGGATGGGTCGAAAACACGCGGTATAGTCACGATTGCGGAATTCATCCTTCCAATTCCGGTACAGTCACAGGATCCCAGGACAATTTCTCTGTCCCTACATGCAAAGACGGGGTGTCGCCTCATAATTTCAGAGTCTGCGAGCGTTTCCGCGCAGGCCTGAGATAGTTCCGACATGAGACCCCGACACTATTATATCTCCCAGCACACCCGAGCAAATACTGCACACAGATGGATGTCGACACGAGAGAGCTTAGGAAAACGGCAAACGGCCGTATCTTTCGTTACGTCGGAGCGGATTTCTCTGCTCTGAGGCCAATGCAACTTCGGTTCTTGTGCCATCAATTTCGGTGTTCGAGACTGGCGTTCATCCTACTCTGCGTGAAGTCCTTAAAGAACGAACGAGGTCGCTAGACACGCAGGCGCCTTATCTCGGACAGGAAGAGAGGGAAGGGGAGGGGAAGGGGGGAGGGGAGGATCTCGAGTTCATAGTCTTGGTAGAGGACCAAACAGATCGCACACCTAATTATCGATTCCTATGGCTCCTTCGGCACCCACACCGTTATCCTTGAGGGGTTGGAACTACCTTCGTTCGCACGCATTCTCCCTCGAGCACCACCTCCTGGCAGTCCTCGATGGGGACGTCGTTGGCGAACTGTATGACGACGAAGTCGATAGCTGACCCGGGGGTTCCCAGGGCGGCCATGGGCGCGTGCCACGTCCCCGCGCCATACGTCACAGCCTGCGCGCCCGTCGCTACGAACGCGCGCAGCTGCTGTACGTCAGGCATGCCGGGGCCTGGCAACCCGTCTTTGTGGCTGCGAGGTGGCGTTGGCAGTGAGGAGTCCCTTTCGTTGCCACTGTCATCTGGGGGTAGGCTCGGCGCGACAATGACGAGATACCGCGTGCTCGAGGCGGAGGCACCTAGCGGCACGAAAGTCTGGGTTGTGAAAGGGTGCCGCTCGAGCAGGCCGACCTCGAGTAGGCTTGCCCCGTCTCCTGTACCATTTTCCGGGTCAGGGGCAAGCTGCCGCGCACCGCATACGAAGATGGTGGTGCGTGGCTCGCCGCCGAGAAGCCTCTCTGCCTTATCCGCCTTATCGCTGCTAGAAGAAGCCGCAGCGACAGCAGCAGCAGCAGTGGGGGAGAATTGGGCATATAAGTTTCTTAGGGGCGGCGCAATCTTCCGATATTGGATGGCAGTCCTCTGGTTGGCAGAGACAGCGCCAAAATCAGGAAGAAGCGGAGGGTTCGTATGGGCGTCATTCGGCTGGGGATGAACGTCAGGGGCCGGATTCGCAAGCACGGCGCCGAAGGGGGCAAAGGCCACGGCAGTCAGAGGCTCGGCTACGATGGTGAGGGGATGCGAGAGGGTGAGCACGCGAATAATCATGGTGCTCAGAGGGGATCAAAATGTATCTCTCATAGGCAACGCAGATGTATCTCAGATTCTTTTATTTCGGACATTGTCGTCTGTCAGGTAGCCACATGTGTCCCAGCCCGGAACGTGAAGAAGATAAAAAGGACGGTTGGCGATAAGCCCAGGAATGATATCGTCTTACATAATCCGCAATATGCGATATAGGTACGGGGGTACATATCGCGGGCGGGGTGGAACGGCTTGTGGATTTTAGGCATCCCATTGGCTCATCTTTGTCGACTTACCTTTGTTGACTGAACAACTGGAGCAGCGATTGCCTATTCACAGTTGAAAGCTCCTTGGAATCCCTGAGTAACCTGATATTCGCTGTAAAAGGAGCTGTATTTGAGCTCCTCAATTGGCAGTTCGAGCTCCTAGTTTTATCCTCCTAATTGATCAGCACTTCAGGTTCGGCTTCTTACATTTCGTATGCTTAGATGACTAAATGCTTACGAAGTAGTAGGAAGCGAGCTAGCCAAAACGCACAGGCCAGCGGAGTCTCGGCAGCTGGTTAGTCGTGTTAGCGTTTGGCTGCCAACTGCAGGGAAAATTGTATCGTGTGCTAGCAATTTTCACTGTAGGACCAGGCTGCCATGTCACCCCACTCCATATACCACCCCATCCACCCTCGATATGCTCAGCCAAAATCGTCTCTCACCATCAACATAAGTCTACTCTCATTTCTCTTCTGAAAAATCGCCAATAAATTCCAGGAGTCGAAATCCTCAAGCGCCCGCTATCCTCAAGTTTGTGCTGTTGCATTGTTTGTTTCAGCGTTGCGTCGTGTCTGGCTTAGCTCTACGTGGTCAGGTAACATAGGTAGGTTACCAATCCCCAGCCCGCGATCGCGTTACCTGGTTACCTAATCTCCGCGCGAGCAGTCATCCACCATTTCTCGGGATACCGTCCGTCTACCAGTAGGCATATCGAATCCGGTTCACCTTGTTTGAAAACTCCATGGCGGACGACCGAAAGTCGTACCTATGCGGCCTTGTCCGCGTGGGGGGGAGGAGGGAGGCACCGCGGCCGACAGAAGACAGGGGCCTAGGAGGTGTCGAATTCTCGCCCAGGTCGTCATTCGCGAGCTCCAGAGCTGCAACGCCAGCTGCGCAACCGGAAACAGTATCGCCGCCACCTCGCGCGAACTTGAATAACCCGGAGCTGAGTGGATTCTACTCTCCGCGGGCACCCCCCGTGGTATCGGCCCCTGATCCCTTACGGGAACTCAGAGGGTATTACGCCCCCAGGCTTGCCGCCACTCCACCGCCGAGAGCTACCGCCGCCAAAACCACAGGCTATTCATGATGCTTTCGATTCTTAATTTTGAGTCATGGATGTATCCCACATTGCCTCCCTGGGGACATCGAGCGTGGAATGGAAGTACGGCGCCTTCGCGTCACTTGGCTCTAGCTGGAGCTTACATGACAGGTACGAGAGAGAAGAATCTCGCGTGGCGGCACACTTACGGCCTCATAAATGGAGCGTGACGAGGCGAAAATTTTGTTCTCCTTCCTTAAACCTTGGCGTATAATCTCGAAGACCCCCTATGACTAGGACGTGGGCCGCATTCCCGTTTGCTGGGATTCTTGAATAATCTAACTAATCAACTAGATATACCTGCGCCCTCTCCCCTTTGCTTATTCTCCTCGACGCCATCTTTCCACATTAATATCGTCCTACCGACAACCAGGGCGCTCCCGGCTTGATTAATCATTCCTACGGCAGATTATATTTCCGCCACACAATCCGGGCCTAGGGCAAGATCATGGCCTAGTCTTTCAAGTGAAAGTGAGAGCCAGTCTGAGATTTCTCCATTCAACTCCCCGGCCATAGGGTCACTAAGTCATCTAGGCTCTCGTAGACCAGGCTGATCACTAAGTCAATAGAGATAGTTCTTCATCACCTTGTCAGCGCCACGGATGTCCCCAACGCAGACAGGCAATCAAGATATTAATATGTTTGGTCGCACTGACCTTTGTGACCTGTTCGGCAACATTCCGAGCGGACCCGCCCTACAAATGACGGGTAATACAGGCTGAGATCAGACAAGTGGCAGCGTTGTAACATGGGCTAGCTCTGTGGATAACACGGCGTCGACAATTATTAGCCAGTCCACTGTCGAAAACAAGCCAGTTGTAGATGCATCTGTCATTCTCGGAGGGCAGTTGGAAAATGCTCGGCTACCGTGTCTTGGGGTGCGGTAGGAAACCCCAGTGATATTAGCAAACCCTTCTCTCTCTCTGCCATTTCTCATTTCGCGGTCAGTTCCCGTAACAATCAACATCAAGTGCGAAAATGCGCAATTAAGTCCTCTTCAAGACCACGTCGACATCTCTACCGGGATCCATTTCTGACTCATTAAATCGGGAACGATTATCCGTGAGTATACATGAGTCAAACACGGTAACACTCTGGTATCGATGCCCTCTAAAAGAGCGCGGGACCCCCACGGCGCTGGTTCGCGGACAAGGCCGCGCGCGAGGACCAGAGCAGTCAGCTTTTCCGACACGACCGCCGTCCAATTTCCGGACGGCTCTACGACCCAGGAACCCACCCACCGCCTAATTACCTCTGACGGCGCTGCGGCGCAGATGCAATCCGCGCAGGATCAGGCCCAGGAGGAGCAGCAGCACCAGCCAGCTAGCATGTCGGCCGCCGGTAGCCTACCTGGAGGCCCACCACAGAACCCTCCGCCTCCGGCGACAGGCGCCCCGGCTGGAGGAGAGGACGATGATGGCAATCCCGGTAACCCCGACCCTACCACACCTTCTGATAATGCAACATCAGTACCTGCGCCTCCGCCTCCAGCTGGACCTGGCGCGGCGGCTGCGGCGGCTGCGGCGGCTGGCCGAGGCCCGCAGCTGTACTACGTTTCTAGCGGAGGGTAAGTACCGTCTCTGTCGGATGTGCCCTTATGAGCATATCGCCAGAGACGCAATTCCCCCGATCGGAGAGACAGATGACGCTGACTAGCGTTGGCCAACTCCTAGATTGCCCCCAGGCAGCCGGGACGGATTCGTCTTGAACACGCCAAACGGGCCCGTCCTTTGGGTAAATCCGGCTGTCGCGGGGCCCCAGCAGCCTCCGCTGTCGACGCCGCCGGTTAACACCAGCCTGTGGTGTAAGTTGGATTCCATTTCTCTCTCTTTTTGCTTTGCTTTTTGTGCCCCTCTCCCTCCTGCCCCCGGATGGGTTCTTCTCGTATTTCAATCCTGTTATGGGACCGTTACTTCACTACTGACGTAGACGACGTGGAAACAACTAACTACGGGGATAGTCAACTCCAACCGATCGGCGCCGTTCTTCCTTCCCGGATCACCCCAGATCATGAACCCGCCTATGCCCCCTCCGCCGTACCCACCCGGCACGTTTGGCTCCCCGGTTCCCGGCCCCCCTGCACCCCCCGGCTCTGCTGCTCCGCCTGCGGCCGGCCCCGTCGCTTATGTTGTCAGCGGCACGTCACCGCACGGCCAGCAGGTCCTTCACTTTCCGAATGGCACGACAGCGCCCTATTACTACTTCTTGTGAGGCGGCAGCAGGGATGCGTATGCCTACAGCGTCCACGTTCTGCAATCGGGACCACGGTGATCGACGGGCGTCGCTACTCTATGAGAGGCGAGTCGTGACGGATACACTTGCATGGACATACAAGATGAGATCTGATAAAGCATGGAGGATAGTTGAACTTAGCTATAGCTATTCGGCTTACTTAATGTTACAGCACCCTGGGATATGAGTAACGAGGGACAGCATCCCCACTTTAATGGAGTAGAAACTATGAGTAGAGTCTAGATAGATAGGACAATATTAATTCGCAGTGATATAATCACGAGCAGGCAATCAGCCATACTTGTCCTAGCAAAGGCGTAAACGGCGGTTGACAAACAAGATAGCGCCATGTTTGGATCTACTATGCTTCATACGTATGCTAAATGAACACAGTGCGGGATACATACGTGTATGTGGGCTTGGAGTAATACAATTACACCCGCTGCCCTACAGGCATACTCCATGCGGGTACCGTGTCGGTTCCCACTATTACAGTGCTTCCAACCAAGTCCACAAGTTTTACCCTCTGGTGGTCTTCCTGTGTTTGTTGGCTTCTGGTCTGATGCGAACAGTGATTATTTGGGGTTTACCTATAGGTACCGTGCGCATTCCTTGGACGCCAGCAGTGAGCACCTCCAGCAGAGAAAGAAAGAAATACGAACTGCCCGCACTGTACGGCATCCAGTGAGGTGTGGTGGGAGACGAAATCAGGCACTGTGGGCGTGTTCACGCGGCCAACTCATGTTTATTTCTGCGTCTGGCGCGTGCCAATCAGCAGCGGTCGCGCATCCCAAAACGGTAGGTGGGGTTGCGTGTCTTTGTACCTAGGTATCGTCTGCAAGAACCTCGTTGATCGTGCGCCTGGCTGTAATTAATAGGGGGTGGAAGCCCCTAGAGAGGACCATAGATACGTCGAGGCATGAAGGAAAATAAACATGGGTGCAGTCCTGCAGTTGCTGTGCCTAGAATGTGAGGGTTCCCCAATGTCACAGAGAAGAAGGTACTACCTTACGAAGCACCTCTCATCTTGGAATGCCCATAGCTGATAGGTATAGGTAGGTACATGTTGCGCCCTGCGCAAATATCCGGTTACATCATGGAGCTAGAGCAACCCTTAGGCCAAATACGAAGCCGACCTCGCCGCCGGCACCCTCTCCCACGACCACAAGGTGGGCCGGGTGGCAAAGAGGTCGGGACCCGATGGGCCGCATGAGATCCCGTCGTCGTCGTCTCCGTAGACGTGGCAGGAGAAGCCATAGTACCGGTCGCCCCAGGCCCTAAGATGCGCCAACTCAACCACACCCAACAGGAGAGTATGTCACGTCAATCTGCGCTTTGAGGATTTCTCATCTTCTCTAGGTTCCTATCTATCGCCGCTTTAGCCCGAACAGTGATGATCCCGGTAATACACGTTGAGGTCTCGCGAACCCCCACCGACTCATCGACCCCTCGGCCGACGGGGAGAGGGAACAGCGATGACCCGAACGTTTCCGGGCGAGGATGTTGTTACCGAGCCACGCATGGACGCGTTTCGAGACCGAGCAGCCCGAAAGGGGACACCGAGAGAGGGGACACTGATACCTATTGTGAGTCGCCATGAGCGCCAGTGGTATGTGGAGCTATAGAGCTATCGAAGAGGAAGACAGGGGGGTTGGCAGGATGGGCGACGAAGGAAGCCTAAGAAAAGCGGGCCACGCGACAAACAACAGGGCCCCTTCGTCGTCTGTGGCCAGTGCTATGGCTGGTGCTGTCCAGTGGCCTACAGGCAGGTTAGGTACCTGTAGGCACCTCTAGACAGGTACTTGTAGGCAGGGTTGAAAAAAAAAGTTTAAGTGTTTAAGTTAAGTTTCTATTTTTAAAAACTCAAGTTAAGTTAAGTTTCCTTGAAACTTAACTTAAACCCTTTTTTTTGCAACCCTGGATATAGGTAGGTAGGTACCCACCTGCTAGGTACGTACTCGGACGCGTGGCGCTCCCTCCAGGGCTATACCCACACATAAAACACCTATGGCCAGCTACCTACCGGCAACTTTTACCCCTCTGCTCATCATCATCCTCTTTTCCCTCGACAACGCCGCGTCCCTCCGCCAGCATGGGCCAAGATTTCGATATCGCGGCCCCTCACTCGAGGCTATACATGCGCGGAAGCAGGTTCGGCGAAATTCTTTTCGATGGGTCGATGGACTCACTCGTGGACCTGCTCGCCGTCCCTGTCCGACCGGTCCTCTCCCCTATTTCCGGCCGCGGCGCCTCTACATCAGCAGAGGCCCGAGATACCCACGTGGGAGAACATCCAAAGCGCAAAGCCGATGGCGAAGTTCATGCCGACTGCCCTCGACACCACAAGCTGGCCAAAGTAAAGAGCAGCGGCCGAGAGGGTGAAGCCAACGCCGATCGTCCCGTCACCATCTCCCATCTTCCTGTAGAAATCCTCCTAGAGATTTTTGCCCAAGTCGAACTCGTCCCGGACCTCGTCTGCCTCGGCCTGGCAAATCGGCGCCTTTGGGCCATCGCTCGAGAATGCCTCCATGATTATTACCAGTCCTTCCTGCGTCAATGGGCAGGTAAACGTATCGTCTGTGTGGGAGAATACACCAAACCCGGCGACTACCCCCCGGGACTATTCTCGGAAGAGGAGGTACAGGAACTAGGTCAAACGACACTCGGCCAGCTATATAATGGCCAACTGTGTGACGACCTCGAGTACATAGATCCTAACGAGCCGGTCACCCTTGCCCACTTCACCTGGGACTACGTTTCCGGCATAGAAAGGAGCTATGGTCATGATTTGTACCTCGAGTCGACAAATATATTCATTGCTTGCCAAGAACGAGACCCCCGTGACCCTGGATTAAAGTTGGCATGTAAGGACATCCGGATCCCCGATACGGACTTCTACCCCAAGGACCAACGGTGGATTCTTAGAAACTTGACAACGAAGGAGTTTGTCCGCTCGGAATCCATTGCGATCAAGCCAGAGCTTATCTACGGCCCTACCATCTATGGTATAGGCTTTGGCGAAGTGCTCTTGTCGCGCATCTGCTGGTCATCAGATGATTTCCTCGCAATGGACCCGAAAATCTCATCACGGATCTACAGGGGAGTGTGGGCCGGGCACCGCTTCGATATTACCACCGTTACGAAGCATAGAGACGAGACGGAGGGAGAGCCCTGGAGCGATGTGAGCGAGGAAGTGGCAAAGGAGATTGCGGAGATCTGGGAGAGCGAATTCGGTCCCAAATGGCGTGAGGTCGTCTGCAAAGAGGCGAGGGGGGGGCCATGGTAACACCCGCGAGGGCCTGTTTCACCCAAGCAGGAGAGGTAGGAGTCTACATTTTCCCTTGTGACAAAGGACTAGCACCTATGTACGGGCGTCGGAACCGAGAGCGAGACGGCCACACTGAGTTCTGCTGGGATGGATACTCCGTCGTCCTACCATATGACACGTCACTTTTCTCTCAATAAGAATCAACAACATTTAATCAATGCTTCTAATTAGGGTCTGCACTAACGAATGTCCTCACGGGATAGTCTCATCCTCATGTAACGGAAGTTGAGAAACGTAGTTCGTATGAAGGAATCCACCATAAGATCCCCTGAGGTCACGACGTAGGGGCGCGCAAGTTAAGAAAAGCTACCGCACATTTCCAGGTAGGTAAGACTCGTTAGTTAAACGGAGGCTTTGGCGGCTCCCCTTTTCGTCCTGGAGTCCAAGATATGGATTTCCGCTTGCCATTCTGCCGTGGCTCCCAAAGTCACTCGTTAATTGTGCTAGGGAAGGTGTTCGGCCCAAGTAATGACTTACTAGGAAATAGGATAGCATTGACTACAGGTATCATAGGCAGGAGGCTTCATTTAGGGGGAAGAGGCGGGGCATAGTTCATAATAGATCCCGAGGTCAACTAAAGCATCACCCGCTATTACAAAGTTATAATTCACCACCAACATCATGGATTCTCCATTTTCAAGACGAACCCATATTATGTTTCACCACCATTATATACCCATCTCTCCAGTAATCTCCTGCAAACCTTGGTCACACTCAACGTATCCTAGATATGGAGACCTTTTAGGACTTCGCGTACACTTCTCCATAACCATATCCTATCCTGCCAATTTTTCAAGAGTTTAACGAGCTGCCTTTTGATTTCATTTTTAGCATCATCATGACTTGTCCACGGTCTCGATATATAGATCCCGACTACTATATTATATCACTTGTGAACCTCAAACAGAAACGTCAACCAGCCCCTAGTACCCAAGGTCCCCCGACAACCTTAGCATAAAGCCCCAAGGTGAATAACAATGTTGTAGGCCTGCAACTTTATTGATATAACATTTTATTGCGTATTCTGGCAAGTTGAATCCTGCCTATCTGCAGAGATAAAAGACGTAACCAAGACAACAGGTATTTCGGCAATTTGGGTGCTCCTGAATCTACCCCTCTTGTATTGAACCAGAACCTAGTCCACATTTCCTTTCAAGTCTCGCAGGCACCCTCATCGCACTATTCTTCTCTGTTCTGATCCGCAATACACTCTCAACAAAGCATGTAATTTCGCAACAATGGCCAGTGCCAGACCCACGGTTCTCATATTTTCCCATGGGGGCATCGACGGCGGGCATGGAAACATTAAATATGCAGCCAACACCTATCAGGCGGAATTCTGCGAGCCGACTGTTACTCCCATCCAGCTTCTTGAGGACCACCCAGCCGTACAAGCTATTTGGATTGTCGATCATGACATAATGCTCTCCATACATAAGCATATCTCGGACAGAGTCGTCAACTATGCCGGCAATGGCGGAACAGTCATTCTCGGCGGCTGGTTCTCCAGCACCATGAGCCCCCGCGTCTTCAGCAGGTGGATGGAAAAAGCATGGAACTTGCCCTGGCGATGCGGCGAGGTCAGAACCGCCACTGTTTTCCTTCGGGACCCTGCCATCGGCCCGCACCCCAACTGGCAACACGCTCTGGCACGTTCATACCACCAGAAGAGCACGTTCCTCAAGAATGTTTCGCCCACGGAGTCATGGTACACATCGGTCCTTGCATAGGGCTCTACGGAGACCCAAGCTTCCGTCGCCTTCGCTAGAGTTGGCAGCGGCTGGTTAGGCTGGACTGGTGAGGTCTTCAATTCAATCGAGACGAACTCTGCAGTACGTGCCATGATGAGATTAAATGCAGAGGAAGGAGATGACGCATCCAGACAAATCCACCACCAGCTATCCAACATGGCCATACAGGAAGGGCCATCCACGCCAGACGTAAGACGAGAGATGGGATCCTGACCATGTCTCGAATGCTGCACATGGTAATAATGGGTTGACACGCTGTTGAGCTCGACTAGCGGATAAAGCTGGCTGGGCCAGAACACAGGTATAATACCCCAAAATCAGTCTTCACCGAGACGATAATAAATTAATTATCCCCTTTCAAGAACCCAGCTGGCTGCGCAACACATGAACACCTAGAAACAAGCTCAATAGATATGATCCTGGGTGGTAGTGCCGACTTGTTGGACTTGTAACCTCTCACACATACTACACCTACGCAAATACACGCTCCATACTGACGCATATATTCTTATAACCCCGACGTGGATAGATCCTGAGGGGCTATTTGGGGAGTACATGATGCTGCCAAGCCATCTCGAGGGTCACCAACGGCAACTAACCGCCGTTACCTGATGTTTTGGCATCTAACTAGACCTGTGGAACCGCCAGAGCGAGGGTCATTTCGGGTGATATGGCATTTCAACCCCCAATCTCCGCCCGTGCTCCTCTTGATACATCTGTAGATTGGTCTTGACTTGAAAACACGAAGCTGGCTCGGGCCTTGCTGTCGCCGGGTCTCAGTCTGAGGGTGTGACATCCGGGTAGCTGTGAGACCCGCTATCGAAGAGCGAGGACGACTGATTGTTATCAAGTCGTGCCTCTAGAGGCGAGAATCCCGGTCGAAGATTTGCCAGCCGTTTGGGTAGAACCCGCAAATACTTGGGCTGCACGGCCCCGAGCCGCGAGACAGGTTCCCCTAGGCAACACGATGCGTACCGTATGACTGCTGTATACGTGCCCAAGGTCTCTCTCCCTCTCTCCCTCTCCATTCACCCAGAGGTATTCATCCAGTCCTAGTCCTAGCTACCCCTCTTCATTCACCTCCAGCTCTATTAGATCGGGTTTAATTCTCTCTTCCCGCAGCCAAAAGCCTGAAGGCTGCCCCTTTCCCATTCCCAGAGTTGGATATTTCCTCCGCACCGCATTGATAAGGTCGATTCAATTCTTCTACCCAGCATGGCATCTAGTGGCCGACTAAATCTGCCGAGCCCGAGCAATATTCCGGCACGAAACAAGCAGGCACACTCGCCAGATGACGATGGTGACGGTGCGACTTTAACCTGTCCCTCCAGGCACATCACAACACCGAGCCAGTCGTTAAACGAGCTTGACGCCAGCCACAAGCCACTGGCTCGTCGCCGACATCAACACCAGCCAGCGCATCCGGATTTTCGTGTCCTTGGATGCCATCCCTACCTGATGGCTCGCGAACCGTCCGAGCGAACAGACGCGCCGTGCAACCGCAACCTCTCAAGTCTACCCTTGCCCACCATGTCATACCATCCATCACGAAGCCCGGACCGTCACCACCCCCTGGACACCGGTGCATGGCAGGCCGGAGGTGCACCGTTTCATGTCCCTGTAGCAGCAGCCGATCCACACCCTCGGGACGGACTGCCGGCCTGGAAGTGGTGGGCTTTGCTGGTCGCGAACTGCTCTCTCAGCATCATGCACGGTAAGAAATCGCCAGGTAGCCTCCGATATCGTAGCCATAACAACATCATCATCACCTTGCCCCTCTCATCAGGACGCTAACCGAGAGCCCCGTGCAACCCAGGATACGACGTTAGCAATGTCGCCAACATCCAGGCGTCCATCTACCGGGCCTTCGGACACATGGAGCTGCTGCACTGGGTCGCCCTCAGCTACTCGGTCTGCAACATCGCCTTCATCCCCCTGGGCCGCAAGCTGTTCAAGTTCGCCGACTTCAAGACGCTGAACCTCGTGTCCATGCTCTTCATCATCGCCGGCTCTGCGCTCGCCGGAGCCGCTCCCAACATCCAGTCCATCATCGCCGGCCGCGGCCTCATGGCTCTAGGAACTAGCGTCATCTACCAAGGGTATGTCGCACCGCCCCGCCGCTCGGCAAGCAGCAGCAGCGCCGGCGATGACAACTAGTTAACAAGCGCCGCAGGATCCTCAGCTTCAACATCATCTTCGCGTATCCCCACGAACTCGGTCTGGTACAAGGCGTGATCGGCGCGTGTTTTGCCGTGGGCCTGATACTGGGTCCCATTATAGGTTCGTCTCTCTCCCTCTACCCCCCCACCCTGTTCTCCTGCCACTCGGGCACGAAGACGCTGATAGCATTGGGACGGCTAGGAGGCGCCTTCGCAGCTAGCGAGCACGCGACGTGGCGATGGGTACGTCCACCCCCCTCCCCCTTTCCCTCCCTACTCTATCCTCCCCTACTACGAGACAACACACACGAAAAACCAAGGCCTGACGCGCGCGGCCCGTGTAGGCATTCTACCTCGTCATCCCGCTGTGCGCCGTGAGCTTCGTGCTGCAAGCGCTGTTCTCGCCGCGGTACCGCGTGCCGGGGGGGCCCAAGTCGACGTGGGCGCACGTGCGGGAGATCGACTGGCTCGGGGGCGCGCTGCACGCGGGGGTGTGCGTGCTGTTCGCGGTGGGGTGCGGGGCGCTGGGGTCCGCGGGCGCGGGCGCGGGCGGTGGCGGCGAGGCGGTGACGGCGGCGGCGGTCTGGGCCTTCTTCGGGCTCGCGGCCGCCGCGTACGCGGTGCAGCAGGCGTCGGGCGCCAGCGCCGAGCGCCGGCTGCTCGCGCCCTGCGCGCGGCTGCGCGACCGCGCCGTGCTGACCACCTGGGTCTGCACCGCGGCCGCGGCGGCCTCGTACGGCGTCGCGCTGTACTACACGCCCATCTACTTCGCCTTCACGCGCGGCTGCGGGCCGCTGGCCGCCGCGGCCCGCCTGCTGCCCTTCGTCGGCGCCTTCGTCGGCGCCGTCGTGCTCGCCGGCGCGCTGCTCCCCGCCGCCCGCGTCTACCAGCCCTTCTTCGCCCTCGGCGCCGCCCTCCTGCTCGCCGGCGCCGCCGCCCTCCAGACCCTGCGCCCCGACTCCCCCGAGCCCGCCCTCATGGCCTTCGAGGCCCTCGTCGCCGCCGGCGTCGGGCTCAACTGGCAGCTCGGCGTCGCCGTGTGCACCGCGCGGCTCCCCCGCGACGGCGGCGCCGACAAGGGCGCCGAGATCGAGGCCCGCCTCGACCTCGCCCTGCTCAGCAACCTCGCCCAGCTCGGCGGCATCGCCGCCGCCCTCGCCGTCGCCGGCATGGTGTACGACAGCGTCGGCGCCCGCTCGCTGCGCCAGGCCGCGCGGGCCGGCGTCGCGCTCTCCGCCGCGGACATCCGGGAGCTGCTGGCCGGCGTCGACTCGCCGCTGCTCGCGGCGGACGGCGACCCAGCGGTGCTGCGCGCCGCCGTGGCCGCCGTCACGGACGCGGTGCGGGCCTGCTTCGCCATCCTGCTCGGCGCCGGGGCGCTGTGCTTCGTCGCCGCGTGCGCCATGGAGTGGGAGGCGCTCGACTTCAAGCCGAAGCCGCAGTTGGCGGCAGCGGGCGCCGGTGGCGGTTCTGGCTCCACGCGGTGCGCTCCGGGGTACGCGGCGGACGGCACGCGGGACGGGAGGTCGACCGACGACGACGATTTCCTGCTGAGGGAGCTGCCCGCGCGGCCGGGCACCGGTAGCGACGCCTCGGCTGTGACCGTCGGCGGCGAGCCGTCGATCCTCCAGGATCTGCCGCCCGCCCACCACGACCGGGTGTAAGCGAGAATCGAACATCGGGACTTCTGGTCTTACGGCGGAGTCGCCTTTTGCGACGCATTTGAGTGACGAAGGTAGCGCCCGATGTGGTTATCATGTTCCAGGTTCTACAATAGGTATATAATCATGATAGATGAATCACGAACACCCTTCGGTATACAAATGTAGTTTAGAGTAGTTCTCGAATCTCTAAGGTTTTACTACGGCGACACGTGTGCCCTTGGTCCTTTCATGTAACGTATATCAGGGCCATCGATTATCTCACAACGTTACTAAGGCTTGATGTCTTCCAAGCGTGTGTTCACATAACTCCCGCCTTGTTGCCCACCTCATGCCAACCGAACCTCTTGGGCCGCCTTTTCCCAAAAGAAAGGTACATTTATACCATTTCGAGTGCAACCCGTTACATCGTCCCCTTGAAGAAACAACTTTAGATAATCCTATCAGTTGAATCGTGTATGAAACCATATCAGTCTCAGGTCCTCTCCCCAGACGCAAAAACAAGAGATGAATTCAAGAATTTGCCAGGGAATGTACGGGATATTGTTAAGCACATTCAACTCGGCTTATATTGTCAACTAAAGACGCTGCTAACACTGCCATATGTTCGTTGGGTTTTGTTTGGGCTGAGGTGGCCGGTCAGAGCCTACGTACGGGGTGTGTTGACCTACATGTATCCTTTGCTTGGACTATTCGGCGTATCCTGCCAAGCCGGAGCAGCTCAGAAGGACTTGCGGTTGATCGGATATATATACATATAGGTATATAGATATCTTGTCCCCCATCTGCCGTCCACATGTGCATATACGTAGACACCTCTGCACATATCCAAGCACTCTTACGCATAATAGCAGTCAGCGATGGGGGTAGAATGCAATTAAGCATATCATGTTCGCTATGAACAAGCTGACGATGGCCCATCACGTGTGTTTGGAGGGGCCAGACTCTACTAATACATCAGGCGCAGGAATCGCTACCACTTCTCTAAGAAAACGAGAATAATAAAAATAATAAAAGTAATAATAATCGTAATGACAATAATAATATCGATAATAATTACTGTATAGACCCATCATTCTACTGGTATCCGGTCCCCGTCTATCCACCCGGTGACCGTCAGCCGCTTCTCGACGATGAAGCCGTTGAGCTGGTAATAGCAGCGGCTCATGTCGATCTGGTCCGACACCGATACCAGCCTCGGCTCGTCGCCCGCCTGCTCCGTCAGGCACGCGATGTCCGTGCCCGCGTCCGCCTGGCCTACCTGCTCGGGGCCCTGCCACTGGTTGTCGTCGCCCTGCCATACCGTCTGGATCCTGCGCGCCGCGTCCTGGTATAGGATGTGCGTGTTCGTGATGTTCGAGTTTCTCCGCGTCACCGCCAGCCCCGCGATCGCCGTCTTGGCTGGGATCTCGACGTCGGGTGTGCCTGGTGGCTGAATGTTAATTTGATGGCCAAGTCAGGATCCTAGCAATCTCCCCTCCCTCCCCCCCGCGTCTCCCGCTCCGGGTTCGACTTACCTGAGTACCATGCCACGCCCGTGTCGATGCCGCCAAACGGAAAGAGGGCTAGGTGCCCCGTCCTGTCGCGGTACGCGAGGCCCGCCGCGTACGGCTGTTGGAAGTCCCTGACGATGGGCACGACGGCGACGCCGGTGTTCGGGTCGCCCTGGGGAACGACCTCGGGGTTGAACCAGCCCTGGACGGTGTCGTTGAACCAGCCGACGCCAGGGCCGTAGACGTAGCGGCGGAAGGTGCTGTTCCTGGCCTGGAGCACAACGTAGGGCCAGTAGGCGGCTATCTTGGTGTCATTCTCGACCGTGTAGTCCGCCAGCACGTCGTTAACGCTGTCGGGCTTCGGCACTCGCTCGTCCTCGCCGAAGTTGAGCCCCCGGAACCGCGCCGACGAGTCGAGGTAGAAGACCTCGAACTGCGGGAAGTTCAGGTAGATGGTCGCCGCGATCGGCGTCCCCGGCTGGGCGTCGATGTTGTTGAAGACCAGCGGGCTCGACCACGACCCGGACGTGCTCGTGTACCGCGACGTGCGCATCTTGTTGTCGCCTCCCTGCCAGAACAGACGCGACATGAACCCACTCCCGGCTATCCGTCGCCCCGTTATCGACAGTTTCGTCCTCGGCCGCACCGCGGTCGTATTTACTGTGGCGCTTAGGGAGCTGGTTGGCGACGCTGATGTCGTCGGTGACGTCGATTCCGTCGATGGCGATGGTGATTGATTCGAAGGTGACTGATTCGACCCCTGGGCTTCGGTCAACGGGGCGCTCGATGAATTTGACGCCGCTCTGCTCCCGACTACCCCCCCGACGACTGCGGCTATTATCACGATGATGGCAATGATAACCCCAAGGATGATCCATAGTTTTCTCCTTGACCGTCCCTTCGCCTCCGCCGCGGGTTCCCCTCCTCCTGGTGCCGCATCGACAGGTGGAACGTAATACTGGCCACCCTCAGGCTTGAATGGTGGCGGGAGGACGAGCGGGTTCTCCACCGGAATCGGAGTACTGTCTGGTTTATCTGGCGTATAGTAATAGACCTCCGGGTCATCTGAATGCGCGAGCTCGAGCCCCGGCTGCGAATCCTCGTTCCGCTGATGATAACTCATGGCTGGCGACTCTGTTGACCCCTTTTAAAATTCGCTGTGCCGGTTCTCGAGTTATGATATCCCGACAAGCCAAAGAAAGTTGGCCTTCTCGAGGGGAGAGTATCGTGGCGGATGACAAGGTCAACTTGTAAGTCGAACCTCAAGCCAACACTTCGCTCTCACGGTACTAGGCTGATGGTCGAAATCCGCTAGCATCGTGACAACACGAGAGAGGCAGTGTCAAAACTGCAGCAAAAAGTCGTACGGGGGACACAACATAATGTACCATCTACCCTCGCACGGCCAGGTAGGGGGTAGACGGGAAAATAGAGTGCGGGCTATCGAGAATCCTACAGATGTTCGCAATGGGTGCAGTTCCGCCATGATCCAGGGTCGAGGAACCAATGGCAGCATCCACGAAAGGCTTGTCAGGCACGTTTTTGGCGTAAGGATGCGGCGTAGCAGCTCGGTTCTCCAATCAGTAACATTGACCCCCTTGGACCGCATCGCGACACTGAAATTTCGTCTTGGCGGATCCAGCTGTGGCCACCTAAAGCCCCGACGGCGCTCTCGCTGAGATGGAATGGTTGCATTGCCCTCTGTGAGAAGGATGAGCCGCAGCACAGAAGTACGAAGTTAAGCCTTTTTCCCTACCGCGGATTATGTGTGCGTAGGTATACACATCTACAATATTCACATCTAGGGATTTACACACGCGGGCTGGGAAAGGGTTCAGACGCCAGGCCCTGAAACATCCCCACATCCCCAGCGGTCCGGGCCCAGCTGTAGCGCCAGCGCGTCAGCCATGTGTTAGCCCAGGATAAAAGAACGAGGCGAACCGGAAAGCTTGTATGGTCGCCTAAGCGCTCTGAATCTTGCTAGCGACGGGAATTTCTCTCGATAGCCTCGTCGCGTGGGTCAACGATGGTTTGGAGAAATGATCATTTTCTCTTCTTCTTTTCTTCGTCCCTGGTTTCGGGTGGAGTATTCTCCCACTCGGCTGGGTCACACACGACACGAAAGGGGGCACACACACACGCACACACACAGATCTGATACGATACCGAAGTTAAACACTTGGCAGATGCGACTCCTCGCAAGGAGGAAGAAGACCCCTGCAGGCTGAATATCTATTGCTCTCCCACCTGCTAGTATAGCTAGGTAGATAATAGCAATAAAACCCCACCGTCAAGGGACCACACACACAGTGGGGGTATAGGAGTATGCGATAACCCGTTAGCCAGTGCCCAACCGATTCTAAACCCCCCGAGAGACAATGCCACATTCTTCGAAACTACTCGTTGGCGAGGCCTATTGTGCGCCTATGATCTTCGGCCAAGAAGACGCCACGAGTGCCGAGTAAAATATACAGACTTCGAATTACGAGCGCGGAGAGAGACGGAGAGGCAACGCCTGACTGACTATATACCTATACACAACCTATATACATCCATACACATCTAATTCACCCTTGCTAGTCCCCAGCCGTCGCTTGTTAGCTTCCTTGAGTTTTTCCACTTTGCTTCGCAGCATCTCGTCGACCGCCGGTATGTCCTAACGAGCGCTGACGACCTGGATATAGATATCCCCCTAAGCTAGGGGAGACTCGCTGCTGACTCTGCGAGCTGCTCCCGCCCTAGTACGCGACGCCGCAGCCACGACATGTAAGGATTCCGGCTTGGCCCCAGGAGACAGACGAGAGAGGTTTAGGCTCGCGCACGCTTTGCCGGCCTCGCCATTTCCCGCCCGGAACTAGACGGTTCACCGCTGTCGTTCCTCGCTGACCTGGCCGGGAGAGACACGATAGCTGCTGTCCTCTCTATGCTTTGGCTCCACCAGGTTTTCGCCCCCATTCCGGACCGGGCCATCCGGGGTGTTCTCACCAGGCGATGCGCACCGAACCAAGGCCCACGCTTTCGCAAATAGGGCTGTGCCTCGTTTCGGCTTCGATGCCGTATTCGGTACATAATACCGGTAGGGCGCTGACATGATTCTTAAAGCCTGTACGGGGCATGTCATTTATAAATAGCTAGGTACTACCAACAATCTCCTGTAGAGCGCGCGGCGACGCCCAGCATTACGCCGCGTCCCTGTAGTGGTTAACGCTCCGAGGGAGATAATTGGACTGGACTTGGGATTGCCAGTCAGTCAGCCAGCCAGCGGCGAAGAGTAGCGCCACGAGGACTTCATCGCCTCGTCGCACACTAGCACGATGCGCCATCTCACGCATGCTCCGTTTTCGTTTGTTTTGCTCTTAACCTCCGTCCGTCCCTACCTACACACGTACCTACTCGCCCTCCTTCTCACCTCCCTCGTACGCCCGCCGCGCGGCGACGTGGCATGAGAGAGAGATGAGCGGCGCAACACCGCCGCACCTGCGTGCATAAGTCCACAGGTCGGTAGGTAGGTAGGTGTGCAGACGCCCTAAACGAGAAAAAACGAGGGAAAAAAAACGCGTAGATGAGCATAATATTCCGCCCCCCTCCTGGAAGTCAAGCAAAGAAAAGACAAGCTCCTCCCGCCCTGCCTATAGCAGCACCAGAAGGCAAGCCGCCTCATCTTATTTTACTCTCGTTCTTCGTTCTCTCTTCTCTCTCCCTTCCTTTTGACACCCCCCCCTCCCCCCCTTCTCATTCCCCCCTAAATGCACCCGTCGAAAAAGGAAGGAGGGGAGCGGGAAGGGGGGGCGAGTAGGATCGTCGTCACGTAGCCCACTGGCTGCCACTTTTGCCTTGCTACCTGGATCATCGGCCACGCGGTCGCAGTTCCGGCGCTCCGGGGATTCGCGAGCGCGGAGGTTCTAACCCTTACGACCTGACCTGCGCAGAGCCCCTCGCTTGCTTACTTGCTTGCTGCCCTCCCCTTCCATCCAGGACTCCTCCGGGGAGGAATAAAACTACTTGGCTCGGTGAATCGGACGTGACGGGATGCATCGGCGGCCGGGCGCGTCGTCGGCAGTGGAGAGCTGTTCTCGAAGGCACTCGGTGAGGCGAGCTAACTGCTAGAAATGTGGCGTACAGCAGAGGAGAGAGGTGCAGTGATTCACGCGCATGACAGGCGACCGTCAGAATCCGGCGACGGGCGCCGCAGCTGACTTGTTCTACTCCACAGCGTAGATATAAAATAACATTACAGCTACAGCCCACAGGGAGCACTGCCCGCCGGCGGCGTCGTCTGACTCTATACAAGGGGACGAAGGTATGTACACAGCGTACACTCGTCAGGAGCAAAAAGGGTATCCGTTGACAAGAGATAAAAGTAAAAGTAGGTGGGGGAAGAAAAAAAAAAGAACACGGCCCCATACGTGAGAGTGGTATCATCAATCATCAGTAACCGTGACGGGCGTAACAAACAACCCACCAACTCCGGGCCGTTCGTGTTAGGACGTTGTTGCGTCCAGGCCCCCTGAATTCCGTAACCAGTTTAGAAGCCTTTACCCAATCATCTACTCCTGTACTCTGGTTTCCTGGCCATGTTTACCGCCGGCGGCGGGTCGTCGTCTAGAGGATAAGGCAAGAGAGAGCCCCCGAGGGGACGTCGGCCTCCCGAGGTCTGCTTCTCGGGCAGCGGCGTCTTCGGAGGCAGCGGAGGTGGCTCGATACGGTGTATCTGGTAGGGCTGCGTCATAGACTGCGCACTCGGCTCTCGGTACTGTCTTCGCGGGTACTCGCCGGACGCCTTCTTCTCCGAACCCACCGCGGCGCGGTACTGTGCCGGGGTCGGAGCTGTTACCACGAGGCGATCGTCGTCGTCGGGGGGAGGAGGCCGGATTGATGACGATAGGGATGCGGGCGACGGAGGCTTTTGCGGGCGCGAGGCGATTTGAGGCGGGGAGGAGTGGCTCGTAGAGGGTCGAAGGCGTTCGCCAGAATGGTGAGATGGCGGTGTGTGGGGATTGGCCCCGGACCCGGGGATGGAGAGGTTGTCTGTACCAGAATCGTACGACTGGCGACTGGGGGGAGAATTGCGAGCCGGAAACGTCAGGGGGTAGTCGCCTGGGAGTTCAACCGCGAACGGGATCTCGATGGAGCCCATGATCGGTGGAGAGGATGAGGTGATGTTCGGTATGCCACCGAGTCTCTCGTACCTCTGCTTAGCCCGGTGTATCTTGGCCAATTTGATCGCGGATGCTTGGACCATTCTCTGTTCCGTCTCTCTCGACAGATACCTCCTCGTGTTGGTGCTAATTTCGCCCAGCCGTCCCCACTCGTTCATGGCAAACTCCCCCACACCGATCTCGACGTTAAATCTGTAGTAGTTTTCGATGTTGACACCGCGTTTCAGCAGAAGTTCCTTTTTCATGCGCTCGTGGATCGCCTCGCAACCTTCCACCTTCGCCATCAACCTCCTCCTTGCCTCTGCAAATTCCCCTATGAAGCCATCGTACCAAAGGTGCTGATTTTGGTCGGTCCCCTTTGGCCGCTTTCCAGTTCCTACGCTAATGAATACGCCGACGTCGCGCCCCGGCCACTCGTTAACAGTGGCCTCGTCGAGAGCGTAAGGAGATGGATTGAACGTGCCGGCGCCGTCATCGTGGAACACTGTCTGTCCGATCTTAATAGACTTGAAGGCCATGCCAATTGCGCATGTGGCCCGGCCGGCTTCCCATATCTTGCAGTCATATTCGGGAGCGGGCTCTTTCCTAGAGTCGTACGACCTCAGAAGAGCCGCCTCTCCGCCTCTGCTAGTTCCTCTATACATGGCCGTTACCGCGCTAGAAGAACGTCAGCAACTGCGCCGCCAAGAACGTGATGGTGGAATGCGGGAGGGGGCTTACGTTTTGGTTCTGTTTTCTCTTGCGTCGTACAATCTCGCGTTCGGATCGCCGTCCCCGCCGCGAAATCCCAGCCGCGACTGACTGACCGGGCTACGGGCGCTGAAGCTGACCACGCTCGCGTTGCTTTGGTGTCGTCGCGGGACGCTGGCGCTAGACCGTGACGCGGTCGACAGCGGGCTAACGAGGGTCGAGGGTGCTCCGTCGTTGCCCTCGTCGTCCGAGACGGTATGTTCCCTCACGGCCTCCTTGATCGCATACTCTAACATCGAGGCCTTGAACAATGTGGAGCGGTAGGGTATGCCCGCGATGGTCTTGTCGGTTTCGAAGACCATTCTGGTCAGTCGGACATACAGCTCTTTGCACTGCTCTAGGTCCAACCGGAGGCGCCCGAGCATCAAGGCGATCAGCCCGCCGGTGCCGGTGCCGACTATCAAGTCGAAGTGATCGCACGGCTTAGGAATCTGGTCGCGTCGCGGCGCTTTGCCCTCAATCTCGACGTAGGTCCGGTGCATCAACTCTTGTATGATGATGAACATGGAGTAGCCGCGGACTCCTCCACCATCTGCGTCGGCGCGGGGCGCCGTCTGTTAGCCCCCTCTCCATCATCGCGCGAGGCGCAAGGGACGTCCAGCGACGGGAATCATCAAACTTACCCAAGCTAAGGATCCTTAAAGGGGGACCCTTAGTGGTGTCCTTTCTTCTCAAGTTCCCCTCCGAATCCATGTTGGTCGCGCGGGGTTGGATGTTTCGGCCGGCCGATATCTCGTCGATAGTACCTTCTGGGTGAATCGCGATCCCGGAAAACGGTAGAGGGGGAGAATTATGGATGGGGTTGGTACTATGTTCGCCCCCTCGTCTGGCTACGACGTCAGACTAGATGGATGAGGCGGGATGGACCGCGACTGTAGAACGCCACCGTGTAGAGGTCACGAGTCGGCAAGAAACAAACGGGGGGAGATTCCTGAGGAGGTCGGAGTGTTGTAGGGTCGCGAAAGGATTTGGCGAGCTTGGCGATTGCGAGGATGGATTCAGCACTCCTTGAAACTTGGTGAGTCACATCGCATGTCGAGAGCAGGAAAGCTGGAGGGTTGCCTGTGATTTGGTTACATACGACGCTCTCGAAGCTGGTGCTAGAAGCCGGGAGAGAGGGGGAGCGAGAGAGGGAGCGCTGGAAGACGGCGGATGGACGGACGCCGGGGGTCATCATGACGAGTGTGAGATTTGATTGCTTGCAAGTGCGAAGGCGCAGGATCATGTGGCTGAGCACAGGTACAAGCACGAGGGGTGGATGTGACCGATACTTGTTCTCTACGGCACGGAGCTCAGCATAACTCGGCACTGCCCAGCACAGCTGCCGACCCTGAACAAGTACCCGCTACATTGGTTGCCTCGTCGGACGAGGTATAGCCGCTACCGACCCCCCGCCAAGCAACCATACCGACGGTGGGTTGGACTCACATAGCGTCCCACCCGCTATCCACACAACCCGAGCTGCCGCGCAGGAAATCGGTTGCATAACTGACCAGTCGAGCGAGACGACGGCCGACTCAACCGACTCGAGAGCGCGATAGAGACCGAGTCGGAACTCCACATGCGACGGGCCAGGGAACCAATATCCAGGCCGAGTTCCGCGCGTACCTGCTTTACGTCCGTTGGCCCCTCCTGCTCCATCTGTCCCATCTGCGCTGTCGGTAGAGTGGATGTTGATAGCCTACCGCCTACATCATACCTGACCTCAAGATCGGCCTGGGTTCCCCGTGCGTAAGGAGGTCAGTATAGGAAACGGATCCATCCGACGGGGTAACTACCTGCCGTCTCCCCTGAGGTGCTCTCAAACCGAAAACCGATGGACAGAGGGATGCACGTAGGGCGTAGGGCACCGTCGTTGCGGCAGACTCTTCAACGAAGATGCGCCTAATCGGCATTTACGTGTGTGTCTGCCGACCGAGCCTTTACCTAACTTCAAGACAGCCCCAGAAACATCCACGTCACATGCCTGGTCTCATCCTCGCCCATGTCCGAACACCAAATCCAGTCACCCACCTCTCAGCCATAACCAGATGCGCGAGTCAGTGGTCAGCGAGGAGGCGAATATATGTAGGGATGCACACCGTACTTGGATGACACGAGGTAGGTACCCGCTGGCGCGGGAGCCCCAACTCTCCCGCGACTCTGCGCATATGCGGAAATTGTACGCATCGTCCGCTTCCTCCGCCAGCACCTCCGCTCCCTCGCTGGGTGTAGGCGAGTTACGCACGGTGCGTCGATGATTTCATTGCAGCTCATCGCCGCGCACAGACCTGACGAATGCCGAGAAATCGAGGCCGTTCGAGGGACCGGAAATCGTGGCGGTGCTGCCAACCCGTCTCGCTTACTCGGCGGTAAGGGTGGGGACTGGAGGAGAGAAGACAGCATTGCCACTTCAGCTACGCTGTACCATACTTATACGCGCGCACAACCATGCGACTCCAGACAGGTAGCGTCGCAATCGTATCTCGCCCCCGATCGCGGCCATCGAGATACGTAACGGGTTCGGCCAATAGGCGGCTGCATACCGGGCTCGGCTCTCGGGTCGGAGATCCGATCGTCCGCAGGCCGCCCACCGCTGCCCCTTTTCATGCCCTTCTAAGCCAGGCGCAGAAGGATGTTCTAGAAGGGAACCTGGCTATGTTCATCGCTCATGCCTACACGTAATCATCAGAAGATTGAAATGTGGGCCGGTCTCACGGCGAGCGGGAGGGTATTTAAATGAATGAATGAATAAATAAATAAAAACCTCAACGGCAGGAGAGCGTCGCGATGACCACCCAGGTATCAGGGTATACATATATATCTACATCGCCTCCATGGGGTGTGGATGTGGGTGTCAGCATCTTTCTATTGAATTCTATTCGCTTCGCACAACTGGCGTCCATATTAGCACGCATACCCAATCTAACGATATCTCAAGACAACCGCGTTGGGAGGAGAAAAAAAGAGGTCACGGAATGTCACCGGGTGGTTTTTGGCCGCTGCTAGCATCCCAGAAGCCGCATGCTCATCTCATAGAGGCGCGAGAGACCATTTAGACTTCTTCATCTCGGTGTTCGATGCGCCGATGCGATAACTTCGATCGGTCTCGGGTGAAAGCGGTCCACCGAACTGTACTCAGTAGTAGGGAAACGCCGATTTTGCTAACAATAAGCTCGTATAACCTTTTTTTTTTTTTTTGAATGGGCCGGGGTCTCCCACCATCGCCGCCGGGCCGAGCTGAGGAATTGTTTACCGCTGCTCTCGCTTTGTCCGACAGCTTAGACACCCTCTCTCTGCGCTGCCTGCCGGATCATGCAGCAAACAAACATCGAGCTTGTCGCCGCGGCCAAAGCAACGAGAGGCTCTCAGACGGCCGAGCTCTCAACAGGACCGCACGCGACAGAAGCCGAAGCTCATCGCTGTGCGCGTAGTGCACCTAATAAACCAGGCAAGTCCGGAGAGTCCTAATTATTATTATCGGCCCTTCTCGGGAGCGTTTGCATGCTCGGGCACGAGACGAATGAGAATGTGTCTTTCGCTTCCGGGAAGTCGAATATTACCACCATTCCAATCATCGATCGCGCTGAGTCAGCACATCGAGGCCAAACGGACGACCCTGACTTGGTTTGAAACCTAAAAGAATGAAAGTCGCGCAGCAATGTGCCGTCACGATTTAGCGTCGTTAACGTTTAGTATCGGCGTTGCCTGAGGCCGGAGGTAAGGTGAGCTCTGACGATTCACCGCAAGTGATGAATATGCAACCCTGACCTGTAAGGCGAGCAACTAACCCGCCCATGCTCCCCCCCTTCGCATCCTCGGTCAGATGGCCTGATGGTTTCACGGCGGGTGCGGAAACCCGAAATTTCCAATGGGCATCGGCAACACGATGATGAATCGCATCGCGCCGACAATGCGCTTTTTCCCACTGTTTAGCGCTGGCAGTTCCGCCTCTCGCAGCAGATTCGCATCCCTTTTTCTGGCGGCACGGTGCCAGGCCAGGGGCTCGTTTGCTACGTAACATACTAAACATACTACGTAGTAGGGCTACGGGATTAGTGGTGCGACGGTGGTCGCCGGCCGGTAACGCCAAGGCCAGCTTTACACGAGGAAGACCGTACAATAACATAGGTACCCACTTTATCCCACGGCTTATTAGCGTGCGCCCCAGTCGAGATTCTAGCAAGGTGTGGCTCGGTGCATTCCAGCGTCGTCACCCAGGTCGTGCAGCGTCGCAATCGTCTGCGTCTCGCGCGCAGGCTGGAAATTCGCCTACGCCGGATTCCTCTCGCCCTCCACGTGGAACGCGGACCCGGATTTCACCCTGCACCAGTGCGTCAGGTGAGGCTGAACCGCGAAGAGATTCGCAGGCGGCCGCGGTCGGACTCCGAGACGCGCGGAAGCACCCAGATGTAGCAGCGGCTACACGCGGTGTCGGCCATAGCGCGAATTGCCAGCCGGCGGCCTCGTGTCCTGGTCAAAGGCTGTCAGTCCCGTGATTTATCCACCAGACGCCGCAAACGTCCTCGCGCCCCTCTCCCGTCTGGACCAGTCGACTTGTCGGTCTAGGCTCCCGCTCAGTGGGCCTAGACCGTCTGCCCGGGTGAAAGAGACATCTTCGCTCCACTTCCGCCAACTTCGGGCTCGGGTCCGGACGTGAAGTTAGTTGCGAAGTTGGGTATGTGAGGTGGCATAGAGTAAATGGAGCCGGGGCTTGTTCTACCCCGTTCTACGCGTAGTTTTCGACCCGTGCTATTCGTCGATTCCCCCCCTCACTGCCCCATGTAGGGGACTCGTCAGAACCTGATGCCGGAATTGGTAGGCAGCACAGGCTGGCCAGAGTTTCGAGTTGGGCGTTACGAGCAACGCGACGGATCCTCTCCGACTGCAGGTCTGAGCGAGCAAACGAAAAGTGGCACAACGTTGGTTCGTACGTCACGTGGTCGAGGCCACCACCTCTGTGCGACGGAGGTGAGGTGTGCGAATGGGTGCCACCACAACCAGATCGCCTCGACCATCCTCTCTGTCTGACGGGAATGGAGGGTGAGAAGTCGACCCGTCGGGGTGAGACCAACTGACGGGGTCAGGAAAGGGCGTGAAAGTAAGCCAAACTAACCCACGCGCGAACCTTAGGAGGCTGGCCTCGCGATATTGGGTCTGTATGAGGAGAAGAAGGTAATATGTTAACTGTGTTGTGCGCTAATCGGGCTAGGTCTAGGTAACGTGAATGGTAGATTAGGTGCCTCGGGCGAAAAGCAGCAGGAAATGGAACGTTGTAAGGTAGGTAGTGCATGCTTCCGGTAGGAGGTAGGTACCTACAGAGCCACCCCAACCCTCGAACCTGACGCGGCGCGCCGTCGCAGATTACCGCGGATTGCCACAATGCTACCGCACCCATAGGTCGCCAGGCACGTATTGTGTATACCATCACCTATGAGTGCACGCCTAACTCCCTCCTCTTCTACCTACGGCTGCGTGCACACGTAGAGAGACTTGTTTTCTGCAGGTGTGTAGGCCTTTTTACCCCGAGGAGACGGCCCCAGACAGACCAGGGTGCCCCGGCCTGCGCTTTAGCCTCTGGTCCAATCCAGGCGGCGCCCGCCCACGTCTATTCGGCCCGGCCCCGGTCAAAGGTGGAGTTGTGAGGAGCAAGGAGCGCGAGGTGGCTAGGGCGACTGTCCTTGAGACAGGCCGCTGACATCATCCCACTGTGTGCAGATGAGTACCGGAGCTACCCAGGCTTGTCTGCCCTCGTCGCGCAACGCCGAGCTCGATCGATCCGCCGTGCGATTTTGCATCTCTCTCTGTCTCTCTCTCTCTCTCTCTCTCTCGCTCGCTCTCTTCTTGGGGGCGGCCTCGCTATCGAGCACGGGATGAGACATCCCAGCTGCAGAATGGTCGCCGTGGGTGCGGTTGAGACACCGCGATGGCGTGAGACTTGTTCGTCCCTCCGCATTGGATCCGATTCGATTCTGTGTTCTCGATTCTCCTACCCCGGGATTCGCGACGCTTTTGCCTGGGACGGGTCCAGGGTACGGTTGCGTCTCCAGGCAGAATTGGGCGCTTCCCCAGCCTCCTCCACTGGCCAGCGAGTCGTCTTCTGACCGCCCGCCGATCGTCAACTCGGATCAGTCCGGTTTTATTGTTTGCGTGCAGGGAATGACCCCCCCCCCCAATCTCGGGGCATCGTTGGCCCAAATGGCAATCTTGGAATCCCCCTCCTCGCCAGCACTTCCCACCCCATACGATCCACACCCATGCCACCCCCTTGTCTTGCCCTTCTCGTCGCGCATTCCAGCCACCAATAATTGCCAGCTCGGTGGTATTCCTGTCCTTTCCCTTGACAAAATTGGCCGTTTCGTCCGCATGTGGCACGACAACGAGGGTTAGCACGCATGTGACCTCGAGAAAAAGTTGGGGAGTCCCGCCGCGCTGGGAGTCACAGCTAAGTCCTGGTCGCGTACTATGTACGATGCATACGGTACCTGTACGAGATCGGGACGGGTGAGGGCCACAAGTTCCAGGCGAGAGAACCAGGCGTTTGGATGCTTGCTCAGCTAACATTCCTCGCCGCGAATCTCGTGACGCATCAGCTGGGCCAGCGGTTCCCTGTACCTAGAACGGCCCCTCGTGCCGGCCGTCTGGGAACGGTCCATCCATCGTGAGTAGAGAGGTCTCCCACAGCCTCCCGATGGAGGGTGACCCCAAGCAATCGATGCTCCAGGTCAAAATCCGGGGATCCGCGTGGGATTGTACGTACATCGGGAAGTGCTCGGATATTCGAAGTGCCATCCTCGCACACCCCCGGATAGGCACGCCACAGGAGGAGGTCCAATGACTGGTCATGCTTTGTTGTAAGCATCAAAGGGCTCCGACCCCAGTAAACTCTAATACATCCTGTCTGTCCTGGCGATGCCTCTCTGCATATAATAGTCGATCGACACCTCGTCCCCCAAAGCTTACCCTTTCTGTCTCTCTCGAGTCATTCACCCAACCCCCTTCTCCTCCCTTATCCCTCGATATCTGAACCACCCAACAACAACTAGACTTGCGTATAGGTTGCCGACAGACCACGCGGGGTCTTAGACAGTATGAAGACGGTAGGCAACATCTACATCATCGCGGCTACGTCCGTCATAGGTGAGCCCACCCACCTGCCTGCCGCCTCTACCCATTTCGCTCTCTACCGTGTCCCGCGCCGCCTCGCCGGCGGGGGCTCGCGCTGTCGCAGAGGAAGTGCTAACGCTATCGGCTAGGCGGCGCGCTGTTCGGATTTGATATCTCGTCTATGAGCGCTATCATCTCCACACAACCATACAAATGCCAATTTAACCAGCAAGTTAGTCTCCCTGCGTGAGCGGCGTCTCGCTACATCTGGCCACTGTGCCGTGCTGACTTCCCATAGGGAAATAACCCCATAACCGGCCAGTGCCAGGGGCCGGACGACGTCCTGCAGGGTGGAATCACCGCCGCCATGCCCGGAGGGTCGTGGCTTGGCGCCCTCATATCCGGTTTCTTATCCGATATCTTCGGCCGAAAAAAGGCGATTCAGATCGGCGCCGTCATCTGGTACGTGTCGGCGTAACCCTAACGTGTACTCTGAATCTGTTCTAACGCGTGTGACTCGGGCAGGGTGATCGGCTCTATCCTCGTTTGTGCCTCCCAGAACATCCCTATGCTGATTGTCGGACGTATCATCAACGGTCTGAGCGTGGGCATCTGCTCTGCCCAAGTCCCCGTCTACATCTCCGAGATATCGCCACCATCTAAGCGAGGCCGATTAATTGGCATGCAGCAATGGGCTATCACTTGGGGTATCGCTATCATGTTCTTCCTATGTTACGGTTCCAGCTTCATCCGCGGAGCGGCGGCCTTCCGTCTCCCTTGGGGCTTGCAGATGATCCCGGCTATTATCCTGTTTTTCGGCCTCTTAATCCTTCCCGAGTCTCCGCGTTGGCTGGCGAAGCACGACCGCTGGGAAGAAGCCCACGAAGTGCTCGTCTTGGTCCACGGCAAGGGCGATCCTCGATCGGCGCTCGTCGCTAAGGAGATGGCCGAAATCAGGGAAGTGGTCGAATTCGAGCGTGCCAACGCTGACGTCTCCTACCTCGAGCTGTTCCGGCCCCGGATGATCAACCGTACCCATATCGGTGTCTTCACGCAGATCTGGTCGCAGCTCACCGGTATGAACGTCATGATGTACTACATCGCCTACATCTTTACCATGACCGGGTCAGGCGACGACGTATTGCTGCCCAGTGGCATCCAGTTCATCATCAACGTCGTCATGACCGTTCCCGCTCTTATCTGGCTCGACAGGTGGGGCCGCCGCCCAACCATGCTCGCCGGTGCCTTCTTCATGTGCCTCTGGCTCTGCATCAACGCCGGCTTGTTCGGTGCGTACTCGCGCCCGGCGGTGCCCGAGGACGGATTTGATACCGCTGCTATCTCGATGGTCATCTCCGGACGCGCCGCTAAGGCCGTGATTGCCAGCACCTACCTGTTCGTCGCCTCCTTCGCCACGACGTGGGGCCCCGCCTCTTGGACCTACCCGGCCGAGCTCTACCCGCTGCGCGTACGTGGTAAGGCTGTCGCGCTCTCGACGTCGTCTAACTGGGCCTTCAATTTCGCCCTCGCCTACTTCGTCCCGCCCGCATTTGCCAACATTTCGTGGAGGACGTACGTGCTGTTCGCCGTGTTCTGTTTCGCCATGTTCTGGCACACGTTCTTCCTGTTCCCGGAGACGGCCAACAAGACTCTCGAGGAGGTCGCGGACATCTTCGAGAACAACAACCCCGGCTCCATCAAGTACATCGGCACGCCGGCCTGGAAGACGCACAACGACCGGTCCATCCTCAGGGTTGAGCGCAACCTAGTCAGCTCCGAGGAGAAGATTGGCATCCAGCACAGCACCGAGTCCAGGCCTCAAGAGTGACGAGAGAGCTACGAGCAGGGAAGGGTATCGCCCGGCGGATAGAAATCGGAGTCGGGGTAGGCGGCGACGAACCGCGAAGAAGAGGAGGCTATTATGGTATACCCCATTTGGAGGCTCCCGATGGGAGGTAAATTTCTGGACAAATTTTGCAGCTAACAATGGAATGGAAAAAAAAGCCGGACGGTTGCTGGACTCCTGGGCAGGACGGGGCCGTCAGAAACATCACTACACATATCTAACCAACTTTTTCTTGGGGAAACCAGTGGCAGTTTTAATGGATGGGTGGGATACCGACGACAGTTTACGAATGTTATATATATACCCCGCGTGCCTACGTAAATACGACTGATGCAAAAGCTGAAAACCCCATTTCCGCCCGTGTGATAATTGAGACACATTTGCCAACGCTGGCCAAAGACTCTGGATAATCAGCAAAGGGTGGTAAAGGGCGGAGTCGTCGAAGTAGGCATAGCGTATCGATAACCCATGCATGTAACTTGGTGTCTGTGTATGCCGCTCCCTGCGTTTCCTGGGCCCATTATCGGCCGGCAATGAGGGGGGGCACCATACGCTTACCTCTCGGTAGGTTGCCTACACGTAGTTATGCCCTCTTTTCCTTGTTGCCAACCCCGACCGCAGATCGCTCGACGGCGCATACGTTATCCCCTGGTCTGGGAACGGCTGCTGACAGGTTTCTCCTACGGACCGACGCAGATGCGCGAGTGCGAAGATATTATGCATGTAGCTGGATAGGTAGGTAGGTAGGTAAGGTAGGTAGGTACCTATTACTTAGAAACTCGGAACCAATTCGCGAGGCTCGACCGGGCCTGATTGGACGCGGCCCACGCGCGCGCCTTTGATGGGGAGGGAGGGATGGGTTACTGGCAAAGGGGGGGGAGGGGGGGGCACCGACTCGGCTCGCGACGGAGAAGCGATGGGTGGTGGAAGCGAGGCGGAGGCTGTCGTGGTGGGAGAGGCGGTCGTGGCGTTGGCTCGTCGTTGAGCGAGGGCCTGTATAGAACAATGTGTGAGTCGGTATGCGTATCATATGTGTGTGGACGGCGCGATACAGGCGGGTTAGGTGGCTTAGGTGTCTACAGTGGACCGCGAGGGTATGGGCATCTATACGTAGGTGTTGATGTTGTGTGCATAGGCGGTATAGGTATGGATGCGTGTAGGAGGAGAGCGACTGGGGACGGATTCTGACAAAGGGGAATGATGTATTCATCTATCAGAACGAGTTATGCAGGTAGGCATATACGACGATGAGGAGTGTGGGGATCAACAACGGACCCACGTCCCACCCGACCCAGCTGGAGAGTGGCACCAAATCTGAATGCACCAGCTGGGCGAGACCACCACCACCCATTTGCCCGTCGAGGCCCAGCGAAAGGCACCACAACCCCCAAATCCAGCCTTGCGCCGTAGCCTCTCATCCAGCCTGATTCACACAATCCCAATCCTCTCGCATCCCACTCTCCCCCCCCTCCCCCGGCATCATTGGCGTTCTTGTCACCGTGCCCATGCTTTCCAATTGTTGCCTTTGAAGCAATTCCCCCGATCCTCGCCCTCCTCTCCCACCGCCCTCGCCGTCTTCCGTCGCCAATTGACATCCGTCCCATGGATCAGCCGGCGGCAAAGAAGAGAAGGCTGGCACCCAAGATCGAGGCGCAAGCGAGCCCTCCGCATCCGCCGGCCTATGCCCATGAGCCTGTATGTATCGTCGATGGATCGGGCATCCAACCCTCTACTCACACCGCCAGGCCCAACCCGCCCAACATTTCCAGGCTCAGGAGGCCCCTCCTCCCCCCCCCGAGCGCCACGAGTTCGAGTCCTTCGCGAGACACCTGCAAGATGCCGCCATGCTTATATACCGACAAACCCAAAAGTCCCCCTATACCAAAGCCTCCGTCCTCCTGCTGAGCTGGAGCGAGGACAATTCCGTCGAGGAGGACTTGGTCGGCCTCGACCAGGTCCTCCGCGACCGCTTTAATTACCGCACCGAACGCTTCGCCATACCCGCCACCGCCACCGCCAGCACAAAGCTCGGCATTCGCATGGCCTCCTTCCTCGAACGCGCGGGGCCCGACCACCTTCTGATAATATACTATGCTGGGTATGCGTATGCTGGCGCGGATAATCAACTCTTCTGGGCAAGGTAGGTTGCCTCCCGTCAGCGTGGTCGGGCCGTTCTGACGGAGAATCAGCAACGAGCGGGACGATGCGGCTAAACTGCGGTGGGCCGGATTTCGCTGTCTCTTCGAGGAGGCCGCGTCTGACGTGCTCCTGCTTCTCGATACCTGCGCCTCGAAAGAACAAATCGTCCCCGGCGGTGGCAGCGTGAAGCAAGTTATCGCCGCTAGCACCCCCGAACACCATTCCCGAGACCCCGGCTTGCGGTCATTCACGTCACACGTCATCGACGCGTTGACCAAGCTGAGCGCCGGAAGGCCGTTTACGGTGGAGCAGTTGTATCACGATATTGTTGTCCAGAAGCAACACGAACTTACACAGGCGTCAGGGTTAACTAACGGAGCGAGCAAGAGCCTTCCCTTTTCCGAGAAGATACCCGTCTTCTACACGTTGAGCTCTGGCAAAGGCCAGGGCCTTTCCCTCTCTCCGCTGCCTTCGGACACTGAGACGCAATCGCGGTCTCCGCGGGCGAGCGTGGATGCCGACGCCCAACTACTCAAAGCGTCCCGCGAAGATCCCATCCTCCACCCGAGCGCCATAGCCGACTTGACGTTTGACGAGCCGAGAGTCCTGGTCTGCACCACTTTTGTTGGCGAGGCTAGTCCGGACATGTCCTCTTTCAACCATTGGCTGCACAACGCCCCTGCTATCGCCTCGAAGATAGCTGTAGAAGGCATGTTTCTCGGGCCACCCACGATGCTGCTCATATCGATGCCAGTCGCGGTCTGGAATGTGGTGCAGCATGATAAGGTCTGCTGCTTCCTAGGATACGTGAACTCTCATAATATGACACATCTGTATAACCGCTTAGTCGGATCCGTGTCCGTCAACAAGGCGTCGGCGAAGGACGTGGAAGATGGCCGGATGCTTCTCGAAGCGCGGGAGATGGCCGTGCATACACCCATTGCGCGCCGCCACGAGCTACCGAATCACGCGCCGTTGCGGCCGGAGACACCAATCCGACCAGAGAGCATGGGACGACTTGACCCCGTGAGCCTGGCTCAATCGTCTGTGGCTTCCAACGTGTCTTACACCAACTCCACACCAGGCGCAGCCGTCGCCAGCAAAAACGACGTGGAAGATTCTGCCGAGATGCAGGAGGCTGCCGAACAGCTCAAAGCCCTAAGTCATGTTCGGCACCTGAGCGGCGATACCACGCCTGGCGCGCACGCGCAGCCAACCCCCGCGGACGACATAGAGCCTAGCAGACACGAAGAGGTGTCTGCTCACGACGCGAACGAATCCGGGGCCGACGCGACCCAATATCATCCCGAGTTCCCGACGCCATCGCGGCCCAAGCAGCCCCGCCGATCGCTTCAGAAGCAGACCCCCAAGCAGGAGACCCGCTGCAACATGTGTAGCCACGCGCCTTTCAAGGATTCCTCGTCGCTGCGTAAACACATCGCCGCCGCCCACACCCGTCCGTTTCCCTGCGCCTTCGCCTTTGCCGGCTGCACGAGCACGTTCGGATCCAAAAACGAGTGGAAGAGACATATTGCCTCGCAACATCTGTGCCTACAGTACTACCGGTGTTCGTCCTGTCCGCACACCGCGGCCGAGGGCAAGGGGAACGAATTCAACCGCAAGGACCTCTTCACGCAGCACCTCAGGCGCATGCACGCGCCGTTCGCCATCAAGAAGGCGATCGTGAAGGGCGACAGCAAGCTGCAGGTGGACTGGGAGAACCACGTGAAGGAGATGCAGCAGTCGTGCCTGGTGACGCGGCGGAAGCCGCCGCAGCGGTCGTCGTGCCCGAAGCAGGACTGCGGGAACTTCTTCGAGGGGCCGACGTCGTGGGACGAGTGGACCGAGCACGTCGGCAGGCACATGGAGAAGGGCGAGGCGAGCCGGCTCGGCGTCGACCGGCTGCTGGCGAAGTGGGCCGTCGACGAGGGCATCATCGAGCGCAGGGACGACGGCGACTACCGGCTCTGCAGCGGCGCCGGCGGCGCCAGCGCCGACCGCGAGCCGCCGGCCGCCGGCAGCGTCGAGTGCCAGCCCGACGAGCGGGACGGCGCCAGGCCGCGGGACCCGAACGACCGCACGATAATAGCCGCGAGCACGATGGTGGACAAGATGGACGTCGACGAATAGCAACAACAACGGCCCGGCCGTAGACGCGCGCGATGTCTGCTTGTCGGTGCTTTTTTTTTCTTTTTGGGAGGGGAGGGGCTTTTCTTTCTCGAGCCAGAGCATTTACGGGACCCGGACCATCTCACGAAACAGCATCATCCATCATTTTTTTTCTTTCCTCATCATCGGACAGCGAGGCTATCGCGCATATACGGCATTTCTCTTTTCTAAGACCGAGCGGCTACAGCGCGTTTTACGAATCGTATCTTCTTTTTTTGGTTGTTTTGGATTGGGGGACGACGAGGAGGAGCAGAGGCGAAGGTTTCGTCTTCCTCCCCTCCGCCCTCCCTCTCTCTCTCTCTTCGGAACCGTGTCTCTTCGTCCGGGACAAAAACCCCCCTGGCTAGCCAGACGATGCGGCGTACGATTCCCACGGTCTCCCGCGCGCAACATGTTGTCCTACTCCTACGAGGTTTCGACTTGCTCCTTATTCGGAAAGCGTACGTGCGGAAGGGGAATGTGGGGGAATAGGAAAAAAATAGCCAAACCCCGAAACGAAGACAAAAGACGAAGAAGAATCCCGAGTCTGGCTAAGGACCGATTTGTACGACTATTTATACCTGCCCGACCCGACCCGACCCCTCCCGTCCGGAGTATCGTCGTTAATCGTCTCCGGCCCGGCATTCGTCAGCTGTGTGTGTGGGGGGGGGGGGGGGGGGGAAGGAGGGGAGAAGGGAAAGAGGGGGGGAGAAGAGCAGGAAAGGAGTCGATATATAGGGGAGCAAAGCGGTGGGGGGTAGGCTCGAATTGTGCAGGGTATTTTTGCTACGGGCGTCGCAGTTATTCTAATCATCGGGATGGGCGGGCGAGAAGGCAAACCGGAGATGTTGCGATTATAGTCTCGCAGTTCGTAGTCGATCACTAGGCTATATAGGTAGTGAGTGGCACACGCTCGTATATATATGTCTATATATAGGCGCAAAAAAGGCATCGTGGTGGCTTGTACGGTAGGACTCACTTACCCGAGAGGGCCTGTCGCGGCTGAAACCTTCCAAACTGTCACCGTCGTGGGTGTGTGCGGACGTCTTCTCGCGCAAGCCCTTGGTCCGTCCCATCTATATCCATCGACAATATTCCCGTCCGCTTTCTCTCCCCTCTCTCCGTCTCGAGCCGAGCTCCTCTTTACGTAAGCATTCCCCGCACGCAGAAACTGATGATTTTCTGCAGCGGCGACGGGGTTGTTGAGGGCTCTGTGGGGAAGGCTCTTTTGGCCGTAGCCGCGTCGGGTTAGGGGCGTACATGGGTAGGTACATGTACATGCCCAACAACCTGCCAGGGGGGGTACCTTTTGCGTACCGCCTCGAGTACCTTAGGTACCTACCTACCTGTGCGACCAGAGGGAGGGAGGCAGGTCGGCGCGAGCGAGGCGCCGTTACGAGGAGGCGGCGAGAGCAGGCCCAGAGGAACCAGAGGAATGAAAAGAAAAGAGAAGGGCACCGAGACACAATCGAATTGGGCTGCGAGTTGCGAGCTGAAAGTACATACGCGCACACGGCCAGCTCGCCGGCATGTACCTGCGACGTACAGGAGGAGGTACATACCAGCGATGCAACTCGGTACTGTCGTCGATCCCAGCGGACCCCTGATCATCTGCCCTTTTTTCCCCCTTTGTCCTCACCTCCCCCTCGCCTCTCTCCCTCTGGGGTTAGAGAAAACAAATGGAAGAGAAGCTCCGGGGAAGCTCCGCGAAAAGGCCGCCGCCGTCACTGGCGACGACGGCCGCTCAGATGAATATAAATAAAAAAAAAAGGCCCTTCTCCTCGGCTCTCTAGATGCAGCTCTAGCTCTGAGCTCCCCAGAGCCTCGCTCCGCCCAACTCCGCCTACCCCATGTCCCGTCTGCTTCCTCGGTCTGGGGGCTGCGGCGCTTCTGTCGCTCGACCCCGTGACCTCACGCCTTTTCCTCGAGCTTTGCTTTCTTTCCGCGGTAGACGCAGTGGACTTGGCTTGCTCCCCCCCTAGGATATTGGCATGGCGGCGCCCGAGGGAGCGCCGAAGGCGGTACCGACCGACCGACCGAGTCCCGCGTACGACTGCTTGGGCAGTGAGCGCATTCGGGATAGACGACATCATACTCTGCGCTGACCGCCCTTGCACCAAGCCGTATGCGCATATGTGTCATGCGCGCTCGGCGTCGCCCAGGGCCGTCGCGGTTACCTACCCACCTAATTGTTCCTGGGCCGACCCCTCGGATTGGCTAGAGTGAATCGGCGACGAGAAATCATAATAATAACGATATAATCCAGCATGGAGAAATATTTGGGGTAGGTATATGCGGGGGACGCTTGGGGATGTGTCGATCGATACTACCTCGTATAACTATAGAGAAAGCCTTGCCCGCCACCGTGAATGCGTATAGAGCTATAGGTTGTATATAAGTCCCAGAACCTCGCCGCCGTAGGGGATGAAAGGGGGAGGTAGAAATACGAGCAAGGGCCTTTGGAGTTGGGCAGCTTGGTTTCTGTATACTACGCGAAGGTCGCTATTGTCTCGCGGCACGTATATCGGACTCGGACGCGTGGGATCAACCTTCGGCGCGTGGTGTACGTACATACGTCCATGATGGCGAGCCGATTGCTCTTCACGGCGGCAGCAGCGTCGGCCACTGCTATCGCGGCGAGAAATTACCCCGGTGGCGATCCTCTCGCGGCCTGTCCCGGGTATGCCGCATCGAATATTGTCCAGACGGCAACGGGATTGACTGCCGACCTGACTTTGGCCGGTGGGGCTTGCAATGTGTACGGAGAGGACCTGGATGATTTGGTTTTGGAAGTTTCTTACGATACCGGTAAGTATGTGTGTCACGCCGTCGTGCCGGGCGGGAAAACTAGAGGTGTGATGTAGGCAGGCAGGTGTTGCTAACACGACTTCAGAAACTAGACTTCACGTAAAGATCCAAGACGCCGCCAATAATGTCTACCAGATCCCCGAGTCCGTCTTCCCCCGGCCGGAAGCCCCGGGTGTCGAAGAGGCACAGTCTGCGCTGAAGTTCGACTACACCGAGAGTCCCTTCTCCTTCACCGTGTCACGCGCAGATTCGGGCGAAGTCCTCTTCGACACGTCGGCCGCGAGCCTGGTGTTTGAGTCCCAGTACGTGCGGCTGCGGACGAGGCTGCCCCAGAATCCGAGCCTGTACGGGCTGGGTGAGCATTCGGACCCCTTCATGCTGAACACGACCGGCTATGTGCGCACGCTGTGGTCACAGGACTCTTATGGCGTTCCCGAGGACGCCAACCTGTACGGAAATCATCCGGTGTATTACGAGCACCGCGCGAGCGGGACCCATGGCGTCTTCTTCCTCAACTCTAACGGCATGGATATTATCCTCGACGACACCCCGGAGGCTGGCGGTCAGTACCTCGAGTATAACACTCTCGGTGGTGTGCTCGACTTTTACTTCGTCGCCGGCCCGAGCCCCGTTGAGGTCGCACGCCAGTATGCTGGCATTGTTGGGTTGCCCGCGATGATGCCTTACTGGTCTTTCGGCTTCCACAACTGTCGCTATGGCTACCAGGACGTCTACGAGGTCGCCGAGGTCGTCTATAACTACAGCCAGGCTGGCATCCCGCTCGAGACGATGTGGACCGACATCGACTATATGTATCGTAGAAGAGTGAGTCTCGTATACACATTCTCTACAGCCGACGTTCGAGTGGCAGTGAACTAACCGATTCCGCTAGGTATTTTCACTAGATCCGGAACGATACCCGCTACACAAGATGCGTGAGCTCGTCGACTACCTACACGCGCACGATCAGCATTACATAGTAATGGTAGACCCGGCGGTGGCGTATCAGGACTTCCCGGAGGCGTTCGGGCGCGGCGTCGCAGACGATGTGTTCATGCGGCAAGCTAACGGGTCTGTGTGGAAGGGTGTCGTCTGGCCGGGTGTCACCGCTTTCCCAGACTGGTTCTCTGCAAACATTACGAGCTATTGGAACGGCGAATTCGAGCGTTTCTTCTCTCCGGAGTCTGGTGTGGATATCGATGCTCTCTGGATTGACATGAACGAACCTTCCAACTTCCCCTGCTTTTTCCCCTGCGACGACCCCGACACTGCCGCGATTGGCTACCCACCAGAGCCTCCACCGGTCAGATCACCTCCCAGGCCGTTGCCGGGCTTCTCGTGCGACTTCCAGCCCGAAGGCACAGACTGCACTACGATCGAAGCGAGGACGGCCCCCCAGACCCGCGACGTTGCATTATCGCTGCCGTCCCGCAACAAGCTGGCCAACCTCGTCCCGCGCCTGGTCCCGACCGAAAATGGCCAGGGCAAGGGCATCCCCGGGCGTGACCTACTGTTCCCCAAATACGCGATTCATAACAAGGCAGCGTGGACGGACGACTGGAACGCCGGACAAGGCGGCATCTCGAACAAGACGGTGAATACAGACCTGATACATCAGAACGGACTCACCATGTACGACACACATAACCTATACGGTAGCATGATGTCGATCGCGTCGTACGAAGCGATGCTGGCACGGCGCCCGACGAAACGGCCTCTCATAATCACGCGCTCGACGTTCGCAGGCGCAGGCACGAAAGTGGGCCATTGGCTCGGGGACAACCTGTCGTTGTGGGCGCACTACCGGCTCGCGATACGCAGCGCGCTCGCCTTTGCAGCCGTGTACCAGGTGCCAATGGTGGGGGCGGACGTGTGTGGCTTCGGTGGTGATACGACGGAGCAGCTATGCGCACGCTGGACGGCTCTCGCGGCGTTCGCGCCCTTCTACCGAGTGCATAACAGCCTCGACTCGGCCCCCCAAGAACTCTATCGGTGGTCGCGCACGATAGAAGCGGCGCGCAAGTTCCTCGCCATCCGCTACGCGCTGCTCGACTACGCGTACACAGCTCTGCACACACAGACGCGCGATGGCACACCCATGCTCAGCCCTCTCTGGTACGCGTACCCAGATGACAGCAAGACGTGGGCACTCGACCTGCAGTACTTTTACGGCCCGCACCTGCTCGTCGCGCCCGTGACGGAGGAAAACAGCGATAAGGTAGACGTGTACCTACCCGACGACGTGTTCTACGACTGGTACACGGGAACGCGAGTCGAGGGTAAAGGGGCGCACATTACGGTCACGGAACAAGGGTGGACAGACCTGCCGCTGTATATCAAGGGAGGCGCCATCGTGCCACTACGACAGACTACCAGCATTGGTACTGCTGCTGCTGCTATCGGCGGCGAGGGAGATGGACAGCCGATGACGACGCGCGAGCTGCGCAAGCGGCCATTCGAGATCGTGGTCGCCGTGGGGCGCGACGGGCGCGCTAGCGGCAGCTTGTACCTAGATGACGGCGAGAGCATCGAGCAGCCGGCCGGCGCGACTACGGAAATTAACTTCACGTTCGCCAAAGGCGTGCTCCGAGTCAACGGCACGTTCGGGTATCGGCCGGATCCGTCAGGTGGCGGCGACGACAGCCTGCGCGTCGCGAAGGTGACGTTCCTTGGCCTGGGAAGGAGGCGTCGTTCCGGGGAGGAGCGCGGGGACATAGTAAGCGTCGAAGTGGACAAGTTGCTGACGGAGGCTTTCACCGTGGCCGTCTAGGCAGGTCAGCAAAGGGAGATAATAAGGATAGAAAGGGGATAGACGCTAGGTCCGTGGCTTGCTTGTAATGGCAGCTATCATGAACATATGAACTGTCATGTGCTTTTGGTGTGGATAAGCGTGAAGAGGGAAAGGGGGGATGGAGAAAAAAAAATAGGGGGGATGGGCGTGATGCTAGGAAGGAGTTGGGAGATAACAAGCACACGAGATAAATAGGTAGGTAGGTATAGTTACCAAGATAACCCTACACTCTCAACCTAATCCAGCGCTTTGTAGCGGCGAGTCAACGAAGAGCCAGAAACGCCCCCCCCCCCCCCCCCCCCCCCCCCGGCTCCCTGGATCCGTCAAGGCAGCACGTATCAAGGCTACGACGGGGTTAACATTCGTCCGTCAGCGTTGTCCTATCGCTCGACTGTCCCGGGCGTGAGCCTGACACAGGTGCACACGCGCCACGGACCAACTGACGCAGATACCCGCAGAGCGCCCAGATTTCCGGGTTCCCCAGTGCCCAACGCCCATTCAATCGGTCGATCGGTCGTCTTGGCACAGCAACTACCACAGCTGCGAAGCGGGTTAGGTGACGCGAGATAGGTCGTCGAACGGGCGGGATGAACCACCGGACATCGAGTCGAGGGGAGGATGGCCGCACGTAGGCAAAGGACGCTCTGTGTGATGATGGCGTGCTGGACTCGGTACGATGGGTTCGGCGTCGACCTGCTGGAGGAGAGGAGAGAAGAGGAGGGGAGGCGAGAACGGAGGAGGTGGGCAGGAGGAGGAGGAGGAAGTTGCGACGGGTGTTAGTGCTGGTACGACGACAGTGCGTGATCACGCCCGAACCTTGTGCGCGTCTCCTGTGCGTGCCTCGCTCCTTCCCGCTGGCGACGATGTACGAGAGCACGAAGTACACAGGCGTAGCGGGACGGCGATGACGATGATTGGCCGCGGCGTTCCCGCCGGCGTTTCTGCTGGCAAACAAGTGACGGCGTCGTTGCCTGCAAGCAGCCTCTTTCCTCACGCCAAACAAACCACCACAACATGAGAGTCGAGGTTTCCCCTGTGGATGTTTCCCCGGAGTGGAAACCGGAAACGACCAGCCCAGAAACGGAAAAAGACGGTACTTTATCTTTTCCACCTCTGGTTTCTCTCTCTCTCTCTCTCTCTCTCTCTCTCTCTCTGTGCCCCGGATACCTGCTCACCAACATCCCCCTCCCCCTCCCTCTCTCACTCACACTACAGATCCATCTCACAGGGACCGACTCTTCCTCCGACTCCGACTCCTCGGACCGACCGCCCACTGCCCGCCTTCGCCGAGGGAGGGCCAGCAAGTCTCAGCAACATGGAGAGAAACACGGCGGCTCCCGATGTCGACATCTCGAACGGGACCTGCTATTTCAACATCAACAACAAGGCCAATGGCTTGTATATCCCTTGCGGCAATGTAGCCGTCGGCGTTGACTGGGCCTGCTGTCTGATTGGCGACCTCTGCATGTCGAGCAATGCCTGCTACCACCAGAACTGTAGGCTGGCTCCCACCCATCTATCCGTGACAACGTGTGGCTGACCGCCCCCTCTCTAGTCGAGATCACCTACGTAGCCGGCTGTACCGACTCAACCTTCCGCTCCCCCCAGTGCCCCCACAAGGGTCAGTTTGCGAACCAGCCGTGGGTCGGCCTCCAGCGCTGCGACCCCTTGACAGACACCTGGGGCGGCTGTGAGGAGGACGGGAAGGGGGACTGGCCAGGCCGCGGACCCCCGGCCGCGTGCAAGTGTGACGGCGACACCCAGCTCTTCGTCGACAAACCGAAGCTCGACTACATCGCGTCTTTGCCCACTTCACAGGGGGGATTTATCTCGTGGGGCGATCTCGGACGGCCAACCATTGCCCCGACGAATATAGCGTCCACCGCTTCGGACTCGACATTGACCGGTCCTTCGACGACTTCTGCTCCGCCCTTCACCACCACCATCTCTTCCGTCGATCTTAATGCAACAGCAGGGGCGACTCCGGCCCAACTCAGCGCTGTCCCGAGTAGCGACGCTACCGCCACCCAGGCGCCGGCCCTGCCCATCGCCGCCCAAGCCGGCATCGGTGCCGGTGCCGGCGTCGGCGCCCTCCTAATCGGTGGCGTCGCAGTGATGCTGCTCCTGCGCAAGCGCAAGGCCGCGCGCGCAGACTGTGCCCGAGCCGAGACACCGTCGGACCTCCCGGAGGGCACTTATATCGAGCCTAAGCTCTACGACGGAAACAACGGCCCCGGAAGCCCCGCCTTCTCCGGCTTCAAGTCAGAGCTGCCGGCTGACGAACCACTGCAGCACGGCAGCGCACAGCCGACGCCCCTTTCGTCCTCCTTCCCTCCTTCTCCGTCGCACGCCCAGGCCCCGATCCCACCGCAGTCAATGCCTGCTTCGCCGCAGGAGACGCACTCGCGCCAGTACCACGCGTATAACCCGCTGCTCCACGGCGACTACGCCGCGATGAAGAGCTACGACGATGGCAACCAGCAGCGCCGTCACTACCAGCAATCCGAGCCGTCGCTGCGCGTTGATGAGGCCGCGCAGCCGCCCGTCTCCCCGCTTAGCCCCCGATCCGAAACGCACGGCTCGCTCAGTCGGCGGGTCTCAGACGCGCCGCCAGCTGCGGCAGCAGGGCCCTCTTCCTCGTCGGCAGCGGGTGGAACCGCTTTTGAATTAGAGGGCTGACGAAGGGTCGCAGAGGGGCGTCGCGCTAACCGGGCCCCGGCCCCCGGTGTTGTACAAGGGAATCTGAAGGGAATTGGCGGGTTGCAGGAGAGCCGAGGTAGAAAAGGGAGACCTTACAGGGCTGAGCCCTTGGATTCGGAGATTTTCCCCCTCTATCTCCCCGCGCCGCCTTATCCGTCTTCTCCCACCAAGAGGGATTTTCATTTTTCCTGCTTGTTCTTCATTATGATACTATGCGATGGATTTTCACCGCTACGTCTGACTGACGGCGAGAACTGCTTTCTCCTTTTGCCTTTACCTTCCACACTACTCCTCTCAAGGTAGCCTGGAGTACAGGGTGCAGTTATCGTGGTCTAGGATTTGGAGAAGTCTTCTCGCCCATATCTAGATTGGAGGGGTGGAGGGTGCCAATATGTAGATAGTGGGCAGGTGTCGCCTTAATACCTATGTGAATGAGTAATTGCCTAGTTAGTACACGTGCACCTTATGTGAGTGAGAATGGCCCGTATAACAGTTGGAAAACCGTATTAAGATTTCGATACCGGTCGACTCCTAGCAGCCCGCCATCGGTGCGATGAACCTCGGCAGCGGGAGATGGGAAGATCTTCGGTAAGCTACGAGACGATGAGTAAGATTTATCCTTGCACATGATAATATCACTAGTTAGTGCGGTGATGTGCGGATGCCAGACGTCGCGTGCCTTGTCCTAACCACGTTGCCTACGTAGGGCTGGAGGGCCGCAGGTGTGGTTTCAAGAATCTAAAGTCCCTCCAGAAGGCTTGTTATCACGGCGATCCACTCATTCCGCCCCTAGTATTTGGGTGGGATACTATAACGGGGGTTAAACTCATTCTCGGTAGGGAGGATTGAGGGAATGAGCTTGTGTTAATATTACCGTCCCTTTGACCGCAACGATGGTCAGAGCGGTAGGAATCAGGAACCTTGTCCCAACATGCGACCGAGCGATGTGCTGCCACAGCCACACCCGAAACGAAAATTCCAAGCCCACGGTAACAAATTGCACCGATGTGGTGGAGCAATACATACGAGCGCCGAGATATTAGGGAGTGGGCTGGGGAATAGTGAGCGAGTTGCCTTAGTAGGGAGTTTCACTTACCTGCCAGCCCAGCCTGGAGGGGGAGACCTCAACTACCTATCATCACTAGGTAGGTTGCCATTACTTTGCTCCTCAATCCACGACGGAAGCGTTCTGTTAACTTCCAGGTACATATTTTTTTTTCTTCCTTCTTATCTCTGCCTGGTCTCGAATTGGCATTCACTTCCACACGATGGCAACAGGCTTCTACATTCAGGTACCGGTTCTGAGGGGACCTGGAGGGCCACGCGAGATCCCTTCGGCCTCCCTCCTCCCCATAGCCACTTTCTCTAATTACATGCCTAGCATACAAGACCACCACCAGCACCATATATACGTTCCCACCAGCTATCCCCCTCCCAGGTTTCTGCCTGCTGCAATGTATTTGTGTAGGGTATCCCTTTACCACACCATCGTCGTCGTCGTCGTCGTCGTCGTCGTAATCTTTGATAAGAGTAATAAATCTTGATACGATGCCAGTTTTGGACAGACTTGTTTATTAGGAAGAAGATGGCCACCCCCGATCCCGCCGGGCGCCTGCAGATCCTCCTCACGCCGGGGCTCCAGCCGCCGCCGGGCGTCGTCCCCAACTACTTCGACCCGCCGTCGATGGTCCCGATGGCGAGCGCCGTCATCGGCGTCACGCTCGGCCTGATGTACTGCTTCCTGGCCCTGCGCATCTACACCCGCGTCTGGGTCACGCACAATTTCCACACCGACGATGGTAACGCGCTCCGCCGCCGCCTCCGCCCGGGGGGCCAAAAAACAGACAGGACGCTAACCGTGTGCGCGCGCCCGCGCGCTCGCCAGTCCTCTGCATCTTAGCGGCAGTTAGTAACGCCCGAAACCTCATCGCGCGCCGCGCCTCCGCTGCCCCGGCGCCGACCGCATCCGCTAAGAACAGAACTTCTCCCTAGGCCAACGGCAGTTGGTACTGCGCCGTCGTAGTCACCGGTCAGTCGCACCCGCGCGCCGTCAATTCGGGTTCGTGCCATGGGCGCCCGCTGACCGCTGTTCTCGCAGCTCTCAACTGCCCGCTGGGCCGCCACCAGTGGGACGTGCCGCTCTACACGCTCAACGAAGGATTGGCTCGGGTGAGTCTTCCCCCCGGGCCCCCCCGGTCCCCGTCGATGGCGGGCGCAGAGAGAATGGTGGGCTTTCTGGTTGACTTGCAGTGCGGCTAGCAAACGGTCCTGATCATCTGGCTCTACGTGGCCGCCACGGTGTTCCTCAAATCGGCGCTCCTCGTCTTCTACTACCGGATTTTCGGGATAGCCACCGGGGCCAGAATCCTGATATGGTCGTCGCTCGCACTCATCGTCGTCAGCTACACCACCTTTCTCGTCGTAGACACGGCCATGTGCCCCCCGAGCGTCGACACTCCGGGCTCGCTGGCGGCCGGCGACGTCTTCGGGCCCGGGAGCAGGTGTCTGGTGTCGCAGAAGCTGCTCTGGGCCGTCAAGGCCGTCTTCGGCGTCGTCGCCGACTTCTACCTCCTCGGCATCCCCGTCGTCTTCATCGCCAACCTCAGGCTCTCGCCCAAATCCAAGATGCGCGTCGGCTCCATCTTCATCACGGGACTGCTGTACGTTGTGTCATCATCCCGCGCCCGTGCGTGCGCGCAGTTGTTCAGCGCTTCCCCCCACTCCCCCCCTTTTCATTAGCAGTAATCTTACCAAACCCCCTAGGGCCGGCGCGTTTTCCATTACCGCTGCTGTGTACCGCTTCCAACTGCTGAACTCTCCTGATTTCACGTGGTTCGCTACCCTGGCCTATACCTTCACGTAAGTAAAGTGTGTACTTGGTGGCCTCCCCTCTCCCTCACCCCCCCAGACCGTCCCGTGGCGGCGACGACGACGGAACTAACCAAGAACACCTCCTCAGAGCGGCCGAGCTGAACATTGGAATTGCCTGCAGCTGCATGCCGGTCGTGTTCACCGTCTTCCGCAGCGCGGCCCGCGCCGCGTCGCCGGACTCGTTAAAGAGTTGGGTCAAGGCGCGCCGGGCCCCCCGTCCGAGAGGTGTTCCGGCCTCTCTCGCAAGCCCCTGCTGGGAGGACACCGTGGCGAGGAAAGATTTGCTCCCGCGGGCGCCGAGACCGGCCGTGGTGGCGCCGAGAGCCTTGTCCCCCCTGACGGCTTGCTCTCGGGCATATCGCATGTCGCGAGACAGCGGCCTGAGCCTGGACGACGAGGACGGCTGCCGATACAGCTACACTGCCAATTACACGCGACAGGACTCGGGACCGGAGTACGACGACAAGATACACTGGATAGTGTGAACTATGGCGTTTCCCTCCCCCTTTCTTTTTGGCGAGGCCTGCAGGGCCCTCTAGATCTCTATCCCGCCAAAGCGGACATCTGTATTGATATATATATATATGTGTATATATACTCTGCGCAGGATGGTTTATACTAAAGGCTCGCGACCCCTGTTTCACGACACAGGTCCTCTCTCAGTTCGAAACTACCTAGAGGGTGGGGAAAATTTCATAGGCAAAAGATAGAGAAAAATATACACATGAATAAGAGGGACAACTAGGGAGACGTATGTGGCCTGGGCATTGCATTGCTACCGTATTACCAGATCCCGAGACTTTGCCTTCTTGGGGCGTCTCGAGTGCTAGGCGGACAGCTAATACCTATCGTAGGGAATAACCGTCTGCGTAGGACGCGTGTCTGGTTCCTATGCTCGTTCCCTCCCCGTGGCATCTCTGTTTCTCCCCGCGGGGGTCCTCGGGTGCTCTAAACCACGCCACGACGGTGCCTCCTGTCGCCAAGCAGAGCCGCGTTGCCCCTTAAGCCGCGAGCCGTGAGGTTCCTCACCATCTCTTCGTCCGTACTTTGATGTGATCGTCCTCGCAGGCTACGGATCTAGGCTGGGCAGGATTCCCTCCGTGGCAGTGTAGAAACGCCTTCCTACCCACCGGGACATATTTACGTACCTAGGTGTAGCCTGGCATTCCCTTATCCTGCGCCGAAAACCGGACGGTAATGCCCCGCTGTGCTGTGTATATGTATACGCGGGTAGGTACATGTGCACATACCCGTGTTTCCCCGGGTACCCAGGTACAAGCATGCTCTGCTTTTTGGGAGGGCAACAAGCCTCTCATTGGCCGGCTGGGGGTGCCAAGAACGCGCCCTGCGGAGGGTCTCCGCACAGGAGGCACTTGCGCCCTAATGTCTTAACTAGGCCCAAAGGGGAGTAGTTCCTGAAGGGACAGATGTGGATCCCTGCCGCCCTTATTCACTGCTGCCCTTGCCTATTCACCTTAGGAGATTAGCCAATATTCACTGCAAAAACGGCCAATATTCACCTGAATCTGGTTGATGTAAATAAGCAGTCAATTAGCAGTAGCCGTTAACTCCCAGGTATCTTAATATATCAGCTCAGGCATAACTTCAGCTTTCTAAAGATTCGCATACTAATTGATTACTTGGTATCGTGGGATCACAGGAAGCGAGCCAGCTAGCCAAAACGCAACCGCCTTAAAGGGTGCAGTCTGAATACTCGTGTACATGCATACTAATGTGCGGTTTACATGCATAGCCTGTAGGGTGCAACGTCTGACCCCAAGAGCAACGGCCTTCTCTCCATACCTACGTTGTGTGTAGCACTTCTGAAGACGTTGATTAATGATACGAGCCAAATACATCCCTTTGCCTGCCAGCCAAAGTAGACAGTCGTACCTCTCCCAGTCTTGTAGACACGTTCGGCTGCGCAGGGCGAGTCTCGTCTCGATGACCGGAAGCACCTCAGAACTGCCGCCCTCAACGGTGGAATGCCTACGAGACGGCTGTACAAACGAGGCCGGGAATTTGCAGTGCCCGACGTGTCTGAAACTAGGCCTGGAAAAGAGCTACTTCTGCTCCCAAGATTGCTTTAAGCAGGCCTGGGTGGGTTTCCGTTGTTATCTCTTCACCAAGGCTTCGGGCTAACAGACATCACCTCGTAGAACCAACACAAATCCATACATAGAACGGCGCAAGCCCCGGCCCGAAACGGTACCGGCCACAGCCTCGCTCCCCAAGGGGGTAGTGGTTGTAAGCCGGATTCCATTACCGGATTCTTCAACCCGTTCCCGGGCTTCTCGTTTACCGGCTCCGTCCGGCCCGTCTATCCGTTGTCTGCGAAACGCACCGTCCCCAAGTCCATCGCGCAACCGGACTACGCCGATACTGGGATCCCCAAAAGCGAGCAGCGCTTAAACCGAAATAAAATCGACATATTGGACGCTAAGGGGCAGGAGGGCATGCGTAGGGCTTGCAGGTTAGCTCGGGAAGTGTTAGACCTCGTCGCCGCGGAGCTCAAGCCGGGGATCACCACGGACTACCTGGACGAGGTGTGCCACAGAGCCTGCGTCGAACGGAATGTAAGTGCGGCGCGCTTTTGGACGACGTAGACCGCTTCTAAACCTCGGCAGTCGTATCCCTCGCCTCTCAACTACAACCACTTCCCTAAATCGCTGTGTACTTCGCCGAACGAAGTAGTCTGCCACGGGATACCCGACCAGCGACTCCTGTTAGACGGCGACATCCTCAACCTAGACATCTCGCTATACCACCAAGGCTACCACGCCGACGTCAACGGGACGTACTACATAGGCGACCGGGCCAGGGCGGACCCGGACTCGGTCCGACTAGTCGAGACGACACGGGAGTGTCTGGATAAGGCAATTGCGCTCGTGAAGCCCGGGACGCCGCTCCGAGAGTTCGGCAACGTGATCGAGAAGCACGCCGCGTCGCGAAACTGCCACGTCGTGAGGGTCTGGGGCGGCCACGGCATCAACTCCGAGTTCCACCCGCCGCCGTGGATCCCGCACTACGCCAAGAGCAAGGTGCCGGGGGTGTGCAAGCCCGGGATGGCCTTCACCATCGAGCCCATCTTGGCGCTTGGGAAGCCTCACGAGGTGTATTGGCCGGATAACTGGACGAACGCCACAGTAGACGGCAAGCGGACGGCCCAATTTGGTATGTGGAACCTAGTCGCAGTCGGGGTCGACTGTTCCAATGCTTACGTCTGCGTAGAACACACATTGCTCGTCACAGAAACGGGCGTCGAGGTTTTGACGGCAGCAAACGAAAATTCCCCGGGGGGGCCAATACCTATGCCGATAATAGCAGCCGGTGGGAGGAGTGGAGGGTGATGGAAAACCCCAGCGAGTGGTTTGACGATACATTATAGGTACTCTCGGTAGGTTCCTTATCCTGTACAGGGCCTCTGCTGCAATGTGGCCGGCAACCGAGGCGAACCTGAGGCGGTAACATGGGCCGAGAACATTGGCCTAGTAAGATCCTTCGTAGTTAAGCACATCCTGAACGAATCAAGGATGCCCGGATCAATATGTTAGTTGAGTTCGTTTACACTAGGTCTATTGTTTTTTGGGTTAACTTCTTGACTTAACAAGACTTGGCTCGTTACTGCGATACCGACGACTTTGTCGGCCCTGCCCGCCAGACCACGGCCGCATGCTTAAGATGATGAGAATGGAGAGCGGCTAATGTGTCATCTTCCCCGTGTCACCCCCAAGTGGCCACAAGGCCTATTCCCGAGACAGGAAAATCTGTTGGTTGTCGTTATGAGGATGAAGGAGGAGGATTGATTGTTGGCGGAAAAAGTTGGCAGACCAGCATGAAAAAAAAATACCTAAGTTGCCGAGTCCAGTGGCGTCATGTGACAAACCCTCCCGTACCTACCTACCTCCCCTCTAACCTCCACTCCACCTGAATCCCCTCGGCGGTAAGTAGAAGCGGAAGCTCCCCTCCAACGCCATTCGGACGAAGAACGGCCCTCCCGCGGCGGTACCTCGCACCATGGCGCGCTACCCAGTGCCATCTCACGTTATCGAGTCAATCGATGCAGCAGACCTGCGGGGGTTCGGGGCGGCTCACTTGGCGCGCCGGGCTGCGAACCGGCGCACGATTGCTCGTCTGTCGGAGAAACTCAACGCCGTCTTCGACTCGGGTGTTCCGTTTTTCACCAAGGACGCCATACGGGACATAGTGCGGCAGCTCGACGAGCTAGCAGTCAACCCGAACCCGCGAGTCCACACTGTCCGGAAATTCATCGTGAGAGGTCTCGACGACTGCGTTGTCGAACTCCGTGTTCCACTCGGAAGGGTCCACCCGTACAGAGACCTCCCGGACGTAGACATCGTTGAGTGGGTCCCCGTGCATCTCTCGGATTCTTGAAAAAACACCCATCTCTCTGACTGCTGCCGGATAGCGCCAAGCTTCTGGTTCGCTTCAGGCCGATCGATCACCTGACCTCGACGACTCGACGTTTTGCCGACGAATTCAACATCGAACATGCGTTCCTCCCCATGGTCGTCGAGCCCCGGCCCGTCCAGCTACACAGTGTCACAAATGATTACGTCCCACAATATCCGGTTCTTCCCCTCGAGGCAGTCCAGGCGACCTTGCAACGCAAGAGGACGGAATGGGAGTCTAGCAGCGCTTGCCAGCAGCTCTTGTCCACGCTACGATCGGCAGCTATCCCGGACGTCAGGAGGATAGTGGCTTTTGCCTGTTTTAACATGTCCGACTGTGAAATGGCAGAGCGAAGCGCCTGCCAGCATGCTCTTCTCCTCATCTTACGAAAGTTTTTTGCTGAGCGACAGCGTATTGCCGAGGAGGATATTGTGTGCTTTGCGCAGGACCCCTTATACGAAGATGTCGACAAGAAGGTTCTAGCCGGCGCCGGAATATCCGTAGTTGAAAATCCTCGCGCATTCCTCGAGGTGGACGATGCGAGCCTCGTACTATCTATCTCGCCGGAAACGCCTGTACGGCAAATCGTAGCAGACATTGCTCAACCAGCCGTCATGATCTGGAACAGGGTGGAGGAGGTGGAGCAGCACGCGGAATGGATTGGCCAGACCGAATGGTACGGGCCCCCGTTCCAAATTTTCTATTAATGTAAGGGTGTGCTGACGGCTTTCTGCCCTTCAAGCGAGGACAACATCTCCCCGCGCGTCGAGGACATGGTTCGTCGACACTACGTGGAGTTGAGCTTTCCGGTGGACAATGAACATTTTGGCAGCCGAGTGTCTCTTTACATCAGACAGCGCGGTGCTCTGTCGGCGGATAATATGTGAACCCCTCATACCAGGAAGAGGCACCGACTGCGCCGTCACCGAACCCAGCACTGCCGATCCTCAAATTGGCCCGCGACCGTCAGCTTCCACCAATTAGGGGGGATTGGGTGGGAAGCTTGAGGGTCTACTCAAGGTACACATGGGTGCATTTCAAGTTTACGCGGTCATGCACCGTTAAAGCTCCGAGGGAACGGATGGAAAGGTGCGATGTAGTTCGTATTACTTCTATATTTCGTTGGTGAAAGCTCACATTGCCGAAGCCAGAAGCTTTTACCCCTATCGTACTTCAATAGCAAACGAATACCCAACGAGCGGCCTCTGTACTGTACTCACAGTCCTGTGGTGTATGTGCCCGAAACTGAGTCCGCAAAGTTATCCCTGGGGTTTTTTTGTCCTTTTTGGTAAATGTCAAGTTTAACCGGGGTGGCAAGAAACGAGGCCCCGGGGCGGCTGTTTTCTGGGTCTTGAGCTAGAGTTGAGGGCATTACCTGGGTTAAGTCAAGAGATATAGCATGCCCGACAGCTTATAAAGGAGTGAATTCGTTCGCGTGGTACCTACATGCGCTCGATATGGGCTCCCCATATGTCGGCCAGCGAACAATGCCCACTCCTTGGCCCATTTCTCTGTGGGCTAATAGGCATGTATCGTGCCTGTGCCTTGAATCCGAATCACCCCTCAGGCTCGGAGTCAGGCGGAGGCGGAGCCGAAACGAGACCTCCGGTAAACATCCGACGCTCTCGCCTTCGCTCACCACAAAGAGCATAGTCGCAATCCACAGTCAACAGGGCCGCTAGCGACGCGAAGTCGCAGAAGCAGTCGAAATTAGATCAGCGGGGACTCCTAGGCGACCTGTTTTCTCGCGTCCCTCATGAACACACAGCTTACAGCGTTGCACCTTGCAGTGCAAACGACATTCTTTGGGTTGCCCTCTGATGGCCCCATTTGCTCTCCTTGGAGTCGCTCGCTAGCGAGAAGCTCTCATGCCGTATAGAATGTGCGGCCCGGCACCGCCGTGCCGCAAGAAGACGCAGATCGTTCGCACCAGTTCCGGGTGTCGAAACTGCCGATTACGGCGCAAAAAGGTCGATACGCCAACTGGGTATTACCGCGGATGGGACTGAAATGGGCTGACTCTTCCTTGGCAGTGTGATGAGAGCAGGCTCGCTTGTCGCGCCTGTACTCGGCTGGGAAGACTCTGCGACGGGTATAAGACCAAGCTGGAATTTCGCAATGTCTCTTTCCGTCCAACCGTGCCCCGAGACGATGGCGCCCGAGCAGATCAAAGGCCAATCCAGCTCCAGGCAGAAACTACCGGCAGCTCCGTGTCTCGGTCGAACCCCGACGAGACTAGGGCCCATTCTAACCTCTCCCATCTAGAGGCCGGAGATAACGACGGGGAAATTTCTAGCACTCCTACAACGCAATCATGCAATGGTCAGGATGTACTATGGACGGATTGGTTCTTTGGCTCGAGGCAAATTATGCATACCGCGTTGCCAACGCTGAATCCGGCTCTGAAGCCTAGTAAAGGACTTTTTTACATGAGCGTCTGGGAAAGCCAGTGTACTCCCGCACTGCATCCCATCTTCAGTAGACTCGCGCGTCCCCAGAGTCTGGCGCCGGTACTGGCAGATACCATGATGGCCCTCGCCGCACGCCAGCTGAGCCGGATGCTTCCCCGGGCGCGAGAATTCTGCTTAGTCGACGCTCACGGATCGCCTTTCCGGCCCGACCTAGAGCAGCAGAGAATCGGCGGGGAGTTCTCCGGCTCTGCCATGCGGTGCGTAGCGCGATGGACTCAGGAGGATTTCGAGCGCGACGTGACGAGCGCATTAGTACGACATCGTCTGAATGAGTGGCGGGCCCGAATACCATCCTCAGATCTGCCCGTTGACTCGAACTCGACGACTCACGACAACAGGGTTGATGCACAAATCCAGCCGCTACGTTTCGGGACTCACAATGCCGCAATGAATTTTGCCTACTATGTCGTCGCTCGGATTATGCAGTGCGGGGAGTTTCTCGGCATTTTTCGACAGAGCTATGGGAGGGCGGAAGAGCTGAACGATGCTTGTGACACCGCGTAGCCGTGGATCTTGCTTCTCCTCCGGATCGCGGCCGGGGTGAACTGGGATAGTTGCGTGAGGCTCAATACCTACACGGTCGGCCTAGCTGGCCTGCTCTTGGCTTGCGTTCTACGCTCGAACAATTTGGAGGTGGGCCTATGGGCATACAACTGGCTAGGCCAACGATACCGGGAGGGCTGCCTCGAGGAGGGGAGCTTTCCGATCTTCCAGATTCTGCAGGTGTTGCGCGTCGTGAACGAGGAACGGAGACTAGGCCGACACGTGTACGCTGTGTGCCAGCCCATCGATGACGGCGGCGGCGGGGGTAAGTTCTACTCGTATAGCAGCCAAAGGCTATCGTCGGTTCTCGTTTACGGGTGGTGCACAAACTCGAGTTGTTTTTACTCATCTGAGGTTGTGGTGGAGTAGCGAGGAAGATTACCTACGTGCAGTTTTGGAGAGACAATGTGGGGGAAGTCCCCGATGATAGATATCTACTACCTACATGTCGATATAACCATCAATTCGTTTAACGAAGCTCAGTAAGTGAGAAATAAGACCAGTAAAACAAAACGAAACAGAACAACCTCACGCATTCAATGAAAAATCTTACGGAGCAAGGGGTAAACGTACGAAGCCTGCCTACCTAAGTCCAAATCATACTCACCAATATTCCAGCAACCTAAGTATGTACGGGTATACACGCTGTAGGTGTGCAGGACGTTAGGAGTCAATGTGTTGCCTATCAAGGGTTTAATTCAATGATCGACAGCTATTCCCAATCAGGTGCGCGAGAGCGCCGTACCCGGCGCCACCCCACAATACACCCTCTTTTGGTGGAGAAATGCGATCGCAACACTGTCCCCGACCTGTTTCTCTCAAGGCTAGTCGACCACCATGCGCGCGGTTTCGGAAGGGTGGCCAGGTGTAGGTATTGAGGCGTAGTCTATTTAAGCCTGGACGTGGAATGCCCTCGTGGAGAGTTTATCCTGGCGAGAGAGGAAAAAAACGAAAGAGAAAAAAAACCGAACTATCGAGTATTAGTATACCTACTCCCCCGAGGAAGAGTTTTTTGTATAATCCGTACATACATACCTACCTACCTCGAATTCGGTGTATGCACATATATAAACACCGAATTCACCTCGTCCCACCTCCACGCCGACTCTACCCTCCCAGCCTCCACCCCATTACCATGTCCGCCGCCCCGGGTGCCGTCGACGAAGCGGCGTGGCAGCCGAAAGCGATCGTCTTCGACCTGCTGACGGCGCTGCTGGACTCGTGGACGCTGTGGACGGCGTCGACGCCGTCGGGGAGCGCGGCCGAGGGCCGGCGGTGGCGCGAGCGGTACCTGGCGGTGACGTTCGGCGCGGGCGCGTACGTGCCGTACGAGGCGTTGGTGGCGCAGGCAGCGCGCGACGTGGGGCTGGCGCCGGCGGCACCGGCGGCGCTCCTGCGCGGCTGGGAGGAGGGCGGCCTGCGCGCGTGGCCCGAGGCCGGCGCGGTGCTGCGCGCGCTGCGCGCCCGCCGCCCCTCGTGCCGCCTCGCCGTCGCGACCAACTGCTCGATGCGGCTGGGGCGCGCCGCCGCCGCGGCCGCCGCGCCCCCGGCCTTCGCCTTCGACGCCGTCCTCACCGCCGAGCAGAGCGGCTTCTACAAGCCCGCCCGCCCCGCGTACGCCGCCGTCCTCGCCGCGCTGGGCGTCGAGCCCGCCGACGCGCTGTTCGTCGCGGGCAGCCCCGGCGACGTCCAGGGCGCCGCCGACGCCGGCATGCGCGTCGTCTGGCACAACAGGATCGGCCTGCCTATGGTGGGCGACGCCGTCCCGCTCCGCGAGGGCAAGACGTTGGATGAGGCTTTGCAGGACTTCTTGTGATGGCAAAAAAAGCGGGAGACGACTGCGACTCCGGGCATTTGGGGGGGCCTGGCGGGGAGCTGAAGCGCCAGCAGAAAGGATTCCTTCTCGAACCCTCATGTGATTTTCCGTGGTGGACTGAGCCACCAAAATTTTTTTTCAATTTAAGATGACTTCTGTCCCTCTTCTTAAAAGGTTCCGCAAACACCCCAACCTTGCGTTGAGCAAGGGTATCTTCCTAGGCTCATCCTAGAGTCTGGGACTGGCCGGAAATCAAATCCAGATCTTGTTCCTTGTTGCCTAGAAACTGCATCTTGAAGGCCGAATATTGACATAGGGGCCCTTCGCAATGGTTCTTCGTCTCAATCCTTCCTTGTTTTAGTCATATTTATACCCGCCCGTAGAGGTAGGACCCAAGCCTACCCCTGTCTCAAGGAACGTCCGCATACCCCGATGTCCGGCATCGCCTGATTACATACGTAGAATTTATCGGCCTGTCCGCGTCGGGCGGAAACCCCGGTCGGAGAGCTGGTGGGTCGTCTCTCCCGAGCCGGTCCTTGGTGGCAATGATTCCAGCCGAGGAGACCCCTCCCCAGTCCCCTACCCTCTCTAATGCGATCGCTCTGCTCTCCTAGCTTATCGCCAAGTTCCACCCTCCCCTACGTATCATCGCCTTTCGGCTGTTCTGAACTGGCCCCGCGTCTAGAAAAATGACGGCCCCGATGAGGAACGACTCGAGACGCCGGTGCCGCCGGCGAATCCTCCATGGACGGATTCTAGAAACGTAGAGGAAATCTGGTAAACTCTGGCTACTGCTGCATTACCGAACATATATATTCGAGGCCCTTTCCTCCGTTTGTTTACCGTAGGCGAACACTGAACCTACGCGTAACGGATTTTAGTAAAGGGATCGCGATTTTACCTCTCTAGATTTCGATATAGCTTACTAGATTAAGGAAGAAGCTTAGGGACGTATGTCTTTTCGTAGTTTTTATTTCGAGGGCCTTATGCGGTACCTCGGACGAGGTTTTCGGAGCAAGAACATGAAGCTGGCAGCAGGCCTTCACCTTTGCTAAGGGTAGTTCACTTAGCTACATAGGGCGGGTTCGAAGGCCCCAGAAGAAATCTACGAGCTCATTATATGTGCTTATCATCCACGGTGGCAGCATGGAGTTGGCTTATTTTCTCTTTTCTCGCGATACGTATAAATAGGAGCTCGGCGTAGAAATCCATCAGGACCGGCCTGTTTATTCGCACCTAACAGTATCTTAACATGCGACATTCGAAACGGAATATCTACCAGATCTAGGATATATAAGCAGGATAAAAAATGAGACTTACCAGGAGTTAGTATATATAAAGGAGAGGCGTTTCTAATACAATGCCGGCGCCATAATATTAGTCGTTACAGGAAAATACCTACGCGATTCTATTTAAAGATATGGGTATACGAGTTTCCGCACACAACACTAACCTCTTTACTACCGGCCCATTCGCCCCTGTGCCTTGGACACTCCTTAGGTCCCGAGACTCCTGTCAGGACGTCGACGTACAAAGGTTCGAAGGGTCTAAATGGAAGACTTTTCTCGGAAGCCGCCGCTCGCTGGCTTTCTATCCGGGCCATATAATATCGCGTAGGAGATTTCGCGAGGCTCTTGGCGAGGGTAATTACTATCCTACTATTTACACGTTAATAAACGGTCAGAAACTATAAGGAAGATACCTCCACAAGCGCTTGCATTAACGCTAGACTCGTTGCATAAAGCTTTAAGGTGGCTCGGCTTCGAAACGCATTGGTCTAGTTTTTTATAAGCCTCTTCTTGGCTGAGATATTTACCGTAGATACATATATGGCCCAGTGATATCAGCTACTGATTTCAAGGTCAGCGGCTAGTTAGAGTGGTACTTACGCTAACTGTCCAGCCATGAAATACATTACTGCATATGGTTGTGTCGACGCCCAGGAGTACTGTGATCTTTTGGTTCGTAGTATCCGTCCTCTTCAGGCCCGCCATTAACTCGAGGTCGAGTATCATAAACTTGCGGTGGTTCTTGAGCGCCCTTTGCCGCTCCATTAAGTCCTCCATCAATGGTAATCTCTCGAAAACGGGCGATTTAATCGTCCACCACTCCCTCCTTTCCGCTCCAGGAAACGTGAATACGTTTCGGAAGTTCCAGTGAACGTCAGCACCGAGTCTAATACAGGCGGAGAGGAGGGGTGATCGTGGAACTCGAATTTCTTAAGCACATCAGAGTTCTCGATCCCGGTATTGAAGAAGCCAAAAGGGTGGGGGTCGTTTATGTCCGCCCACTCCTCCTCAGGCTCCTAGTCTCCGGGGAGGGAAGATGGACTGGCATCTGCGCTTTCAAATGAGGTGCCTCTGTGACGCTTTGGCCTAGGGCTAGTATGATTGCGGGCACAGAGATCAAAGTGGTAGAAACTCTCGTCCTGCTTTATTTGTGGTCTTTCTTGCGCAGGGTCTAGGAGCAGAAAAGTGGAAGGGGAACGAGCGCAAAATGAAATTTTTGGGATTGTGGGAGTGCTATTCGGAGAGAGCAGTGATGAGAAAATTTCGCCGCAGGGACTCTGGAGGAAGAAAAAATCCTGGAAGGTATTAATAGGTACGTATTCAGGCCGCGAAAGGAGGAACGGGTAAGGCCTCGGGGAGCAGCGGAAGTCGCGCCTGGGGAAGGCGAACTCTTGTCTGAAGGGAAAGAAGGGCCCGAGATAAGGCCAAATTACGAGCAGGTACAAAGGTGAATCTAGTTTCTCACGAAGTCCCCGCACTTCCAGCAAAAACAATCTCCCTCATTTATATGCTCGCAGGCAGAATCACAAGCGAGACTGGTTAACCCTAAGAAGCCTTATGGTTTTTGACTGCCAACGGGTCCAAGCAGCAAGTGATAGGATAAGGAGAGAGTAAAAGGTTAGGATTATTCCCACACACCACATGCTTTCAAGTTAAATTTAACTCCCCCAACAAAAGTCAGGAAGCGTTGTGTCGATCCGACCATGGCGACCCGGACGTCCGTCCTGTCCAACCCCAAGCCCGGTACTATATTACACAGACGAGTCACCTCTGCGACCGCCACTCTTCAACCACCCATCGAGATCACACGGACTACCCACAACAGAAGTTGCAGCGATACCGCGGGACTTGTCAGCAGCATGTCGCACCTCCGAACAGACGATGAACCATACGTCGGTGGGCACTACGACGCCCTCGCGAGCATCGACATATCCTTCCTCGGCCCAGACGGTTCCCTACACATGGGCAATGTATCACAAAAGGAGAACAAAGCCGCGAGACGGCACCTGGGGCAAGTCTTTGGGGCGACCACTCAATACTTCTGCGAGCCCTGGGTAGTTCTAGGCTGTACACCTTCGGTTCCTGTCGGGCGGCTGCCCGAACTGGTTGGAGGTCTAATTGCAATCTGGCGCCAGGCCGACGATATGGATTTTAGCCCTAAGATCGGCGAGTTCGGACAAGCAGAGAAGTATATGGTGGTTGACGCGTCCATCTTGGAGGGTTTCCAGGATAACCGCATACCAGGGAAGGATGCTGTTGCCCGCCTCATCGGCTCCGTCTTTCCTACGTGTATCGCGATCACCTATGTTGCCGGCACTGTCGTCGTGGAACTCCCTAGAAGCGAGGAATCTGTGTTCCGAGAGACATTGATGGATATGCCGCCATTGATTGAACGCGCACCGTTCAATTTACAGTACCATAATGGTCCTTTGACAAACGTGGGGCGACGTAGGCGGGCCCAGAAGCCAAAGCCACAGGTTGCCGAGGAAGATCGCGTTGCAGACGAGACAGACTACGTTGCCAAAGATGGCCAATTCTACCCCGGAACAATGTTGTCATCGGTGGACAAGAAAGGGAATACCTACTCGTCCGCGTCAGCAGGCGTACTTGTCCAGAAAGGGGGCCAGCAGCGGTTGATTTGTTCATGGCATTGTTGGGAGGAGCATGACAAGAAATACCCCGGTCTCTTCGATGAGGACAGCAACAAAGCGCGCGAAGTTTTCCGCATAATCCAGGGCGAGGGCGGTACTGAAGTAGGCCGAGTGGTAGAGAGAGTAGGGCAGACAGATATCGCCCTGGCCAAACTCCATCCCGGCATCAAGTTCGTGAATAACTTTATGGATATCAACACGAATGCGAAGAGCCTCGTTCCCAGCAACCAAGTCCGCCTGTACGACCGTTTCCTCATCGATGGCTTCAGTACGGGGAAGCAGACACTCGTGTCTCTCGGACGCCGTTTTGAGCCAAAGAGAGCAGAGGGGGAGCCACACAGCCTCCTCTTGGAAAAAAGACTCGATGAGGACGGTGAAGAAATTGATGTGGTTATGCCGAAGGACGAGGTGGTCTACATTGCAGGAGAACAGGGGGTGAGCGGTACCAGCGATAACATTCAAACCGAGAAGCCGTACATACGGGATAGTGCTTGTGGTTCGGCATTGGTTCGGTGTTTTGCGGAGAACAAAAAGCATCTGCCCATGAAGGACATGCTCGCCCTAGGGGAGATTTGTGGCATGTTCCATTATGCAGATCCGACGTCAAAGTATGCGGATTCAGCATCTAAGTACCTCATCTACGCGGACGCCTTCGATCCATTGATCGATGGTGGCTGGACAATTGTGCCGCCGCAGGGACAGTCGGATGGAGCGAATACGGAGTTGGCACGGATACCTCATCACGAGAAGCCCGAGGGGGAGGAGTCACCAAAGAAGAAAAGAAAGGTATAGATTATTAAACGAGACCCGAGGGGGAGGAGTCGCCGGCGGAAAGAGGAAGAAGGGTATACCTACTAGCTAAGCTAGGGTGTTGATGGTTACACAATCTATCCCAGAAACGCAGCCTTGGTACGGCGCACCCTCCTTTCTTTTCTTTTTAATATAGCTTTATTCCTTTACACATTGTTTTCCCTAATAGATTACTTCTAAGCTCGTGATAAAAAGTTGTGTTATTAAACACCGGAACTCGGAACAGATGCTCCCCACACAGAATTCCATTTTGAAATACCTAGATAGTTGTTATGCGCCCGTATTCTGGCTTCGTAATGAACCTACCAAAAAGATAGCCTTCTTCCGCATGGATCCCAGCTATAGCCTCGTGTCATCACCTATCCATTATCCTCGACCGAAAAATTCCTCCAAGCCTCTCTCCAAATTCGTAGCAACACGGGCATAAGTAGAGAGTTTAACTCACACAAGAGCGATGGAACCGCCTAATAACCACTTTAGTGGCTCAGGTCAGGGTCTTGGTCGCCGGCGTGACGACTCCCACTACGGCTGCCCCCCCCAAACTTTCGCGAGGAAGTCTTCGATCGGGGTGAATTTGTAATCCGGGAAGAGCTGATTGAATTCGTCCGACACGTCCCACGCGCCCTTCACGCTGCTTAGTAGGATGCCGATGGAAACCACCTTGAGGTAAGCCGCCGCCTCGTCTGCCGAGACCGCTTGATGGACTGCTGACAGGCCCCACGACATGTCCAGCTTGCCGGCTTCTAGATCCTCCATCTTAGCCCAGTCGACGGCGAAATCACGTCCTGCATGGCCCTGTGTCAGTCTGACGCGACGAGCGGAGACAGATCCCCTTTTCGCGCTCGTACGCATGCACATGCGCACGCAATGGTCAAGGCGAGAGAGAGAGAGAGCGAGAGAGAGACAGGCACCCACCTCGGACTCGGCGGCCAATCTCGAGAAGCTGCGAGAAAGTGACCCTATTGCCCCGGATACCGCCAGTCTTGGGCCACTCGCCCTCGTAGTCGACGGCGCGGGCGACGACGCCGGCGAGGTCGGCAACCGTGGTCAGGGTCAGGACGGCATCCTCGTGGCCCTCCACGACTACGGCGCGCCGGTTCTCGAAGTCGAAGACGGTCTGCAGCGGATCGACGTGCTTGGCCGTCTTCTGGGGGTAGGCCAAGTAGTTCAGAAACAGGCCGGGCTGGAAGAGGGTGTAATTGAGAACCTCCTCGTCCCGGTTCACTTCTTTCAGGTACTCCCTGACTCTTTCCTTCCCATGCCACCACGGCATGTTGACGGTGCCCTTGCTTTGCATCTGGTAAGTCAGTGGACTCAAGTATGGGTGTTGGCTGCGGGAACGTGTTAAGTGTTGTTACCTTCCATATTCGCTCGGCGCAAAGCGTTTCACGCCCGCAGCGATGGCGGCATCAATCAGGTTCTTCTGGGACCTGTGGTTGTAGTCGGAGAGAATTTGGACAAAAGACAAGAGGGTGTGAGTCCCCCGGAGGGCCGCAGCCAAAGATTCCTTGCTGCCGTAATCCACCACCTGCCAGCGTATCTCCGCCGGCGGGGGGTTCTCCGTCGAAGCCTCCTATACAGGGTCTTATCGTCAGCGAGGGAGGCGCAACGGCGGGTGTGTAAGGACGGCCAGGGCCGTATGTTCTCACCCTCCGACTCAATACCGTTATTTCATGTTTTTTCGCTGCCAGGAGCGCGTCGACGACCTCTTGGGCAACCTCTGCGGGATGGCCGGAATGCGTTAGCTCGCGCGCCCCTCCATTAGAGAATGTGGGCAATACTCACGCGAGAAGCCGCCGGCCACGGCGACTTTGACCATCGCGAAACACTTCGCGACAAGACCTGGCGAATTCGTGTTCCGTTAGGGTGAGGGGAGGGGGCGACTGGCGAAACGAGCCAAAGCTGGAAAGCGGCGGCGAGAGGAATGTGAATATAATCGCACGGAACGAACACACGACGCCCTCGACATCATTACATTCACACACACACACACACACACACAAACACACACACACACAAACACACACACACACATATATATATATATATATATAGACTTGCACGCCGCGCAGCGCCATCCGCAGGATCGCCGAGCTTTGTTATATAATAAGCTGAACCTGGCTCCCGTCAAGGCAAAACGTGAGGGAAAAGCGAACCCCACCGCCGTTACGACCGCGGGGCTAACGGGGTACCTTTGGTGTGGTGCTTTTATTAGGATGGGAATTCTTGATTGGCCCGCTCGCCTTGTGGCCTGCTCTACAAGGGCGTTTGGTAGCATCTGGTGCGGCTTTCGGTGACTCGCATTCTCCGCCGCGTCGGACATGTAGGTACTATGTACCTGCACGTCTGCGGCGGGTCGACTCGGCGTCGCCTAAGGCTCCTGCAGACAACCCCTTACTCATCAAATCGTGCTCTGCGCTGCCCTCGTCAACTTCCACTCTGCTTGGCACCCCGTCGCCAACCTGCCTCGTCTCCCCCAGGTGCAAGACTGCCAGACGAGCACGACGAACCTCCGGACACCGCCGTCATGCCCTATTCGCCCCGACGCGACAACGCCTCCGCGGTGGGCGAGGCGCCAGCTGCGCTCAGGCGACGAAAGGTCCGCAAGGGCGCCCAGAGCTGCTGGGAGTGCAAGCGACGCAAAGTCCGCTGCACCTTCGCTGCCCCTACCGATGCTGTCTGTGACGGGTGTAGGAGCCGTCGAACCAGGTGCATCAGCCAGCGATTCCACGACGAGCCAGCATCGGCCGGCACCAAGACCGACCGGCTCAGCCGGGTCGAATCGCTCGTCGAACAGTTGGTCAGCCGCGGCAGCGTCGACACGTCGAGCGCCTGGCCGCGACGTCGACCGAGCCCAGACGAGAACCCGGCGCCACCATCAGTATGAGATTCCCTCTGTATGCCGCGGTGCGCGGGTGCTTATCTGCGAATGAAATGGACAGCGAGATTCCAGCGGTGGTCGGCGTGATGCCGACGTCGAGCAACCTCCCTCTCTTGTGGTCACCACCCCTGGCCCCGATCTAACAATAGAGGGCCAGCTGGCCAGCAATCCTGACCACCTATCTCGCGCCCTATTCTCAATCTGGCCTGACGAGCGCGATCTTGATCTGATACTGAGCATTCCGGTAGGTGTTTCGGTATTGTTCCACGGTATGGTTTGCCAACCGCATTCGGAGCTGTTCTCAAGGGGAATCTCCTCGCGACGACGCATCCTGCAGCCGCCTTCACTGGAATCTCATCCAGTTCTCCTAGCCAGAAAGTTACTCTTGCTGGCGACGCTTTTACAAGGCATTCCACCATGCTACGTCGACGAGCTCTCTGGCCTCAGCGCAGGCTACCGTGCTATTATGTATCGCACCTTTAACGCTGCTACCAGGCTTGTGACAAGCAACGACGAACTCGTTAGCTCTCTCGAGGGCATCGAGTGTGTTATGATCGAGAGTATGTACTTGAATAATGCTGGGGATCTCCGTCGCGCTTGGTTGGCGAACCGCAGGGCTATGGTCACGGCACAGATGATGGGATTGCACGCCGGCGCGCCGGGTAGGGCCCTCGAAAGCGAGACGCGGGATCGCATTGATCCCGCTTACATGTGGTTTCGTCTGGTCGTCTCTGACCGGTATCTGTCATTGATTCTGGGCCTTCCCCAAGGCTCCTCCGATAACCCCCTCGCCAACCAGGAAGCATTACATCCAGACGATAGTACGGCTATGGAACACATGGAGCGCATGATGTCGGTTGCGGCCGGTCTCATCCTCCAACGCAATGAAATCGAGCGAATTAACCTGGCAGCGACATACAAGGTGGACGAGATGCTACAGAAGGCTGCGGCGTTGATGCCCCCGCGCTGGTGGCTGACGACCCCTGATCTTGCCGCCATTTCTGGAGATGACGCGAGGGCGTTCGAAGAATCGATCCGCCTGGCGAATCAGTTCGCATATCACCACCTTCTAGTTCAGCTACACCTGCCGTACTTGATGTTGTCTCCGTCGGCCGAGCCGAATTACGATTACAGCAAGATGACTGCTGCGAACGCGAGTCGTGCGATTGTCACGCAATTCGTGTCTTTCCGCAGCTCCATTCTGAGTACCGCATACTGTCGTGGCATTGATTTCATTTCCTTTATTGCCAGCACGACACTGTGTCTCGCACACATCGAAGCCCGCCGCCAGCACCGATCTGACGCGAACAAGAGCGCCGCGGCTTTCCAATCTCTCCGACATCAGCGGTTCAGCGACCGCGGCCTGCTCGAACACACCCTTCAAATCATGGAGACGATGGCTCAGACCAGCTGCGATGCCGTTGCCCAAAAGATTTCCGACATCCTCCGGCCACTCCTAGCCATCGAGAACGAGTCTTTCGGCGGAGGCTACTACCATATCCAGGCCTGCTCTGGGGTCGATAAGCAGCAGGAGCCTCAATCTCTCGGCGATGCCGGTTACGCCTTGCATCCTCTCCGAATACAAATCCCGCATCTCGGGTCAATTCATATCGAACATCGTCCTGCCCTTCCCGAGACCGTCGAACCCGCCCGGATATTTGCCGAAAATGAACCTTCCGAGCGGCCTAGGCCACAAAAAACTGGTGCGAGCTTGGTTGTTCTTCGTGACCCGGCTTCTCCGATCAACCAAGATGGCGGGTGGATTGTAACATCTACAGCCCGCCCCGCTAGTCACGGAACCAACACCGCCCAGCCCGTCAACGCCGATTGGCAAACGGCACCGTCGTATCTTGACCAAACTGAAACTCTCGAGCAACCCGAGCCGGCAAATAAGGACCCAATAATGTCACCGCCTTTCGATTCTAGCGAGGCGCGAGAGGCTAGGTATTTCCTCGAGCCGGATGTGACAGCAGATACAGTCGATTGGACGCTGCAGGGCGTTGATTTGGCTCTATTCAGTACCTTGGCGCAAGCCTGGACAGATTCAGCTCACGACCTAGGGCGTGATCCGTAGATACGGCCGCTTCCAGCACTGTCGCTAGCCGATAGCACTTTCATATTAGCTGAATCCATTTCGAGCGCACCCTGGTGAACAACCGCGGTCTTGCGCTCAACGGAGATAGTGGGTCTTTTCAAGAACCCTCGGGAGATATCCCCGGCCAAATTGAGTCGCAAATCTGGCTACGAACAAGATTATTAAGACGCCTCCATGAACATCAATCAAACTCCAGGATTAGTGCTCAGCATGCCACAGGATACTATCCACTCTGTCGCAAGGACAACTCGATCGTCAGATGCCTATGCACGCACGTCCATTCGTCGTGCACATGCGTCGCACGCCTACGCGTTGAAATCTCACCGTCTTGGTCGGAACCGTAGTCGACACACGCTGGTCCCGTTTAAGTCTAACTGGGCTTGTCTTGCCACCTCTAGCCCCTTTTCAGAAGGCCGTTACGTGGTCGACATACAACTGTTCGGTGCCGAGGAAACGAATTTATTAGCTGTGCTGCGGTGCGATGGTCTTCTGCCTTCCTCCCTTCCCCCCTCCCCCCCCTGCTGCGCCCCGACCAAGTACGCGATCGCTTCACAAAACTATCCGATTGCTCGTCTCGTCAACCAGTCTTCGGTCAATCCGGCTTGCGACCCCATGTTAAATATCCGACACACCCACACCTGACATCCCCACCAATCTTACAAAGCTCGGAACCCGATGGCTTATCCGATTTATCCAAGGCAACAGAAACATGGCTCGGCATTTCCGGAGACAACGCTTTGGTATGATCGCCGGTAGACATGCCAACAAGCAAGATAGTGCGCTGATCTCCCTGAGTCCTCAAATCTTCACCAAATTTACCCTACCCTGCCGAAGAATATCGACTGGAGGGGAAGACGGTCATAGCGAACAGATCAAATACGAGCAAGCCCGCCATTCCCATGCGAGACGAGCCCAAGAGGCGACCCGAAAAGTCAAATCCCCTGTGCGGTCGGACCGTCCTTTCATGTAGTACTGTCGACTTCTGGCGGCTAGATAGCCTACGATGGCGTCACAGCGTTCGCAAAGCGCGCACAGAGCTTTGACGGACTGGACATCGCGGTGCTGAACATGGGCGTTTCGAAGCAGCCTTTGACCTAGCGCCGCCAACGGACCATGAAAAGATCAAGGTCAACACTCGTCGACAGCTCCGCTCATCGTCCTATCACTCTCCGTTATACAGATCAATAACCCACCCGGCGAGCCTGGCCGTCTCTGACACCCGTGTCATCCGATACAGCGTCATGGGCCGCGCTCGAAGAGAGGAGCTCGCCATCCGCGACCCGGGGGGGAGTTCGGTCGCGTCAATCACTACGCCACGCAGAAGCTTCTCACCCAGCTGTTCTCCGCAGAGCTTGCGCAACGACTCCCACCGCCATCCGCCGATATCACGCTCCTAAACCGCAGCCGGTACTACCGCGCGGGTCTTGGCGGATCCTCGGCCGCTTGCTGTTCGTCGGTGCGCGGTCCGTCACTGGCGGCGCCGTACCGCACGGTTCCGAGGCGCACGGGCAGTATCTTGAAGATTGCGGGCTGCAACGGCAAGTAGCCGCCTGCTTTGGCTTTGCTTGCGCGCCCCTTTCTCAACTGCGATGCTGGCGATAGCGCGGCCCGTTTTGTCCATGCTGCTGAAGGCTACAGCCTCTCCCACATGAAGTGGCTTAAGACGACATCGCGGCGGAACTGTCGCTCGCGAGGTACGGGATATCGTTCAGGGACCTGGACATCGAGCGTGGTCGGGTTAGCTCCGCTGAGGTCTTCGAATCTTTAACTTGTAGCCTCGGCGAACAAATAACGTCGATTGAGCGAGTATTTTTCCTAGCCAAAGCTCTGAGGGCCTTCGCCCACGAACACTGGATCAATAACCTCGCTTCGCTACAGCACTGCAGCCCAACTCCCCCTTTCATTTTTAGATTGCGACCCTCGCAAGTCTTCCTTGAAACTCCCACATCCACAAGCAGGGGGTGACACAGACATCCGCATTAGCTTATAGCGTCCAGGGAACCCTTCCTGCTATCAAGTACAAACCACTACCTATATGTGACGCGGTGGGAGCCCTTGAAAGGGACAAGTTAATCCCACGCATAGATAGCACGTGTTACTTCATGTCCTGTCTGACAGAAGGCCAATTTAGTAGGAGGTGCTAGTAAGCCGGACAGCCGAGACCTGCGTTTTCCACCATATAATACTGCCTGGGCAACCCCCCCGGAGTAATTGCCAGTCCATGGTAAGGCTGCGCAGTTGATTTCGATCCTCGAGCTAGCTAAGCCGGTTCCGCTGCGGCATACTAAGTGCTATGGCGAGTGCCTCTCAGGTATACGGCGCGGATCAGAAGACGCGGCGAGACCTGCAGCAGCAGCAGCAGCGCTGTTCTTGAGCTCAGTCGCAACGAGTGCTGCGCCGAAAGATGCGGTCGGTAGAGGGGCCGTCTTCTGTATCAGAAGCTACAGAGAGTGTCACCCTATCGTTAAGAATTCTAAATACCTAGTTAATAACGCGATTGCTCCTCGGCTCTATTTGTTGCGATATCTTCGGCCTTCTCATCCTCTTGTCCTTCTCCCGCACCACCACCTCGTTGTTGTTTCACCAGTGACATGTCGTGATCAAGTAGTTCGGGGCCCTTCTTCTTTACGCCCCGCTCGTAATCCGACTCCCGGGGGACCACACTCATTTAGCAGGATTTATTACCGGCACGACATCTCTACCTTTCAATGTGCCCTTCAGTCCCTTCTGTGAGTACAACAACTCGGCATCCTCCAAGCACGTCCTAGGTGTGTAACCGACCCCAGAAAAGGTCCTGACAGGTAGGTACGCTTTCTTCGCGTCGTCATCAGGCCATTATCCCACCAACCTGGTGTTACCGTTGGTTGAAGAGAGAGAGGACGGAGGATTTTATCGCTCCGCCTTCGTTACGACCTTGGTGCATCGTCGGTTGTCCAAGCTTGACTAAATGCTACGTACCCGTAAAGACTCATGTGCCGTACATACGCGACCCCTTAGATCCTGGATTTAGCATATTGAATAGGAGGGTGTCGTGGGCTCCCTTGTTAACTCATTTTTCCCCCTCCTTCACTAAGATCCCCGCGGATGATTTGGGCGTCTGAACTAGTGACACTCAGCAACCTAAGAGGTTCAGAGAAATAACGGCGTATCGTACCACGTCAGGCGTTCAACTACGCACTCGTGCCCCTGCTGAGGCTCCTCGCTTTTTATATCAAGCTTGCAGGCTTTAAGCAAGTCCCTAAAAAAGGGTATCCAGCTCTGCTGCGAGCTAACCATATGCGTTCGGTCATCGTCGTACGTTAAGACATGGGAATGGAATCCGACTCGCTGGTTGGTATTGATTGTCTTCTCGTGTGTAGACGCGCAGGCCTGATTGCGAATTTGGCGGGGCAGCGGACCATAGCGACACGCATATGGACAGACTCAGAACGGCAGAAATAACTCGCCGGATCCAAGAGAACTTTTCAAATCCAAATAGCCCGCGAATAAAATCCGACACGGCATCGCAGATGATCTTAGACGACTTAAAATCCACCCCAAGTATGATTCGACCAGCCTGCCCTTAATATTATGTGCGATCTAGGTATAATACGGAGGCAGTCAACGTAAAGTCCAACCCAATAGGAGCCACCATGAGCCGGGGTGACGCTTCTGTGAGCCATCGAGATCGAGAGAGTCGGGTACGAGTTGATGCCTTTTCAATCGCCCAAACGCTAGTCCTGAACTCCTCTACGGGTGAGAGGGCGCCACACCAGGAGTTCTGCAGGAAAGCAAGCTTAATATCTGCTAGCGGTACCTAGCAGAAACTTCCGCCAGCGATAGGAGATTCGTCTATTAGAAACACCCACCAAAGCCGCTCGGTACCGCAACAGTCTATCCAGTCTTGGCCGTCGGCGGGACGATGCTCGTCATTGGCCAGGCCGGGGTGGTGCGAGTCTTCGGTGCCTACATGCCCAGCTCCTTTTCTGCGGGGCTGTCGACAACCATCGAGCCATATAGCAACGGCCTTATTGGACCATATGTTTCCGGAGACGTCGAGGACGGCTTCTGTTGTGAGGTTGGTGTTGCTTCAGCCGCGGCGCTTCAGCTGCGGTGCTTCACCCACGAGGGAATTCGCTCCGATACGGGGAGGGGTATTCGAAGGTTTTCGCGTGTCTCAATGGGAATCCGCGGCGCCGTACCCGGGTTTATCGACCGACAGGAAAGCGCGCGATGGCGCCCAGTAAGGTGCATGAGTCTCGGAGGCATGGGTTAGGGAGGCAGGGAGGCAGGGAGACAGAGGGACAGAGGCAGAGAAGCAAAGGAGCGGGCGTGACGGCGGCTCCCGTCTAACTGGTAGAAAAAGCACCCATCACGAAATAAACGAGGTAATATAGTCATCGGTATATTTTTGGCGGCTACGAGACGCTTGAAGGATAAGAAGCACTTTGTGGACGGCGAGTCGGGTTATTTGGTGTGTCCTCGCATTAGTTGCTTACTTGTGCGCGTGCGTTAGACCCGGCTAGATACCTAGGTACCTAGGTATGTGTGTAGGAGGTACCTCAGGTAAGCGAACCGCGGTCAAGGCTCGTGATAAGGTAGTCTATACCTGACGACTAAACCTCCTACAGTGTGTGTAGATACCCGAGACATACTACTACCTCTCCCCACAGAGACTGGCATTATCGAAGCCGGCTGGAGGGTGATGCTTCACCCCCTCCCCGTCGAACATGGCATCATCGAAGATGTATCGTGCTCCCTCCCAGATCCGGAAAACGACAGACTTCGCATCATCGCCGAGACCCGTCCAGCCACGACAGTTCACCCAGCAAACACGCGGGTCAGTCCTCTTCATCACGCACGGCCTATAATAGCCTGTTCCGTGCTACGGGGACGCACGTATGGCAGTTTTCGCAGCCGACATGCTTCCACCTGTCGGCCTGCCTCTTCGGGCACGGCGGCGCACTGGCTAGGCTTCGGCCGCTGCACCCGACCGCCTTGTTCAAAGGCACCAGAGCAGGGAACCCCATCCGACAGGGTCTGGTGTGAGAAACGTTTTCGTGCGATGCTATTGCGTGCTTCGTGCCGGCCCCCTTGATTGACAAGACGGCACAATAGCGTGCATGCGAATCGGCCCTGCTCGGGACCCTATGAGCATTGTCTTGCCTTAGCTACGGGAAGCGGCGAGGTGGCGCCGGGAATATATAAGACATTGTCGAAGGGACCAGGAGCAGAAGCGGAGGGAATACACAGGAATCCCACAAAGGTACGGTTCGGCGGATCACCCTTGGCCACCTCCCCCTACGCGTATTCGTCCACGGTGAATCATCCTACATGTCGTAGTGGCGGCAGTCGAGTCACTAACTTCTCTTCGGTACCCAGCTCCCCCGGGTCTCGCTGCGCTCATTCTCCGAGCAGAGTGTCGGTGGGATATCCAATTGATAGTGACTGATCGCGCCAAGCACCAATTCGCCGTGGGCATCGTTACTTGCATATTTACATCCCCGCCAATTGCCTGTTGCGGAAGCCCAGAACCCGCCGAGATGTCGTCCCGCACTCCGCGCCTGGTCCAGGACGAAGCCAAGTTCGCTAGCGTCTTGTCGACAGCAACCGAGCCGCTAACCCGTCGACTACCACCCTTCCCGGCCGGTGACGGCCCCGAGAAGACCCACGAGACGAATGATGTCGCGGGGAAGCTGCTCGTCGAAGACGTAGTCGATGTCGATGCTGACCTCGAAAACGATAACGACCCTGAGATCGCTCAGATCCCACCCGAGGTGAGGCGTGTCGTCAGCCTTCACGATGATACGACGCTACCCACATTGACCTTCCGGTATTTCCTGCTCTCCTTCATCTTCGTCGTGCCGGGGGCCTTCCTGTCTCAGATGAACAGCTTCCGGACAACTTACGCGCCATACTCCGTCTTCTTCGTCCAGATCGCGGCCAACTATGTCGGTCTCTGGCTTTCCCAGGTGCTTCCCCAGCGCCAAATTCGTGTGCCCCTCACGAAATGGTCCTTCAGCCTGAATCCCGGCCCGTGGTCAGTCAAGGAGCATGTTCTCGTTACCATAACTGCGGCATCGGGAGCCACCGGAAACCTCGCCACGACGCCGATATCTCTTGGCGATCTTTACTTTAACCAGCGCATCCATCCCGCCGCGGCCATCTTATTCATGTGGTCCATCGACGCCACCGGCTACGCCTTCGCTGCGGTTGCCCGCCAATTCCTCCTCTACGAGCCAGCGTATCCCTGGTTCCAGGCCCTCTGCCAGACAGCGCTCTTCGAGACGCAGAACAAGCAGAACAAGTCCCCGACGCCAACTGCGCGCAAGCAGATGCGCATTTTCTGGCTCACCTTTCTAGGCATCGCCCTTTGGCAATTCCTGCCGGAATATGCGTTCCCCATGCTTAATTCCATGGCCTTTCTCTGCTGGGTTGCGCCCAACAACCCCGTTGCCAACTTTATCGGATCCGGCCTCGGCGGCATGGGTTTCCTCAATCTGAGCTTTGACTGGGCCAATATTTCCGGCAGCTTATTTCTGAGTCCCTGGTGGTCCCAAGTCGTGCTTTTCGTCTCCTTTCTGATACCCTGCTGGATTCTGCTTCCCGCCGCCAAATGGGGAGGACTGGGCGGGTACCCGCACTGCTTGATGTCGAATCGAGCTTGCACCGCGGACGGAGAGACGTACCCTCTGGCTGATCTGGTCACAGGCCAGAATACCTTTAATCAAACAGTGTACGAGGAGAACGGCCCACTGTATCTCGGCGTACAATACCTGTGGTCTATCTTCTTCGATTACGCCTCGTATAGTTCGGCATACGCCTGGATCGCTTTCTTCGGGGCAGGTCAGATCAAGGAAGCGTACAAAAGGTTTCGTGCTCGCCGCAGTAAGCCAGGGCAAGGAATAAATCATCAATGGTACGTGAAGAAACCACCTCACATGCCCAACTGCGTCACCGGGATCTCCAACCTTTCTGACCTGTTGACGCTAACGTCTTCTGCAGTATGCTCCCCTCTCGAATCTCTTGCCCCTTTTCCGATGGGCCCATACGCGCTAATGCAAGATTTACTCGCAAGGTGCTAACGTTTAACAGATACCGATCGTCTTAACGTGCTCATGCGGTCGTATAAAGAGGTACCTCTATGGTGGTACACCATCCTATTCGCAATTTCGTTCGTTAGTATCATGACGATTGTCGGACTAAATATCATGTTCATCCCCTGGTGGACCTACTTTGTCGCCCTAGGAACAGGCGCAGCCGTCGTCGTGCCGCTGGGCTGGCTGTATGCTGTGAGCAACTTTCAGCTGCCCATCGGAACGTTCAACGAGCTATTATACGGTACGATGGTGCAGAAATTAAGCCACAACCGGAGCCCCATCGGAGCCAGTGTAAGAACGGACCTTTTGATGGCAGATACGTTCGTGCGTGCTAATAATCGGTATTTGCAGGTGTACGGCTCCATTGCTGGCGACGCGTGGTATCGCGCCCAATACATGTTACAAGACCAGAAGATAGGACATTACATGCACGTTCCTCAACGTGCCGTCTTCTTCTCGCAGCTCTTCGGAATTACTATGGGTGTGCCGGTCAATTACGCTGCCATGCGCTGGATCATCGACACGAAGCGTAAATATCTGACGGGAGAAAGTCAGGATCCCGCTCATATCTGGACTGCCCAAGGGCTGGCCGGCTCTCTGACGATGGGTGTGCAATACGTTCTTATTGTAAGTTATCCTTGCCAAGCCAGCTTCGGGGCGCCACATCAACATGTGCACCCAGCATGCTAATAATTCCAAATATAATAGGGGCCAACCAAACTCTTCCAGCAAGACCAGTTCAGGCCTCTTCCCTACGCTTTCCTTGTCGGAGTCGCCTGTCCAGCCATCATATATCTGCTCCATCGACTATTCCCACGCGCTAAATTCCACCTGTGGAACACTACCATCTTCTTCAGCGGCGCGTCCTCGTTCTACGGCAATATATCCACGGGAAACCTCTCGCGGTTCATTGGAGGCTTCGTCGTCATGTATTGGGCGTACAGGTACCGGTACCAGCTATGGGCAAAGTACAACTTTATCTTGGCTGCCGCGTTCGACGCGGGCTTCAATCTCAATATGCTGCTGATATTCTTGATATTTGGCAGCGCTAAGGTCATAAGCATGCCAAATTGGTGGGGGAACGATGCCCAGAATGTCGAGAAGTGTTACTCTCTGCAATGATAGAACGATGGCAGACCTCGTCCTCCGTTTTACTGCATATTTAGCTATCAAGTCTACAGTAAATGATGGGGAATTGGCACACTCATATCTTCTCCACCCCAGAGAACATACACACAGACAGTGATTCTCTAATATTCTTCCAGCTTCGCCTTGACCTCTTTCTTCACGTCCCGGAGTCAGAATCCGATGCCGTGATGAAAAAGAAGGTGGTTCGTGACCTGGAGGCAGTGTAATACCAGGTCACAGGCCGCTATAACTGCAACGCCTTGAGTTTCCAAAGATTGTTTCTTTTTTCTCTTCCGCAGTTCGGATCGGGCCAACGCACGACGCCTCGAGCGGGCCGTCCCGCCCAAACGCGAAAGCGACGAGACACGAGGTCTTGCGCAGTGCCAGGGCCCTGGACTGCAATCCCTGCAACCATCGTTAGCATGAGACCCGGAAGTTGTCGTCGAGTTGTTGTCGCCGAGTTGTTGTCGCCGAGTTGTTGCCGTTGAGTTGTCGTCGTTAAGTTGTTGTTGCCGAGTTGTTGTTGTCGATAGTTGTCGAGATAAGTGTCGACCCATGCCCATCGCCATGAGCCCAGCATCCCATCCCGTAACCCCCGATTTCGCCATCTTTCCCCCCTCCAGCTCCTTGGAGCCAGAGTCTCTTTCTGATCCTCCACACAAACCCTCACAGGTCGAAGAAGTGTCGAAAGTCGTGGCCCGCCCTCCCTCCCTTTGTAGTTGTCGACTCATGCCGAAAGATGCCGTCCAGATGTGTCGTCAGGTGTGTCGTTGAGTGTGTGTCGACCCATTCCCATCGCCATAGGGCCAGCATCCCTTCCCGTAAAACCCAAATTTTCACCATCTTTCCCCCCCGGCCTTTCGGCCGGGCACTCTTTCTGATCCTCCTCTCGAACCCTCACAAGTCGAAAAGTGCCGAAAGTGGTGGCCCGCCCTGCCCACCCGCTGATAGTGTCGTTGGCTCCGTTGACCCTTCAGCCCCTGTTGTTGAGCGGCGGTTGGTCTGCATGCCGTCGAGCCCACTTGGACCTCGGGCAGGAATAGTTAGTGCAGTGGGAATGAAAGAGAGAGGAGAGAGAAGATAGTGAAGGCAGAGCGTTGCTGGAGCTTTGGCAAGTTGTGGAGTTGCCGTTGGAAGTGTCAGATTTCAGTCAGCAGGATGGGCGTCAACATGGCATTGGTCCGGGACACGGCAATGGTTTGGTTGGGACATGTCAGCTTGGATATGGCAGCTCGAAAAGAAAGGTGGGTGGAGAAGGAAAAGTGAGATGGATGGGAGTTCAAAGTTGGAGATGTCAGTTTGGGGGGGATTCGAGATGGCAACTTGGAAAGGATCCGAGATGAAAGTTGGGAAAGAGCTGGAGATAGCGGCTTTGGGAGGTTGAAGATGTCGATATCAATTGGAAATAGGGCTCATCCAAGGCGGTAGCAGAATGGCTCATATTGGTCAGATGGAGGGAGGCAAAGAGGCAAAGAGTTGACAGGATATGGGAAGAGAAAACCAGCAGCGGAGGTGGCAGTGTCATGTCAGAAAACAAGGCTCGCTCAGGGGAGGAACGAGACTGGAGATATTGAAAGGTCAGAAAGTGATGGACAAAATGAAGATGGCAGTCAATGGATAGGATGAATGGTGGGAATGGAAGTTGGTGGCGGCCAGATCTCCTGGTATCAAGGACAGATGCTAAATGAAGTTAGTGAACGATAGAACCAATTTCCGTCGTGAGGCACAGAGATGGTTTAAACTGATTGTGATGGATGGCAGTGGTGGTGGTGGTGGTTGATAGGAGAAAGAGACGAGAGAGGTGGGTGGTTAGTTGAAGAATAAGAGGGAAGGTTGGTGGAGGAAAGGCGATTGGGGGAAAACCTGGTAATAGGCGTTAGACTTCAGATACACTAGTACCTGGCGCGTGACGCGAGACGCGAGACCCTAGGCAACGTGCCCTCGATGTTGAGGCGTAGCCCAGGTAACGAAAAACAACAAGGTGGTGAATACTGTGATTCCAACCAGGTGAATTTGTGGTCGGGAGACGATGAGATTCGGAAACGAGGCGAGGTGGATCAGGTGAGATAGAAGAGATGAGAGACAACTTACTTTAGAATATCTGGAACGTGGGACATCATGTCAGGTCAAAGGAGGTGGAGATAGCTGATGGACAAGGAGGACATTCCCGGGAAGGTTGGGAGATGGCCGGTGGGAGATAGAATGGGAGAAGGGAGACCAGGGCAGTCTCAGAGGAGGTCCATCGGCGGGAGATGGAAGATGGACAGGTTCGGGCATCGAAAAAAAGATTGGCGTGGGAGATATAAGAAGGCAAGGTGGATAAATGGGAGGCGAGAGAAGATGGAGTCGGTGATCAGGAAACAAGATGAGGGTAGAAAAACACAACAGGGGCGAGATGGCAGAGGCAACACGGTAGGAGAGTCAAGGGGTTTGAACTCTTGGGAGAGGTTTGGCAGACATGGCAAGTTGAGGAGGAAAACAAGATGGCGAGGAGAGAGACGGGGAGGGAGACGGGGAGGGGATAAAAAGGTGTGGGAGGTTAGAAACGCAAGTGCTCCGTCAAGAGGACCACGATGAATGGAGAACGAGAAGTGCTGTTGGATATTCAAGAGAGGGAGGAAAGTCAGGGGGTGAATTTTTATACTGGGAGCTGAGGGCGGTGAAGCCCAGTCTCGGCAGAATCTAATCACTCCTCAGGATGGACGAAACGGGAAGCAGAAAAGGTGTGTGAATACGATCGAGATAATCACAGGTATCTCAGGTATATTCCTACCATATGTACCCGATTTCCTTGTGTGATTAGGCAGCGTTCGGCGAGAGAGAGTGGTACTTCGAAATCCCAGGAGGCGTTGACCGAGTAGCCATTGCAGAAATCAACAGTGTGTATCATGTGCTGAAGAGTTGCGACAGTTACATATACTGTGTACATTCCCAGGTGTTGCCATTGGACCATTAAGTATATAGCGAGATCGAGGAAACGCGAAGTCAAGTTGATCCGCGAGGCGTTTGAGCTCCGGTGTTGTGTAGATACGTATCGGGCCAAGATGTCACTGTATGGTGTATAGTATTACGACGCCAGGGCTACTCGTGATGGTTGGTATAAGGTTTACGTATTTGCAGCCATAATCACTCTGTGAGAAGTATATCTGAGGGTAGTTCTCTTAAGGGGGGCATGAAACGTAGTGAGGTTCCTAAGTAGATCTGTGAATCAGCAACCCGCATTGAATACCCGACTTAAAATGGAAAATTGGGGCACGCGGATTAAGGCCTGATGTTATAAGTGATGCCTCAGTATCGGATATATATTTCCAGGCTGATCCTATCACCCGAGGCCGGCAATGTTGAGTTGCCAGAACACAGACTTTAGAACAACCGGCACGCCCCAGTTATGTCCAACAACTCCCAATGGTCTTTATAGTACGTAGGGTGTCACGTAGCAGTTGAACCAGCCTATATAAGCCTACATACCGCAAAGCGTGAATGTAGGCGTCTACGTTTTACGTAACATAGGGTAACAACGACGTTATCATTGTGGTCTTATCGTCTAAGGCAGTATTGCCGGTTAGTTAAAAAGAGGAGCTATGTCGTTGTGAGGCTATTTTAACTGCTAGTATAGAGAAGAGAAGAGTCTCGCCCCTGTTGGCATACAGTCGTGGCGAATCAGCCAACCAACCAATACAACCTACCTATTTACACCTTCAACGAAACCGTGGCTTGCCCTTAGTAGTTTCTCTAGTAGACTGCCGGGTGTGGACCTCTAAAGAGGGGGCTTCTAAAGGATCGGCATCCTAGGAGCAACGGGTGTGCCGGGAGAGATAGAAGGAGCAGCAAGGTCCTTCTACTTCCGGGCTAGCTTCAAAGAATGCAAAGGGATACAACTCTAGGGAGTATGGGGACGGCGTGACTGGAGAGCCCAGCATCGGGGAACGAGGAGGACCGTTAAGCCGTAGAGCCGAAATGGGGCCCTAGCACACGTTAGAGATCCATATTATAGGATACCACCAGGCTTTGAGGTGTCCCGCCGCGGCGTAAACTCAGTTATATTTGATTGATCGGCTGTGCGATGGTGGCTGGCTGGCGCCACCGCGGCCCTCTGCCAAGATATAACTCCTCACATAATCCCGCTGCTTGACTGAGACACTGGGAGGCTGAGCAGTTGATTCAGTATGATTCAGTATTACTAGTATTACTAGCAGCGATGGCACACCTGGCTGACGCCTATAAGAGCGGTCCGGTCCTCCCCCAAACAGGATTGCATGCCACCATAACCTGCCCACAGAGCGATTTCTCCTACCCTACGAGACGAGCATTTTGCGACATCCTAACTATTATCGAGTCAACCCGATTATAGGCGACATGGACTTTTCCGAATACGGGACGCTGAGCGAGGAATGGGTGGATTTCGAGAAGAACAACTCGGAGGCGGCAGGGTGGACGCTCGACATCGGAGGCGGTGACCCGGTAAAGCTGCAGGCCCAGGGAAACATCATGACGGCGGCGATGGGGAGAGCCAAGCTGGAACGGTCGGGACTCTGGGCGGTGGTCGAGTTCGAGGACTACACGGCGACCAGCCGGGACGGGTACGCGATCCCGGTGCGCTGCTACCGCCCCAAGGCGGCGCGCGGCCGGACGCTGCCAGCACACGTCCACTACCACGGCGGGGGGTACACGACTGGCGACCTGGAGACGGACGAGTGCTACTGCGTCGCGTGGGCGCACGCGCTGTCGGCCGCGGTCGTGTCGGTCAACTACCGGCACACGCCGCAGGTCAGCGGGCTCGTGCCGTTCCACGACGCGATCGACGCGTTCGACTGGATCGCGGGCCACGCGGCCGCGCTCGGGGCCGACCCGGAGCGGCTCACCGTCGGCGGCATCTCGGCCGGCGGCGGGCTCGCGGCGGCGGTGGTGGTGCACGAGGTCCGGCAGGCGCTGGCCGGCGGCGCGGCGGCGCGGGTCCGCGGCCAGGTCCTGGCCATCCCCAACGTCGTGCAGGAGTTCCCGTTCGAGCGCTTCGCGGACCGCGGCCGCACCTCGCTGGTCCAGTGCGCGGGCTCGCCGCTGCTGCCCAAGATCTTCTACGACTACATGGTGGGCCTGCTGCGCGCGGGCCACGACACGCCGGCCAACCACCCGACGTGGAACCCGGGACTCGTCGAGGACGAGGTGCTCCGGTCGATACCGCCGACGGCGATGCTCGTCTGCGGCAGCGACCTCCTGAGAGACGAAGGGCTGATGTACGCGAGCCGGCTGCGCGACGCCGGGTAAGTGTAGAGCAACGCGCGCCGCGTCGGAAGCGGCGGTTTGGATTCCTCGTCACGGGCCTAGGCTAACTCGCGCCGCGCAGGGTCCCGACCAAGGTGCACATCTTCGACGGCATGCCCCACGGGTTCTACCTGTTCGACCAGCTGGCGTCGACGACGAGGTGGGAGGAGATCGTGCGCGAGAGCACCAGGTGGGCCGGGTCGAAGGAGGGCGAGTGGTTCGTCGAGGTGCCGCCCCAGAAGCCCTGAAGGCCTTGGGGATTGGGATCGGCCGCGGGTCCGCAGGGCGAGCATCACGAAAAGAAGAAGAAGAAGAAAAGGCCGCGGCGTTCCGACCGTGGAGGTTCGATAGGAAGATTACCGGTACTCTGTAGTAGCAGGTAGATAGATGCTGTATTGCCAGGAATAACCCACGTGGCCTCGTCGGCGTCTTACGCCCACTGCCCCTTGCCGCAGGTGCGGTACATGCAGCTTTGCTGATTCTCGGAGCGGAGGGAAATCGATACGGGTACAAAGCTACCCGACGTTTTCTGAGGTTGGGTACCTACCTCTACCTAACAGGTAGGGCCTGGGTATTAGTCCGGGTACTTGTGTTGAGGATAGGTAGATACCTACCTCTGGTGGGTATATATGTCGGATTTGGTCGATGATCTAGATACCCAAGGCATCAGATACCTAGTAGAAATGTACCTGTCTAACCCAGAAGCCGTACCTGCACAGGTGCTTGCCTACCCGTAGCTTAGTACCTAACATGTCCAGTCACAGCATCCAAGTGACGTGGTGATGTACCTAGAGGAACGGACGAAAACAGGTATCTGAGTACAGAGTCAGTACACCTCATCTGGAAGCGCCACCAAGTTGCTTTTGGCCTCTCCCTCTTCTGCTATTTCTTTTTCTGCTTCCCTCTCCCTGTTTTGCTCCGTAAGCAGGTTATGGACAGCACGACGTCCAAGATGCCGTCAGCATCCGTGAGAGCCGATTCCAGAGCACAAGCAAGCGGAGAGAAAATGCCAGAGACTGACCGACTGGCTTGCAATCGGAGCAGACGCCGCGTAGGCGACAGAGGTGAGTAGGTGATATTATCCACCACTCTCCCGACTCTCCGGGCTGGTGGAAATCGACAAATCGTGATTAATAAATTGAAAACAGGCGCCTTTCTCGGTGAAACGCCTTAAAGCCGAGGAGACACCCCAATAAGTAAAATGCCCATCTCCGGCCTGTGGTTGGGCGGCTTCACACCGACGGTATCGAATTACACGCGGGGGAGCGCCACATGCTGAGCCCGTTTGCGGCTCCTAGAATTCCTCCGACCTCCTTTTCTGGCTCCGCAGTCAGTCTTTAGCCCCAGGGATTCCTTGCGGCGGGCACCCTGGCGTTAGCGAGTCCGACTTCTTTATGTCCGTTGGGGGAACACGTACGTACCGTTACCATTGACGGCTACGTAGTTGATGCGGTAATCTAAAGAGCGAGTAGGTGTACGTATAAGAAGCAGCCACAATGCCCGAGCTGCGAAGAGAAGCCGTAGTTCTGCTCGAACAAGAGAGAATAAGAGGCAACCTAGTTCAGCTCAGTCCGCCCGCGATACTCGACGCCCCCTCCCGCCCTCCTTCGAGACCTCGAAACTGCCCCCCCGAGACTTAACAGCCAACCAACTTTCGCCATGCTTCGAGCCGTCGTCCCCAGAGCCATCGCAGGCAAGCCTGTAGGCCCTATTGGCTACGGCATGATGAGTGAGTCCGCTCCCTGCCGTGAAGCCGCCAGCCAGCCCACGCCGTCGACTGGGGCTACTCTCGGCTGACCAATCCCTAACTGTGCCCTAGACCTGACGCTATTCGGAAAACTCACCTTCGACCAAGCGATCGAGCCCCTAAAGACGGCCCTCGAGAACGGTGCCAATTTCTGGAACGCTGTAAGCACACGTCCCCGTGTCCCCGACGACAACGACCTGCTTGCTGACCCCTTCCCCCCCCCCCCGCTCTCCTTACAGGGCACGTTCTACGGGCCGCCCGACGCCAACTCGCTGCACCTGCTCAAGCACTACTTCGCCAAGTACCCCGAGGACGCGTCCCGCGTGTTCCTCAGCGTCAAGGGGGCCTACGACGGCGCCACCCAGGTGCCCGACGGCTCCCCCGCCGGCATCCGCGCCGCCGTCGACGACGCCCTGCGCGTCCTCGCCGGCGCCAAGGCCATCGACCTGTTCGAGTGCGCCCGAGTCGACCCGCGCGTCCCCGTCGAGACCAGCGTCCGCACCCTCGCCGAGCTCATCCGCGAGGGCAAGATCGGCTCCTACGGCCTCAGCGAGGTCGGCCCCGCCACCGTCCGCCGCGCCCACGCCGTCCACCCGCCCGCCGCCGTCGAGGTCGAGCTCAGCCTCTTCTCGCGCCACGTCCTCGCCCCCGGCGGCGTCGCCGACGTCTGCCGCGAGCTCGGCATCCCCCTCGTCGGCTACAGCCCCCTCGACCGCGGCTGGCTCACCGGCCAGTTCCGCACCCTCGACGACCTCGCCCCCGACGACGTCCGCCGCCACTTCCCCCGCTTCCGCCCCGGCGCCTTCGAGCAGAACGTCAAGCTCGCCGGCGCCGTCGCCGAGCTCGCCGCCCGCAAGGGCTGCACCAGCGCCCAGGTCGCCATCGCCTGGGTCCGCCACCAGGGCGTCCTCCCCATCCCCGGCGCCACCGGCAGCGCCCGCGTCGCCGAGAACTGCGTCCCCGTCGAGCTCACCGACGCCGAGCTCGCCGAGCTCCAGGCCGCCCTCGAGAAGACCGAAGTCGTCGGCGAGCGCTACCCCGAGATGTTCCAGGACCTGCTGAACCAGTAGACCGCCGGCGTGGCCGGTGGGCTCGCGTCCCGCACCCAAGGCGCCGTCGAGGGCCTCGGCATCCCGATTTCCTGGGACGTAGTGATATTGAGAATATAAACAAACTACCTACACAATATTACACCTCCCGTTCAGAGATTTGCCCCACCTGGTATATGAGCTGGCGATAACCGCTAGACACTCGCAATCCTAGTAAAAGTCCAAATACGTTTACCGTGAAGCAATGCACCTGTCTTGACAAAAATGTTAGTGGCTATGGACGCAGGCGAGAGGGGAGGAGAGGAGAGGAAAACATGTAGTCCGCTCTCGCATCGTATGCCGTGCATCTACTACGATCGTACATCCACCCACCATACTCACCCGTCAACCCTGCCGCGTCTTCACACCTCCCTCTCCGCACGAGCGGTCTCCTACAACCACCTCCGCCGTCCGTCCGTCCGTCCATCCGTCCGTCGTTCAGCCCCCAATCCTAGGTAGGTGCCCTCGGCTCTGCCTCCGGCCGCACTCGCAACCCAATCGCGGCATCTAACTACCATCTTCTGCCCCCCGTAGCTAGCGCAGCCAGTGCAGATACCTAGTCGCACACCCACACTCGAGGCTTGGTCGCCCGCCACGGGATGCCGCGCGGCAGCCTCTCTGCCGCCCGTCGTCCTTCTTCTCTTCCGCGAGCGGAGCACCGCATTCCCCGCGGGAAGGGGGGCGCTCGCCCCCGTCTCCCGTGTGCTGGGGAGCATCGGCGCCTGTCGAGGCCGGGGCCCGGTTAGCCTAAAAAGGCGAGTCGTCGGGGCCGGCGTGGTGTGCTTTGCTTGCTCGCTTGCTGGTTCCAGGTCCTCTCGCAACTCTGGAGCCCGCAAAGGCACACACACACACACACTTCTGACGGCTGTGGCTCCGGAGACCAGACGAGGCCGCCCCCCCCCCGGCGGGAGCAGATATGCGGCGTCGTGCGGGATGGACAGATGGTCGACCGTCTTCCAGGCGGCTGTCCCCAGAGACGTCGCCTCGCGATACTCTATTGGCTTACCGGCCTACCTGGGTTAGATCCCGCTTGGCACCCCCCACGCACAGCGACAGCAGAGGACAGCCTGCTCAGTTGGGTCAACGCGACGCTCCACACTATAAGAATACATGCCCTACACACAGCACGGTCACTCGGACTCGAGAGATAACACGCATAACAACGTGATGTGCAAAATCATAGCATATCGTCATTCATACGTTACGGTAAGGGTTTCGTAAAGGGCAGAAACAAAAGAAACCAGAGGACGTCCAAACCCTTCCTTGTCCCCCATGAGATGACGAATCCTTGAGCCGGTTGAGGGGATCTCTGGGCAATTTTCCGTTCTATATCTACATGATTGAATGACCTTGTTTGTCTAGAAGAGAAAAGAACTCCGTGGCGTTGCCGAATGCCCTTCATCACGGCCGCCATTTTCCCCTTTCCATACCGTCGAGTTTAAAATAAGAAAGAGGCATTTCGTCGCATAGCCGTTGACCTGTATCCGTAAACCCCCGATAGAACGCCCTTTTGTACAAGCAGGGCCCGGAGAGGCGTATCCCATGGCTATACCCCCAAATTGCGGTGAGAAACTAACCATAAATGTGTAGTAATAGCTAAGGGCAAGCAAGGAAACCCTTGGTGATACCTTCCAGTAGGAAAGGATTGGATATCGATGGGAATTAAGGCCCAAGACCCTAGCGAGTGGTCGTAGGAATTCGTCAAGCCAAACCGTAGACCTGTCGTGTCGTGATTGTGCTGCATTTAAGACACCTTGCTATGCATCTCAAAGATGCAAAACGCCATCACCCCTCCTCGTCAGGGCACAACGCTCCCCTCCGGGAGCCTTATAAGTCGCCTCGGTACATCCAGCCAGGCTGGCAACTATTCCAGGCCAACAAACGCTCCCCCACTGTTGCTGCAAACGCAACCTCATTATCCAGCTCCCAAGCAAATCGAACGAGATCCGATGGAAAGATGACGGATAATTTAGACGTCGGTCATCTCCGTATCGAGAGAGATAGGCCCCGCAAGTTCATCTGCGGGGCCCCAGTTCCCCTCGAAGACCGTCGCGGCTGCTCGTCGACGGCATGCCACCCACTCCAACGCTTCAGACTCGATGAGCTGAGAGATCACGGGTCGTTGGTTTGGCTCTGGCGCAAGCATCGCCTTCACGACGGTGTCGAGAGAGCTGTGATGGTCAGGGTCACTCATGAAGTCCGGGGGTTGTTGCAATTCGTTCTTGCGACCCAACCCAAAAATATCACCAGACTGACGGCCGACATTTCTAAAATGGTAGCCACGCCGAGCATTTTTCGCAGCGCCCGTGCCTCCGAATAGACTGGCGCTACGGTCGGCGTCGTCGACTGGCATACCAGTGGCGTCGCGCACAATTGCGGCCGCATCTTGTGTTAAGACCGGAACCTCGGAGAAGTCCCCTTCCCTAAGACTAGTCCAAGTTGTCCCGTTCTCGGGGAGCTTGACATTGGCTGCAATCTCCAGCATGATAAGGCCAAAAGAGAAAATATCCGCGGGCTTGTCGATCTCCGATCGAAGGGCCTCGGGGGCCAGGTATTCACGATCACCTTCGAGGTCGGGTACCGTTTCCAAGGGCACGGACACTGCCAATCCGAAATCGCCAATCTTCAAGGTTCCTTCAAAATTAATGAAGACGTTGGCAGGCTTCAAGTCGAGGTGGATGAAGCCAGCATCGTGGATGTGTTGCAAACCCTGGCGATTTTTGTCAGAATATCAAGTACGCACATTCGGCCGGTGGTCGCTTACCTTGCCGATCTCGAGCATGATCTTCCAGATACGGAAATCGTCAAGTCGGCCCTTAAGGCCAACGAAGGATAGGAAGAGATCCAAGCTTCCCTCTTCGCAGAACTCGGTCTGTATGTAGAGACTGTTGTTCTCCTCCCAGCTGTCAATGAGTTGTAGGATATGGCTACGCCCTTTCAGAGCTTCCAACACGGACACCTCGCGGCGGCGAAAAGCCCTGTCCCTGATACCTTGAATCGGGACAGTAAGCTTCTTGACAGCGTATACCTTGGCCGAAGACGGGGAGGAGGGGCGTCGATGAGTAGGGGTGCTGAAAAAGCTGGGCTGAACCGCAACCAAGGGCTGAGCCATCTCGGTAACTTGATACACCTGCGAAAACTCGCCTTTTCCTATAAACTCCACCTTGGCAAAGCGTGACATGAGCACCTCGTCCAAGTCGTGAGCAGGGATGCCATTTATAGGGGTAATAGCCCGTCGCTCAATAAACAACGAGCCATTATGTCGCGTAGTGGGGGTCGCAGGCGGGAAAGACGAGTTCGGTCCACTGCCTGGAAATAGGGTATTCTCATTTACGTTCGAGATAGAGAGACGGCTTGCGTCCAGAGGCGCAACGCTCTCCTGCGGAGTTTGAGGAGTCGTGCTCTCTACGAATTCTAGCCTCTCCAACGGACTCACTGCGAATTCAGGGTTAGCCTAGGCAAAAATAGCTATTCGCAATACGCTCGACAGAACGCGTCGCTAGTGCCTGCACCGGATAACACTTACAATTGGCAGCTGAGTCTTGCTGCAAGGACGCGCAGGCTCGAGCGGCGGACGTAGGAGTAAAGCGTCGTCTGGCTGTAGGGCTTTCGTTTGGCAACTGATGGAAGCTGCTAGAACTCTGAGACATGGTCTGTTGCTTCGTAGGCGTTGGCGGTACATCTCCATCATTGTTAATGTGAGTATCGCTGTACTGCTCCAACGGACTACGTCCGTCATCGCTGTGGAGGCTGAGCAGACTGCCCCTCCGGGAGTGCTTGGAGAATCCGGGGAAGATGACAGGTCGCGTCTGTTCGCCAAAGATATTTGCGGTTCGGTTTGGCGTAGGGTCAAAAGGAGTCGACGGGACACCAAACGTGTGTCGGATATGCCTACCTCTCGACTTCACGTTGCCCGTCAGCGGCGGGGGGGGATAGGTCGCGAACCCGTTAGGATGCTTCTTGCAGGGGGTATCAGGCACAGGCCCGAAGCCACCGGTTGTGGGGACCTTCTCCGGGAAGCGATTCATCTTCGATACCAAGCCAGTGGATGCGAACGCTCCCTCAAAAGGTCTGATACTCTTGTAGTCGGGAGTGGATAGGCTCGCTGTCGCCGGGTCTTGGTTCTCGCGCTGAGGACGAACGGCGCCAATAGGCAGACTCTTGGAGAAGTTCATGGCCAGTCTCGGCTTCTCGCTTAATTTCACAAAGGAGGTTGGCGACTCGTCGCTAATGCTGGAGCCCGATGAGGAAGTCGTCATAGCTCGGGAGAGGGGGTGTGGTTGATGTGTCTGCTGGTTGGGGATATGCGCCGAGGGATTCGGTAACGGCCCTTGGGTATTGAAGGGGCTATCACGCGACGGAGGGGGCATGAAGTGATCCAGAGACAATCGCGGGCGGCTCTTTGTGTTCGGTGTAGCGACCTCATTCAAGTTTTGCGACAACTGCTGTGCGGCTTGTCGTTTCCCCCACGAAGTTCGCTCTCGCTGCTGCGGGGTGGTGGCTTCATTGGAATTCGGTGAAAGCTGTTGGGCGGCCTGGCGCTTGCCCCACGATAGTCGCTCGCGCTGTTGTATGGTAGACTTTCGCAGGGTACCGGCTCTGCGCATCGCGGCGGCCGACGGCGAGGTCAAGGGCTCGGAAGCGGTAGCCGCGTCAGGGCTCGTCCAGTCATACTCGCGAACCGCATCTTCCTGGAACTCGAAGTGGGAAGACGCAGGAGCGTGATCAAAGATGTTGAAATCACCCCCTAGACTTAGAGGACCGTAGCTGCGCCGCTTCGCCTTTGGGCTGCCGGAAAGGGACTGGTCAAAATTCATCGTCGCGTCGTTTCGCTTCAGCGGGCTGACTACGGAGGTTGATGGTGGCGGCGGCGTTGGAGGACTGTTGAGCGCTTCCGTGAATCGAGACGTGGCGAGTTGAGAAGAATCCGTCATATCCAGATGTACACTGTGCCGATTCGCGGGTTTCTCGACAGCCTTGCGCGATGCTGGGCTGCGAGTACGGAAGAAGTTGACGTTCTCCTGCCCCAAAGCCACCGCTAGGGATGGTGGTGACGAGTGTGAGGGAGGGAATGAATTGCCCGAGGCTGAGGCTAACCCTAAGGCTCTCCTGGATGGGCTCTTGGGGGAGGTGCGGTGCCTAGAGAATGGCCTCCCACTGGTTGATCCTGAAATGGGGCTCTTCGTCGATTTCCCAGAGCGAAGGGACAACTTGACACTGGGACGGAAAGGTGTTGCAAGTGGAGACTGACCGTGAGGCTGGTTGCCCGAGGGAGAAGGTATGGAGGTGTTTGGGCCAAAATATTGGGACTGAACCCGCCTGATGGAGGGTGAGGGAGAACCCTGATCAGAGCTGCTCTGGGAGGCAGTTCTAACCAGAGAAAATTTGGAAGGTGAACGCGACAATGATCTCCTCAGTGACCGTAGCCCTGCTTGAACATCGACATGATGGTTGTGGGGGTGAGTAGGCGAAGGCAAGGTCAAGGTACCACCACCATTCGACATTTTGAAGCTGCGATATATGCCATATACCGTAAAGCCTCCGATGCTAACAGTAGTGCGATGGCAGGACTAGTTTGGCGGAAAGCCCAGTGTCGTATATAAGTGAGTGACGAGAAATGAATATCTTTGAATCCGTACGCAGGCCGAAGTCCCCTCTATACCACTGAGTGGAAAGTAGGTAGATTTGCGTTGTAGATACGGGAACAGGTAGGTAGCGGCAATAATCGTACAGACTGCGGAGAGCAGTAGGCGTCGGTCAGTTCTCGAGGAGTATTCGAAGGTAGTATCGCTAATAACTCGACGACACCTGGAATGTTAAAGCAAGCAAGGGCAGGCTGTTTTCTTCAGCAGCTCATGCTGAATCAATAGTGAGTGTCGGGCTGAGACTGTCCGTTCACCAATTTCCCTTCTCAAGACATGCGCCCAGGACCCCAAGCTCCAGGTTCGCAGCTTTCCTCACACAGAGACAGTGTCGGTTGCTGCCATCAAGTCAGGCCTGGCGGGATCCCGAACGGAGTGATCAGATGAGAGAGAGGGAGGGAGGGAGGGAGGGAGAAGAGCTCAGAGGGTGGCAGAGGCTGGTTCTAGGAATCTATCTATGTATGCGCGCGCGCGTACCCGTGACAGGCCGACTGCTAGTTGTGGCGGAATTCATAGACAGATGGATAGGAGAGATGGGGTGCAAGAACCAACGAGAGGTTGGACTCTGATGTAGTCTGGAGATATCTCAGAAGAAAAGGAGCGCTCGGTAGCAGTCCGATGAAGGGTTGGAGAGGGACATTTACAATTAGTGGGAGAGGGAGGTAGTAGTGGGAGGACGTGGCGGGAGGCAGAAGTGGAAGTACAGTAGCGGTACATCCAGTTTCGCTACCTACGGCAGGGTCGATCGTGCAGGAACAGGGCCGGGGTAGGGAAAGCGCGTTTTTGTTTATTTCGAGACGCGTGTGTGGGGGCATGTGCGCCACACGGTACATCGATACCTCAGGTACCCATTTCCCTGCCTGACTCGACCCAAGGTATACACACACGCACCTGCAGCAGCAGAGTAACATGCCTGCTGCATTAGTACACCTACCTAATGTCCCTGAGCCCATCCGCCCTGTTCCTGAACAGTGCACAATTTGGGTTGTGCGCCGGTGCGGTACGGACCCGCAAAGGCTCCTACCCTACCAGGTGCCTAGTCCGGGTACATTGGTATGCGCCTGCCCACGCTCGAGGACGGCAATACACTACATAGCAAGTACTTTTAGTTGAGAGCATTTTCCACTACTTTCCATGTAGCGCACTCTATTTCCAACGTATCTAGTTGACATAACCGTACTAGAACCCTCTTGGGCGACATGTACCTGTACTAAAGGCAGCTGGGCGTCCATATTAGGGGACTTAGATACATACCGAACGGAGCCCTATAGAGTACATTACCTAATCCAGAAACCTAGAGGTAGGCAGATAGGCAGCCAAGGGGGCAGCCATTGCTCTGATCAACACAAACCCGGGCCGTCCTCTTCATCAACCCACTCACCCAGATTCCCCCAGCCTTTGACCGCCTTCTCCCCATCTCCCTCCCATCTTTAGCTAGCTTCAACTACCAGCCTCCCGGGAAAGGAAGAAAAACCCACAGTATGACCCAGGAGAGAGAGGCTACAGACGCATTCCCCTTTTCCAATCCGGACATGCATGGACAGTAGCTGACCTAGGTGACGGTACCCTGACCTAGGTGAGCTTAGCTGCTGTGTACGGAGGCGGGGGAGGATGTAACAAATGCAGGTGTCGAGGCATGGCAGTATGCGACAGCTCTGATATTTCCCGAGAGGAGCTTGGCCCCCCCTCTCCTGTACCTATGTAGGCGGTATAGGTTGGCTTAGGGACGGATAGAAACATACGTGTAGAATACGAAACAATAAACTAAAGCAATGACCTTCCGAGTCATCCTCAGATATACACACGTACACATAGTCTTGTATGTTGGCCAGATATAATTATATGTGATATGTCACTGCTATACATACGTGTATAGTACACGTCTGGTGTATTCAAAGGAACAATTCTACAGTGACCAGAGATGAGAGGCGCATAAACGGAGCTGATCCCGTCCCATGTCCTACCCCCCAAATCGGGATTCCGTGCATGATCTTGTATACTCTGCACATACCTTTGCCTTATGAATCCCCTCGATGTGCCTAATGCACTCTTCCTATGCGCACAACGCTGGATAGACGGGGTGAAGAGGCAGGAAGTCCCACCGAGTAAGCAGGTTTTTACTCGTGCCAACCCGTCATAGTGAAAGTTGCCAGCGGAGGTTGACTGATCTGTGCGAAGAGAAGCTGTCAACACATTGTCTATCTACCTAGGTACCTATCTGACTTATGATCTACGCGTATGTAGTGTAGCCAGGAGGTATGAATTGCACATGTTGGGTACGCACCGCGGACAGGCCAGGTGAGACCAGCCTCAACTCGAACAAATCCCCCGCCAATTACTCGCTCTCGACGTTAGCTCCTCCGGGCAGAACAATGAATTGGAAGTTGTCGGCTGCGCCATTGGGACCGCCGCCACCGTTAGTGTCCACCGGCCCCTTCGCGTGTCCCCCCCTTTTTTCCTATTCATCAACGTTGCGCGCGCCAGTTGGATCACGAAAAGCCCAAGGCCAACCATCCGAAGAGAAGTTGATGATACATCACACACTGCCTCCCTCTCCCCTGTGTCAAACCTCCTTTCCACGTAAGCACTGGATGGTAGTCCCGGGCTCCCGCGTCGAGCAGAGGAGAAAAAGAAAGAAGGGGGAAAAGCCCCCGAGGATAATGCGCCGCCGGCAACACAAGAAGAGGCTGCCGGAACTGGAAATACCTAAACACGTCCGAGGTAAACAACAATCTTAAATACGACGGGTTATTGTTAGGATCTCATTATCCAGATTCATGCGCCTCTGCTATGCATAGACGGGGGGGCGTAATCGGAGGAGAGGAATTAGCCCTCTCTCTTTTTCTCTCTCTCTCTCTGTCTCTGTCTTGGCCCCTTGTTCCCTGCCTCCCTGCCGCTGCCACCGCCGGCCGAAGACAAGCTCGAGCCACGCGTGTCCTGGATGACCAAGGTTTCCAATGAGTGCTACGCGTACGTGCCGCACTCTTACTACCTAGGTAGGTACCTATGCCCAGCACCTGCATCAATGGCTCCAGGTACATTCGATCATCTGGGGTAGGTTGCGCAGGTAATGGATGTATCGACGTATGTACATACGTACGCCTGCGATGGATGGCACCCCTGACAACGACTTGGAGGCTTCCAGTGGCTTCTCGGATGGCCCCATGCGATCTCACATCCCCCGTCACATGCGCGAACTCCAGTTCCCCCTCTGGTTCCACGTGCGGCGCGCAGATGTCAGATGGTGCGCTCGCGCGGCATAAAGGACACACCATCATCTTCGACGATTTAAAATTAGTGTGACATCCCTCGAGTCCCCCGAGCGGTGATGGGACGCCTCCAAATTGGTCATTGCCAAAATATCACGAGAGAAGGGGGGGGGGCAGCGAGGGGCGAGAGGAGAAGAGGACAAGTGAGAGAGAGGCAGATGAAGCTTGCGGTAGAGCAAAACATAGTTTCTCCTCTTTTCTTTTTCTCTCTTCCTCTCCCCTGATTTTTTTGGGGAGCTGTTGTCTTGGCCTGCCTCTACGTAGGCCGCCGGCGCGAACAGTGCAGACACGCCACGATCTCCGCGCGCGCACGGTGGGAATAACACAGATGCAAACCTCCCTCCATTACACGCGCACCCGCACGTCGGGGTGGGTTGACCATCGATCCGGCTGCATCCGAAGTGACACCCATCTCGTCCCTCTTGCGTCTCGTCTCGTCTCGCTCGTCACCGAAGCCTCGATCGACATTTCACATACACACACGCACACATGCACACCTACCTCGCCACCGGTGACACGGGAGACCTGTCAAAAATCGCCTCACCGACCTCACCTGTCCCCCCTCGACGTTCGCTTAGCTTACATTGCCAGTGTCATTCGCAGCTCAACGATCGCTACCCTCCCCGACGGTCTGGGAAGGGTTTGCGGATTTCCTTCCCTGGTGTAAATGCTTACATTACATACAATGCCGTCCATTATGTACTGTTTCGGGTCCTCCATCCATGTAACATTGTTCGCGCCCCCCCTGAAGTGGCCTAGACGCGGGCCGATTTTTCTTCTTTTTTCTTCTTGTTTCTCTTGTTCGGGTTGCCGCCCATGTCTCAATATACAATATGCCATGCAAGTCTGTGTGTTCGAGGTTGCCGCCGTCCTAGATAATAAATAAGAGAGTTGGAATAAGATGAACGAAAGAAACGAAGGAGAAAACAAAAAGGCAAAGGGTATCTATCCGCTCGTCGCGATCGATGCTCTCCCGAGATCCGAGCCCGGCTTGGGTATTTTACACGATTCCGCTTGTCTCGTCCCCCATACGTTCCCCGCCGGCACCCGTCGCCCACACGCGCGCACATGTGCAGACGGGTCATGGTCAGGGCTCTGGTTAGGTGGATGTACAGTACACGCAGGCATGGGGTCACAGATCCATTCGATACCAGGTCCCTCGAGTGGGTATGTCTCCTCCCTTCCTGTAGCCCTGGCCGCCGACAAGGTCACGGACCCGAGATCTCTCGTAACGCCAGCGTAAACAGTAAGCACGCCAGTAACAACACCCGTAACAGCCCCGTGATCGCGCGCGCCTCACAAGCGCCGTATGCGTGTCCAGGTCCAGCTGGGCCAGACCCGACGCTGATCCCACAACCAGACCAGAGAGCCGAAGTCATGCATCCTCCCCTCCCGTCCTCCCTGCCAATTATCTTGGATGCCTCAGATGCCTCACTAAGGTAGGCACCTAAGGTAGGTAGGGAAGCAATTAGGTATTAGGGTAGTAGGCGGTATCTTACAAGGGGGCGCATCGTACCGCGCGTGCGGACTGCCTTCCCCTCATCGAATCAATGGCAGCTCGAATCCCACCCGCTACATACTACGCTGCGTCGTAGCAGCCGAATCCGCCCGCGCGCCAGAGGGATCCTCCTATCGCGACGGGATCTATATTTAACCCAGGCCGCAACCCGGATCCGTGGTGGCTATTTAGGATGCGAGGCGCTGCCGCATGCGGTGAAGCGCGCGTGGCTTGATCCCGCCGCGCTCTCGCCTCGACCGCATCTTACTACGCGAGCCAGCGTTGTGTTTAATGTATAAATAAATCCCAACCGTCGCCCGGTGGGCGTGAGCCCGCGCCGCACCAGTCTGCCCCACTCCCGCCGCGGCGTCTTCCATCGTCTTGTCCGTAGGGTGCGTGCGTGCGCACGAGGTGCGCAGGCGTAGGCTTGGTTATCCCTCGTCTGCTCCCGGGAAATGCAAGTGTGCCGGGGGGAGGAAGAAGAAGAATAGTAAAACGCCAAGCGTTGAATGGGGAATCGGTATGGCGTCTCTGCATTCTCCGTGCCAACCTGCGAGCCCGAGAATTCGCCGTGACCGCAACCCCGCCCCTCTCTCCCTCTCTGCAATCCCACCCGGTCGGTTCCGGCTCGCCCTCGACTCCCCGCGCACCTACCTACCTGCCTGCCCAGCGAAACGCGCTGGGTCCGAGCCACTTTTGCCTCTTCTTTCCGACAACTAGTCACTGGCCGGGGGCCCGCCGCTACCCTAGCGCGCGCCGCCGCCGCCTAATCAGCGGGCGCCACGCTGGTCGCCTGCCCCTGACTTGCTCGCTCGCTTCCCCCTTCTCCCCTCGTCGCCTTGGCCCTTCTCGCCCGGGCTCCGCCCGCCCGCCTGCCAGCCAGCCAACCCGACGGCGGGCCCGGCGCCGAAGAGATCCCGGCCCCATTAAAGCGCGGCGGGGGGGGACCCGCAACGCAGCAAAGTCCCAAACCCCGCCTTTCCTCCCTCGACGTCGGCTTCGATTCCGCCAGGGGAGCCGAGGCAGGACAGGCGGGCAATAGGAAGTGTAGGGTCGGTCGTATTGTTGCGTCCCCGTCGGCCTGCTGCGGCTGCTGCGGGAATTGTTAAGGCAGAAAGTTGAAAATCTATAGTCAATAGTCAATACAGATTTAATCCTTCCGCCTTTCCCCCCTTTCCCTTTTTACTCTTTTTATTTTTATTCCCCTGTGTGTGTGTGTGTGTGTGTGTGTGTCGTTTCAGTCTACTAGCGCGCCTAGACCCGAACGGAGGACCTCGCATAGCGTCGACACGACGCGGCACCTGACTCGCCGGATGCTGGGAGGTTTGGGACGACGGGCAGCTAGCTGGCTGGGTAGTATAAGTAGGCTAGTAGGTAGGCGTGTGGGTTAGTGCGCTGGTAGGTGGGCGAGCACCTCGGGTGATCGGAGGACGTAGAGAGGACGTTGGGCGGAAAGTAAGCTGGGCTGGTGCCCGAGGGCGTGTGTAGTCGGCGACGCACGTACGAATAGCGTACCTAGTAAACGATCACTTTAACCTCCTCCAGAGCCCCGGGGGAGTCCCCCCTCCGCTGCTGCGCGAACGTCGATGGTGTACCAGCTGCCGGCCCCAACTCTACGCAGTGTTCTACTCGAGTGCCCAGATTTAGTCAAGTCTGGGGTTGGCTTCCCTCTCCGCCCTTCGAGTTGATGCTGCATGGCTGCCCAAGTCAGCTTTGCCCGGGGGCGACTTTTCTGAATGCCCCTCGCTACGAGAAGGAAGTGCGATATTAATCGTCAGATGTCGGTTACCGGGTGCAGCGATGGAGAACACATATTGATAATGCATAGATCGCAACGCAGCATACCGACTTTGGGGATTTCTCGCTCACGGGTCAGCCGAGAGCCCAGAGGGGAGGAGCACATTGGTGTCCTCGCTAGAGACGATCTACGAAATGAATGAGGGATGCCCCGAAATTTCGACGAAGCCGAAGCTCGGTGCGATGGGTTGGTGATAATATGGCACATCCCGCAGAGGCGATATTCATTGCTGCGGCCTGCTCCCCTCCTCTAGACGCTTATTAGCTCCGAGATGCCCGGCGGCAATTCGTATAGAATTTCTCCTCGAAATTAAATACTTGAGTTGCAATGGTATCTGAAAGGCAGATACTCCTTGCAAATCCACTGTACGAGCCGCGGAGCTCTTGGAAATTGATGCCTGCCTATGAGCTCAACTAGTTGTATGTAATAACCGTGCCAGAAACTGGACCTAGTCTTCCCTGTGCTAGGTATAGCGTCGAGAAGGGTTACAATAGTAGAACATTAGCTCTGCAATGTGAGATATCAAATCACCTTACACGACACCAAGCGTTCCGCAGCCAGGCCATCTCCTTACCGACTCGTGATTGCCTGTGGCTTCCATTGCCCGATCGCGGAATTCTATCAGAAACTACAAGAGCTCTTCCTTAATATGCTCTTCGGGCACGTCATCGTCTCTAAGCATAAGAGCCCTCCGCGACTCTTCTTCCATAATAACATCCTTGAAGTAGAATCCTGCGCTTCTCAATACGGTTTGTATGAATGAGAGGCCTCGTGGGATTTTAAGAAGAGGTAGCTGTTCGTTCGTATCATATTACATGTTATTGGAACACCTCCTTCGTCCTCAATTATCATTACAGTTATCACAGTTATTGCAGTTATTACTATTCACGTCCTGTGAGTTAGTAAGGGGTCGTGGTCTTCCAGTTGCCCACGAGCGCGGATCTGGTTGGACCTGCTATACTCGAATCTGCTCTGCCGATATGAATACCTAGCTATACAGGCATAGGGGAGGCGAGAGGCACTGAGGTAGCTCAGGTAGCTCGCCGTAGCGGGGGTGCACGCTCCGAATATGTTATATTTACACTGTGTATATTCTAAGCGGCAACTCCTGTCCCTGTCCCTTTTTTCATCTTCTCTCCTGGCGACGAGCCCTACGTACGCGGTATCTGACACCCCGTCCCCCGCTCCTAAATCGAACCCGACTGGAATTACCATCTGTGGACATATATCGATGATGTAGCGCTACTTTACCTAGGTAAATAGGTAGGCGGGAAAATAATAGCACGTGAACTACGGACAAACAAGAGGTTGTGACCCCCTTTCCTAACTCGGAATCACCATAATCCGGCGTCATCACCGTCTCGAATGCTCCCCGTCAGTCAAGCTACTAACTTCCTTCTCCTTGATCCGTCCACGACCTTTGCTAGCCTTTCGCGAACCAGGCGCACCAGCAGTGCCCGAGGCCCCTCTTCCCGCTCCCGCGCCCGCTCCCGTTCCTGCCCCTGCCCCTCCGCCGGCAGCAGTCGCAGCAGCTGAACTTGCGGCCGAAGCGGCGGCCGCTGTCGCGGACCCGCCCGCCCCAGAAGTGCTGCTTTTGGGCTTGCGGCGCACGGGCTGGTACACGTCGTTGAAGTTCATCACGACGCCGAGGAAGCGCAGGTCGACGTCGGGCTGATAGGCCAGGTCGCCGAGCAAGATCTGGAGTTTCGTCCGGAACCGGTCTCCAAGGTTCCGGAGCCGTTCTCGCAATGCGGGGAATTCGCTGTGCGGCCCACCCGGGATGCCGCCCCCTTCTCCGTCGTCGTCGTCGTCGTCACCATCGGCGGACGAAGATCGGAGGCCGGCCTCCTGCCGCTGTGTGAAGTCTGACACCGACCATGAGTACAGCCCGTCGACGCAGTCGCGGTATGCGAGCATCGTGCGTAGTAGCTCTCCGAGCTGGATCATGTAGCTGTTGTCATCTTCTTCCGCCGGCATGCCGGCGCCGGTTCCCGTGCCACTACCCCCGGTAGAGGCAGAGGCAGAGGCAGCCGTAGCAGCGGCGGCGGCGTTAGCGTTGGAGCCGACGAAGCGTCGTCGCCGCGCGCCTAGGAGCCCCTTGTGCGTGATAGAGTTGAGGTAGGTGGTATGCGCTTCGATCACGTCGTCAAGGGTGGCGTCTTCGCGCTGCAGGCGCTCTTGTAACTCGGTCCAGGAGCTCTCGATGACCTCAAAGAGTATGTAGTACTGTAGCTGGCCGACAAAATGCACCATTTCGGCGAGGTGGCCGCGCGTCGTCTTCCAGGTCTGGCGCACGGCGGCATGGTCGGTCTGGAGGACGCCGCGTGAGCCCGTCGTGACCTTTCGCCATGTGGACGAGAGCGCGAACTCGACGCGCTTGATGCGCCAGAGGAAGTTGAACACCTTGAGGTACTGACGGTTACCCCAGTCTGACACGACCACGTCCACAGGGGCGTCGATCTTGTACTCGAGAGTAAAGCAGTCCCACCCGATGTCGCCGTGCGAGAGCTGCAGCATGCGCGCGTCTAGCCGCCGCAGGACCTCGGGCGAGTCGTACTGTGCATTGGAGCCGCGGATGGCGTGCTCGAGCTGTGCCGTAAGCGTATGCCTATACTGGGCCCCGGCTGGGCGGTCGAGGTTCGCGGCGAGAGATTCCATCAGCAAAGCAATGAAGTCACCCTGCCCGAGGAGGATGTAGCTCTTGAGCGCCTGGAGGTGCTCGAAGAGGTGAAACTTGTTAGTCATGAGGTGCAGGAGTCGGCGCATAGTAGTTTTGTATGCCTCGTCGATCCATGTTTCTAGGGTTGCCGTATCGCCGTAACTGAGTTGCTTGGAAGACTCTTTCGAGTAGGACTCGACCCACTGAGCATCGCCGCAACTATGACGGATGAAATTGAGAGACTTGCCGATCAGGAAGACCTTTTCACAGAATTCCATGGTAATAATAGAAGGGATCATGAGAGGATCGAGCATATACTTGTCATCCCAGACACTGATAGATCCTGTCTTGCCCTTAGGCATCATGTCTACCGGCTGTTCTTGCACGAAGAACTCGAGATACGGGTCCGAGAGCTCCCCATCGTATATCCATTGTCGCAGGATATCGTAAAAAGGGCGGGTAACAGGCATAAGGAGTTGCTCGGCGAATGCCCCCACGATGGGATCACCGTGAGATGACGAGAGGGAGTGGATTAGAGAAATGAGTTGGCCGCCTTTCTTACTCTTCGACTCTTCCGCGATCATGCTCATGAGACGTAAACCCATGGTAGCCTCGCGCGTCCAGACGACGCAACGCTTCAGGGTCACGCCCGCCTTACCGATGCCACTCCTAGGGGCTTTCTCGTCAATGGTGGATAATGCACGTCGTATCTGGCCCTCTAGTGTCGCCACGAGCGTTAGGTATGACCGTAACTCGGTGCTGATGGCAGCTCGAAGACTCTGGGCTAGGAGGCCCTTGGCTGGTGTTTTGACAAATTCTTCGAGGCCGCGATAGAGAAGCGATGGTTCGGCAAGGGTGTGGAGGAGGCCGATCAGCGGTGGGGGGAGCGTAGGTGGCAACTTGAGGGAGTCCTCTTTGGCGAAGGGAAGAGTGGCCGAGGAGAGTCCCTGAAGGGTATATGGTAGATCCCGGAGCAAGACGGGTTCGGAGGGCTCGAAATCGCTATAATTATCGGCCAGCAGCTTGGATTTGATGGCAACATCCCTCTTCGGCGGGCTGGGAGGTTCGTCTTTGCTTCCTCTACTACGCCTGCGGCTGCTGGGGCTCGAAGGACGTTGAGAATCGCCGTCGAGCGGCCTCATGTCTTTCGGATTCTTGAGCACATCGCGCAACTCGGTGGGATGGTAGGAGTCGTCGGGGTTCGGATTGGGGTTCGGATTCTGATTAGGGTCGCGTGTATACGCGTCAGCGTTTCCCTGGTTGGGAGGGCCGCTCGAGGCGAAGTCTTCTCTTTCCTCGTGCTTCCTCCTCCGCCTCGCCTGCTCCTGCTGGAACTCGGCAAAGGCAACGGGGTCGGGCTCGGTGGGGTCGGGCGAATCGGCCAGCTGATAAAGCAGGTACAGCATGGCCCATTTCTGATTCAGCACGGGTAGCGCCAGCAATCTCGAGTACAGGTTCGAGTAGCGCAGGGCTTGGCTCGGGTTCGTCTGCACGAGCTTTCGTCTGATAAGTTCGGAGGCATGGTTCTGGTCGGCCAAGGGAGGCGGTCGCGGTCTAACAGTCTGTCGTCAACACTCTGCCTATGGCGAGGCGTGTGGGAGAGTGGAATAACTATATCCAGGGGTATTGCTATTAGGGTAAGCTTAGGCTTGGGCTTACTGGTTTAGCAACTGCTTGATCTCATCGAAGAACTGGTCGTGTCTCTGCTGGGCGTCCTCGTCGCTTAGACGCGGGTTATCTGGGATGAGCTGGGAAATCAGGCGGTTGATGCTGAGGTCAACACGCTTCGTCCGGTCCTGATTCGACCCGGACATCGTGTCATTTTGATCTTGCTCTACTGTATAGACTCAGAGGCTTAGGTGGGTAGCCAACCTGGCCGACCTAGACAATACTGGTACTGGTGATGCTGCTTGCTCTCGACAGGGAGTGGGAAAACGACGAATTGGCGAGGCAGGGCTGACAGGGTTGTCATGTAACGGTATTGTGGCGTACGAGGAGAGGGCGGCAGCAAAGAGGGGATAGGAGTTGAGGCTTATAATTAAATGCTCCGATATCTCGACGGCATTAGGACGCGAAGAAATTCGGACGTTGTAAAGAGCAGCAAATACCTGAAGTCTGAAGGAGAGAGGGGAGCACTGGGTAACGGTAAAGTCATAAGTCACGGCGGAGCGACAAGCACTCCGGAAGGCGGGTAACACTTCACTTATGTACCTAGGTTATATCAATACAGAGAAAAACCTTTGCGAATAGGCGCTAATCTCGTGTAAATTTACTACCACAGGTAGGTACCTAAGGTATGTAGGTACATGTATATTAGCATCTAAACACCATTCAACACACCACCACAGCCTGTAACAACCCGTCACACCCAGCCTCAGAGGGCGTCGGCGTAGGTACCTAAGACTACATATACTCATTACCTGCTTTAAGTACTCATTTACGGGAGCTTTGTGCTTGAGCAAGCCCATCTGTACCACCAGCTCACGACGTTCTATACTTTAAATCTTGGCGTCCCAAAGTACCTGACCTGTACTCCTTTCCTTAACCCCCCACATAACGGAGGTATTCCGGTGCAAACCCCAGAATTCCCGATGACATCCCTCCTCAGATCAGCGCCCATCCACCCCCCACTGCACCTGTAGCTGTTGATGTATGTACCTGTAGCGTAGCAGCAGCAATAGAAGCAAGGTACCTAATTGTAGGTACCTACAGGCGCCGAGATCACCCACCTGGGGTGCGTTCAGGTAGGCTAATCAGGGATTGGCAGGTACCTAAAGGATTACCAAAGTAGGGACTTTCCTGCACTGATTTCCTAATGGCGGAACCTCCAATCTTTTTACAGATCATCCAGTGGCCAGCCGAGACAGCAGCAGGAGAGGGAAGAAAGAGACAGACGAGCCATTCTTCATCGAGTATTCGCATCAAGACGACGGATTTCATCCATTTCAAGACTGTAATTCTGATCGCCTCGGCCTGCTGCACTTTATGAACGGGGCTTGATCCCCCCTTTCCCGCTGCATTGTGTCGGTAGCCCGAACGCGACGTCGCGCCCATGACCGTCGCCCAACCACCAGCTTACAGGCTGATCGGCATCGTCAACTTCATCGGCGCCGACACTGCCAGCAAGCCCTAGCCATCGACTGCACCTCTTCGCACACGCCCTTTTTCTCCCTCCCACCAATCCACTCCACTTCTCCTCCCCTACTACGGCTGCCGAGGCCGCGATCTCGGCATCCCACCTGCCATGCCTGATATAGATCCTGCGGCCCTGAGCCGCCCGTCCATCAGCATCTCAACACCGACCCTCAAGTCCATCACCGTCTCTGCGCCGACCACGCAGAAGGTCACCAAGACGAGCCAGATCATCCCCACCCGTATCGACCTTGAACCCCTCTATACTGCTCTAAAATCTACTATAGGCGCCGAACAATGGAACACCTACAAGGATGCCATCACCCAGTTCGTACTAGGTCTGTCCGCATCGCCTGCATTGTCGCATATCGACGGCGCCTTCTCTCCGCAGACGCGAATTATTATTCTTACTAACGCTCCCCCGCAGGCCGGTTGAACCAGGCCGAGTTCTCGGAGCGCATTGATCCCATCCTATCCTGCCCCAACGGCGACAAGAACCACCTGCACAACCAGCTCCTCGCTGCTATATATGGGAACCTCACGCGAGAGATGCCGGACCAAGGAGTCGCGCCCTGGGTTTCTGCCAACGACAAACCCGCCGCTAATGTCGGCGCTAAACCTATCACCGGCGACGCTGCCGAGCGGAGGCTGAAGGGTGAAGTCATGCAGCTCCCGAGCCGTGATCGCAGACGGATCAAGGAATTGGCCCAGAATGATGTCGGTGCAACGCCCTCGCTAGGAGCCATTCGTCCCAATTATTTACAGACACCCCAGTTCGATCCCTTCGAATCCATGACCAACATGTTCTCCGAACACCACCGAGGCAGGACCACCCGCGCCCCCGACGTCCCTCAGAGCGCAAACGGCCTGAATAAGATGAGTAAGTCCGATCTCGTCCTCGAAACCAAGAACGAAAAAAAGAAAGAAAAGAAGTAAAGAAATTAGAAATAAAAATTATGTAAAAAAAAATTAAACCCCCGAATTGTATTCCCCCTAGCATATATGTGTAAGCAAGGGCGTAGGCTAAGAACTGGCAGACTTGGATCTGGAGATCCGCAAGCGCTTCGCTCAGCCTCTAGCTGTAGAGTCGGGAGAGTTCCCCGACATGGCCAGCATAGAGTCTAGAATGCTGCCGATATGCTACGAATCAGGCCTCGTCAACGGACACAGTCCGGATGCCGGCCAATTCATGACGGTCGCCACCGAGACCTTCATCAAGGAGTTCCTTTCGGTTGTCTTCAGCCGGACGAGGAGCAACGGACCGGGAGATTCCGGGAGCGCTGGATTCGGCGCCGGCCCGGGCTGGATTCAGACCCATCGGTATCGCCGCCAGCTAAGGCGCGAAGAGGCAGCGCTTGCCCGAGGGGAGCTATCCCGAGATAAAAGCGGACTACTTCCCGTCGAGGCGAAGGCTGCGAGCGAGAGACCGCCGCTGAGCATGGCCGACCTGCGACTTGCCTTAGAAATCGGCGACTGCGGCTTAGGTTCGTTCCCTACCGTGAGGAAGTCGGTTGTATATAACTACAGAGACGGCGAGCTCGAGCACTACAGCAACTACACCTGGCTCCACGGCCACAAGCCCGAGGACTTGGAACGTGTCGGCACGGGAGTCGTAAATGGTGCGGGCCCCGACCCTCTCACAAACGGCGGCTTCCTCCCAGAGCCGATGGATATCGATGATGAGGAGATGGCATGGGAGGGTGCGAGCCCCCAGGACATGTCGGGGCTCGATAGCGTCTTGGATTCGTGCCTGGCCGCCCCATAGTATGCATCAGCTCTATTAACGCGCTGCGTGCCTCGAGACGAGAAGGAATCGGAGCGAGAGTCCGACTAGAGTTCCCAGAGACGGCGCGGTTACGAGTCTTGGGTTGCGAACTCACCCGGGGCTAACACGTGGTCACGTATTTTTGCATTGGCATAAAGGCGTCATTCATCGGTTGCATTTGCTCGTTCTGTACCACTACCACCCCCCAAAAATATCGAGCAGGCGGGAGGGATTCTGGCGTTTTCGTTGTGCGGTTCGTTCCGGTGGATGTACTACGTTTTTCTATCACGATACCCCCTCCGCCATTCAGAGGTACGAAACGAGTCCCAAGCTCTAGGTTCCCCTGAACCGCCATGTATTAGCACTAGAGACAGTTAGATAAAGAGGCGTGTAAATACGTGCCGGATATTTATCCATCTCTAATAGGGTTGCGATTGACCCATTGACGAATTATACGCTCTAGTAGAATACCATCCTCGCAGCATGTAATATATCGGCTTGACCGAGTATATATGCATTTATATGGCATTTGTAGTTGGAGGTATGTTCGGATAGCTGCATGGACCAGGGACAGAGGAGGCGAGTTGACGCGAAAAACGCGTCCAGCTCAAAGCGCGTCAGGGGTGGGTTCGTGTAAATAGCTATCCATCCTCTGCAATTACGGTAGCCCCCCCACCTGGACAATTAGATCTCCTTCTCACCTGCAAACATATACATGCAACCCTCAATTACGCCTTTAACCCGACCATCACCGTAGTGTTTCTCTAATTGTCTTTTTAGGATGTGTTATCGAGGCAATTAGGTCAATCAATTGTATCTCTCTCGGCACTATTCCTTTCCTGAGTATCGGTAACTGCCATGGCCTCTCTTCGCTCTCCCTCGCCCTCGCATGCCGGGGACAGCCCGGCGCCCACATCGCCGCAACTCTCTCCACGGTCCAAGATTAAGGCCCTGCTGGCCGCTGTGGATAATGGCGACTTAGACAGTGAGACGAACGGACTCATTGGCGCGGAGCCGTCGAATACGATAGATACCGAACCCTGGCCGACGCAGGATGCTGGAGAAGAAGACAGTGAGGAGGAAGAGATCATTCGGCCTCGTGGGCGACTAGCTGCGCGGATGCGAGCTCAAGATGTGGATCAAATATCTAACTCTTCTAAACCACCCGCCCATGGATCCGAGCACCCAGAGAATCCCGCCCCGGCAAACAGTGATGCTGAAAACAGAGATTTCCCCAACGCGAATGGTGATGAAGAGGAAAACGATACAATTGCTCCCCGACGTAGGCGATTAGCCAGACCTGTTCGAAGTACGACGCCAGAGGATCCGGCAAACGTCGACAGACCACTATCACCCGGCCTTTTTGTTACCCCATCTCCTCATAAGACTACGGCTGGCTCTGATATAGACGACGATCTACCAGAGAACCTAGGCAAGAATGAGCGCTTCCTAGCACTCGTGGCCAGGAAGCGGCAAGAGAGGTTAGAGAAAGAGGCCGAAGAGGATCGTAAACGAAAGGAGCGCGCAGAGCGAATGGCAGAGCAGATCCCCGCCGAATCAGATATCGATGACGACGTATCCGATATCACCGATGATGAAGGCGGCCGGAAGCTCACGCAAGAAGCCTCACGCCCCGCGCGTAAAGCTAGCAAAAAGGCCCTGGAGGAAATGAATCGCGAGACGCAACGAATCAGTCGAAGCTTGCAGCTTGCTCACGAAGCGAAGACGAAAAAGAAGATTACGAAAGCTTCCCTATTTGAGCGCTTCAATTTCAAGACTCGAATGGCGCCCGGCGATGCTAAAGTCGCGAGCTCAAGCCAGCCTACGACACCCGGTTCGGTACACCAAATAGATGTTGAGATGACTGACCCCGGGACGCCGCCAAGCTCTCCGCCCACTGCCCCAAAGACCATTCTGGATCTTCCCGCACCGGTAGCGCCCTTGAACGCTGGCGCGGAAGAACAAGAGACTCTATTAGGTGGAGGCGATGGTCTGCCCAGCCTTGAGGATGTCTTAACTGAGAGTAAAAATGAGGATAAGGACAAGGGGAAGGGGAAGGCGGTTGAAATCTCGGTCGATGTAGAGGCCAAAAAGTCGGGAGCAAGCAAACCAAAACGCCAAGTTCGCGTCAAGTTGCCGCTGATGCAAGCAAATCTCGTTACAATAGACTCCGGTGACGAGCTCGAAATCACGGTGAAAAAGAAGGGGAGGATGGATGCGGTATTTGACCGGCTCCCCGAGAAAAAAGCACAGGAATCCAGGCCGATGAATGTGCTCCGTCGTCTCGCTCATCTTTCCTCGCCCCCGAAGGAGCCTACAAGAAGCCGCAATACTAAGCCATCTATGACTCCGGCCGAACTGGAAATGTCATTACTGCAACGCGCCAAAGCACAGGCGAAGCTCGAGCGCGAACGTCGCCTGGAATTCTTGCGATCCAAGGGTATCTCGGTGCAAACCGAAGAAGAGCGCGAGCGGGAAAGAGATCAGGTCGAAGATATCGTCGCCCGGGCCCGCCAGGAGGTCGAGGCGATCATGCAAAAAGAGCGTGAGGATGCCAAGACGGCGCGCAAGGAGAGGAAGAAGAACGGCGAAGTGGATCCTCTTGCTTGGGATGATAGCGACGACGATAGTTTCGAGGATAGCGAAGGGGCGCCATCTGATATCGAATATTCCGGCTCGGAAGACGAGAATGAAGAAGGCGAAGAAGAAGGTGTCCAAGATCAGGCCCAGGACGAGACGGCTGGAAATCCTTTGTTTGAGGATGAAGCAATGGAAGATGGAGAATCTGACGGGGAACGCACACCGAAGGCTGCGAGGAGGACCATGACCACGGACGACGAGACAGACGATGCCGACGAACTCCCGAAAATGAAACCGCGACGATCAAAGAAACATGTGCATGTGGTATCGGACGACGAGGACGACGTCGAGGCCACTCCAAAGCCAAAGAAGGCGTCTTACGCCAAGTCTCCCTCTGCTACCAACTCGGATTCTCCTAAGATCCCCACGTCGGTTTTACGATCAGCCAGGAAAACCTTCATTCCGGGACTTCCCATCCCAGCGGCGGGGCCAGCCGGCCTGGGGCTCACTCAGATTTTTGCTGGCACCATGGACAACAGTCAAGCCGGATTGGCCAGCGGATCTCCCTCGGAGCTCATGCCTAGCTTCGACTGCTTCCCAGACTCCCAGTTCTCCGCTACAGCCAGCCAGTCTCAAGAAAACAATGCTGTCCTTGATAGTCAGAGGATAGTGAAACCGACCACGCAAATACTCGAGACGCAGACGCAAGGTGTGCAGCTGCATTTCTCGCAGTCACAGGTTCATGGCCTCGATAGCTTCATGCAGATGGATGGTACACAGATGTCAGAACTCATCCAGCCTACTCAAGACGGTGGTTTCCAGGATTTCTCTCCCTTGAAACAACGGTTCGTCGAGCATCCCCAGTCTACGATTGAGACTGTGCTATTGGGAACGACCCAAGGGGAAGAGATCGTACCGGATTCTCCCCTAGTAAAAAGAAAAGGCAGGTTGACCCGCAGAGGCGAAACTTCAGCGTCCTTCCCTGTCCTATCGTCCACCGTCACCACAGGAAGTCCTAGCGCGCCGCGTCGCGTAGACGCCAGCAACGCCGAAGTGGATACGAGTGCTGCAGCCAGCGCGTTCAAAGTAATGGAGAGGGCCGCAAGGAAGAAGAAGCGCATGCAGGAGAAGTTCGATAGGAAGAAGAGCAAGGCTACTGAGATGGTTGAAGAGCAAGCTGAGGAATCCGAAGACGAGTATGCTGGGCTTGGCGGAGCTGATGGCGAGGACTCGAGCGAAGAGGACGAGGAACTCGCCAGGGAGATGATCGACGACACGGCTGGTAATGACATCGACGAAGCTAAGTTGGCTGGCTTCTTTGCGTAAGTAAACCCCTTGCCCCCTTTATTCTTAAAAGTTCCTACCAATCATTAAACGAGTGGATATTAATCGTTCCTCTACAGCGACCGAGAACGAGCAGCGGACGCGGCCCAAGTAGACAAGCTGTTCCGAGACATCACGACAGGCATGCTCCGAAAGCGGCGCCGCGGCGGAGGCGGTGGGAACAACGACTTCGACCTGTCGGACTCGGACGACGGCGGAGAGGCGCGACGACGTATGAAGCGGCGGCAGTTCGCTAAGATGCAGAAGGCGCTGTTCGCCGACGAGCGTATCGGCAAGATCGCAGAGAATCCGCGCAATGCGGCCTTCCTCAAGAGCATCGAGGACCGTCACAGCGACGACGAGGACGAGGACGGCGGCGCCTGGTGGGCCTTCGAGGAGAACTTTGCGCACGAAAGCGCGGATGGCAGCGCCAGCCAGAGCCGAGAGCGGACTACCACTCCGGCGGCACCGGAGCAGGCAACGATTCCCGACAGCCAGCCCGCGAACGCTCGGGGTAGCAAGCGCGCACATGCTAGCGACGAGGACGGCGACCACGTAGCCCGTCCGCCCCCGAATGCCCGTCGCACTCACGGCGGCGGCGCGCGCCCAAGCTCGCTTGCCGACGTGCGCAGATCGCTGTCAAGCCTGCTCGACGAGCCCAATGGGTCGGCGGCGTCGATTGTGCCGGCGACGGAACTGGGCTCGGACAATAGCGACGACGAAGCCAGAGAAGTGGAGGAGCGTCGCCGCCGCCCGGCAGTGGCGGCAGCGCCTTCCTCGTCGTTCTCCGACAAGGAGAACCGCGCCGCCGACGTCCTGGTCGTGGACCGGCTCTCGCTCAAGCGCAACCTGTCGAGCGGCAGCGGCGGGGAGGACGGCTCGTCGTCGAGGAGGCTCGCCTTCGCGGCGCCTTCGGGAGGCGGTAACGGCGGGTTCAAGGTGCCGGCGCTGCTGCGGCGGGCGACGACGAACTCGCTCATATCGAGCTCGAGCGCGTCGTCATCCTCGTCGTCGGCGGCGGCGGCGGCGGCGAGCGGGGAGAGCGGTCACGGCGGCAAGGCGGGCGGAGACGAGGCCGCCAAGCTGAAGAAGACGGCCGGCAAGCGCTCGGGCATCAACTACTTCGCGCGGGAGACGGAGCGGCGCGCGGCAGTGGCGGAGGCGGAGAAGCGCCGCGAGGCGCGGAAGTGGAAGGGCGCCGAGGGGAGGGGGAAGGCGGTCGGTGGGCTGTTCGGGGGCGGGAGGTTCGAGTGACGAGTATCGTCATCGCAACGACCGTCGGAGCAGCAGCGGCAACACACCCGATCTGTGCGGGCGTGGGTAAGCGGCTGGAGGCTATCGACGTAATGTGAGAATAAGGTCAGGCGTTAGGGCGTAAAGCTGATGTCGTTGTTTAGTATCGTTGAAGTTGTAGGCATATGGACAAGCACGGCATTGAACGGATAGGGGTGTAGATAGGTGTGAATGAGATTGCATATGGTCTTGGCCAGCACTGACACGCCTGCCTGTTGTCTACGTATATCAACCCAGTTACTGCTCGCTGCCTCGTATGCATAGCCCGAAGTGATGAGAAGAGTGTAGCTGATGCTCGGTGTTACTACCATTGAGGTCTAGGCCCATGGACGCTTCTAAACTACCTACCTGTCTGTCTATATGCCCTGGCATTCCGAAGAATGCTGCCGACTGCATAAATGCCAGGTATATTATCTTGTATTTCCGTATGAGTCGTGTGCTATGTGACAACTGTAAGTGGTGATGTTTCCTGAGGAATAGGAGGCAAAGACGCCGATAATTACCTACATAAGCAGCCACGGGACATTGCATTGCATAAGAGAATATGCACGTAGACGGTCTTACGTCATCCTCTCTCCCTCATTTACCTATAGCACGGCGACTTTCATCGATCGCGGAACTCCTTCAAACCACCACATCTTCCCCCTCCCTTCGGAGACCTACATACGTACGCGGTGTATCCATCGCCAAATAGTCGAAGTATACGTATCGCTACCCCTCGAAACGAACTTTTTGTCATGGGGAGAGCGAGAGGCGAGAAGTGAGCGAGTTGTGGAATCTGAGGCGTTGGATAAATCCTCCCTCGCTCGGCTACGACACGGCGGCGCGCCGCCACGAGCCGACGACTTGTCATCAGATGTTATACATACCCCTTAATAAATCCCCCCAGCCACTCTCTTAGTGTGACGACATCTAGGGGAACATCGGGGCTAGGTTCGTTGCTCTGAGAACAACATCGACGACGATGATCCGGTAGCATTTGCGGTGCCTTCCTGGACCATGGCTCCTCCGCCGGCGGTACGTCTCCAACCCCCAAACCCCATTCTGGCCTACTATCCACCACTACTACTGTCACTGCTGCTACTGTGAGGTGAAGACACGCCCTGTTAACTTACACTCATCCTCCTCTACCTATCCTCCGAGCAGACTCCAACGCCGCACCGGTTCCTAGTGCCGCGGAGGTCCCAGCAACAACAGCCACCACCACGCTCCCACCAGAGCACTCCGGCCACATTTCGTGGCAGCGGTGGCGGTGGTGGCGCGGGACAACAGTTCCAAGCGACGCCGCGCTTCTCGCTGCACTCGACACCCCGGGGTCCGGAAGCAGGAGGCGGTGCGCCGTCGTCCTCTTCTAATGTTACAGTGGGCACTACGCCAGCTCCGGGCTCAGCCAGGTCCGGGTCTAGCGTCTTCTTTCATCGGGGCCCGCGCGGCACGGCAGAGCCCATCATTGACGGTATTGACAGCTCACCGCCCTTAGCTGCTGTTGCGGCCGCTGGTGGGAAGCGGCGTGATCCCATCGACATATTCGATCTGGACTCCGATGTGGATGCTGTGCCGGAGTCATCGCCGGTGGTGAGACGCGCCGGAAGCAGGAGTGAGAGTGAGGGCGGGGAGGAGGAAGAGGAGGGGAAAGGGGAAAGTGGATGGGCAAGGCGATGGAACTCGGGGCCACGGAGTCGGTCCCCAAAGCGTCGGCGCATCTCTATCTCTTCCGATTTCCGCGTCGACGAAAACAAAGGGGATGATGATGGGAACAGGAGCACAGGGTTTCGGCCGAGGCACACGCACGACGATGGTGACGAAGAGGAGGACGCTCTTATGCGCGACGGCGACGACGACGGTTATGAGGACGAAGACAGTGACATCGACCTAATCCGGACCTTTTCGCCCAGTTCCCCTTCCCACTCTCACGCTAACCGGCTACACGAACCCGCCGAAGTCTCTGGTGACAATACCCAAGATGATGGTGATGCCATCTCGCCCCTCCGCCCTAGACGTATGCGCACGATAGCGGGCGATGGCGAAGAGCAACAAGAGCCCCAGCAACCTATCTTCTTCAAGGCGCCGCGCTTCAAGCCCACGGAGACGCCTGAGGGATCCTACTTCCCCCAGCGCGGAGACGGGGAAGAAGACGACGACAACGATCCGTTGCCCGACGCGTTCTCGCCTCACCGCCGCCGCCGCGGGGCTACTGCCAGGTACGTTCCCGGCGGGCTCGCGGCCGAGGTCCGGAGCTGGTTTGTCGACGTGTGGGCCTCGGGCGCCGGGGCGGGAGTAGGGGCGCGGGACGGGTCGGCCGCGTCATGGGTCACGGCAAGGGTCCGCGTCGAGGAGGTGCGCGCCGCGCCTGGGACAGCGGCGCTGATCGTCGGGCCGTACGTGCGGGATGACGGCGACGGTGATAGCAATAATACGGGTAGCGACCCTCGCGAAGGGGGAGCCTCGCAGACGTCAGCGCGGCTTGTGCTGGCCGGCAGTCCACGCCCGGTCGGCATCGATCGCGGGCCCGAGGTGCTACCCGGGGCCGTCGTTGGCATCGGGCGCCCAACCTGGGAAGTCCAACTCCCGGACCTCGGGCGCTGGGTGGTCGCGTGCGAGTGGGCTGTCCTCGGCAACGAAGGGGTCGCGGGACAGAGACATGCCGACGTGTAGGCAGCCTCGCCTCGCGGAGGACTCGGCTCCTGCCACTCCCCCCCTGGCCTGTTCGAACAACAGCAGCACGTCGATCGGTCACGGGGACTACGGCCCACTCCCCCCATTTCCCCATTCCCCCATTCCTCCCTAGATCTCCGCTTGCACGAGAGGGATTCGCATCTAGCTATCGTCGAGATCAATCACCTGCCCACGTTCTCCACCGCCCGCAATCCGGTTCCCACGTCCTCCTGCTCGCTCCTAGACGTAACGGCTGCGTGGCCGTGGCCCGCGAAAAGACAGATGGCGATCGGCTAGCTCGCACACGCGCGCCCGTCACAGGCCTATCCCCCTGCGGCCCGACTAAACTCGCTCCCCCCGCCGGAGGACGCGGGCGATAAGCGAATGCAGAATAATAGGCATTTACAGAATCGAAGCAGGAGGCGAAATTTACCACCCTAAGGGAGGTATGCCACGTGTGTACGCTTATGCCGGCCTGGCGCGTAGATACCTATTCCGAGAGCAGCTGTTACATGTCTCCCTGCGTCTCCAAGTCGAATCTGAGCCTCTTATCCTCTTTTTTCCGACGCCCGTCACGTAGGTGCCTACGCACACGCACGCATCACTGATGATTGTTCTCTCGTCTGTCCTTCCACGAGGGGACAACGGCATGACTCTACGCAGGCAAGCCAGAGCAGACCAGAGAGAGCAGCCCCCATTCAACCCTACGAATAGAATACCGCCGGGGGGGGGGGGGGGGGTTGGTTCATGTTTCAATTTCATTCATTAGACATTTTAGCTCATGTTTTTAAGACGGGGTTTTAAGACGGGGAACAAGAGACATATTCTATCATCAATCCCATCCCGACGACTCGTGACTGACAAGACAACAGAAAACCCGAATGTGCATTTACATTCTCCCAACCACCAAACTCGCATGTGTGTGTGCTTGTGTATGTGCCGTATGTGCATTCTCCCCGTTCGCTCTTATGTGAACGTACATTTACCCATCTATACATACACACCTGGTGTATCCACCACGCGCATATCCGAAAGACTCCAAGCGGGAACAGGGAGGAGGATCGGACGGGGAAGGGCTGGGGGGAGGAAACCGAAAAATACCGGTAGTGATCCGAGGATGAGCATCAGGAAATACACTTGTTCGTCCCAATCTCTTAGAAACGTATGAGCATCAATTTATCCGTCCCATCTAATTATGCATATGGTAATGATGATGCAGCCATGCGTGTCAGTCGATTGTGAGAGGCGAAAACAGACTTGTGAGATGCCGCCGAACTCCATGCTAAAAGAACAGGACGGTAAATAGGACGTAGTAGCCACATGGAAAATCACTAATGCCTCTTGTATTTCTGCCGGCGGGTTAGCATTGTCAGGTCGATGACCGACGGGATCAATCGATCGCTGGCTTACCTCCTCTATTCTCCTCCGGTTCTGCGGGTCCAACGCGTTCGTAGCCCCCATCAGAGTCTGGCCGATCGCTTTACTCGAGCCGATGAGAGGTCTAAAGATGATCGTGGGTGCCCTCCTGAGGACGGCCTTGGCGGCCCCCTGTGCGCTCTGGCTTTCCATGATCTCGCCGGGTACTGCTATGATGGCGTCTCTCGCCACGTTAAGGTCGCGAGCAAGGCTCGAGTACGCGCCTCGAAGTCCTTGAACGACGCCTGTCGGCTGATCGGCGTACAGGCTGATTTGGTTTAGCTCTTCAGCATCAAATTCATCCTCTTCCCACCCCGCAACCTCGCGGTGGTCTGGTTGTCTAACAAGCATGCCCTCGGCGCCCTGTAGAGCATACTGCGTACCGACGGCTAGCTTTGCCCCGAGCTTGACGATCTCCGTGCCTGTCGTCTTCGCAAATGCAACGGCGCCCTTGCCAATGCTACGAACAATCCTGCCGTCTTTCTTGTATTCCTTAATAGGAATCTCTACCAGATTTCGAAAACCGCTTCCGACATTGGCTATAGACCGGATGGGAGCGAGGCCAGCAAGAACCCCGGGAAGCTGCGTTTTCTTGACGTCGGGCATCCAAATATCGTTCAGTGTCTTTCCAAGCCTATCAAACCCGGAAACACCGTAGATGATGGTGTGTCTGAGCACCATGCGTGCCTGCTCGAGTACCAGGAAGTTCATGAACTCGGTTGTGTGACCCGACCGCAGGCCAGCGTAGTTGACGCGTTTTGGCTTAAAGTCGAGACTCAGGGGAATCGAGTTCACTTCGGCTCTCTGCAGGAAGGGCACATCGCTGGGGGAGGCATGAATCGGGACAGAGTCGTCTTTGAACTCGAAGAACCGCGTGATAAAGTCTAAGGCGTCCTGGTCGACGTGTAGGCGGAGCGGAAGAACTGTAGCCTTTAAAACAATCTCGGATGCCGCCAATTCGGCCACCGGCTTCACATTTAGTATTTCGAGATGGACCATGCTCGTGCCCATCTCCCGTTCGCCAGCATCCTGGTCGTAAGTCGCAAACTTCTTCCACGTCGACGTCGGCACGTGGTCAAAAATCTCGAGGTCCTTGATCCGAACATCAATCGAGCTTTGGGTCTCGCCGGAATCCGGAGGGAATGTAACCAGGTCCACATTGATCCCCTTCAACTCGAACGTGATCTTGTGCCGCTTGCTGCGGTTCAGCCTCAGCTTCTTTCTGGATCGGTACGGAACGCCCTGTCGGCTGCTGGTAGCGGTAAACGCGGTCGTCGCTATTGACTCGGTCTCGGTGGCGGCATCATTCAGTCCTTCGTTTATCGCTTGGGTAAGATCCCGAGGATCCCTGGTGGCGGGAATGCCTATGTAGATCGAATTGAACAAGAAATCGGCGATGACAGTTTCGTTATCTACTCTGTCCGGGTCGCCGCTGTCCGCGTGAACCCGGGCATGGCGAGATTCCCGCTCGTTCGCCTCGACTTCGAGATCCTGCACGGCCTTTGAAATGACGTCGCGGGTACGGTTCCAGTCATATCCGTCAAACAGATTCCAGATAACATGAACATCGCGCACGCGAACAGACAAGGGGCTTCGCTGAACCTTGTCGTTGTTTGTCTCGTCATACGCGTTCTTGGTTGAGTTCCAACGATGGGCGGTCCCTTGTATCACCGAACCCGAGCCGAAGTAATTCTCATGTATCACCAGCTCGTCGTCATCGTCAGTCGTGTCGGGCTGGCTGCTAAAATTAGTGAGTAGAACGCCGTCACTAGTGTCCTGGGTGATTGTCTTGTGAGACACCACGGAAGCTGCCGCATCTGCAAGGTGGTCCTCGACCGAGGATTCGTCATAGTACTGTGAGTCGACGGCGAGGGGGGTCGACTGGCCCGAATCTCCGAATTCGAAATCGCCGTCGTCATCTCCACCAAGCTCTTGTGCTAGTCCGAAGTCATTATCGAAGTCATAGTCGCCCTCGGCTTTGCCGAACGCATCGGCCGATATAGATGCGAGCAGATCTTGGACCGGAACAATGTTCGTCCTATATTTGATCTCCTTGCTAGGGGGCGTTGGAGGGGCCAGCGCATTGGCGAGTGCGATGAGAGTCTGGGTCGAGTCTGCGCAAGTCTCAAGAACAAGCAGGTCGTCCCGCAGCTCAACGTCAACCCACTTATTCCCATCTCTTTGGTTGGCGCCGACTCGAACCGTTGCGTGCGCCGAGGAGATGTAGCAAATATTGACGTATCCTCGGTGGCACAATTCTAATACTTGTGGAGTGGAAGTGTTTGAGCTCCGCCGTCTCGCAGTTGATGAGGGCTCCTTGGACTCCAGTGATGAAATATCGTCGGTCAGGAGAACCGACGACTTGTTTATATGGCATAGAGCTTTCACGTCGTCCCCGCTGGAAAGGACGATTTCGAAATGAGTATCGGTCAGCGCGATGATCATTTTCGACGGCAGCCCAAGCGGATTTAAACCCAGCAAACAATCTTTGAGGACCACGTCCACCTTCGTTTGCTTTCCCTCCTTCTCCTTGCCCTTGCCTTTCCCGAGAGCCGGTGACTGATTCTGCGGCCTTCCCGTGATTACTGCATGCGCATGTTCGCCGAGATTTGCGACGGATGCAGCCAGCTGTGCTTCGAAATCCTGTGGTGTCGCATCCTCTGCGAGACCGAGTATGTCCATGACGGTTGGCACGCGGTATTCGATGTTCAGATTCCGCATCCTGAGTTTGATAACCGGTTCCATCTCTTCGTCAATCACCCTCATAGTCAGAACAGCATCCTGATTCATATTCTCCGTGACGGATGAAACGACAGTACCGATTATTTCCTCGATGCCGTTACGTTGTACCGATATAGATTCCACGCTGAGCGCGACCAGGGAAGGAATACTAATATGGCTGACCTCGGTATCTCTCAAAGATGCCTTAACTAGGCCGAATTTACCGCCCACGTCCACTGTCACGTTAAGGCTGTTGATTTGGCCCAGCGTCAGCATGCCTGGCCGGTCATCTTCAGGAAGGTACTTGGTGACGGTGGCGAGTCGCGCAACCTCCTCACCTAGAGCAGGTAATACTTGAAGGTGATGGATCTTCCCTACGTCAACTTCCACTCCGTCTACGTTGACGCGCAATATGGGTCCGTTTCTCCTCTGTCGAAGTAACGTGTCCACCATGATCTCGTCGTCATTCTCATCAAACCTGTGGTTAGATGGTAGGATGAGCTTCAGCAGTCTTCCCAGATCCGCATCGTTCGGTGTTGCGAGATACTCGAGGCGGGTATTCACAACGACGACGTTGATGGGAGGCGTGCCCATTAGATTTCGCACGTACGGTCCCGCAAGGCGCGTCTTCGAAATGCTTGCCCCGATTCCTTCGTCTCGGATGACGAGCTTCACGGCGGTGGTGTCTAGTGAAACGCTGCAGTCTTTCCCGACAAGATCCAAACGAAACCCGCCAAGCCGGATGTTCACTTTGTTTTGGGAATTGGCGGACGCATCGTCCGGGCGTATAGGTGCATCGAATCTCACCCCGCGCGGTTTGCGTGGTGCCGTTCCTACAGGACTCTTGGGGGCCGGGGAGGTGTTGGACGTCATGGAAGAGCTCATATTGAGGAATCCGCTTAGTCCTCCAAACCAACTAAATGTTTCGTCGAGCCGCTGAAGGTCTATCTTGATGTGCAGAGGTAGCGTTCTAACCTCGCATCCCGTCATTGTGGGTGATCGAGACACCTGGAGAGAAATATCGGCACCGGCGGAAGGAAACACGTCGTTAACCGAAGCGCGCATTTGTATACGCTGGTCGAAGGAAACGATGTCATCATCTCGATATCCAAGTTTAAACTTACCCACGTTTACTGAGGTTTTGGCCAAGGAAGAGGACCCCGAAAGACTCACGGATAAGTCCTGAACGGATGCGGTCAGGAGAGAATCGGAGTTTAGGGAACTGGGACTGGGATGGAATGATCGTTCGGGGGTATCCGCAATCCCAACTAGATTTTCGAGGAAGTGTATGGTGATCTGCTTCGCAACAATCTTAAGATCTGGGGGGGGCGATGGGTTGTTTTTGTTCTCACTTTTCCCCGACTTTTTGGGAGCTGAGATGTCGGGCTGCTCTCTCAAAGCCGATAGGATCCGCGACGCCACCTTAGCTAACAAGAACCCCGTTGAGAGATCCGAACGTATTTCTAGCGATGATAGGATGACCTCCAAGGTTTTATCCAAAGCTTCATGAACCCGTGCGTTCGTATCCGGGGCTATCGACGCAGTGGATTGTTCGCCTGCATAGACGGAGAAAGCTCCGGGGAGGTTCGGGGAAACGGACCGGTCCAAGCGGGATCGGGAAGTTCTAGGAACCGATTCCTCCTCGACGTGGGCTACCTGTATATGCTGATGGGCGGATGGGATATAGAGCGAGATGGCCTCAAGAGAAATTAGTTCTTTAACTAGTCGGGTTGGCCCTCTCGGCGTCGAAGCATCTTCCGCGGGGACGTCCTCCTTTTCGGCACGAGGTGGGAGGCTGCCATGCGGTTGTCTCGCTTCTTCGAGGTTGTCGATGACGGGGGTTTGCCTCTCGTCAAGATCAGACGGGGGGCTCGCAATAGAGAAAGGAGGATGGTCACCAGCGACACGATTCCGCATTGCGATACTAGGATCCGTAGGTTGTAGCAGCGGGGACCGGGCTCCGTGCGGAGGGTATACGGATTCTTCTGTGCTTGAGGAGTCGTATCCCCAAGCACCAGGCATCCTTTGGCTTCTACCGCGAAGCGGGGGCGACGAGGCGTTGGAAAAGGCGCTCATATACATACTCTCCGCCTCCTCGTGGCTGAATAGGTGAGATTGCGCGAGCTCTTCGCCCGACGATACCGCCGTCCCATGGCTTCTGCCCAAATCCAAATGCGGATTCTCGCCGCTCGTGGAGGACTCGACGGAGGAGCCCTCTCCCCACGTTTGCTGGTGTCCGAGAGAGGGTTCCGATCGAGCAGTTGCTATTAAAGGTGGTGATGGGTCTCGCCGTGGCTCGATTAAGGATTGGGAAGGACGCTTTGGAGAGAAGGGTATCGAACCACCCTCGGATCGAGTTTGGGACGTTAAGGCTCGAGGGGTGGATGGCGTGGACCTTGATCCTTCCTCCTGGCCATCGCTCGACCCACTCATATCGTAGGGTATATTGAAGGCGTCTTCACTATCCATGCCGGGATTCTGACCCGACGGACTGTACTCAGGGTCTCCCGCCTGCTCGGAACGCCATCCGAACGTGGATGCATCTGCCGGTACGGGTTCGCGAGACAGACTTGGCCGGCTCGCAATCACCGGAGAATCAGTCGCGAGTGACGAAGGCATCGACGACGACCGCGCCAGAGTGGAAAATGCATTCGCCTCCGAGATCAGACTCGCCCGAATCTTGTTTAAGACGACGAAGCGTTTTCCTTCCTTGTGAGCTACCCCGGGAAGTCCTTCGCCGGCTGTCCCATCTAGGGTCGTTGTGACGCCTTCGGCGATTATATCATCAATGGCGACTTGGAAAGTAATTAATTCGGGTACGGCCAGGTTTGGCTCAACCGGGGTTTCCACATCCAGGTGAAGCGTGACACCTCGAACAGAAAGCTGCAGGCGGTCTACTATGCCCTGTAGGAAATCAGCGAGGAAGGTAGGGAGTGTCAAAGGTTGTCCGGTTCCCAGAGGGTAATCCTCGTCACTCCCGTCCTCGCTACCTGTTACGGAAGCGCCGAGATCCTGGCTCTCGGCGTCGAGAGCAGCTTGGAGTTTGGCCTTGTCCTTCGAGGGTTGCGTTTCCAGGAACGATTGGGCTAAGTCGATGGCGTTCGGCACAGGATCAGTCTCTCCAGGCAAACCGGGAGCCGTCTTACTACGTCTACTACGCCCAGACGCCGTTCTCGGACTCTCGTCCCTCGAAGTAAGCGTCAATTTAATGTCGACGCCATCGATCTCTACGGTGATAGGGCTCGTGTAGAAGGCGGAAGGTACGGTTATTCGGAGCAGCAGCACTTTGGCTCTCCGCACTTCGAATGAGGGCGGGAGTTGGAGTATCTGCTCTAGTTTCTGTAAGACAGAAATGAGTTAGCTCCAGAGTCGAGAATACACGGCTAAGACGACGCTTTCCCGAGACCAGGGGACGGAGAGGAGAGGAGCATACCTGGAGCTTGAAGCCGACATCTTGCAGGGTGAAGACGTTGTTCACGCCTACGGCGAAGTCCAAGTTATCGGTGTCGAGAGCATCGGTATCAAAATAGTCCAGCTTCGAGAGGGTGTATCGCAAGAGCCGCTTGGGCATGCTAGAGCTGCGGAAGGCCTGGAAGAAAGCAGCCATGGCGACGGTGGGAGAAGAGAAGACGGCCGGGCGACAATAGAAGCAGGAGAGCGGCGGCGGCGGCGGGGGATCAGGGCCGAGTCGGGCGGAAGAAGAGAGGCTCGACCGACGCGTAGGTCGCGTGGGGAGGGAGCGACGATAGTCGATTATCACGGTATCCCACAGGCCGGGATGCGGGGTGGTGGCTCATCGTTGACGGCACCGGGCGGCGTGGTGGTGGCACAGCTAGGAGGATAGAATACGACGAGGATGTTGCAGAGGTATGATATATGGAAAAGGACAGGATGAGATGCTGTTCGGTCGATGGTCAAAGGTTTTGGCAGTAGGCTGTGGTCGACAGAGCGAAGGTTAAAAGTCACCTAGGAGTTCCCCAGGAGTCCCCAGCAAGCGATCCCGATAAGAGAGAGAGGGAGGGAGAAGCAAGCAGCCGGTAGGGAAATGGCTGGGGGGGGGGGGGGACGGTGGGGAATTACCCAAGTACCTAACATAGGTAGGTAGGGTTGGTTCAGTTTGGCAGGTACCTCTAGAACAGCCTCGGGGGGGCTCGTAGGTTGGGAGGAGGTACTATATGTTAGAGGTATCTACCTAAGCTAGGGGCGTGGAAGTACCTCGATGCCGGTTCCTGCTATAGAGGCGTCGGGTGCGTGTACCTGCCAACCTACCCACACAACATATATCATATCGACCCGGCGGTGGATGACGACAGATGGGGTCCGCGTTCCGGATGATTAGGAGGTAGGGTCTGCTGGGCCTGCTCTGGTGGGAGACGCAAGTTGCAGCGTGAAGGCAGCCTCGGTGTGCGAGATGTACCTCGAAGTAACTGTCTTCATGCAACACCACGCGCCTTGGGCTGGGCAGGTTCGGTTGAGTACCTCCCGATACCTACCTGGGCGCCTTGTCGATCCCCCGTATCGACGTCCATTCTCAGGAACCTCCCACCAGGCAGGTACTGGCGGCGATGAATTACCGGTAGTAGGAGGTACCGCGGGAGATACCTCCTGATGTACCTACCTACATAGGTACCTAGGCAGGCATCAAGGCACATTAAGCGGCAGCCTCTGCGCCGCATACATAATTGCGCCTACCCGCATGCACGGTTTGTATGGACTGCTAATGTATGCACCTGCCTTCCACCCCACCCTCAGGTTAGGTTGCCTAGGAGGTGTGTACCTGGTACCTATGCGTATAGCAGACATGTAGGTACTAGGTAGGTACCTAGGTAGGTACCTCTGAGTCTCGGCACGGGAGGCAGGGCATCTGAGTGTGTCATTTGATCCATCCCGCACGCAGTACCCCCCCCATCCCAAGTCCGTCCGCAGCATTATCGATATACCGCTGTGCTCACGATGCTATATTGACAGCATTTGCGTCGCATCCGAGGCTATATGTACGTGTAAATCGAAGATGCACCTTGGGCACCCAGACAATGAACCTAAAAATACCTTAGGTACCTACCTACCTAGGTACCTAGTTGACATGCCTAATGTGCCATATACATCGTAGGTACATACCTACCTACGCAACCATCACCGTACGCGGTGCGCGCGCTTGTGAGTGTGAAGGGGGGCTATTCGGTTGCGCCATTGCTGCTCCTTATAACCATATACCCATACAAAATCTATGCTCGGGATAACCACAAAAATACAAGTTTTAAAAATCAAACCAAAAACATCTACCTAGGTACCTACCTGCGTCCTCCTCCCTTCCTTCAACATCCCAAGCTGTACCTGACAAGTACCTATGGCAGGCGTGACTCGCCGGCCGGGTGCTCGTCCTTCGGCAGGAGGTGTGGGAGACCGTTGCGTTAGATCGCTACCTGCTTTAGGTAGCCCAGCTGACCAACTCGAGCCACCGGTCCATTCACAATCCTCCACCTAATACCTCGCGGACGGCCTCCATGCACGTTATCTCTACCACGTATACGCACTACGTGGTATATCTACCTGTGTAGGTGAGGCATCTATCTAAATGTATACGCCTGGGCGCTCCGTCGGTTGTGTCATCCTCATATCTGAGCCGGTTCCCATAGGCTGGCTGGTTCCCCTTCCACGTCTTTTTGCGACTCCTCGAATTGACTCCCACCCGGTCTCGTCCTCTATAGGCCGTCGCCCTGTAGGCATCAGCCGGGATATTGCTCAACTGCATGCTGCGGAGTAACCCGGCCGGCCAAAGGTCGGCCTCGCCGCCGCCTTCACGCGGCTGGGGTCGCAGCTTGGTCACCGAATTGCTCATCGCCCTTGGGAGCCTACGGACCCAGGATGCCCTATACACCATGTAGTACGTACATACATACGGACGCGCGCGCGCGCAGATCCAGCATACCTGCCGATTCGACATACGGCCACAACGTGCAGAGACGACGGGCAGATACAACATATCAGGTATCCCCCGTCGTCCCGAAATGTGGAACCAGCTGCAGGAGACAGATGCAGACGGATGGATGCATCGTGTTGTTGACCGCAGGCAATGCCATGCCTACTCCTACATGGAGCTAACCGCCCTGGCGATTCCAGGGATTGCTGAGTCAAGACTTCACGTGTCAGACGGCAAGACAACAACCACTTAGTACTCGTAGTAAGAGGTAACTCGCTCAACCGATCCAATAATAATACTACGTAATGAGTTGCGCGTTCCGATATCTGCGCTAGATCCATCAAATCCATACCTGCTTCCCTTTTATTTGCTTCTACCCGTTATCTATAACAAATCCACTCGAGCCCCGATTCCCATACCCGAGACAGCATATCCATAGGACGGGCCCTGCGTGTCCTCGACAACAATATTTCGCTAGACTTTTTAGAGAGCGGAAGTTTGACAGCCGTCTCTGCAACTCGTCTTTAACTCCAGGGGGGAACGGGGGGGGAACCTGTTCCGAATCCTTAAAAAGGACCCAAACTTGAGCCAACTTGTCATGGTCAGAGAGAGTACACAGCATACGCATGTGTTTTCAATATGCACAAGACTTGGCGGAATTTCCTTTCTTCATTTCTATTGTTCGTCGTCCAGGTCCCTAGCCTCGTGTCTAATTGGGCCGAGCCCACTGTACCCTGTCCTACCGCCTCTATATGCATGACACGGAGTCGGCAATTCGTGGCAGCAGCAGCCATCCATCACTCCGAATATCGCTCCTCGACAACGTGAGGACTACGTCTACATGAAAGGCGGTAGCTTAAAGGGGTAGCCACCGTTCTTCACCCGGAAGAGGGAGAGCAAGAAGCTGTACGTCAACACCATGACGACGCCCCAGATAATAATCGTGACTTGCTGGACCTTGACATCTCGTATCTTGGGCGCCTTAACGGTTAAGAATATGATGGAAAAGGAGAGAACGCCATCTAGTATTTCGGTCAGCAGGAGGCTCGAACGTGGAAGCGAGAGACCAGTCGAGTACGTACACAAGAAGCCGATGATCTGCGTTTCGAGTCCGAATTGGCTCTGGAATCCGGGAGCGAAGTACGAGATGCCGCCGCGCCCGTCACCCGTCACGTACGGCACCTTGCGTATATTGTTGAACATGTAGCCGCTCGTGAATAGGAGAATGGCAATCAAGCTTCCAGCCGCCCAGACATTGCTGTTCTGGATGACGGGTAGGATGTACGCCCAGGCCCTCGAGATAGCAGCAAGAGCGCCAAGGACGCCGACGATGGTCACCACCCATGAGACGTAGTCGACCGGTCGGTGAATCGGCGGGTGGGGTCGATCGGGGAGGTGGCGGGCCAGCCAGGCATGAACGTTCTCGGCGGTTTGCGGGCTACGAATCACTCAGCATCCAACAACGGAGGCTTATTGGGATGGCCAACTCACCCGCTGAAGTCGTAGCGGATCGGATCGGGCACCGCGACGGCGTGCGGGCCGGTAGTGGGTTGGAACAGGAGGAGCACGGGGGCGGTTTGAAGGCCAAGCTATACGACTGCGGTGTTAGCTCCCGTATTCCTAGTTACTGCGATCGGCGCTCTCGCATACGGATAAGAATGTGTCCCTCCCATTGGTGAAGTCAAGGGTTCCGAATAGCAAACGAGAGTCGCCATTCTTGTCGCCCTTGGCCCAGCTCTTAGCTAGTATATCCCACTCCGGGTGGAACTCGGTGCAGAGCTGACAAGCATAGCGCGCATCCAAAGCCGTCAAGAGCACGGCAGCCGAGTAGTCCCGCGGCGCCGAGGTAAGCTTCTTGTAGGATGCGTCGGCAAGCTTCAACGGGGACGAGGCCTGCGATTTGGTGTAGAAATCACCGAACCGGTCGACGGAGGACGACTTCTTGGCAGCGTGGGCGACAAAGGGAAGGGCGAGGGGGAGCAGGAGAGAGGACCAACGCATGGTGCCGATTCTGCACAGAGGCCTTGTCAAGAGGATGCGACCTTCTAGTGTTTTGTGCGGAGGCACACCTGACGACGTTGAGGACGTGACAGGGAATTGAAGGTTGCGGCAGAAGTCGTCGTCGATTTGGTGGTTCAAACAAAAAGGTGTCCTCAATTGTAGTTCTGGCGGAGCTCCTCTCCAGATTCATTTGCTGCAGGGGTAACAGCTGGCTGATTACCTAAAGTGGTGGGCATGTCTCAGGCCAGTGCGCCACCAGGTACGTATCAGCTAGCAGGTGCCTGAATGTTACCAGCCAAGCGGCCAGACGACAGCTCCCCCGTAACAGTGGAGATACCCGCCCCACCCGTCACGGGCCGACGTAAAGCCTTGAGAACCACTAATCCTGATCTGGTATTTTGTTGACGTGCCAACTCGCCCACCAAACATGGCCACACCTCGTTTTCGCTTCCCTCCCAATTCCCCCCCTTTCTGCATTTCCCGGTCAGTTCATTGTCGTCACGCAAACTTCAGATCACCGTCGCTTCTATCCTATCTACACATACCGAGCCAGGAATCTATCTATTTCCAGTATTCCTGAAGGATCCAGGTAGACAGAATTCCATTGAACCATCGGATCCCCCGCAGCATTGCATTTCTCCCCAGTATACGACGCATCTCCCTGAATGAGTAGAGTTACTAAGACTGCCACGGCCGGCGAAGTGCAAATAAACATGGACGACGGTGACAAGGTACGTAGCGATCGAGTCGGCCATTTGCGGCATTGAACGAATCTAGTTCTACTATCGCGTCACCCTCTCCTCGGCATCACCGCTAATCGGTATCATGTACAACAGCAAAAGGATTTATTACATGACCTGGAGTTGAAGCACCAGAGTAATACAAGCGAAACCGAGCTCCTAAACAAGGACGAGGATATCCGTCGGCTGCGGGTCCGGATTCTGACATTGCGAGACGAAAACACATCGCTCGGCGACCAGATAGCCCAGAACAACGATGCAAACGCGCAACTCGCGGCCCAGTGTGATGACTTAGGCGCCCAGATCGACGCTAAGATGGACGTGATCCGCTCGCAGGAGAAGCAGCTTCAAAAACAGGAGCGAGAATACGCCAATTTGAAGGTACCCGAAATGCCCCGAGTGCATAGAAAAGCGTAGAGTGGTACTAACAATACCGTGGTCTAGGCGGAACTGGAAGCGATGAATGGCGCAACACAGCAATCATCCAATCTTCTTTCTGAGAAGCTCTCCCTCGCTCGTGAACTAGCTGTTCTAAAGCCCGAGATAGAGCACCTGCGATCCCAGGTAAATCACCAGCAAGCAACACTTACTGAGAAGTTGGCTTTGGAGCGTCAAGTCGACACTCTGGAGGCCGAGCTTGCCAACGAGAAGAAGGCGACAAAGCGTGCGATGCAGAAGCGCGAGAGCAACGATCGCGTAGAGGACGAGCTCCGGAAGAAGCTGCGCGATGCAGAAAGGAGTCTAGCCGCAGAGAAGGCGGCGCGCGAGAGGGTAGAGGACCAGCTCGAACAGGAGAAGCGCACGCATCAGTTCGCTTTGCAAGAGCAGGACAGCACGCGGGAGCAGGAGGCCGACTTGCGAAAGAAGCTGCACGACGCCCAGAGGCAGCTGAGAGAAGAAAAAGAGAACAAGGAAAGGCTGGAAGAGGAACTGCAGGCCGCGAAGCTCTCGGCGAAAAAGCTGCAGAAGAGCCAGGCCAGCAGAAGCGCCGACGACGAGCTCCGAGACCAGCTCGAGGCCCTCCGAATAAATCTGGAGTCGCAGGAGAAGGCGAATGCGAAGATCCGCACCGAGACCCACGTCGCGGTATCAGAGGCCGACACGCGAAACGACCAGCTGGAGAAGAAGATGGAGAGGCTCAAGGCGAAGCTGCGCGAAACCCGGGACCAGCTCAAGCAATGCCAAGAAGAGCTCCGGAAGGCCCAGTCGCGCTCTTCGGCCCTCGACGACGTCACTAAGACTCTCGGCCGGCCCCAGGCGCTCCACAAGCGGAAGCCCCTAGACATGGCCACAGACGACTTCACCTACATCGAGATCCAGACGCCCGGCGCCGACGACACCACGAGGGCGCGGCGCGCGCTTAAGAAGCGCGTCTTCGAGCCGACCCTCGTGGGCGAGAAGTCTGCCTTCTCCATCACCCCCTTCCTAAACCGCACCCGGAGCATCATGGAGGACACGCCCAAGACTGACGACGGGGCCCCCTCTACCGAGGCCGCCGCTGCTGCCGCTCCTCCAGTTGAAGCCGCCGGGTCGCCGACGCCCGAGCCTGCAACCGCACAGCAGGGCGAAGCGAGCGAGCCGGCTCTCCCCGGTGCCGAGGCCCCGGCGCCGAGGCCGCCGGCAGTCAAGGCCCGCGGCCGGCCGAAGAAGGTGCTCTCGGACGCGCCGTCGGCGAAGAAGAACTCGCAGCCGGCGGCGCGGAAGCGCACGGTTAAGGCGAAGGCGGCGGAGCTCGAGAAGGTGGCGGAGGAGGAGGGATCTGGCGCGGGCAGCCACGAGGGTGGCGAGGCGGAGGCGGAGGCGGCGGCCCCGAGGCGCGAGAAGTCAGCCTCGGCGGCGCCCCCGGACAAGGCGGCGACGGTCAAGTTCAACTTCGACCTACCGCTGGACGCGGCGGCAGGCGGCGAGCCGCAGCCGCCGCAGCAGAAGAAGAAGAAGCGCAAGGTTCTGGGCGCGGCCAAGACGCTGTTCGACGACGACGACGACGATGAGGATGAGGCGCGCGACGACGGCGAGGCCCCCCTGCCCCCCGCCCGCAAGCCCGCCAAGGTCCAGCTCGGTGCCAAGCGCGCCCCGGGCAAGGCCCCGGCTGCCGGCGCGCAGCGCAGCGCCTTCGCCGGCGGGCTCTCGTTCTCGCCCCTCAAGAAAGACCGCAGAGGTGTCGGCGCTAGTTTCCTGGCATGATGGGCGGGCGTCGACTAGGCTGCCGATGAGCGGCCGGATGGATGGCCCGGGTAACAGATTATTTTCACATGGGCATCGGGAGGTTGGGCAAGGATATGGTTCTTGTGCATATATAGGCGTTATTGTATTTTTTTTTTCCCCGGCAACGGCTGTCTTCTCTCTTTAACATCACGGACTGGGATAGGCTGTAGGCATAATGCATAGGCTCGACTGCATCAGTCTGGGTATGTCACACTGCGCACTCTACACGAGGCCTTATTTCAGATGTGTTTCCTCTAAATGAATATTTGACTGTGGACGCCGGCGGGGTTCTCCTGTCGATTTACATATAGCTGCGACTAGCTACGAGCGTCTCGGCTACGTAAAGCCGTCGAGAGATCCGTTGTAGAAAGGATATGGTCGAATCAATTCTTGAGTTGAATCGTTACGTAGGTATGTAAACGCCCACGCTTCCTTAGGCTTATTCCAAGTTCCCTTCACACCGCTCTCGATCATCACGAGCCGATCCTCCCTCTGGTTACAGACGGAAACCATCGCGGTCCCGGGTCCGCCTATTAGCGTAACGAACCCAATACCCAGCGCGGCCTGTATGAGCTGTGCCAAGCTCGGTCTGCCGAGTAGCCGTAAGAGATCGTAGGTGGCAACCCAACACCAGAAGAGCGAGGCGACGAAGGTGCCCCAGAACTCCCACTGGAAGCTGAAATGCAGGCCGAGGGTCATGCTGTCCTTCCAGGTAGCCTGGTTAGGCAGGAACAAGCAGCTGAGCGAGAGCTGCGGGTTAGTCGCCGCGGAAGTGAGGCAGACGTGGAGCGTATGTAGGTGCGCGGCGGTCGACACGAGGCCCGCGAACAGATACACGCCAGCGCAGAAGACGAGATGATATGTGCGGGCATACGAGGTCTTACTTATGCAGGCATTGCCGAAAAGCAAGACGAGGAGATGACGATGCAAGCCAGGTTGGGGATGGAGATAGTCCTACGATCACCTAGGCTTATAGCGCAGACCCGCCGGAGAGCAGGCGGCTATATATGTGGGCAATCCCCGGGGTTCTGCGCAACGGAGCTCAACAAAGCTGGCCTCCTTCGACGCGGGAATCCTGCAGCCATCATGGAACTCACTGTCGAGCTTGATCAGTCCTCTTGGCCACCCGTCCCAGTCTTAACCTGGACCAAACTATTGGGATATCTCTGTCCAGCGCGTTGGTACGTGCACACCTCAAGCTGCGCGAATCCGAGCGTCGTTTAGGATCAGCCGAGTCTCCCAGGACCTCTCTGGAGTCAGTTGTCGCCATAGGTAAGTATCCGGGAATATGCTGTTCTATTTGATAGCAACTGATCCGTTAGATAGTCGGGTCAACAAGTAGCCAAACCACTGCCTTGATCCGCTCAATCTTGCCTATCCCTCTTGCGAGGTAAATCCAACGAAATAAGGAGAAAAAAGGAAGTGGGATTAATGCCGGTGTACCTCTTGACGGAGCTTCATCCTCGCTATCAAGACGTCACCATTTAACGCTTAAGCGCAGTAATTGCATATCGTAGAGCTTCGTCAATCTCCAAAAATATTAGGTAACTTCCGCCTCTACTGCTACTACACCTCTTAGTCCCGACCCACTAGATGGCCCCATCCTCGTCTCCTTTTATCGCAAATATTGTATCGCAAATTGCCGTCCCCGGACATGGGATAGCGAATAACTGTCTCCGAATAACCCCCCTCCCTCCACCTCACAGCGTCGATGCGAGCGCTGGCGAGGATAACGACGTCTCGCGGCGGGCTCGCGCGGGTCCTTGCCGTCTCCTACCTATCCTTGGCGGCAGCCGCCGTCGCCCCGAGCACCCCTTGGCGGTATACCGCGCCGCCGGGGTGCGCGCGCGCTGCCTCTTCAGCGTCGAGCTCGCAGTGGAAGCAGCGGCAGGCCCGGGACTGGTACGGCCGTGCCGCCAAGGTCGCCTCACTCAAGAGCCGCGCCGCCTTCAAACTGATCGAGGCGAGTTGCCCTCCCCGTCCTCCCCGGCCCCTCCTCTCTTCTTCTTCTTCGCGCCCGCATGCGGATATGCCAGGTCACGTGTATTGATGGTGCGCAGATGGATTCCAAGTACAAGTTGTTCAAGAGCGGACAGACCGTGATCGACCTCGTACGCCATTACCTACCACCCTCATGGCTGGCTTGCCGTGCTAAAGCGAGAGCAGGGCTACGCCCCCGGTAGCTGGTCGCAGGTATGGATGGCGCTGCCGAGACTTGCCTCTGTACCAGCTCTCGGCTCACTCATCCGATACTAGGTCGCTGTAGAGCTCGTCAAACCCCACGGCCGTGTCGTCGGCGTCGACATGATCCCGGCCCAACCACCGAAGGGTGTCTCGACCCTCCAGGGGGATTTCCGCAAGGAGGGTGTCCAGAAGCTCCTGAAAGACTACCTCGTGGAATTTCCGTCGGCACCGGATCTGGGTGTGCCCGGCGGAGAAGGAGGGAGCATCATCTCCGACCGGCCGAGCTACATCGACACCGAACGTGCCGACTCGGCCGACCACGGGGACGGCGCGGCGAATGATGGAAGACTTGTTGATGTACGGGTCCTGCGCTACCTCCACCCTCCTCCTCCCGCGGCCATCTTCTCGTAACCCAAGCCGAACTTAGAAAGCTGACTATATAAATCTGTTCATCTTACAGGTAATTCTAAGCGACATGTGGGCACCCTGGGCACGAGCTACCGGTTATCCCAGCAGGACATTGGATAACGCGTATTATAGGCTGATGAACGTGAGCGGCAACAACGGTCGCGACCACGCAGGAAGCATGGTATGTGTGTATCGCCAGATTTCCCTAGTTTCTTCTGGACCGCTTATCCGCGGCCAAACAACCCTAACCCGCTACGTTTTCTTTCTTTCTTTTTTCTTTTTTTTTGGGTGCTGAATCCCCCCCTGCTCACCACGATCGTGTCTCTCGTAGCTCCTATGCAACGCCGCTCTCAAATTCGCAAACGACACCCTCCGTGCCGGCGGCCACTTCGTCTGCAAGTTCTACCAGGGCAACGAGGAGAAGGTTCTGGAGGGGAAACTGAAGAAGCTCTTCACAAGGGTTCACCGCGAGAAGCCATATTCGTCGAGACCGGTAAGTGCTGATGCTACAACTCGCGCAATCGTTCGGGCGCTGATTACACGCTGCATCAGGACTCGAAGGAGATGTACTTCGTGGCGCAGAGCAGGAAGGGCGCGGTCATACTTGAAAACATCGATGACACGTAGTCTATCGCGCACACAGACGAGGGGAGACCCGTTGTATTACCACCATTACACTGCGCGTGTACTGTACTATAGGCGGACCAGAATCGGAAGCCCTGTATATTCTACGGTACGCTTGCAAAGCGCAGTCTCACCAGCCGCCTCGGCCACCTTATTAGTACCCCTCGCCCTACCCGTCTTTGCGCCCAGAACATCCTGGACCGCCCCGCCTGCCCTCAGCGCACCTTCGCCGCGCCGTCCCGACTCACACGCAGCACCAGCCCGGTAGACTCTCCGGCACGTCCCCGTACCCCTCGCCGATGGGGGGCGCGCAGAGCCTCTGAAGCCCGGCTGGGTTCGGGTTCGCGTCGTAGAATGTGCCTGTGCGCACACCCATTAGTTGATCCGTTTCATACGTAGGCTCCTCTTACCACACCTATCGCTACCTATTCCTATTGCTGTCATCCTCAGCGGGGCGTGGTGTGGGGTCAAGACTGGATCGAACAGCTGGAAGGAAAGGGACGCACCGTCGTCGCATTGGCACACCGGCTGGTCGACGCAGCATCGTGGGTCCTCGAACGGGATGCACACGAGACCGTCGTCGCCGAGCGAGGGATCGGCGATAGTAGTCGTGCCGGCCGGGACTGACGCCCCCGACGCGAGCCGTACGGTCGAGGCAACGAGGACGCCCATTGCGAGGGCGAGGAGGTGCATGGTTGTTCGTTGTCTTGCCTGCTTGCTTTCCCCAGGGCAATGGCAAGATGGACTGAGGGGGAGTCAAGGTGTATAGTAGATGTGGGATGCCCTATCCTAAAATGACCTGTTTCCCCCTCGGGTCTAAGCCTCTGCGACGCGGGAAAAGAGGTGACATCGTGTCACTTTGTGCGGCTTGCTATCACGCCGCCCTTCCCGTCGGGAACCTCGGACGGATACGCGGACAGGCGTAGCTGAAGCTGCTTGGACACGACATACCGGGTAGTTCCTTCTCATCTCATCTCCGATGTCTGTCCTATTTATGGGGTTGGACGGGGCGGGAGGCCCCCAGGATGGCCGCTGAATTACCGTATATACCCATGATATATGGCTGCTTCGAAGAACCCATCCGTCTCAGAAACCGACCGAACTTATTATTTCCCGTGATAGAGACCCTACTCGGCGACATTGCCGGGGGGTAGTCCTCAACTCACCTCTTGGCAGCATTAGCCCACGCTAGTTTCATGAATTGCTTGTTATTCTGACGCAGATCGTGCGTAGCTCTATGTACGCTCGTCAGGGAGAGGCGCTGGTTTGTTTCCTCCCGGGGCGGCTTCTTCGATAGCCCTGAGCAAGCCCTCCTCCGTCTGTAACAGGCGTGCACCAAAACTAGTAGAGGCGGTAGAATATGTCGGCAACTTGCCTTTATCTTGAAGCTGGGTGTCCCGTGTCATAGATGCAGCTTCCCTCTCCTTTCCGCACGCCAGCACGCGCTATCAGTTGATGCATCCTTGTCCGTGTCGCCAGAGAGCTCTCCGCATTGGGCGCGAAGCGCAAGGCGTCGGGGTCTGAGGGAAATGGGGTCGCGGCGAGGGAGGGAGGAAGGATGGCGCTGCCCTCCTCTTCGTCACCGCCTCCGGGTCTGGGAAACCTTCGGAGCCAGAATAGACACCCCGCGATGAAGCGCGGGTCTCTAGTTGGCACCCTTAGCTGACACGTCGGCGGTCAGCTAAGAGGTAGGCAGTAGGTAAGTGAAGCCTCCCCCCCCCTCTCTCCCTTTCCGCTCTCGCAGCTGTCGGCGGCGCGCAATTGCGTGTTTTCTCCCGACCCCTGCTGTACCTAAAGCGGGGGCCGCTATTCGACGGGGCGGCGGCAGCAAGCGCGGGAATATCCTGCGCTCGCCAGACCACGTGGTGGACGTCGTCCCCGCCGACCACCTGCTCTACGAGTAGGTAGAGCCAGCAGACGCGAAGCCGCCCCAGGCAAAGGCAAGGCAGGGAGGCAGGATAACTCGAGGCCATGACCGCTCTTTCGCCGGGGCGGCCTCGTGGCGCCGCTTCTCTCCCGTCGCTCCCCTGTCTCACCGGCTCCGATACCGCTCGAACCCAGGGAGACGGGACGGGCACGCCTACTTGTTGGGCGTCATCCGACCGCACACACGTTCGTCGCGCTCGAGATATTGCACGGAGGAGACGTCTATGTCATGTGCAGTGGAAATTTAACATGCAGTAGGGAGAAGTGCAGCAAGCGAAAGGGGAGGGGAGTACGGAGTCGCATAGCTACAACTGGGAAAAAACTCCACTTTTCGGTCGAACGCCCCAGTTTTATCGTCTACACATACGCCCCCAATAGGAGGAGGTATGTATGTTTGATGCAAGTCCCCGATAGCTTCATATTATATTCGTAGTAGCTTGTATATGTACGAATAGAGTTATAGGCTACCGAGCTACCCCTTCGCGAGGCGGGTATTTTATATAGGTTTATATATAAACGATTTATTACCGTAAAAAACCGGAAAAAAATCGGAAAAATCGGAAATTTACTTACGTAATTAATTAACTAGATTAAATTAATATATAAGCTTTTCGGATTTTTCGCTTAGTAATATAAGAAATTATTTACGATTTAAGGGTTTTTAAAACTATATTAATAATTTACTATATAATTTATTAATAAATCTATTAACTATACTTTATATTAGCCTCTTAACTTATTTCTTTTACGGTAATAAAGTAGGTCTATTACCTAATCCTTTATAATATAAATAAAATAATAATTAAGATTACGTAACTTTTTTTTAAATTAATTAAGTCTTAAAAACGTTAATTTTTAATATTCTTTTTTAGAACCTCTTTATATAAAAAAAGAAGATAGTTAAAAAGGTAGAATTCTTACTATAAAAATAGATACGATTTTAAAAAGTTTTAACCTATTTAAAAACGTAGTTTTCTTAAAATAATGAATTAAATAAAAATGGAAATAAAGAATAAAAATAAGATTACCTAATACTAGTCATTTTTTTATTTATAAAATAAAGTATTAGGTAATAGACCTACTTTATTACCGTAAAAAAAATAGGTAAATATATCGATATAAGTATAGTTAATAAGGTTATTAATAAATTATATAAGAAGCTATTAACGTAATTTTAAAAAACCTTAAATCGTATATAACTTCTTATATTAGTAAGCAGAAAATTCGAAAAGTTTATATGTTACTTTAATTAAGCTAATTAATTACGTAAGTAAATTTTCGATTTTTCTGATTTTTTCTCGGTTTTTTATAGGGATAAATCGTTTATATATAAACCTATATAAAATACCTAGCTTGCGAAGGGGTAGTCTAGCTTACCTATTAGCCGACCCAACCAGAGGGTAGCTCCTTCCCTACGTATAATTGAATATTCAACCTGCACCTTCCTACCTACCATACCCCTAGGGTGTACGTACGGAAAAGTGGAGTTTTTTCCCAGTTGTAGCTATGCGACTCCGTAGGGGAGCACCTAGGTACCTAGGGTTACCAGGTAGGTACCTCAGGTTGCCTACCTGTGCCCAATGGTAGGGGCGATAACGGATATCGGGCCGCTCCGACTGGCTGTATGACGCTGGATGAGGGCTGCCCGCGCATCGGATCTGTCTGGCTCCCATGTCAAGGTCGGGGGTGTTACCGCACCCGTATTGCGGGACAGCTCCAGAAGATGTATCCATATATGCCTACGTGCATCGTATGATATACCTACCTACTTGCAGGTATATACCTAGAGGTATACGTAGCATACACATACCTACCTATCTCGTATACACACCCGAACCAGTGCAGCCTCATCCCCGGCCTCCTCGAGGTCCAGAGAAAGAAATCCCTCGGGAGAATCTGGCGCAATTTTAAGAGGTAGGTTGCGGGTTAGAGCCTGGTCCGCTCTCCCCCCGATAACCCCGAACCCGTCAGCAGCCTCCCCCCCCGCGAGCGCCGGCGCTGCGCCATAATTTTAATATACCTACCTACACATCGCTCAAGTGCCAAACACCAGACTGGTCACCATTTTTAACTTGCCTCGCATCCACCCGAGCCTCGACAAAGCATCTTCCCGAGACGTCTCGATGAAAACTCAACGCGTTCGCACCATCCTGCGAGCCCTGCCAAGGTACGAGCACATACCTACCTAGACCTACCTACCCACACGTGGGCACGCACATACCGTAGCACGTACCTACGGTATGCATACCTGTCCACACTACCATCCCGACCTGTGTCGGCTCCATCCCCCGCCGTCCCGTCGACGCCAATGACTTGCCCAGCAGAGCGCTCGAGGGGTCCGGATGGGTGTTCCCACGTCCAGACCGATCCCGTCAGCCGTCCCACGAGTCGTCCTCCCCGCCCAATCAGACGTCCCCCCCTCTCGGCGTGCTAGTCTGGGGGTTGCTCCCGGACTGGCTGCCTACCAATCGACCGGCCGCAGGCTGGCCTCGTTAGTCCCAGACCCTCCCCTCCGGCTGATAACTAAGCATCTGCAAGGTCGGCCCTCAGGATGTGGCATGTGGCGCCAAGCTATCTCGACCTCCCCTCCCTTTCCTCCCGGCCAACGTCTCCCCGCTGCCGTACTCTGCGCTACACCTGGCCGGTCCCTATCTCTCTCTATCTCTCTCTATCAACCTCCACCTCTCTTCCGCAAGAGCTCCCTATCCTATCGCGCCAAGCACCTACGTCTCCGCCTGTGCTCTACACGTATGCGCTGTTGTCAGGGGTCGACCAAGTACCGAGTCACGCACGCACCGCGCCTCTCCCCCTGCTCTACCATACCAGCGGCCGGCTCGCAAACATCCTATACCGTCGGTGTCTCTCCCCTTCTCATGCTTGGATTTTGGCTTCGCTTTATCAATCCATCCACGCCGCCTTGACCGTAGCCTACCCTTCCGTTTTACCTTCGGCTATCTCGTTCTAGTCATCTCCACCTCCTAAAACTAGACCTACCTACCTCAGCACTTTGTTCCAGGTTCCCCATTCTCTCCACCCCCCCCCCCCTGTTCCCACCTATATATCCCTATTTCGCAACACCCGAGTGTCATTCTGAGCTTTTCCCCCATCTTACCCTACCCATCCGCTAGTTTTCTTTCATCTCTTCCTCTCCCAACGCTCGCCATACCTTCATCACTCACTCACTGCCTACCTCCAAACCCGGCCCGTCACTTTCTGCAGTATTGCTAGTGAAACTATCAACCAGAGCATTCTTGGGAATACTTGATCACGTAGGAAAACATGGATGCTTACTCGATCTCCTTCACCAGTACCTCCCAACGAGCTTTCTCTCGCGTGTGGAGCGACCTCAAGACCTGTCGCCAGTACAGCGTCGTAGACATGGGCAACCTAACGCAGGAGCCGGTGCCGAACCTGGAGCATAAGATTGGAGAGGTATATATTGCCTGAGTTGAAGCTCTTGGGTTTATCATGTGAGCGAGGCACCCATCGGTGATCTGTTAGGTAGTATACCGGCTAGATGCGGCCCTGTCTCCTCATAGTGTTACTCAGATGAGTGAACCCCAACGATATGTGTCCCAGACTCACTCGTGTCACAGCGCCGAGCTCGGAATCCCGGTCGCAAGCCACATATCGTCGTCGTCGGAGCTGGTCTAGCCGGCCTGCGCTGCACCGACGTCCTCCTCCAGCACGGATTCGACGTGACTCTGCTCGAAGGCCGGAATCGGCTGGGGGGTCGCGTGTGCCAATCGAGGTTACCGTCGGGCCACCTCGTGGATGCTGGCCCGAATTGGATCCACGGCACCAACGACAACCCTATCTTAGATCTCGCAAAGGAGACCAAGACCGCGGTAGGGTCATGGGACGAGCGAAGTTCCGTCTTCGACGAGGCGGGCAATCAACTACCTCTCTCCGACGCCGAGGCCCACTCGACCACCATGTGGAACATCATCGCAGATGCCTTCCGCCACAGCAATAACCACTCGGCGACGATCAGCCCCGACGAGAGCCTCTGGAACTTCTTCGAGAGGGAGGTCCCCAGGAGGATACCAGACACCGATCCGGACTTCGAACAAAAGAGGAAAATCGTCTACCAGGTCGCCGAGTCTTGGGGGGCTTTCGTCGGCAGTCACATCTTTACCCAGAGCCTTAAATTCTTCTGGCTGGAAGAGTGCATAGACGGCGGTGAGTGAGGATGTTTTCTCCTTTTTTCCCTTCCCTTCACCCCTAACGTATGACTTAAAAAGGGACGTGCTAACAGACGCGTAGAGAACCTGTTCTGTGCAGATACCTATCAAAAGATTCTCGAAGCGGTGGCAAGACCAGCCGTCGAAGGCGCGACGATCAAGTACGAAACCATCGTCAACAAGGTCCAGAGTACGAGCGACGAGGGTGGCCCCTTAAAGGTTCACACCGAAGGCGGAGAGGCCTTCGAGTTCGACGAAGTTGTCTTCACTGCGCCGCTCGGCTGGCTAAAACGACACGCGCAAAGCACCTTTGAACCGGCGTTGCCGGCGCGACTAACCAAGGCAATCGACAATATAGGCTATGGCTGCCTCGAGAAGGTGATGTCTCCCAGCGTGCCTGGCCCCGTGGATCCGTACTAACGAACCTGCAGGTCTACATCAACTTCCCCAAAGCATTCTGGCGTTCCGACCGTCCTCGGGACGGAGAGGTGCAAGGGTTCTGCCAGATGCTCTCACCGAACTACGCGACGGACTCGAATCCGCACCGGTGGAACCAGGAATTCTTGGAGCTAGCCTCGCTGACACCCTCAGCGGCGCAGCCAACGCTGCTGTACTATTTCTACGGCGACCAGTCGAGGTTCATCACGGGCGAGCTGGCGCGGCTGGGGTCGAAGGAGAAGCAGGAGGCCTTCCTGGTTGAGTGGTTCCGGCCCTACTACTCGCGGTTACCGCACTACGACGCGGCGTCGCCGGACTGCCAGCCGACGGGGTGCTACGCGACGGAGTGGCTCAACGACGAGCTCGCGGGCCGCGGCAGCTACAGCAACTTCCAGGTCGGGCTCGAGGAGGGCGACGCGGACATCCAGGCGATGCGCGAGGGCCTCCCCGGCCGCGGCCTCTGGCTCGCAGGCGAACACACGGCGCCGTTCGTGGCGCTCGGTACGGCGACGGGCGCCTACTGGAGCGGCGAGTCGGTCGGCAAGCGGATCGCGCAGGCGTACTCGAGGGAGAAGGGCGGCGCGACAGTGCTGCAGTGAAGCCGGTTACGAGCGGGTTAGAGCATTATGCCGAGATACGGCGGCGTCAAAGGTGGGATGTGAAGGACTATCCGTGCGATGAATAACAGCGTGCGCATCGTGTTCTTGCGTTTATTAGAGCGGAGCGGAGCAGAGTAGATTAGCGGCAAGGGAGTGCAGAACAGAGATACATAGGTAGATGCCGTATCTCGGATCGAGGCCCTGCACTGAATATAGGACTACGCAGTGGATATGTCTTAGCGCGAAAGGTCGGATGCGTCGCGCCGGAATATCCCGAAAGCCTCAAGACGAAGAGGAAGATGGAAAAGGAGGCTATTTCTGTCGGCTGCTAGCAGAAAATACCAGCCTACCTCGCTCTTGCTAGTATATACATCCAAGCACCTAATAGATACCTGACATGAGTCGTTAGGTTGTGGCATTCCGGGGTACCTTTCAAGTACCCAATCTTCGTCTACGGTACGGAATCCGAGCGTGTCAACCGGCCTCACGTGGGTGAGCTGAAACCACCTCCTAATAGAGGGGCGCGCCCCGATAAGGGGAAAAACTGGCAATGCACTTATCAGAACGAGCCTATCAAACCCCGTCCCTGATAATAGAAAAAAGAAGAAAAAAAAGAAAGCAGCCCACCCTAAGGCCTTCAGAAATGGAAATCAACCGATCAAGACCTTCTTCCTCTTCTCTCTCACCAGGACCCCGACGCGGATTTCTTGCGAATAACCCCCCACAGAAACCTCCAGGCTCGGGGCCACAGCGCACGCCATGCCTCGCCACAAAAAGGACAAGCCGTGGGATACCGATGACATCGACCATTGGAGTACTGTCCCCTTTACTCCCGAGGACAATGCCGGCGGCACCTTCGCGGAGGAGTCCTCCTTCAAGGTGCTGTTCCCCCGGTACCGCGAACAGTACTTGAAAGAGGTAATTCGAACCAGAAACCGGCCCCGCAGAGTCCCGAGCTCGGTCCGCTAACGATGCTCTCTGTCTTTCCAGGCCTGGCCCATCGTCACCCGCGCCCTCCAGACTCACCACATCGCCTGCACCCTCGATCTCATCGACGGAAACATGTCCGTCCACACCACCCGAAAGACCTTCGACCCCGCCGCCATCCTCAAGGCTAGGGACGTAATAAAGCTTCTGGCCCGGAGCATGCCCGCCCCGCAAGCCTTGAAGGCCCTCGAGGACGGTACGGCCATGGACGTTATCGGCATCCGGAGACTGGTCTCGAATAAGGACCGATTCATCAAGCGTCGCCAACGGCTGCTAGGCCCCAACGGAACCACCTTGAAGGCCTTGCAGCTGCTCACGCAAACCTATATCCTCGTCCAAGGCAGTACCGTCGCTGCCGTCGGGCCCTACAAAGGACTAAAAGAACTACGGCGGTACGCCAATGCCACCTCACTTCCCCTTCCTCGGACCCTCACCTTTCTCGTCTCCAGTCTCGCCACCTTCCCCCCCCTTTACCTCCTCAGAGAGACTAACCAGCACACTGACAAAAACCACAGAATAGTAGAAGACGCGATGCACAACATCCACCCGATCTACCACGTCAAGGAGCTCATGATCAAGCGCGAGCTCGAGAAGGACCCGAAGCTGGCGAACGAGAGCTGGGACCGGTTCCTGCCCAACTTCAAGAAACGCTCCCTAAGCACCCGCCGCAAGCCCTTCAAGGTGGCGGACAAGTCCAAGAAGCCGTACACGCCCTTCCCGCCGGCGCCCGAGAAGAGCAAGGTCGACCTGCAGATCGAGAGCGGCGAGTACTTCGCCAAGAAGGACTCCGCTGCCGCGAGGAGAGAGAAGAGGAAGGACTAGACGGATGTCGGTCCACCAGCCGGCCGGGCCGTCCGCTTGCCAGAACAAAATCAACGAGAGGGGAGAAGAGGAAGGGTGGGGAAGAAGGAAGAGAAGAACAAGGGTGGGAATTACATTATTGCCAAAGTACCGACGCCGACGGAGACGGCGTTTCAGCTACACCGCGTAAGCCTCTGCGCCGGACACAACGGGAAGCGACCGCATATCTATTCGTTTTTTTTCCCACGTGGGCAGCGGCCCCCCCTTGAATTCTCCTTGAATTCGATTATACCCAAAGCCCCCATCTCGGGAGAATCTTCGAGGGTCAGGCGAGATATCGCCCATACGGCTAGCGACATAGAAGTGCTAAATATGACACAGATAGGGAGAGGAGGAGTATAGGAGCGGCCTGCCATCAGAACCTGACACCGAGGCCGGGAGTAGCAACGACGGCGACGATATGGCAGAGGGGTCCTGAATGGCATGAGATCCCGAGAGTCCTCGCGGATGCTACGATTATGGGATAAGAGCAGGCCCACCTCAAAACACGTACAGGCAGCTAGCTACCAGGGGGAGCAGGGAGGGGGACGAATGGGCACCAGGACAGACGCAGGACGGCCTCCGCCGTATGTGTACGTAGGTATGTCCTCGGCCGCAGCCGCTGCGAGCCACGCGCCCCGCGCCCCGACGACACAGAACCGGACGGGGCGGAACAGGGGCGGAGTGACTGGGCTGTAGGATGCTGTAGTCTAGGATGTAAATGAAAAAGCAACAAGAGTCTACATTGCGCCACTTCCTATGCTGCAAGACGCGCGTAGACGCCTGCTCGCGACTACGGAGGACGGCCCGAGGGTTCGGCGAGTTGCCGCCGCCGCAGAGCATATATACCTGAGGCGCGCGTCCGTGTCGTAGTGACGGCGGGAGTAAGCTGGGCCGCGGAAAGTGTCGGGCGCAGGCATGCGTGGAGGCGATGGGGGGGCTGGCTCCTCTGCTCGCAACCCGCCCTGTGTTTCCCCCCCCAGTCGGCGGCTTTCGCTACCGCCCTTCTCCGCAAGAGAGCAAGCAGGCTGCGCGTCTATTCGTGTGTATCGCGCACGCTACCTAGAGGTAGAGGCGTGTGTGCGCAGATGTCAGTAGGTACCTAGGTAGGCACCCAAAACGGATGGGTATACAAGTGCACGCAACGCTGGCATTTCAATACCTACCTGCCGTAATACGAAGACATCGGAGCCTCTGCCACGGACGAAGCGGAGCGTCTCCTCCAGGCGAATAACCTCACAGTCTCTCCGAGTGGGCCGCGCTACGAACGTACATATGTAGAGGCTATTCAGGCGCGGCACGCCAGCCAATTATTTTCTCTCCCCCTTTTTTTATAACGGTGCGGGAAAGATTCGGCCGTTGACTAATATCTATTTGTGTGGGTATATCACGACGATGTCGGCAGCTATCGGTCGCGTTGTGTGGCTTTGCGCTCGTAATAGACTACGGAGTCTCACGTTGTGGTCCGGACAACGATCACGCATCTCCCCCCATCGGGCGCTCCCTAATTCGACCATGTGGCGAAGCCCGAGGAGGGATCGCGAGATGTAATGGCGCTGGTAATTTCTGGTACCTACCCACCGGCAATAAGAAATGTCGTTCCGGAGTTGTGTTCCGGACCGCGCGACAGGGGTAGTTAGGAGCTATCTATTCACGCGGCACGCTGCTCTCCTTTCTAATTCCGTCGGCAAAGCCAAGGGACCCCGTAAATTAGGTGCCGAAATGCAACATCTGATCTGGGGTTGGGAAGAAGTTGGGATGTTTAGCCGATGCCCGTGATGCATACACGGGAGATCATAACCCTCCCTGCGGCTAAATTGGGGGGATGCCTACCGCGTTTCGCACCGCGAGTCTATAACGCGTTTCACCTAAGGAGCGAGTTTAGCCAAACAAGAGAGGTTCTCGTCGCTGTCGCCGTACGATTGTACCTTGCTTCTCCCGGCTCAACTACGATTGCCTACTACCTGCCGTATATTGCCTTCTATGGGGAAGCAATCTATTGTATGGTAGATCTCACCGAATGGGGAAATCTTGGCAACGTCCGTCGTACCGTTACCGCGACTCAACGCGCGGGGGAAACCATGCATCGTGACCTTCTTCCAGTTGTCCTGACGCCCCATCTCTGGTAAGTAGTCGCCCCTCAAGATACACAAGGAGAAGCTATTCCGGCTATGCCGTCCCCGGAGCCGGCGTGCGGCAACTAACCTCGCCTATCTAGCTTGCCACATCCCGTAAAGTCACCTCGGGGGCTAGAAGTGAGCAAGTTAGAAGACCTTCGGGAGAGAAGGAGTAGGCCAGGCTGATCAGGTTGGTCAGGGCTGCGTGACTGAAAGAGATATAACCTAGATTTGAGCTTTCCAGGGTCCCTTTCTCCACACAGCCCCAATAGGCCCGAACGGACGGTTATGCAGATGATAAAGTAGGGTTACTATAGAGGACCGTGAGGGAAATAAATCAGAGCGGCGTCTAATAGTTCGGTCGTTCAGTAGTCACAGTAACTCAGGGCACCCCGCAGATCTCTCCCCCGCAAATAAGGAACTCGGCGGTAGTGACCCTTTTCGGAGTGGACATACCGTGACCTTTCGCGACTGACGGGCCTGGTTCCTGATTGCAACATCATACGCGCCGCGGGGATACGCATGCAGGTTGCTAGGGCCTAGCCTAGCTCCTTCTTCTGAGAGTAGCAGTATAAGAAGCCCGAGACGGCCGTTTCGAGGGTTGTCTTAGCCCGTCTTCCTACCGCACTCGCTCATCGCTTTCTCAAGGCTGTACCCGAGCGGAATCTAGCCATGAAGGTCACCTACGCCGGTGTGGCGGCCCTTGCCGCTGGTGCCGTTGCCGCACCTTCGAATACCGTACCCCGGAAGGCAGCTGCCGCCTGCTCTTCTCCCGTTACGCTCGACGCCAACACCAACGTGTTCAAGACCCGCAAGCTGCATGCCAACACGTTCTACCGCAGCGAGGTCGAGGCGGCTGTGCAGCAGATCTCGGATTCATCCCTGAAGACGCAAGCTTCTAAGGTTGCCGACGTCGGTAGCTTCTTGTGGCTGTAAGTTCGATAGAGAACCGACTCGGGAAAGGCGGAAGACAACTGACTGGAGGCGTAGCGACAATATCGCCAACATCGCCAAGTTCGACCCCGCAGTTGCTGACCTCCCCTGCGATGAGATTCTCGGTCTCGTCATCTACGACTTGCCCGGTCGCGACTGCGCCGCCAAGGCTTCCAACGGCGAACTCAAGTACAATGAGCTCAGCCGATACAAGACCGAGTACATTGACCGTGCGTTGTGGCCCACGTCTAGTTGGAGGCGAGAGTGAAGGAAGCTGACTTCGCCGTAGCCATCGTTGCCAAGCTCAAGGCCAACCCCAACTCGGCTTTCGCCCTCTTGATCGAGCCCGACTCGCTCCCTAACCTGGTCACCAACGCCGACCTCCAGACCTGCAAGGACAGCAAGAACGCGTACGAGGAGGGTGTGGCGTACGCCCTCAAGAGCCTCAACCTCCCCAACGTCGTCATGTACATCGATGCCGGCCACGGCGGCTGGCTCGGTTGGGATGCCAACCTCAAGCCCGGCGCCGAGGGGATCGCCAAGGTTTACAAGAACGCCGGCAGCCCCAAGCAGGTTCGTGGTTACGCGACCAACATCGCCGGCTGGAACTCCTGGTACGTATCCGTAGCGCGACCCCCCTTCCACCCATGGCGGCGAAGGAACGGATAGAGCGGTAGACTGACGGGCAAACAGGGATCAGTCGCCCGGCGAGTTCGCGGGCGCCTCGGACGCCAAGTACAACTCGTGCCAGAACGAGAAGACGTACGTAACCAAGTTCTCGGAGGCGCTCAGGACCGCGGGCTTCCCGAACCACGCCATCGTCGACACCGGCCGAAACGCCGTCACCGGCCTCCGCAGCGAGTGGGGTAACTGGTGCAACGTCAACGGCGCCGGCTTCGGTGTGCGCCCGACGGCCGACACGGGCCTGGAGCTCGCCGACGCGTTCGTCTGGGGCAAGCCCGGCGGCGAGTCGGACGGCACCAGCGACTCGAGCGCGGTCCGGTACGACTCGTTCTGCGGCAAGGCCGACGCCTACAAGCCCTCACCCGAGGCCGGCGAGTGGAACCAGCCCTACTTCGAGATGCTCCTCAAGAACGCCAACCCCAAGTTCTAGACGGCTGGCGGCGGCGGCGGGGAACCGCAGCGCCCGCATCCGGACTGGCGACCACACGACTGGGCGACGGCGCAGACCGAAGCCCGTCTCGCGCAGTCTCGCGCTCGCCTTCTCCAAACACACCAGTTCCGGCGATTCGGGTGGCAGGGAGATTGTGCCGAAAACTCGATTGTATATAAGGGACTACGTGCAGTACATAAATGACATTGCTTGCGAGTAGTCGGGTCGTATTCTATTGTGGTGGTGCGTCTGGTGGTGTCCTCGATTATTCCTGTGCTTGACGATCTGTGTGTTGTAGAGGGATGATGGCTTGTGCCAAGCGGGATTCGTCAAGTGGGTTGCAAGAGCTACTCAGACGAGGACATAGAGACGCTTAGATAAGCACCGTCATAGCGCCACACAATTCAGACTGTTACTATATATAGCGAGTTGGGCCCGTGAAGTGCCGGCCATCTACGGAAGGTCAGCCACAGTGGGACTACCTGCCTACTTACCTACTAGGTACGTAATATAGTAGCATTTTTTTTTCTGGTTCTTTCCTGTTTTTTTCCCGCCTCTCCTGGGCGAGAAGGTGCGAGCGGGTTGTTATACGATGGTTGGTTCCGCCGGCCCGCATTAAAGGAGATGGAAGTTGCGAGACGACCCGGCTAGTCGGGTCCTTCCTCGATAACTAGGAGACAAACGGAAACGGCCACGCAGAGGCCAAGGCCTGGACCAAGGCAGGTACGAGGTGCGTAGCAGCCGGCGTACCTGCTTCCACCCACTTTCTCCTCCGTAGCGGAGATACCTAGTATAGATACTTCGTAGTGGTCTTGCAGGCAGTATACCGGGCGCCGTACCTGGGAGTGCGGATATGTATCTAGTACCCCGTATGCCTCCTATAGTAATATCCGGCGCCTCTAACAAGTGGCCGCCGGATCGCACGGTGGGTACGCGAACTAACCCGGTTTGCGTGGCGCCAGCGAGACGGCGCAACTACGGCAGGACATACCACATATCGCATACCACATCGCATATCGCGTCCCACGCAAAACACACCACCCATCTTAGGTAACGCACCACCTCCCTCCCTCATCGGCGGCATCCCGGGCCTCAGCGCCTTAAACCCTCTGCTACGCCTCGCCAACATTTAAATCCTCTCACGAGTCCCCCAACCTCTCCTGGAAAAATAGAATAGAAATATTACAAAAACGAGAAAGAACTCTCATCGTAGCCACAACCGGCCATTTCTCTCTCCTATTCCTCACGACAACCCGGCATTCTGCAGCAAATGCGATGCGCGAGTAACACCTCTAGACCAGCCAGCATGGGTCAACCACCAGAACCCTCGGCGTCGTCCAGCTCGTCGTCGTCGTCGTCGTCGTCGTCCAGTTCGTCGAGTAGCTTCGTTGAGCCGCCGGACGACAGCGGCGACGAGACCAGGGAGGGCCGGTGCGGCTTCGTGCCCAAGTTCCTCGACCGCCTCGAGCACTTCACCTGGGCCAACTACACCTTCCCCATGGCCACGGGCGGCATCGCCCTCTTGTTGGCGGAGAAGAACCAGGGCTTCGCGTTCCCGGGCCTGCAGACGATCGGCAAGGTCTTCTACCTCCTCGCCCTCGTCGTCTTCGTCCTCGTCACCGCCGCCATCACTTACCGCTTCGTGCGTTTCCCCGGCACCTTGCGCGCCTCCGTCACCCACCCGACCGAGGCTCTCTTCCTCGGCACCTCCACCCTCAGCGCCGCCTCCCTCATCTCCGGCATCGCCCACTACGGCATCCCCGCCTGCGGGCCCTGGCTCGCCGTCGCCTACCGCGTCGTATTCTGGATCTACTTCGCCGTCACCTTCGTCATCGCCGTCGGCCAGTATTCCCTCCTCTTCACCTCCCCGCTCCTGCGCATCCAGGACATGACGCCCGCCTGGGATCTGCCCATGTTCCCCTTCATGCTGTCCGGCACCGTCGCCGCCACCGGGGCCGCCTTCCAGCCCCCCGAAGGAGCAATCTCCATGATCGTCGGCGGCCTAACTGCTCAGGGCCTCGGAATGTGCGTCTCGATCATGATGTATGGTATGTAGGAGTGCTTTGCCAACACGCCGCCGGGTGGAGAACTAATAGTAGCCTCGTAGTACGTATTAACATCTCATTTGCATATCCTGCACCCTTGAGCAAAAATATATCTCGAAGGTTTTTTTTTTGACGTTCCGGACTCGATGGCTAACGTCTAAAAGGCGAGCTACGTGCGTCGTATGATTCAATGGTAAGTTGAGGTATTATCTACCTCCTCTGTTTATCCCTGTAAAAAAGACCATGGCCCCACCCATGTCCATCCAGCGCCGTAATGATGGGATCGGACGAACTAACCATGGCAGGGGACTTCCGTCGCCAAACTCACGGCCGGGCATGTTCATCGCAGTCGGCCCACCGGCTTTCACGAGCCTCGCCATCATCGGGCTCGCGAACGACTTCCCGGAGCACTACGACTACTTCGGGCCGGACGCGACGACGGTGCAGGTGCTGCGGGTGCTGGCGACGACGGCGAGCATCTTTGTCTGGTCGCTGAGCCTGTGGTTCTTCTGCATCTCGGTAGTGGCGAACCTGGCCGTGCGGCAGCACCTCACCTTCCACCTCAACTGGTACGCGTACGTGTTCCCCAACGTCGGCTTCGCCATCTCCACCACCGCCCTCGGCCACAACCTCCACAGCCCCGCCGTCCGCGCTGTCGGCAGCGCCATGACCGTCCTGCTTGTCGCCATGTGGTTGTTCGTTCTCGCCCACCACATCCGTGCCATCGCCCGGTGCGACATCCTCGCCGACGGCAAGGACGAGGACGTCTACGTCAACGAGAAGCGCCACGAGCACGTCAAGCCGCCTAAGAGCGGCTCCGACATCGAGAAGGAGGCTTGAGCGAGCCGGGCAGCGCAGCCCTCTCACTCCACTCTACTCTCCTTCCTCCCTCCCTCCTTCCTCTCCTATTATTATCTGTGCTACCTCGCCATCTCTACTCCTTATCACGGCCACCGCCAGATAATAATAATAATAATAACAATAATACTACCGCTACTACCACTGCCGCCAAAAGCTACCGCTCGGCGACGAAACGCCGCCGCCCGCCACAAAAAAGAAGGGCGGAATAAAAAGGAGATTGGATTTTAGCGAACAGTTACGAAATGTCACGAGATCACGACCGGACATGGATACGATACCAACTAGACGGACTGGCACCCTGATCATATCATGTCTTAGACGGTGGGACTGGAAACGGAAAATCGAAAATGGGGGCTCTGGTTCTTTTTCTTCTTCAGGCCTTCCGCGACGGCTCTATATAGGTAGGTAATTTGAAACGAGCCCTGGCCTGAGATATGTATGTATATATATATATATATATATATGTAATGCCTAATTCTTGAATAAAAAGCGCAATTGACATACCCGCTATGACTTGCCGTGCCGGGTAACGACTCCAGGAGGACTGGTTCGCACATGCGCGTAGGACTGCCACGTATCCCGTCTGCCGGTTCGAAACGCAGGCGAAGACGGCGCCGGCGGTCGTCGTTGCGAGAGACCATCTTACTTTCGTCTTACAACAACCAGACACGGGGACAGGGGGGGCCGGACACGCGCGCGCGAATGAGCTCTCTCGTCTTCGAGGAAGGAATCCAACTCTCCTCCTGCTCTTCGCATTATACCGCCGCCGGCGTCGAAGCCGCCCGGCCTATCTACCTGGCCGACTGGCTGGGCCTAGCTGCGGCCGGCCCCGAACCGAGCCCCGATCACGCACGAGCTCGATCCGGCCTATGTACATGTAACTACTATCACCATGGTATCAATACTTCTGCACTCTCCCCCCCTCCCCTCCGCCCCCTCTGCTCTATTACGGGAGGTTCAGAAGCAGAAACGAGACCGTCTAGACGAGTTAAGGGAAGAAGAAAGGGAAGAGAGAGAGAGAGAGAAAAAAAGGGTCAAGTTCCCGTTCTGTTGTTCCCCTTCTTCCCCCTCCCGCCCGCGCCCTGCTCCTTTTTCCGTCTTCAGCTTCCCCCCCAGACAGGCCCCCTTCGCGAACACGTGTATCTCCGTATTTGTCTCCTAGAAAAGAGCGAAGGAAGGGAAGAGCCCCCCCCGTTCTGCGACGTGCGGAGAGCTTCGGTTCGGGGGTATAATATCTAGATTTTACATACAGAGAAAGAGAGAGGGAGAGAGAGGGAGAGAGAGGGAGAGGCGGGAAGGGAAGGGAAAATTCTGGCGAGGTAAGTGATAGTGCGATTGGGGGGTATTCTTGTAAGCATTCGAGAAAGAGAAAAAAAAAGAGCGACGACAAAAGGGGGGAGAAGAAAAAAAAAGCAACGCCATCTTGTCTTGTCTTTGTGTGGACTATCCCAACCCCTGCATGCTTCCATGATTATGATGATAAAAACGAAGACTATCGTGATCTCGTAGCGCCCAAGGAAAAGCCGGCCGGAGTAGGGCGGCCGGCGGTCGGTTGCTTTTGAATTTGTGGTAATAAGGTAGGTTAGGTTAGGTAGTGGTCCCCTCAGTCGGCATCCAGCAAGTAATGCCTGGGCAGCGGGCTCGCGGCGCCGCTGCCGGTCGCGCTCCCGTTGCCGGAGAAGTAGCTCTGGTCGATGCGGAAGATCCAGTCGCGCTTCTCGCGCTCGTTACGCGCGGCAAACAGCCACGTATTGTCTGTCCCATAAACAGCAAATACGCCCGCCTGGAGGCGCTCGCTCAGACCACCGAGGCTAGGGCCCGAGGGCCGCGGAGATCCGGACCAGATGGACGAGATGGTCCGACCCGACGTCGTTCGGCGATGACTTGGCCGGAAGTCTCCGGCACCGTCTCCGGTGCCGTCACCGATCGCCAGCGGCGGCGATGATATATTCTGTTCGTCTTCGTGGCCATTTAATAGCGCCAGGATCTCCGGCTGACTGTCTACTCGGGAGTTGCGAAGGCTGACAATGGCCACCTCGTCTCCATCGTTGACGTTGTGGATATGCAGATACGGTCGTCGGAGTTCTACAAACCTCTTCACCCATTTGCTGGAATCGTTGCTGGGCACCAACAGATAACCCCCTTTGAGCACATTCGGATTCTTTGGCACTCTGATGACAGTAGAGAGTAATCTAGGCGGCGTGGTTGATTCGGGTGCGATGCCATTCTCGGGAGGCGCGGTGTTTGCTGGGCCGAGGATCCGGGTAAGAGGGTCCGGATATCGCAACCAAAGCTTTAGAGACTTCTTCAGCACGAGGGTTTCATGTTCGCTATACTCTGGCCCTCGAGGTTGCTCGGTAGGTTGTTCGGGCTGTTCGAGCAGCTGTTCAGCCTCGCCGTCTTCGTCAGGCTCTAGCAGCTTAGGGGTCGATGGTCGCGATGTCTCGGGCGTGTCAATGAGAAGCGCGTTGATCGAATCTTGATCGTCATCGTGAGCTTTGGGACTAGCGAAGACGTCGTCGTCGGAAGGATCCTCATCATCGGTGGGTTTGCTCTTAGGCTCAGGCAAGCCGATTTTCTTAAGAAATAGCTGAGCGGCTGCGATCTCGGCGGTGCGTCTCTTCTTCTTCCGCGCCACGATGTAGTCGCCGACCAGCGACACTCCCCTCGGGGCCCAGTTTCTCAAGTTCTCTTCGCCCTTGACGTAGTCGTGTTGGCTGTTCATTCTCCACAGGTCGCCGACTCGTTTGATCGGTGCGGGCCGCATTTTGAGAGTGAAAATGGCGGTCGAGGAATGGACGATCCTGACGTGCTGGAATAAAGACGACAGCATCGATGTCTGGCGAACGAACGACCTCCCTAGGATCTGACAGTAGATATTGGTCGAGAACTTCATCGGTTCGGCGAGGTTATCGGCGGTGATATCCCAGGACAGCGTCATTTGGACTTTGTACTTGTCTGCCGTCGTCCGGTCCAGCAGGAGCGAGTCGTGTAAGCTGGAATCCCACTGCCCAGTGATCTTCATGCTTCGCGTGCCGTTGGCATTTCGACGAAGAGAAGGCTTTGCACTCAACCTCAAGGAGATATCGGGGGCCGGAGACCCCATATCAGGATTCTTACCGGCGTGGTCGACTAGCTCGATCCTGCCGATCCGGATGGAGCTTATATCTTCCCAAGGCAGCATGTCCCCCGAGCTGTGTGTGAGGTTGATCTCCACGCGCCTCTGTAGGCCCTGGTGCAGTTGAAAGGTGCCGGTATCGAGCTCGCTTGTCTGTGTCACTTCGACAGGGACATACTTTCCGCTCTCATTAAGCTCGAGTATCTGTAGGCGGGCTAGCAAGTCGTGCTTCTCCTCGGTATAGAATTGAGCCTCGTTGATTCGAGCACCCCTAGCCTTGTTCTCGTCGCCCGGGGTCGAATCGCGCATCTCATCCCAGCTTAGCAGCTTGTCTAGATGCATCGTGGAAACCTTGGCGAATATTGCAATCCTCAGGTTAACGCCTCGGGGTCCGAACAACGGAACACTCATACTATGCACGCTATCGAATCGTATCGGCCCTTCGTCGAAATCTTTGATCATCTGGGTCGTCGTGACGCTCTCTGATACACCCGGGATGAAAAGTTGGGCGTGGACATCGGTGCCCTCTCGCTCGGCAAACCCGACCATATCATGCATAACAACGTTGTACTTGAGAGTGCTGGATGGAGCCCGAGCGCTGGAAGGCTCCAGGGAAAGCTTGATGATCCCTATAGCATGGTAGGTATGGGGCGATAGGACATCCAAGGCAAAGTCTTGAACCCGGCTTTCAAAGACAGCTTGGAGGGGGACGTCGGCCTCGCCAACGAGAGAGTACTCGGGCATGCAGTTCTCAACGAAAGGGTTGTCTAGTTTGAAATGCTGCGAGTACTGCGGCTGGTCAAGGTATTGGTGCATCTGGCGCATTTGCCGCACGCGATCATGAAGCTTGTCTAAACTCCAGAGATGGACGACCGAGTTCTTGTAGTCGATGACACGAACACCCACACACGGTTTTGGTGCTTCCTCAAGCGGTAGATCCTCCCCTTCGCCGGGCACGTCGTTGAGTACCATGTCGTAAGAAGAGCAGCGCGCGTGCCCGATGTCCACGACGGTGTATTGGAAAACCACGTTTTCCCCGAGCTCCTCGCTCATGATCTGTGCCTCTTTGAGGGTAGCCGTGTGCTGTAAGACGGCTTCGGCCATCTGGACGTAGTGTCGGCCTTTCCAATGTTCAACGATCTCTTTAGCGGTCTTGATCTCCTCTTCCGATAGCTTCGGCTTTGCCTTGGGTCTCTTAAGCGGATCCATCTTTTCTATCTTGGCTTCGAACTCTTGTTTTTGGACTTCCAACCGCTTCTGCATGTCAGCCTTGAGCTTCGCCAGCGTTTCCTCCATCCTCGCCTTTTCCCTCTTAATCTCCTCGACTTCGACGTTAGCCGCTTCCGCACTCTTGAGCTGGCCTTGGTATTCCTCCTTCTGCCTCTCGAATTCGGACTGCATATTTTCTCGTATCTCCTTCAGCCGGTCGTCGACGTCCCCAGCTTTCGGAGTAGACGGCATCGTAAGCGCCGTATCGAGCGAGAGGTTGTCAATCGTGCCGGTCGACATGTACTTCTCCCTGATCGGATAGGACGTGTTGGACTCCAAATCCTCGTCGCCTTCGCGATCGTTAACGCGCTCGGCTCTCGCACGTTGGACATCCTCGAACAAGGCGTTGAGCTCCTCGTCAGTCAGACTCTGAAGGTTCTTGTCCGTTCCGAGTATAGCGCCTGCGGCTTCCCGTCGCGCAAACGACCAGTCCGTGTCTCGCTCGTTCCGATACGGTACCGGAGACTCCGGTCGGCTCTCACCAAACTCGGAACCGGCTTTGCTTATAGATCGCTCATGGTTCAGTCGCGGCGAAGGCGACATACGGTCCAGCGTCTGCAGCTGGCTCGCCGTCACAGATTGACGAAGCAGACTTTGCCTAGTCTCGTCTCTCTCCGCACGAGCCTCCATGGGGTGGTTGAATCGGAATATATGGAAGTCGCCCAAGATGACCCGATAGCCGGAGTGTAATCTCGTCGTTCCCGTGACGCGCTTCCCGTTGACCATAATAGACGCGCCTTCGTTAGGAGTAATGGTAACCGTACCATCCGGCGCGTTGTCGAACGAGCAGTGATCATGGAGAATCCGGGTACCATTAAGGCGGATATTCGCTTGATGTTCCGAGTTCGAGTCCACATTTCCTACCGTCGTCTTGCCAGGTTTGAGATTATAGACCAAACATTCCGCAAGAAGGGGGTCGTCAGACAAGTTGACGAGATGGGGCATCTTCTTCGGGGTGTGCAGCCCCACGAACCCCTTCTCGATGCTAATACCAAGCTCTTCGAGCGCGGCCTCACGTTCCTTGTGGATCTCCTCCGTCTTCTGGAGCTTCTCTTCCCACGTCTGGTTGAGATCGGTCAGAAGCTTCTCGCTTTGGCTCAGTTGCTCGGCGATTTCGGCCTTCGAAACCTTCTTCACGGTGCCGTCGGCCTGTGTGATGCTAACGATCTGTTTCTCCAGGGGGGTCCCTTCAGCGTATATCTCCTCCGGCGGCACAGCGGGACCCCCCGAGCCGGCAGGAGCACCACCGCCTAGCTTGCTCCGGAGTAGCGCCAGCTCCTCTTTCAACTCTCTAATCATGCGAGCATTTGCATCTTCATTGACCACGGCGTGGTTCTTGATTCGCTTGGCCGAGTCGGCGTATCGCAGCGTACTCAGCGTCTCGTCGTAGTTGATATCGGCCGGACTAATCGCTGCAATCATGGCAGTCATACTGTTCCCGCCCAGCGAGTCCTTCAGCAGCCACGTGAGAACGCTGTCTCGGTACGGAACCGTGCCGCCGGGGCCCTTCTTCTTCTTCCCCGTGGAGAGATCGGCCAGAGCTGCTATGACGCGGCCGAGAGTCGAGAGCGATCTGTTGATCTCGGCACCTTCCTTCAGGCGGGCGCCCGTGGCACCGGTGGATGTTGCTCTCTCCGAACCAGCCAGATCGACCAGGCTGATCTTGGCCTGCTTCTCCATCTCCATCTTCGTCTCGGCGTCGTACTTCTTCTGCGTAAGCATGAGCGTAAATACGGCGTGACTCCTACTGGACGTCTCGTTCATGTTTGTCGCGGCGACCGTTCTCGCCTTGTTGCCTTCGTCCATGAGGTGCTCGATCTCCTGGAAGCTGCTGACCACCAACTTGGCCAAGTCTTCCACGTACGGGCCGGTCGAGGGATGCTCTCTGACTTTGAGGTTCCCCTTTGTCGACGGGTTCAACAAGTCGCGCACCCTTTCGTTGTAAATTTCGAGATAGGATACCTCGACAGTACATCGGCTCGTCTTGTCCTTCTGTAGGTGCTCGATCCGCCTGAACATGTCTTGGCAGATGTTGGGAATGATACCAGCATCCTTCCCGTAACCCATCATGGAATAGGACTTCCCGGACCCGGTCTGCCCGTAGGCAAAAATACAGTTGTTGTAGCCTTGGAACGCATTGTCCAAGAGGGGTTTTCCGAGGTCATCATTGAGGTTGTCCTGTCCCGCGTAGTTGGGGTCATTCTTGTCGAAGGACCAGTAGGACTTGTCAAAGGCGAACGTCTTCACGGAGAGGTCCTTGGAACCCTTAGCATTGTGAGCGCTGTCGGTAGGTGGGGTTAGGATCGTCTGGTTGCCCTTCATCTCTACGATACATTTTGACCCACGGTCGATTTCTAATCCAAGTCAGCATCGATCTCAACCGGAGCGACCTGCCGGGGCCATCTCCAGCATCGGCGCTTCGCCGGTCGCAGAGGGAAGTTGTCGACCGTACCTCTCCCGTTGAAGGGCCGAACCCTCACCACCACCTTGATGTTTCCTCCCGCCATGGTCGATAGATGAGGGCCGTACCTCCCTATCCACTACAGCTATTGACCGAGTCTAGGGGGGAGTCGATGCATTCGACAGGCGAGACACGCAGCAGAGGCGTATGCGGATGTGCGACGACGGCTATGTTTATGGAAGGTCTGAGGCCTCGGCAGGCTTTCGGTGCCTTTTTCGAAGAGTACAGTCCGAAGCGGTCGCAGTCGGGTAGCTCATGCAAGGCTAGCTAGAAATTCCAATAGATGCCGGCTCGACAGCTCTCTTGAATGCTCATCTCCTCCCCTTTTTTCGCGTGGGGACGGGGCGCGCAGCTACCTATGCTCGGGGTCCGTGGAGAAATGTATGGTACCGAGTGGAGGGGAGGCCGTGGATTCGAGAGACTGAGCGCTGACAAAAGGCAGCCAACCGGCGGCGCGTCGCCGTAAGGTGGCTGTCCTGGAGCAGCCAAGGTCGATCGCAGTCGAGATTAAATGATGCGCACTCGGCCTGTAGGCGAAGCGGGTGTTGCGGGCGTTCCGGTGTGGAATGTCGCTCGATGGCTGTCTTTTTGGGGGGGGGTTCGAGCACTACAGGTTGTGGTTGGTGGGATTCGTCAACAGTATTATCGTCGGGTGAAAAGCAGTTAGATGGAGGAGTGGGACGCGATCGCGACCAGCCAGTCGACCTGCCATTCGTGGCAGAGGCAGAGACGGTTGATTGGGCCCGCCGCCGAGACATTCACGTGTCAGTTGATTACCTAACCCCATTTTACTTTAGTCACGGGTCCCGAGTGTATCGTGCCGAGTCCGTTACAGGTTACGAGTTGCGAGTTACAAGGGTCGCCTACCTGTTACCTGAGTTGCTTAGCGTAGGTAACGGCCTCCTGTCGTTTGGTTGACCCAGGCAACCACCCAGCATCAGGTATCTTCCTCTCTATTTTCTACTTCTCTATCTTCGTCCCCAACAGCACCCATCGGGCGAGTCATACCCTCCACAGGAAAGGAACTTCTCCCCTCCCCTCCTCCCCCCCAATCTCCCACAACATCATACTCTACCTATACCCTTACCCGCTGCATCCGACTGACCACGCCCGCGCGCTGCCAAAAACGAAACCTACGCCTCCATACCCTAGGATGGAAGCTGCCTCAGCCCCCGAAAGGAAAGCTGCCACGTCGGGCAGGTAGACGATAAGCAAATACATACGTACCTAACTAACCTATCTACCCCCATCCCAACACCTGCCCATGTTCACGCCATACCTACGTCGGGTAGAAATTGGGTTGCCACAGGAAGACCGGCCATGCAGACTTGTCCGCCGGTTACTGGACCAAACAGAATAGACAGCCTTCTCCTATTCTTATCCTCTACCCAGAATGCGCAGCGGCGGCCCTAGGTAGCCCATCTCCCGGCAGAGTGTACAGTCCTCCGAGATCTGTCAGCATATGACAGGCCCGCTAGGCAATCCGCGCCTATGTTTACTTCAAGCCCAGATCCTTCTCTAGCTGTCCTTTCGTCGTAGAGGGGTAAAAGTCCTTGTTTTTCTGGAATGTCTCGAGCGCCAAGTTCCTATCCGCCTTGTATAACCCCCTATACAGTGGTCTCACAAACTTCATCCGACCGATAGAACTCAGGAGTTCAACTATGCCAGGAAATTCCTGTCTATCCCCAGACCTCAGAGAGATGACGTAGTATGCCGTCTTCAGGTCTACGTTCTTCGAGGCGCTGATGCTGTAGGTAGTGCCGAGGAGGTGTGCCCGCTCGACGCTTAAGGGCGACGAGAAGTCCTGCACGGCTTGCAGAAAGACGATCGTCTGATTGGCCGAGAATGACTCAACGTCGCTGGGGTTGGGTTGGTAGTCCTATCAGAGAGTAAACAAAACAGCCCCGAAACCACTTAGCTAAAGGGTCGAATTTAAATCGAATTGCGTACCTCATTCTTCCATTTCTCAGCTAGTTCCAGGCAACTGTCGACATAAGCCGTGTTGAAGTTAGGCTTAGGCGGCAGGCCCGGCTTATAGAATTTCTCGTCCCAAGGGATCTGGGCTATCTTCTCGTTGACCTCCGCGTTTCCGTACTTCTCGAAGAAGTCTAGGAAAGTCTGCTTGAATTCGAAGGAATCGAGTGATTTGCGTGCCCACGTTCGGAAGTAATGAGGGATGAATTTGTCAAAGTGTTCTCGCCCAACAAGTCGGTCGAGATAGTAGAGGAAATGGAAACCCTTCTCGTAAGGGACGGAGCTGAAGGCGTCCTCCGGGTCCACCCCCTTGTGGCTGATGATAAGCTTGGTAAACTCATGGTCGGCCCCAAAGAGCGAAACCGAGTCCTCTATAACGCTATTAGCTCCAGGCGATGCGTGCAGTCGCTCGTCTACGTACCGAGGCTCTTCCAGCCAATAATGGCGGAAAAGTCAAACTGAGGCTCGCCGTGGATGACGGCGTTGATGCGGCGCTCGAGATACGTGGTCCATCCTTCGTTGAGCCAACTACGAGAGTGTAAGCTTATCCCGGACAAGAAGGAGAAGAGAGCATAGAACTAGAAAGGAAGAACGGAAAGAAAGAACACGCGCGATTGCACCTACAAGTGTTCCCAAGAAGCGCAACCCACGAGGTTACCGCTCCAACTATGGCTCAACTCATGTGCGATCACGTCGACGTTCTGACGGTCGCCGCTGAGAATAGTAGGCGTAGCAAACGTGTAGATCGGGTTTTCCATGCCTAGGGTAGCGGGTTTAACGGGGGCCCCTAGTCGCAGCAAGGCGAGAATGCCCGGCTCGGGCCTCACTTACCTCCGTACGCAAAGCTGGGGGGCAACACGAGCACGTTGTACTGGCCCCATTGGTAGTCGAAGACCAGCTTCTCGGCCACCTCGAGGAACTTGTCCATGTCCTCTTCGAGCTCCCACTTGGCTTCCTCGAGGGCCTCTGGGCCAGTCACGACCACAGACCGCCTCCCGATGGGCGCGGTAGCAAGGTCCCCAGACGCCAGGGCAAACAGATAGGACGGGATGGGGACCTTCTGCTCGAAGCGGAAGAGCTTGTCGCCGGCGTCGCTCCCCCCCTTAATATCAGTGTGCACGGGCACCCCGCTAGCGACTACCGGAAGCGGCGAGGCGATGTTGAAGGTGAATGTCGACTTGACGTCCGGGGTGTCCTGACACGGGAAGATGGATCGAGCCAAGATGGCTTGGCATTGCGAGTAGACGTACGGGTGCTTCTTGTTGCCCGTCTGAGCCGGGGTCATCCATTGCAGGCCGACGCAGTGCTCGGTGGTCTCCAAGGTGATATTCAGCTTGACAATGTCACCACGGGATGCGCCGTCTGGCACAGAGACGTGGAGGGGGGCACCAAACGGCTCGACGCGGTCCCTGACCGCCCACTCCGAGTCGGACGAGTCGAGCCGGACCGAGGAGATGGCGAGGCGGTTGGTGTCGAGGACGATCTCGCGGCTGCCTCTATCAGTGAGGGACTCGAGCTCGAGGAGGACGGAGCCCTCGAGACGGCGCTTCTCGAAGTTAACCTTGAAGTCGACAGTAGTATGGCGCACCGCCCAATCGCCGTAATTGGCCAGGGTATTAGGGTCGCGAGGTGTCATGGCGCTGCTTGGGGTAAGACTGAGATGTCGCAGAAGGACGTGCGCCGGCGAGGACGTTGGGCCGGGCGTGCGGATGGTGATCTGGACGGCCCTGAGCAGAAGGCTACCCCTCACGAAGCCATTCACCTTCCGCATTAAACCGGACGAGTGAGGTTCCCTCTCGAGTCTCCTTCTGCCGAATCCAGCCTAGGCAGACGGAGCTGTGCAGAATGCGGCCGGGTATGTAGGTTGGATGAAGCTAGCAGCCTGTCCATTTGCGTGTTGTGCGTGGTATTTTCTCCGAGTCGAAGCCAATCATGACTCGACGGGCACGTTCGTGGTAGCCGGCCTAGCGGTGCCCGCCCTCTCCCTCTGATAACAAGAGGGGCGGAGGGGCGGGGTTCGACGCGGGCGCCTACGCCCTGCTAGCTGTATATCTCTCACCCGATTGCATCTGGCCGACGCCAACCTGGGTTAAGCGCATAGCTAACGCACGTCCTTTGCCTAGTATTCTCGTCCTGCGCCGCGCGATGGAGACGGATATCTCGAAGTCTCCCTGCCATGCCAGGATGGGGTTGAAAGGATCCTTAATGGCCTTCTTCCACCTGAGATATACCTACGCGTACGGCATGGCCTCCCTCGAGCCTCTTAGTTACCCGCCGTATTGCGTCCTAGGCACCTCTGCGCACGCTTATGCACCCTGTCTGCCTTAGGTACATATCATAACCTACATGCATACCTACCTATCGACAGGCCTACATCAACGTGTGTGCACGTATTGCATACACGCCTAGGTGGTAGGAAGAAGCAGGACCCCAACCCACGGACGGCCGAGAGACATCGGAACCAGGCACGCTGCAGCGCCCGCGTGCCAACTTTCCAACCCAGCGAGCAGGCTGAAACGATGCCTCTTCAGGACCTGGGCTGTGTGGCTAGTTGATTTAGCACCTGCATCGGATCCATGCGAAAGCCAGCTTCGACGCTGAAACAACCCGCTGGAGAAGAACTTTTCCCTCTTCGCCCAGGTCCGGAAGTTAGGTCGAGGATACCCGTCCCTTAGGAGAGAGGGAGGGGGTTCCTTGGCGCGAAGATGGGATGAAAATGCTCCTCGAAGGTCTAGAGCACCACGGATGCGTGCGCCCCCGTCAGGTATCGTCACCGACTTTGTCATCTCGACGATGTGGTTCGTCCCCTCTGCCGCCGCGTTGTGTTTGCACGTACTCATATGGAGGTAGCAATATTACTCCAACCTAGGCTCATAACGATACCCAACATGTACGTGTGTGGGCGCACAACAGACACATCCGACACGCTCCAGCTCTCCCTTCCAGAAAGAACGGCATCTCTCGAGGGGACTCGACGCCCAACTCTGTCCATGGGGATTTAAAATACCGGCAGTGGCGGAACCGTTGGCGCGACGAGATCTGAGGGCAAGGCAGGAATAGCGCAGGATCGCAGCCATGTTCCCCAGACTGCGACATAGCGAGGGCAAGCTGTCCGAGCGGCAAACCTGCCCAAGAGCTCTCACCACGTGCGGAAACCCCTCTTCCTATCTCTCCTCGACGCTCTAATATCGTGGATTCTACGATTACGTCGATGTCAGCAAAGCCGGCGGCGCTGTCTCGGCGATTGTGCTGGTTGGCTAGCACTGTGACAGGGCGCTGGTGCCGCGTTGGGTAAGGATACGTTCTTTTAAAACTCAGGAGAGCCCCCCGTATTACTCTGAATTGGCATGGGCCATAGCACACATACAATGCGTGTAGTAATAGCATGCAAGCTTGAGCACAGTCTCTTTCGAAATGGTCGTCTTGGCACACGGCGCGGCTGGTGATGCCGCCCAAGGAGGAAAAGAGCCATGTACCCTCGGACCCCATCGTGGCAATCGTGATATCGCCTCCATAAAGCACGCATACGTACAATGCTTTGCGATATCTTTAGAAAGATATAGGTACTATACCTAGTACGTAGATATATTGCTTCCCCCCATGCTCTTCTCCGTGGTTTGTATTTGTTCACATAGCTGATATGTGCGGATTCGTGTATGGGCATCCGTGATCTAACATGATCTATGATCTATTAGCACGCCTACCTATGTAAGTCCTGTGCTCAGTAGGAAATTGCCATCATCAGCATCACGATTCCATTCCGAGATGATCAAATTTGGCCGGTGGGGCTCATGCTTAATAGCATGTACGCATTAAGTTTCTTGTCGATCACCTGGCCGGCCCCCTTTGCGCCGATTGGGCGTCAGTTTGGTTCGCGACGGCGTGTTTACGGTTCTCCCTCGAACTTGGATAGGGATGTTTCCACGCCTTGCTCCCTTCATGCGAATAACCACATACTTGCGAGACAGGTCTCTTCACGTATTACTATGTATTCGCGCCGATGCATACACAAGTTATCATGTATTATGCGTGCCATCCATCTCACACTCCTTCTCCTCATCGCCCGACTCGGCATTGGGGTAGTGCCGTTCTCTATCTGGCCGTCCGATGGGGTTGGCTAGCATCGAGTTCACCTACCGAACTAGAAGGCCGTTTCTGGTAGCAATTCGTCTGAAAGACGCTGGCTTGGTTGCCCCAGGGGAACGGCTAGGGATCTACCTGGCATAGGCATCGTCGATATATGTATGTACATCTGTGCGTACGTGTAGGTATCCATTGTATGTGTTGTTGATAACTGGGCTCAAGTGTCAAGGTAACCACGGATAGCATACCTACACACTCCTGCATCCACGCATACACACATCCGCCTGCAGAACACATCTCAGACATATACGTTCAGCACAGAACCATCCCTACACCTATGCACTTCCTAACGTAGCAGCATCAACGTAAAAGTATGTAATGCCGTTTGTTCCCCGCAGTCATGCCCATACACATCTGCTATTAACCGGCAGATGGATGGGTGGTGGGCTTTTGAGATTTCGGGGGCGGACTAGTGGAGAGCCTTAAAACAAGACCGACGCCACCTAGGCGGAATCTCGCGTTTGAGCTTCCTAACACAAATCGTTGATAAGAAGCCCGCGTTGCTATATACATACAGGGCGAATCTGGTGAGTTTCTAGCGTGACGCTGGTTCTAGCTCGATTCTTAATCGTGCGCGCAGAGTCTTGAGGGACTGGAAAGCAGACGGCGGCAGCACAGTTGGTCCTTAGACCGGAAATGAGGTCTGACTAACAGCCCTGCCAGGTTGCCATGTGCTGGATGGCACGTATTGGTGGGACTCTAGGCCGTGAGCATGGGGAATAAAGCCACCCTCCCTCCTCTGCCTGGCCGGGCTCACGAGGGTCCGTTGTTCAGAGCAACGGACTTGGTCCCCTGATGCAGTTAGCCGTCTCCCCTTGCGGCCTAGTAATTTAGGAGCGTCTGACCGCAAGCGAGTGTACGCGTACACCCACGATATACCTACACGTACATACCAGTGACGGCAACACCGTGGTTCACTCACAAGCATATGCGCTTTTAAGGTAAACTAGGCCTCTGATATGCACAGATTGGAAGTAAGCTTAAAGCTTTAATTCTTATGCCAAAGTCCATCGTATGACAATTGGACTGCACATTTTGAAAAGCCCATCCTCAAAAGACCATTTCGGGCAACATACCGTGGCTAGGCTTTCCAGATAGCTGGGAATGTCAACTACCCAACCTACCAACTACCCAGGCACATATTACCTACTTAGGTACGTAATACCTGGAGGTGGTAGCGGTGGTAGCGGTACTTGTAGCTGGGTCGGACGAGCATAGCCTTGCCTTTCGACAGAGGGGAAGGGGAAGGGGGAAACTAACATGAAATCCCCGTTCATGTCAAATGACGGCTGGCTGAGATTATGTTTCTAGTCCGGGTTGTCATTGTGTGGCCGCAAGGCTAGTAGGTATACGTACACGCGATTACGTGAAACTTATAGTTTATAAACCCTTTACATCTGCCGGGAATGTCTTACCTTGTTATGTAATTGATATTGAGGGCCGTGTCTGAGATATGTCTGAGTTCTTTTCAGCCGGTGGTCACTATAGTACAATGTAGGCATACCCTAGGCCTAGAGCATGATTTGCGTGGAGTGGAGCGGAAAGACAATTGCCGCCGTTACCCGTTGATGCTATCGAGAAATCGACGCGCTTATGAGCAGCTCAACCCCCATAGGAGGGAGTAGGAGCAGATTCACACCGCCAGGGCAAAAAAAAAAAAAAAATCTCATCTGCTTCCTTCAACGTCGTCGGTTCCACAAGTGATCGTGTACATGTGTACATACATACCCGGTCGGGGTTATGTAGGTTGGCACTGTGTGTACTGAGTGTTACGGTAGCGGAGATTTCGAAGACCCTCATTGGATTCCTTCGTATTCCATGGTAGAGGACGGTTTTACGCCGATAGGTTACGCACCTCGAGTCCCTGTAGGACCCTGAGCCGGCCGCCAGGAGGGGAAGCGTACCGGCTAGGGACTCCCTGTCGATATCGTAGAATTTTATCGGCTAGATCCCTCGAGGATGGTCCGTGAGATCGCGGCTTCGCCCCAGTTCCACGGCGAGCGGGAACGGTGATCATAAACTTCGGCCTTTGAATTCTGTGAATCGGCTTCGTGACCCAAGCGAATGGTTATGCCCCCCGACTAAGGGCACCAGCCGCCCGCGCTTGAAGTTAACCTCACACTGCGCTGGAAGGTGATAGACAATGTATCTCGGTTAATCCGTCGCTAAGAGTCAAGCAAAGCAAATTGATTAACTCACCATGTCTGTACTATTGTCCGGTATTTCCTGTGTGCGTGTGCAGTCTTGCCGTCGCACCCTCGTGGCCGGATGGTTTCCGCCGCTTGCCACGTTTTTCCCCTCCCCCCCTTTCTCTGTACTGTAGTTATGTGTTTGGACCGGGACCCGATTGTTTCGGGTTGGTCTACGACATGGGATTTGTAGCTTGAAACGTCAGCGATATTTGCTCCCGGATCTTGGGGGGAAGCAAGTTCGGACGAGGTCGTGAGCTGTTTGAGCCGGAGCACAAGACGTCTCAACCCTTTCTGGACTCCTGCGGGCTGACACTTCCTACTGTCCAACGCCCACCCAATGCAGTGCACCTATCGTAGGAGCTAGGACGACAAATAGCTCTATAATACGAAAACCTGGCTGTATTGGATAAAAAAGGCGCCGGGGAAGAACGTGATGACCAGTCACTTGCCGGGAAAGATACACTGCCTATGTATGTGTGCGCATGTACGCACACTTTGTTGTTTATCAATTATTACTGGGTATGAAGTGCGTTTGTATATAATGACGAACCAATAATGGTGTTGAAGTGATGGCCAAGAACAGCATGCCTGGTGACGACCCACGATGTCTGCGGCATGCGGTAAGCTCGCGGCACAACATGTACGCCCATACAGTACGCTCAAGTCTGTCCTGGGAGGCACACCGGCCGGCCCTTACCGAGGAGAGATCGATCCCTGTCTGATTGGCTACGATGCACTACGTAGGTAAGAGGTAGCATGAGTGTGTTGGTATGTAGGAGGTAGAGGTATGTATAACACCAATTAAGAGGAATCCAGGAGAGGACCAGCTATAGGCATACATTCCTTAAGGGTAAGCCTCTCCATATTACCTCAGTCTCAACCACGGCAACTCAAGCTTTGAAGTGACGAAGGGCTTCCATCGCATTGCCGGATCCTAACCTGTATTGAGGCCTTACGTAGTAGAGGCGGAAGAGAAGCCGTTGTGGTAAGGCGGATACATTAGGTACCATAAGAATATGTACCCAAGGTATGCCACACTTAAGATGACAATTCACACATATATAGGTAAGTAAACGCATACACATATATACATGCAGTAAGTGCTATTGACAAGGTCAGGGGTGGGAATCACCGCGCGCCGTCACAGAAACCTATTCCCTTTCGAGTGTTGGTTACGACGACGAGCGAGTCACAGCGAGGCACAGTTCACAAATCTCACCAGTCACTCCGTAACGCACTGACTCTCAGTGCATTAGATACCACGCAACGCAGTGCCTATGTGAGGTCCGTACTCAAACATGTCGTAGACGACCATCAATTGCATAGGAGAAACTGGCCGGTTTCCGTCGACCAGTCGCAACACCCGAATCCTACGCACTACCTACGTAGTAGATTCCTCCTCACTTTGTGTAGGATGCCATTCACTAACCAAACTAAACTATCACTCATGAGTATACTACGTGTAGCCCGTCCGTCCTGTTTCGTGCTGTGTTAGGTAGCTCCCTATCCCTGCGTATATTATGGGGTAGATCGGTATACACTGCGGGTGGACCCCGCAGTGTATAAGTACGGAATTCCCGTCTTGCTATAGTATACTCCATACCCGCGACTCGCTCCGTGCTACGTAAACATGTGCGTAGTAGAGGTGTGCATGTGTGGTAAGAGTGCTGCGTAAAGCTTCATACCTATACATATCAGATCAGATACGCATATGCCCGTACTCAATATGTGGCTAGGGTCTCTCTCTTCTCGAATCGCAGCCAAGAGGGCGTACGCAGCCTTTCTGCCTTCCTATCAACTGCAAGTATTCCCCAGTGATAACTCGTGCGGTAAGAGTATCCGCTTCTGACAGACATCTTTCTGCAAGTAAACTGCCCCTGCCCCCCTCCCCCCCCTAAGTCAAGTGATAAGAAAAATCTCCGTGTTGGTGTGCTGAACTAGAGCCCCAATGCCTGGTACCCTCCAACACGATATGTACCTGTATATGGATGCAACCCTATAGCCAACGGCTAGCGGAGGTCACAAGTAAAACATTGCGAGCTCCTCTACACCCGTTAGCCTCTATGAGTATAGTAGGTGGCAACGACCGCTCAACCCTCATGCCCCTCCCCGTCATAGTAAGCAGGCAGAAGACTAGGAGGACGAGGGGATTGCGTACTTGGAGAGAGCGCTTCGGAAGAGGCCAAAAGGCGTCGTCTCACCGCAGCCTCGGAGGACCCGCGCCTTCGGAGGCTGACTGCCCCGATGTCGGTATCGACATCCACGGACGTTTCATCGTCCAGACATACGACGATCTTCACCTTCGCCATACCCTCCCCACACATCTACTGAGTACATGTCGCCGGCAGCCATGGCATGAGGCGAGCTACATACCTACATTACGCACTCGAGGGCGGCGGGGGGGGTACGCTGCACGTAGGCACACGGGTATAACCCCATGACGCCGCACACCTCAAAACCCGTAACAGAGTTGGGAAGATGGCTATCAAGACAAGATTAGAACGTATGTATGTCGCATACCTGCATTCCATGCTTGCCTACATACCTAGCTCTCCATCTCTCCGCTATTTGCATCGCGTAGGTGTGGTTCGTCGGGTAGGCAACCTACCTACCTACCTACCTATGCATGTGCATACACCCACGCACTATTAGCCCTTACACCCTTACGAGCGTAAATACGCATGTAGGTGAGATATCTCCACAGCAACTACCTACTTACAGGTCCGAGGCCTTTTCTCGACCGGAAAAAGACTAGGTCGCGAGAGGGGCGCATGTTGTACGACTACGATCCGTCTCTCGTGGTTATCGATCTTTCTTAGTGCTTGAATCCCCAGCGTTGACGTTGGTCTTGGCTCGCATTCGACCTACGAGAGGAGGTCCGCTCACGAAAGATCGTCATAGCGACAAGAATAGTTGCACATGTGCCCAACACGGCCGACGTGCGGTGACTGTGCGGTGACTGTGCGGTGATGTGACCCGTCGAGCTCATCCTAAGACTCGAGAATATCCCCCCCAAACTTCTGCATCTCGATGTCACCACCTCCGCAGATCCATAACTAGGCATAGCCATGGCGTCGCCTCCCACCGGTCCGCCGCCGGTATTGCGATATTCGTAGCGAGTGTTACGGATGTGTACTCCAAGGCGGTGAGATGCAGCACACACGGAATTCCTCCGCATGTATACATGTATTTGCTACACAGCATATCCGGAAGTCTGTAGGCAGGTCTTCCCCCCTGGCACGGCCTCATACCGAACCTCCGTCCTTCGCTTCCCTCGAGTCCCAGCGGCTGAGACGACAGGCTACCCACAATGCGGGTGAAAATAGAGATTTGTGTTGAGTCAATTCCGCCGTCAGAATGGCTACTCATACTGCCACGCCCGCTCGCTCCGTCTGCGGCTTATACAGAAACTCGTCGATGCTCGACACTCTCTAGCTGATGAGGCCTCTGGTGGACGGGAGGGATAGACAGACGAAGAGAGCTCCCGCCCCCAAAACCGAAAAGTGCATGGAGGCAGGCAGACAGACACAGACAAACAGACCGGGCCGGCGAGTGGATATCCTCCTCCCCCTAAACTGGGTACAGGCCTCGTCCAGGGCCGCGATCTCGAGGCACTCGGCACCACCAGCGGCAGCGCCGTCACAGAAAGCTGCCTTTGTTTCGATTAAGCAACAGCAAGAAGCTTCAACTATAGACAAGCATCTCTATATTATACCTACCGCAACTCCCCCCCTATGTAGGCGCCGACGTACCTCGCCCGCTCTGCCCGCAGCGAGGTCCAGGACGGGCCAGCGTCGCCATGGGCTACCCCTGCATGACCAGGGTCAAAGCTCGACGACCGCGCAGCTATCGCGGCCCTGTTATGGCTTAAGCGGGTTTCAGCATCCTGGAGGGGATCCTAGTAAGGTTCCGGTCGAGGCAACAGTCTGGGCCTCCCCCCCCCTCCCCCTTCGATGTGCCTAAACTCTTTTCTGCACCTGGGCCGGCCCCATGTGCGGATACCCTCATCAACCTCTGTTGAAACGCTGCCGGGATAGGGGACAAGGGTGCGGCGCGCGGTACGGCAAACGTGCACCAGGTTGCTTTCGGGGTCTGCGTCGTCCCTATCCAGCGATGGGAGGGCAGCAGCAGGGCAGCAGGAGGACGAGGAGGACGGCGAGGGGGGAGAGGGAGAGGGAGGTTGCCGTTTTTATCCCAATGCCAACTTCCTTCCCTCTCCATGCGCATGTACCTGTGCAATGCCTGCCTGACTCGCCTGCTTTAGGCTAGGAGGTAGGTACCTTACTTACAGGTAGGTACATATGTATATATACATACACAGGCAGGTACCCCTTTGCCGGCGAGTACACAGCATAGCCTGCCTCCAAATGTACCTGCCGCAGCGGGCACCCTGCGTAGATAGGGAGGCTGCCAGCGGGAGGTACTTTTATTGCGGTGAGACATCTGATGTATTTCATCCGGGTAGGTACCTACCCTACCCTACACACCTACGTACATGTACCTGCCCACCTGCTGCACGCCTACCTTAGGTAGGTACATGAGGTAGGCAGGCAGGTACCTGCATGCGTGCAGTGAACCGTCTTGTCTCGCGCTGCAGTCGCATCCCCAGTTCCCCCTGGACTCGTTCCTGAATCTGTTGAACCAGCATCTCGAAGCTATACTCATAGTCCCCCTCCCTCCTCTTCCTCCACCCCCCCCCCCCCCTTGGCTTGTTCCCCTAGGTTATTCGCCTCGCGTATAGCCACAGAAACTAAACAGCTTGGTCTGGACTATAGCCTCTTCGTATTAAGGACATGCATCTCCCGTTTCCCTCATCTCCTCTGCCCTCCTCTCTCCCAACTGTGCGTATCCCATATGTCTATCATTATGATCTCTTGGGTTGCCTTCTAAAGTGTGTGCATATTTTTGGGTGCCGCAGACGACAGCGGCCGGTCTCCTCCCCTCCACACGCCGCTGATACATACATATACCTCTCGCCCACCATCCTGTCGGATTTTCCTATCATCCATATGACCGGCCTTTATTGCCACCCTTCCTTGCTTGGAATTGCTTATTACCGGACGTTGTGATTTACATATCTGGGGCCACCCCCCGTCGCAGGTCCAATGGCCCATATAGCTGCCTGCCTAGTCGACAGTGATACCGAGAGCGTTGCCAGCCTGAGAAGCTATATAGCGAATGTGTTCTCCGCTGATGCTTCAACCGATTCGGTACGACTTCTCTCTTCCGTTTCCTTTGCTTGCTCGTTCTCTTCGTTCCCTCCCCCTTCCTGGCTGGCACATTTTCCGAACCCATCCGCTAACACTTCATGCCCACCACCACAGCTGTTATCTACCAGCTCGTCCGAGGAGAAGAAGCCATTCGTCTGGAGGATGCAGAACCCGGAGAGCACCCGGAAGTATCAGTTGTTTCCCAAGGAGAAACATCTTCCGTCCGTAGCTAGCGGCAAGCAGCTGGATCCGGAGCAGGCCTTCGCGATGGCTATGGGTCAGCCCGTGGATCGGGCCGACAAGTCGTCTGTGACGAATGGTCTGCGGATGCGCATCAAGGAGCACAACCTGAACCGGAGGAGGAAAGTCAGCGTCACTGAGCTGGGTCCCATGACGACGGTGCAAGAGGTTTCCATGGATTCTCGTGAGCTAATATGTCCGGCCTAGTCGCCGCTGTACCCGATCGCTAACTAGTCGTAGCAACCATCCCAGGCCGGCCTGCGCTGCATGAACGGTCTATCAGCACTCCTGTCAACTCCTGGCGCCAGCGTCGGCCTACTGAGCCTGTGATTCGCGTCAAAGAGACTCTAGACGAGAGCCCAGAGATCTCTACTTCTAACGAATCGCAGAAGCCCGGTACTCCATCGGCTTTGAGGCAACCGCTCTCCCCCAAAGATCTGGCACCTTTGACTATCCCGCCGCCGAGCGGCGCAATCCCACGACTAGCTCGTCAGCTGTCCTTGAGCCGTCTTCGCTCCGGCATCTCGCTATCGGATTCCGGGCCCAAGCAAAATCGAGCTGACGATTCACCCAAGCTGCGAAATCCGTTTGCGCCTGCCCTGGCCTCGGCCACGACCGCGACGCCTATGTCTGCGACGACGAGTATGACCGCCTCTACGCTTCCGACGCCCGTATCGGCGCCTCCCGAGTCCCGAGAATCCCCACGGCCTTGGGAGAAGATGAGCCTCAGTACGCCGGTGGCCGCCCCGCAAGAAAGCCCCGACGTCACGGCAACCTCGAAGGTAGAGCCCGATGCGCAGTCGTGGGTCCCGCACAACATGTCGCACAGGAGAGGAAAATCCGAGTCGGCGAGCATTATGGATCGCGGGCGGCCACGGAAACGAAGCGACGGTACGCCCATCGGCGGCGGCCGCAAACGAAGCATGTCGAAGAGGAGCACCAGCGCGGAACGTCGAGCGTTTGAGGAGCTGCCCCAGGGGTGGAAGCCGAGCGAGGCGGTCAAGATGATGGATCAAGCCGAGATTGACCAATTGCAAAAGCAAGCTCTGGGCCAAGCCCTGAGATTCGAGGTGCTCAGGAAGGATGACGTCGAGAACCTCTCAAAGGTAGAGACACCCGTCCATTCCCTCCAGACCCCAAGCCCCCTCCCCCAAATCCTCCGGCATCTAACCGTTTCGTAGGAGCTTCGCCACCTTGACGAACGAACTGAGTATCTACGCCGCACGTATACATCTCTCCGTGCCGGGCGCCGCAATCTCCACACTCGCATCTGCCAGTATTTACGATCGCCTCGCGTTGCTAAATTTAGCTACGAGTCGATGTTGAAACAAGAGGAGACGCTAGCCGAGCTCGACGCCTCCATCGACGACTGGGTGAGCAAGCTCGAGCAGGCCGAGAACCGACGGACGCGTGTCAGACAGAAACTTCTCGAGCATGTCGCCGCCGCGTCGACGCTGGCATTGGTGAAGGAGACCGCCACGGCTGGCGCTAGTGACATTCCTCAGCAAGCCATGGGGGTACGGCTCCCCAATGGGGCGTCTGATATCTCGACGCCACCGCGGAGCCCGAGCAAGAGCGCTACGCCTGCCCACTTTCACTCTCCGTCTCCTTCGCCCCAGCGCGTCGTTGCCAGGGTACCCTCGATGATACCGGAGCTGCCGTACGAAGAGGCCGAGGATGGTTTCCCCAATCACGGTCGCAAGAGCTCGTCCGCCGAGTCGGCGCTTCAGCGAGGGGAGAGCATCCGCATCTACGCCGACAGCGACGTGTATGCCCTCCTGGCTGACGTGGAGAGCGAGTTTACCAAGCTGAACGGTGGCGTCGCGAGCTCCGACTCTGCTGCGGCCCAACCCGAGACAGACGAGCAGCTAAAGGTTTTACACCGTACCCGCAGCCACGACATTCTTAGCAACAGTTACCCGAGAGCACTCAGCAAGACGCCACCCACCTCACCTCCAGTATCCACCCTGCCCGCTCTGCCCGCTCTGCCCGTGAAGAACTCGCCGAGAGAGGGCGAGATCTTCCTGACCGCCGCCGTCTTCCAGCCGGATCGAACACCTGTTTCGGAATGAACCCACGGGGTTCGCTGAGCACGGCACGCAATTCACAGTACCATACCCCCCCCCTCCCCCCCTCACTTCTCTTCCCTTTTCTACCCGAATCGATTTCGTGTTCTATCTTCGCTACTTGTCTTACCACATTCCTTTGACGACTTTTTTTTTTAACGATCGACGATTTACGGCCGGCCACAAAAATCAGCCATTTAGCATAATACCATTCTCGTCATTCCTTTAGAATCCGTTGCATAAATACACCTTGGGGTTGGGGGCCTCCGGCGTTCCTTGATTCAGAAACCATTCATTCAATTTTTTTTCGTCGTCGTCGTCTTATCTGGTGCTAGGCGCCACGTTCCCTTCATCATTTCCTTTTGGAATTTTCTACCTGTTATCGGACCTTCTATCTAGAGGTGTCATCTCGATTTTTCCTTTCACATGTCAAGGCGTCAAGGTCGTTGTCGGGTTTCCGCTACACACACGTCTACGACTGAACGGTTACCTCTATACCCAGTGCGCTTGGTGCCGTTAGAACAAGTCATCTCGGCTGAAACCCAAAACCAGAAGAAGGATCGGTGCTATCATGGGGCAACCTGTTGCAGTGTATTTTAGGTCTCAAGGCTATTGCGGGAGTCATCTTTGCGATCGGCATTAAGTGGAGTGTGCATTTAGGGGATTTTTTTTTTTTTTTCCGTCAAGGCGAAGGCGAATTCGGGGACGCACAAATTAAATCATTCACTCTGGACTATCTACGCCTCTTCCAAGATTCAAGTTAGTCAGATGCTCAAACGGACGCGACCGTGAGATGCCTTGATGCATGCGTGTCCATATTGTGTCATGTTATAGGTTGTGCTTCGTTGCGTATTACCGGCATTATTGCCTCGACGTCGTTATTCTCTTTGTTAAGCAAAGCAAGACGGGCATTTGTTTCAACGCACGAGTTTAGATACCCAAATATACGACTTGAGACTATCGGTTGTTTCATTCCTTCGACCTCTTCGAGGGCGCACCTCAGCTCCCACGGCGTGTCCTCCGTCCGAATCGGGAGGGCAATCCTTTGTTTCTGGCCCCTGCTCTGGTGGGCTCGGCCGGAGGGAAGATAGCTACCTCAACCTCCAAGGTAGGTGGGTATGTGCTGCTGCTGCTGCTTAGGGCGTACATCCTTTCCGCAGCGGATCTGTCAAGGGGCCCACCGCCATCTGCGTTGAGAACCTAAAATCCTCGGCGACATTCTCAACGGCGGGCGGGCGACGCTGGGAGTTGAGTTGGGAGCACGGTAGGGACTTGAGTCGTGCACACATGATGTTTACACACACAGGTAGTCAGAATATACCCTAGTAGGTAAGTAGGGAGGGGGAGAGAGACCTGTCTGCAGCATGCACGTCTACAATCCACCCAGCCACGCAGGCATTTTCGTCGCACACCTGGACGGGACGCGCGCGCCGCCGCGCATCGCATATACGTTACATACGCACACGCCTACTATACACGCACGCGCGGGCGCAGAGAAAGAAGAGCTGGCACACCCACCTACTCCCTCTTGCATAGGTGCCGACAGGTGTGTGGTGGAGGAGTGGACCGAGAGACGCCAGCCCTTCCCCCTCCCCCCCCTTCTCGATGCACACCCACCCACCCATCCACACCTGAACTCGCACGCGCACCCCCCGTTGTCCGCGCAGCTCGCCCACCCACACCATCCCCCCCCCCCCCTCCCCCTCCCCCCGCCGACGCTGGATGACCTGCAGAACGAGAAAGACCTTCGCCGCGCCGCGACGATCCGACCGCCCCGTCTCGCCGCCGCGCCCCTTGGGCGCAGGCCGCACGTCTCCCCTCCGTGCCTGCCGTCGGTCTGGCCCTCTCTCCCAGTCGTCTTCCTTCGCCGGGCCCTCACCTTGCCTGTGCGTGCGTGCGCGGCCGATGCCATGCCTCCTCCTCCCCCTCCTCTGCGAGAGAGAGAGAGGAGGAGGGAAGAGGGGAGGGAGGGGTATAGAGGAGAAGGGAGGAAGAAGAGGAAGAGGAAGAAAAAAGAGTCCTAATTCGGCTCGCCCGCCCGCCCGCTCCCCCCCTTCGCGGCAAAACACCGCTCTCGGCCGTGGGGTTGTCGGACGTTGGGTTTCGCGTTTACTAATACCTATGCTATGCGCGGCCCGCCCCCCGGGAGCAGGAATTGGCACCTATGGGAGCAAAGTTGGGGGGGGGGGGGCATTTGTCCCGGGAGCGTGCCTCAGCTTCTAACTGACGTGCTCTCCTTACTATACCCTACCTACCTATACTTCACCTCCGCTACTTACCTGCGCGGAATCCCCGACCTTGCCCTGCTCGAATTCGCATCCCGCGCTCGATGCGTACGCGCAACCCGCGCAACCCGCCAAGAGAAGCGCGTGCACGCATAGCGACGCAGAGCAGAGCAGAGCACGCCGGCATAGTAAGCAAGCCTGCGCTTCTCTTTCGGAAGGTGACTTCCCCCCCCCCCCCCCCCCCCCTTTCTCTCTCCCCTTTCTTCCCCTCTCCGACGCTAGCTCGTCTCCCTAGGCCTTCGTCGCTCCCACCTTCTTCTCCTTCTCCTTCTTCTTCTTCTTCCTCCTCCCCCCTTTTCTATTTCTAGGTAGTCCAGCCATCCCCGGGACTGGGACCATGCAACCCAGGCGGAGAAGGAGAAGGAGAAAAAGAAGAAGTAGAAGTAGAGATAGAAATAGAAACCCGCGTACCACGTAGCACCTGCTCAGCCTGCCCACCGCAAGCGTAACCCAACCACGTTTTCCCGCGCGTGCGCGACACGCCTCGCCGCTGCAGCCTACTCGCTCTCCCTCGACCTGCGGGGAGAAGAGGAGGGAGCAAGGGGGGAAAGGGGGGAAAGGGGGGAAGGGGGCCGAGGACTTCGGGTCCGCGAGCAACGGCTCGGGTCTGTATCGGCCGTGCTTAGAGGTAGGTAGGTAGGTACCTGTTAACTCTGATCTAACGTAGATCCGTCCCCTCCCCTCGCCACTCGAGTTCCCGTGTCGCGATAGGTGGCCCAGCTATGCGGAGCTATGCGGAGTGTTGTATATCGCGCATCTACGCGTAGGTAGGTATGTAGATGTGCGCGCAAGGTAGGCAGGCATGCAACTGCGAGCGCCGGACCGGGTAAAGCTGGTTAGACTGCTGCTGCTGCTGGCCGAAGCTCCCATCTAGCCCGTTCCAGATCCCCACCGCTCCCCGCGGCGTCGACGATGTCGCGCATACGAGCTGGAGGAGGAGGAGGAGGAGGAGCAGGACGAGGGTGGCTGCCAAGATAGATCCTGTCTCTACTCATAATTCTGCATCTCTCTCCGTCTCTGTCCGTGTTAATTGTCCCGCCTTACTTCTGCCCCTCCCCCCTCCTCCCCTCCCCCACTCCATCCTCCCTCACTTACTAGACGAACCGATGTTTCGCTGTCGTAGACAACGTGGGGGTAAGCACGTTATTGTCTGTGCGACCCAGAGTCTCATGTCTCCGGTATCAGGACTGCATTGTCTGCAGAAGAACCCCCTCTCTTCCCGTTCGCCGCCGAATCCTGCCCGCTCCTGGCGAGCGTTGGGAGCTCTCGCGGACGGATGGGCGGATCGACCTACGGCCGCATAACCCTCCGACGAGGCCGGCGCCGCCATTCGCACAGGCGTGTCTCGTCTCGTCCCTCGCTCGACGATCGCTGCGTAAGGATGAGGGGTGGGTAGTAAGTAAGGAACTTAGGGGGGTAAGAGAGGGAGGACTCTCTTTTCCATTGCTGCTGCTGCTGCTACGCTACAACGTGGGAAGGACCCGAGATTCTCCTTTCTCGACGAGCAGCAGTTGCGAGGACGGCCTGCGCTCGCTGGTCTGCCCGCCTCCGTGCGCGCAAGCCGCAGGTTGCAGGAAACGCCGAGGTGCCAAGTATGCTGTAGGGAGGTGACTCTCAGATAGGTATGAGTAGGTATGTAGCATGGTGTTATATTTAGGTAGTTATCCTCGCCCGCATATGTCGTTACCGCGGGTCTGAGCACATGAAGACCCAGCACAGACACAGACGGGAAACATGCTGGGGATCAGGTTAGCACATATGCACATACCTACTTACATACTTACATATGCATATATACACATAACAAGTACGCATGCGCCGAGGCAGGAGGTATGCATACTCATATACGGGTATATATAATAAGCTATGGACGTGGGTGCGTCTGATCGACCCCTTATGCGGAAGGTCGGTAGATGGGGAAGCTCTGGGTGCTTCGTTCTCCTCCTTTTTTATTAGGGGCCGCTCCGAGTCCTGCCGTTATTATTCGTCGGATCTGCGTGGGGATTGTTTCGTTTCGTTTCGCAGGGACGCGGGATTGTGGCTGTCATCCAGGATGTGCTCAGATATTGTAAGATGTACACAGGCATGGGTCTGAGCCGGTAGGTGCATAGATGTATCCTGTCCACGTAGGGGTGTTGGCGTGTGTGTATGGAGGGTAGGTATGTGTGTGTATGGAGACAGGTAGACAGACGATTGCGGCGCCCACCACGGTATGTAAACACAGCGGCACTTCGATTTACCAATGCGGCTACGTTGGGCGAACGCACGGCTCTTGAGGCTCAGGGGCCTGAGATTTGCAGGCCGCAGCTCGTATGCGTAGAGGTGTGCAGAGAGGTGCAGGAGAGGTGCCGGTGTCCCCAAGACCATGACCTGATTCTGCGTCACATCCAAATGCCCAAATGCACGTCGACGAGGGGCTTGGGACGGCTTACCCTGCCGTCAAGCAGGATGCATTTGCATTCATCCCCCGGCTGCTAGATATTGAGCCGCTCGCCGTGTGCTGGTAGGGGCTGTATGAGGGGAGCTTAAGTGAGCACATACTCATAGATGGTTAGGGGGTTACCTTGGGTAGGCAGTTGACGTCCATTGATAAGCACACAACGAGCACACGCGCACGCGTCCCTGGACACGGAACGTCGCATGCACGATGACTTCCCACGCATCCGTGGTTGGTTGGGCAACACCGGGGGATTCGCTGGAACGGTTTTGCGGCTTCGAGCTTCGAGAAAAAAGAAAAAAAAGGAGCTCTCATCCGGGATCCCTCACAGGTTGCTTACTTGGATAGGAACTCGCTGCAACAGAATTACAAATGTGCCGGAATTACAAATACCCAGCACGGCATAAGTCGTTCGTATTGCAACTATCAGGCAGATTCTGCTAAGCAGCCTGCCAGTGATCCCCTGCATCGCGTGTCGATCATTTAATATAGGTATGTATAGCGGGCGGCATGTTCTTGGGGAGGGGGGGACGGGGGGACGGTCAAGCAGGTCTCATCGGATTTGCATTGCAGAAAACCGGCGTAGTAACTGTCACTAGACGTATTGCTCGTCCCAAATCGGCCCCAGACCCCTCGACCGCTATCTAGATGTGTGCTCTAACTGAGACGCCTTGGTATTATATGCTGTCCAATCAGGCGAGGGCGTTTCGATGGTTTACTCATAGGGACCCGGATACAGAACACCGGTGTCCATCATGGCCGCCATTCTGCCCCCGGTCTGCGCCGCGACCGCCTCGGCCGTCCGGCCTCGGTTATCCCTCAGTGCGCGAATGTCATCTGAGGAGGGTATGCTCGGCCGCTGGATCCCCATTGTCTCTACTGCTTGTCTCACCGGGTCGGGGAACACCCCCGCGGGAAGGGTGGATGCTATCCATAGCAGCAACCAGACGACATCCGTCTGTCTCCTTTCCACTGCGAGGTGCAATCCGCTCTTCGAGCCCCCTAGCGGATCTTGATAGCGGACCAGTTGCAAAGTGCTTAGCCTCGGCTCGTCCCCGTCAGCTCGCTCGGCGTCGCGCAGCAGTTCTACAATCCCGCCCACGTCGCCCTCGCTGCACATAACGTGATACGCGCGCGCAGGACGGGCCTCGGGATTGGCATCGAGATAGGCCTCTTCGGTGATTTCGGGGAGGATGTCGTAGTGTTCCTGGATACCACCTTCGTTCGTGTACGTAGTTAGGATAGCCACGCCGGCTGACGACGCGAGAAGCGGGTTGGCAGCCGATGGGCCTGATGTGCTGGTGGCGAGCTCGGCACCGCATGAAGGGCACCTAAGCGAGATGACCAACTCCGATGCTTGATCAAAAAGGCATTGCCAGTGGAAATGGCAGCCGCAGGGGGCTTCGAGATCGTCAGGGACAACCTGGGGTTCCTCGTCCTCATCTCCATCATTCACTTGAAGCACGAGAGGCTCTCTGCAGGCACTACAGGTACCCATAGCCGATATATTGCCTAAGATGCCCAGCGGGAGCGTTCCCCCCCAGCCTTTGAGGGGAAAGGAAAGGACGTAGGGATGGGATAAATTGTAGGTAGACAGGTAACTACCTATGACTGTGGTCCCAAGCCCAATATCTGCGCCCACCATGCGTGAGAGATGGTCCAGACAAGAGGAAGTGGGCAGAAGGACGAGGGTATCATCGATCTCCGCCATCCGAGTGAGTCCATGCACCAAGGTTGCGGGGGCAACGTGTTGCTGGACGCAAAGAAGACGGCAGTGCTGAGAGCCAGAGGGTGCCAACTGGAACTTACCGATGCCGTGGACGAGCAGAACGATGGGCCGAGATGCCTAGATATCTTCCCTTGCCACCGGCAATATGCAATGAGGAATCGCGACAATTCACTCGTAGTGCAGTGGCACAGCCTGGGTAATTTATGACGGCTTTTCTTGCTGTAGCAGTGGCAGCGGCAACGGCAATAGCAGCAATAGGAGTGGCTGTTGAAGATGACGGGCGCACCGATTAATTTGCTGACTTTGAGGGTGTTGAAGAGTTGACGATGTTTTTTTTCCACCCAAATTTTCTGATAGTTCGGTATTTGATTTGTGGCTGCGTTGGGCAATAAGCCTGAAAAAAAAAAGGAAAAAGAAGAGGATGGTCCCTGGGTCATGGTCACGTTAGGTACTTAGGTACGTACCTTAGTGCCTCAGGTACCTTCCGGGCAACCAGGTAGGTACCTCCTACCTATACATAACCTCTACCGAGTCACATCCCATGATTCGAGCAGGTGACGGTTGCAAGCTGGATTGTCCGAACTGCGTGGATTTGCGTAGTTCCGGTCCGAGAGCTGGACGGCCCTCGGGGGCCGGTCATAGGACACGGGTCACAGGACACAGGACACAGGTCACAGGATGGGTTGGCGTGCGGCTGGGTTCTAGGGTTAGGGAGGCAGGTAGGGCTGGTCTATCGGGGGCAGGTCCGAGTGGCATCTGTTACCTACTTAGGGCTGAAGGGAAAAAAAAAGGCTGGGTTAGGTACCCGGCCCCAAGTACCTACCTACCTATAACACCTGAGTGACGCCCAGACTGAAATCCCTTCCGCTCCCGGTCAAGGTGAGGTCTCCGTTGCAAATCAACACCTTTCCGTTCCCTATTTGATTATTAGTATGATTGTCATGATTATCTCATATTTCTGCATCAGAGGCCGGGGCGAGGGGGCCGTCATCTATCGACAAAGATCTCCGAAGCTAGGAGCGAACGAACGAGGCCATTGGCAGTCCAATATCCAATAGTCCCGCCTCGGCTCAGCTGAACAAGGGGGGGCGGAGAGCACGCAAGGCCGGTTGCCAGCCCGCTATTAGCCCGCAACAGGATAGAGATTGGCGTATTCCGTGCAAGAGACGAGAGCCGGCTCTCTCGCCATTACTCGTTCCTCCTCGGAGAGACTTGAACCGTGTGGCTCTCCCTCGGTCAGCCATCATCCTACTTCGGGAAGAACCCGATCTCATAAGTAGGGCTGGCGAGCCCACGAGGTGACGCCGACTGCGGCTAACGAAAGAGCCCTCTCTCTGTCTCTCTCCGGTCTTGCCACCTGGGCGATAATCTGCAGCTCCCTAGCGCCTAATCCGCGCGCTACGTCGGCCTCCTGTTCTCCACCATCGCTTAGGGCCGTCGTCGTGGAGGCTGCTACCACCGGCAGTTCCACCACCACGGACCGGGAGGGGGCCAGGAGACGCACGCTACGTAACCTGGATTGCCCTCTGCGCCTAACCCTTGCATTACCATGTGCTATCGATGGGAACCGGGTTGGTTAGGGAATCGGCTAGGCTAGCAGGCTCCCGACGGCGGGTTCGCCGTCGCTGTGGCGTCGACGGCCCCCTGGAGCCAAGGCTGGCGGGTTGCCTGTCGCTATCAAATGACCAGAGAGAACCAGGCAGAAGCCGTCCTCACCCGTGACGCCCTATGGCCATATTGACAATGCTCCCGAGGCGCTAGTGGGAGGGCTTTTCCCGGTAGCCCCTAAACTATGTCGACACTAATATGGGTCCCGGGGTCTCCGAGTTCTTGTGGGCCGAGGCGGGATCAAGTCCGCTGGGCCGTCAACTATAGTGATATCGGTAGACACAGTAATTCGGGCCGTCTTTTATAGCGGGAAAAAAGAGCCCGAAGCGACTGTTATTCCTATCCTATCCTGTCCTATCCTACGAGCGGTAATCTGACCGAGGCCTAATCTCTATATGCTGCGCGTGGTATCTTCTGAGTTATGTACATCGGGCAAAACTGCACCTGGCAGTCCATCTCTAGCCTTTCTTTTTCGCTGGTTTTCGATTCGTTTTCTTGTGTGCCTGTCCCCTACAACCCTCCCGTCAAGGGAGCGTCCGGGGAGGGGGTGAATCCTAATCTATAGGTTCGTATAGTGGTGGTAAAGAAAATGTGCTTGCTTAGCATGTCTTGGTGATATCGTAGTTTCCCGCTGTTGCTTGCTTGTATCTGCTGAATGATCGTAGTGTGAGTAGTCCCCCCCCTTATCCATCATCGACCGAATGTTTTTTCCTCTGTCGTTGCGCTGTACCCATACCAAGGGGAGGAACGGGTCGTTAGAACCCTAGACGGTAATTCACGCTATTGGCATCGCCGCCTACTCCGTTTCCACGTGTGGGCTAGGTTGTCTGCGGGCGCGCTCGCACCCAGCGCTGCACCGTTCGTAGGCTCGGGTCTTCGGATGTCCAGCGTGCCATATTGGTGTCGGAAGTTTGGAGCTCGAGGTAGACCGCATCATCGGTGATCTGACCGAGTTCCTGAATCATGGTGTTAGTGAGAACGAGTGGCGCGCGTCGCGGGTGCTGTATCTCGACGAAGAGGGTTGAGAGGGGAGGAGGGGAGAGGGGGGGGGTTCTCGTATGTGTGTATGGGGAGAGGAGGGGAGGTAGGGGTAAGACGAAAGGCGTTATCGAAGTAAGAGGGTTCGTCGTACGCTTCGTAGTTGTTCGTCAACAGTTCTCAGTTGCCGTCGATTCGCGGCGTTTGGCCGCTGGCCTTGTAGTACCTGCTCTCGATATTCGACCCATCTCTGTGCCGCTGCCTGGCGGAGATAGATCTTCTGGGCTTCGTGCCTCCGGGAGTAGGCATCTAAGAGGATTCTGGGGAGGGGTTTTTCTGTCAGCAGCCCGTCGCCTTGGATCGGGGAATTTCGCGCTAGGATCCTGAGTGCGGGTTACACGCACTGCTTGAGCTCTGCCTTTTCCTGCTCCGCTTCGCCGCCGCTGGCTTGGGGCACCGTCACGTCTGCCGCGCAGTTGAGGATGTGTTGGCCGTCTATCGCGCACTGGCGCATTGCAGCCCAGCCTTCGGTGTAGTAGTCGTCGGCGTTAGGGGGGTCTACGGGCGCCGCGGCGATGTAATATTGGAGGTTTCGAAAGTCCGCCAGGATCTCGGCCACACGTGCGGTTCGGTACTCGTTGACTGAAATTTGATGGTTAGGAATAACTACGCAGCAGATGCGTTCTTCGCCACACCAAGGCCCGGCTTGGCTTGGTCAGAACTACGGCGTAGGTTCAGCGGCTATTACTTACGCCCATCCATTTTCCTATCAGGTTTAAGAAGTGACTTGCTAGAGGCTAGCTTCGCAACTAGGACTTCGGCCTAGGGGCTCGATACCGGATCAAGAAGACGGGAGACTAGAGAAAGACGTCGTTCGGAGGACTTAAGTAGAGATGGTACAGCGAGGATTAAGTAGAGATTCGGCTCCAGCGCAAAATTTGCTACGAGTGCCAAAGTTGTAAGATTACTGAGTGACCCCTTTCGTTGTCGTTGGTGAAGAAGCTCCATGATGGGCATCTTGAGGAGCGAATTCACTTGGCTTTTGTAGAAACCATCGACTTCTTACGGACCGGGTAGGGAAGAAGAGATGAAGTGAGGAGAGAGAGGGGGGGAAGGAGAGAGAAGTCTCGAAGCCCTCACGACACGCAGCTACGAAGAGAGGAGGTTCACTGAGAAAGCATTCGCGCCGAAGTTCCCTCCCGATGGAGTGCAGACCGCAACAGTCACAGTCATGAGGGTCAGCTCTCGCCCTCCGGTTATGTCGCGGCTGGCCGAATCGGAATAATTATCGATCCAACTAAGCATGGCGATTGACAGCTCAAACCTGGGACATCCTGACAGAGCTGGAGTCGTATCTTAGATCTGCCCCGTAGCCTTGGGTCCTCGGGCCCAGCCCTAGTGCGCCTGGGATGTTACGTGCAGAGGCGGCAACCGGCTCGCGGGCAGCCCACGCCACGACCGAGGTAGCTATGCAGGGACAGTAAACGTCCATCGTCATGTAGGGCGTGAGATCGACCCAACAATGGCGAGCCAACCCTCGAAGCAGGGGAGGGGGCTCGAGACTTAGCGTCAGGGGAGCACATCGGGACGGTTAAACGAACAAGAGCCTCCTCGTAGGGCCCCCGGGGTTGGCTGGCACGGGAATGCCAGGGGAGACTTCAGCAACGCCACGCACCGCACAAGACCTCGAAAGGAGTATAGTTCTCAGGTGAACTAGAAACAATTGCGTGCGACTTATTCAGAACTAGGCGGGAGGGAGTGGCCCAATCACCTGCCGGCATTGGGCCTCAGCCACGCTGGCGGCGCAGCTGAACGGATATTTTCCCATATTCCGTCTTCTCTTGCTCAAAGAGGCCGTCCGAAAGAGACAGACGATTATGTCTTTTCCCAGCTGCACAAGCGCGCAATCTGCCGGGTCCCGCACGCGCGCCTTCGCCTTCGCCTTCGCCTCCGCGAGATTTCGCAAGATGAAACATAGTGTGAGGGAAAAAAAAAAAACGAAAAAGAGATGAGATGGTCGAATAAAACAAACCAGAATAAGGAAATAAGCAACCGTCCGACGACGTGTCACTCTAGATCCCACCTATCGTGCCATCCCGCGCCGCCCCCCCCTCTGGCCCCCCCCCCCTGTTGGCTCCCCCAAAATTCCCACGAGGCACCACTGCCGTGGGTCGTGGGTCGGAGATTTTGAGGTAAGGCCATCTTGGCGGATGGCTTCGACGGCGCCCACGACCCCGGGCGCGCGGTCGAAACAGATGGATTTACATCCCGCGAGGCCCCGGCCTATCCTGCTTATGCTCTCGCTTGCTGACCTGATCGGTACGTTACACGTGCGCTGGGACGGTGACCTTCTACGACCATTATTCACCGCCAGGGCTCTATCCGTCCCAGATCGCCCATATCGCCACCACCTGAATCCCCGAATCGACGGCACATCTTCAGCTATAGCCACCTTAGGGCAATGCCTCCCGCGTTGGGGCATCATGTCGCGATGGTCGACGTATCGACTGGCTGGCTGCGATGGTGCGTCAAAGGCCTCGTTGACCGTACGTCTAAAACTACCGACTCTCTTTCTCTTGCTCTCTCACACACGGAGACGACCACCCAGCATATAGCGCGAGCTCACGCTTCCACACAACGACATACTAGATTTGTCAGCGTAAGCTAATCGGCTGGCTGCGCTGAGTAAAAAAACGTAGCCTCGTGCCACAGCCGCCTTACATATCTTAATCCTTCTCGGCGATGGCTTGTAATCGTTCGTCGATCTCATCCTCGGTCAACGTCCGGAAGAGGGCATCTGAACCTTCGCCATCCGTGCGAGGGCCTCCCACGATCCCGATCTCAATTTCGCCCTTCTTGAAATCCATGCTCAGAACCGTGCTTAAAGTCGTAATGGCCAACTCCACGACGTCTTCCCATGTGCCCTCCGCGTGGTCCTTGTTCTTGAGCTTCTTCTCTAGGTGATTGAGCGCCTCTTGCTGCTTCGGACCTGCGGCGGTCCCCTTGTAACCGACGAAGTAGCCTGCCGGGTCGCACTTGTAGAGCTGCGGGCCAAATTCAGAGTCCAATGATATCAGCGTTGTAGCCACACCGTAAGGGCGCATGTATGCCTGACGAGAAAAAAACAAGGGTCAGCTTCGTGAGAATTGGTCGATGCGGAGCTGTCGGAGGGAATCTTACTTTCTGAGTATAAACCTGGCTGATGTTGGCCAATCTCTTGGCTAGCGCATCACATGGCATCTCGTACCCGTAGTTGTATCGGAACTCAGCAGCCTCTCCCCGAGCACGCTGCGCAAAGGCGCGAGCGTCCGCAATTGACCCAGTCATAACGCATCCCACCGACGGTGAGATCTGGAAGATGTGCGAGACGGACGACGGGTCGATTAACTTGTCCTACTCGGGGCCGTTAGCTTCAGCTTTCGACGACGATGTCGATGCCCACCGCAGGGAGAAGAGCTGAAAGCACATACGGGGACCTTCTTTTGCGAGAGGATGACGGCACAGTCCTTGCCCCGGACGCCGATGGACATTATGTTCGCGGCGGTGATAGCTTTGAACGCATACTCTGGGTAGGTAGTCGTCAGCTGGAAGTCCCCCATGTCACATCCGCCCCCGATCCAGGGCCCCTGCTACATCTCATCTGCCGTCCCCGGCTGCCTGAGGATGAGGCTCCGGGGTGACTCAGGAAAACATACCGACTTGGTAAAGCCGGCCTTGCTCGGAGAAGATGGTGATGTGTCTATCGAAACCTGCGTTTCCTGTATTGAGCCCGTGGGGTTAGTGCATGAACCGAAGCCAGCTGTGGTGGGACGAGAGGGGATTGCCCGAACGAACCTCCCGACATCGTGAAGGACGATCGCTAGGCTGGCCGCTAGAGGGGGCGACGACGGTGGAGGGTGATATTAGTCGGCCTGGACCTGGCGAAGAGTCGAGAGCTGGCGAGGAGTTTGCAGAGGAGTAGGTATAGGCTATCGTCTCGTTGGGAAGAGTGAAGTTGGATCGGATAGCTTTGGAGGAGCTCTGACGCGCGCAGGTGGGAGCCTTGGAGACGAGCCAGCTCTACACTTGGCCAGGTAAAGGATCTGCCTAGGCCAGGTACCTAGGTGCTTGGGGGGTACCTATCTTGAGGTGGCTGATGCAGGCAGGGCTAGGTACCGAAGGTAACTAAAGGCCGTGGGACCCCTCTATGCGAGCGCCTACCTTGGGCAGGGCTCCGCCTAAGAGCAGGTACCCAAGTCATGTAGATACTCGGTACTCGGTACCTGTTTACCTCCCGCCTCATGGCAACACGGATTCTTTGGATCCGAGTTCCGAGATGAGCACAAGCAAGCCACTACCGCTTTTCTAATACGGCAGGTTATTGGTGGACAGGCACGTGGCCGTCCCGGGGTTATCTTATCTCTTTATCGATTAGATGCCACTCGATTTGGGATGACATATTTCCTTATTTTTTTCCCATCTGCCTATACGGCTGTACCTGTTATACCAAAAAAATAGGGCGTCTCTCATTCCGTCCCAAATCCGGTCTCACCAACGAAGTCAGACGCTACAAGCACACATACCCTTCAGCGATCCCCTCCGGCAGTCCCCACGATAGATGGCTAGAAACCAATACAAGCCAAATGGTTCCCCCCGCTGGAGAGCGTGAAATGTGAAGGCCTCACAACCGTTTCATTGGCGGCAATTCCACTCCGAGAAACCACCGTCCCGCAGATCTGGCCCAGGCTAATACTATTTCGTCGCCCGTCTTGCGTTCCAAGAGGCGAATTCTGGTAAACTGCCTATGCCGCCGGACCATCTGCTGCTGCCGTAAGGCTTGAGACACGTCGAGCCAAACAAACCGGCCTAGGTATAGGGGGATTGAACTGGGACAGGTTACCCGTCTAGTACCTAGGTAGCATCTCGATCTGCCTACCACCGGGTACAGTGGCCATACCTGACCGAGGCCCTTTGTATCGCTGTGTCCCCCTCTGCCCCCTCTTTGTCCGGTTTGCCTGCTCTTCCTCTATCGATGTCTTCCGTACTCTCCACTGGGAACGCGCCAGCGCAGCGAGTTCCAGCATGGAAGCGATTGGGCCTCAAGCTCAAGCCCGCGTCTGACGAGCCGAGCCAGGACGCTACCCTACCTACAAGCACAGCCGCTGTGCCGGTGCCCAACCATCGTCGGGAAAATCCCGCGAGCCCTACCAATCCCGGCACGAAGAGAAAATCTTCTGGCGTTCCTGCATTAGACCATTCGGTGAAGAAGGCCAAGCGGGACGTCCCCCCAAATCAGACTCCTCCCTCTCAGACTCCTAAGAAGGTTAAATCTGTCTCCTTCGCACCCGAATCTGCCACGGAGGACCGGTCTTCGCCGACAGCCGCAACAAACGCACGCCTCCCCAAGAAGAAAAACCAGGCGCCTCCCCGGAGAACCACCGAGACCCCGGGAAAACGGGCCAAGAAACAGGCTTCGGTCAACCTGGAACCGGCGCTCGCGTACCTACGGCAGTGGCACTCGTCTAGGGACACCTGGAAATTCAACAAGAACCACCAGACCAAGCTGCTAGAGCAGATTTTCGCCGACGAGACCACCATCCCGGCCGCCGACATCCACCTATTCTACGAGTACATCCGGGGGCTGAAAGGGGCCGTCAGGACGAGGCTCAGGGAACTGGCGTCCGGCATCAAATCCCAGGACATGGAGCAGGGTCCGGACGGCTTCTCGGCGTCGAGGAAGGAGGCCGCCGAGCGGAAGTATAGGGAATACGAGGGCGTCATCGCGGCCTTCCTGAGCGAGCCCAGGGAACCGGGAAAGCGGCGTTTCAACGAGGTCGACTACGTGCTCCGGACCGCCGACATGGAGATGCAGCGCCGCGTCGTCAAGCGCATGCGCACCCAGATGGTCCTCGACGAGCTGTCCGACAGCGAGGGGGCCGAGACGGCGTCGACCACGGCTACCGCCACCACCACCACGGCCGGGGACTCCGGGTACGCGGCTAGCAGTAGCGCCACCGCCGCCGACCGCGCCGAGAGCGAGAAGCGCCTCCGGCTCAACGACGCGCCCCCGCAGCGGACAAAGCGGCGTCGGAAGGCGCGGACGGCGACGGTCGAGGACGAGGAGGACGAGGCCACCGCCTCAGAGGACGCGTCGTCGTCGTCTTCTTCCGAGTCATCCGACTCCGATAGCGAAACGGACGCTGGCGCGGCCCGCGGCAACACCCGAAGCGGCGGCGGGAGCAGCTCCAGCTCCAGCTCCAGCTCCTCCGAGGATTCCGAGGCGGAAGATGAGCCGCCGTCGCGGCCGCGGCGGCCGCGGCGGAACGAGGCTGACACCTCGTCTAGTAGCTCCTCCTCGTCCGAGGCGTCGGACACGGGCTCGGGTTCCGAGGACGAAGACGATGACGACGGAGACTAATAGCCGGCCAGATTGGTACCGAGCGTGCGTGTATTCTGCAGCTAACCATAGATTATGTGTGACGCGCTACCTCGTGCTTCCGCGCGTGCGTGTGTGGGCTAAGATAACGGCAACGAATAATTACTATTACTACTACGGTTACTGCATTTACCAAGGCGAGAAATGACAAACAAGATACCCGGATTAACACGATGGCATGCTTGAACAAGGGAATATAGAGCGGGAGCTAAGCGCAAATGATCGTATCGAGTCTTGCTTGCGTACCTAGTTAGTTAATTACCTTGGATATTTTCCCTGTCGTGTCCATCCCCATTTGTGTCAACCTTGCCTTTGCCTTCGTACTCCTATGATATATATATATATATATCCGTGTGCAATCCTACAGACCCGCGGCTATACGGTTCCTACCTACGCCGGGGCATACGAGACGATAATTGCCTCCGCCCTATACCGCCGGCGGGAAGAACCCAAAATCCTCAAAAGAAAATGCTGCGTGACCTGTTACTACTGGCCGTCACACCCCTCCCCCCAAATGTGTGGGGTAGGGGGTATATACTATACGAAACCTAGACCTGTCACAGAAATAAGAAAGCTAGTTTGATCCAGCCTTTTGGCAAAACGCCGCCAAGAAACATTGGTGGTTAGTGATAGAGGACGACTGTGTGAAGATCCTGGTTTTCTTTTTCTTTTCAGGCGTCTACCGGGGGGTCCTCGAGGTATTCGTAGTCGTCCTCCGGTGGCAGGAGCCAGGCCGAGGAGGCGAGGCCACCTGCGAGAAGGACGGAGACGGTGGCGCTGACGGTGCACAGGACCCAGGACCAGTCGAGGTGCCAGCCGGGGATGGCGAACTGAGAGTCGTGGTCGAAGAGGTAGGCCTACGAAATTGGTCACAATAGCATTAACGGGCTATACTTCAAATTGGTTCTGTTTTCTTCTCTCCTTCTCGTAGTGACGAATTTACGCTGGGGAGGAGAGGAGCATGAGACGGGGACGGGCTTACGACGATGCCTATGCTGGCGAACTCGACGACGGCGTCGGCGAGCAGGAAGCCGGCGATGATGCGCCAGCCGGTCTCGCGCTTAACCTTGCCGCCGGCGCGGACGACGAAGAAGGCGACGAGGGTGGCGAGCTCGACGATGGTGGCGAGGGAGATGAGGAAGCCGCTGCTGCGCCAGAGGGCGCAGAAGTCGCCGTCGCTGTCGCGGCAGTCATCGTCGGTGGGGAAAGGCCGGCAGGAGGGCTCGTCGACTGAGGAGCAGCTCTGGTGCAGGCCCAGCGACTTGCGGAAGGTCGACCCGGTGTCGGCCGTGACCGAGTACGAAACCCAGTGCGGCGTCAAGATGGATACAATAGTAATGACCGTCGCTTTGGCGCCGCAGCGGAGATTGTTAGCGCACGGCTGTGTATAGGTGGGTGTGTTTGCCCCCGCGTCTCCTCTCGCTCTCCTAGTGCTACCGTACGTTCCCGTGCATGGTCGCCTCCTGGCCCTTCTCCCCACCGTCCTGCATCTGATCTCGACGTTTAAACTTTACAAAGCAGAACTTGAGAATCGACCACTGTAGCGATGACGCCGGGTAGCGATGACACGGTGATTAGGAACTGGACGGAGGCTCGGGGCATTGGGGGTTGAGGGCATCGTGACGATGTGGTTGGTGGGGTTGGTGGGACGAGGAGGCAACGCCACGGATGGGGAGAAGATGACGTACTGCAGACGAAGACGCCAAGGGCGACGTTGTAGACAATCGGGCGTGTCATGGCGGGTTTCTATGCTGTCGGAACCAAACCGAGTACCAAAAAAAAAAAGGGCGCGAAGAAGAGAGGGAGAGCAGGTTGATGTGCGCGGTATCCTTCAGCTACGTATCCCTTCCCGAGTGTTGGTGTTGCGGGCCCGAAGTCCTCATGTCCAGGGCGGATATCTGGTCGGATGGAGTTGGATCTGGGAGAGGAATGGACGAAGGACGGGTGTCGAATCGACGGGGCTGGGAAGATTGGGTCGGATTACCTACACGTAGGTAGCAGGCACCAGCCAAAAGAGGAGACGAGGGCGGAAGTACTTCTCTACCTCGCCGGCCTCACTTTCTACGCGTATCGACCGTACTTTTCCCATCGTGTCTCTGATAGGCAGGTACATGGACGTCCCCGTCGACCTGAGCTTGGAGGTGGAGGTACCTGTCTCTAGGTAGAGGTAGGTCGGGATCCGTGGTGATACGTTTCCACCGTAGATCATGTGGCTGGCGTAACTTGATCAGTACCTAGTCCCTAACCTCTACAGATAAGAGAGAGAGAGGGCATTCGATGGGAGGAGTTGGTTGTGGCGTGGCGTGGCTTGGTGTGTCTTGGCGTGACGGTGGATGGGCGACGTAGGTAAGAGAAGAGAAGAGAAATCCCAAGTTCGTTTTACCTTAGCTATTGTACACGCTGAGAAATACCACGAGCCTCAGGCACCTTCGGCTTTCCAACTAGGCACCGATTTAAAGAGTCTAGGTACCTACACCTAGCCTAAAGCGACCGGACTATATGTACGGTTAACGTACCTAACCTCTTAATTACAGGTGCCTGTCCGTCTAACCTACCTACCTAGAGGGGAGTACCTCTAACGTGCCCATGGTTTGCAGGAGGCAGAGGTACCTACACTTACATCTAAGGTTATGTGGGTGAATGCGCGAATGGAGACGAAGAGAGATTCTCTCAGAGATTCTCAGAGATTCTCACTTCACTAGGCACTTATCAAGCCAGAGGACCAACTCACCAACTTGACCCCACCCCCTTACGCGCTCCCCGTATCAACCACCGAGAAGATGCTGCCGTCCATTCCGGGATGAATGTCGTCGACCCTGGATCCCTATCACACCGGATCCCGAAAAGCTCGAAACTGAGACGTTTTGCCTCATACGCATTGCCGACCAGAGAGCTGATGCATCGACACTTGTCTATGCTAGGAGATAGGCTGAGGAAACCCGCCCGAGCGCACGGCACACCGCATTTTCGCCAGTGATGCGATCTACAACGTTCTCCGCATCTGCCTCGATCGTCCCCTTACAATCACTTCGTCCCTCTCTCTCTCTCTCTCTCTCTCGCGCACGCGCCCTCACCCCTCCTTGTCAGCAGCGTAGGCAGCGACACCTTCACGAGTCCCCTCCCCCCCATCCCCCCTTGTTCCCACCTTGTTCGACGAGAGGCGTTCCTCTGCCGTTCTTGGCATACCCGTAGGGGTCTGCCCGCTACGCTGCTTAGGGAATGTGTCGAGCTATCGGGAGATCTAGGGATGAGGCCTGCACGACGAGCCTTGGAATCTGCGGAGACATCTCGATAACCTGCGCAGGCGCCTCGAAAGAAGCGAGTCTGCTGCACGCGTCATTGTTTCGGCTATCCTCCGAATTCGACCTCACCGGTTTGGTTTCGATGCGCCATTCCATGCTGCGGCCTGGATTTCATCCGAGGGAGATGCTATAATCAGTAGCATCCTTGTCGGTTTGCCCGACCATTCCACCTTCCGGGAACACCAATCGCAGCCTCCAAATCGCGGGCGTGGTTCCTCTTCCTGCAAGATGCCGTCGTGTTCTCTCTCGTATGCGTAGATCGCGCGGGGCCACCTTACCTATCTAGGCGGCTGCCGCGTTATGAATTGGAGTTATAATCGGTGTTGGGGCTTTGTGAGACCATTTTCAAGCTGCTTGAAGCTGTGTGCGGGCGGGCGGGCGCGGTGCTGCTCGCGATTTGCTTGGGGCTGGCGACGCTTGTCATGGGAACTCTTACTCCGTATATCGACCACCAAGTTGCGCAAAGCCATCTCCCGGCTCCGGCAGCCGGGGTCTACTCTGGCTACTAGGTCAAGACTTCGGGAGGAGGGATCGTTATGCAGGTCATCCCACATGGAGGTATTATCACAGGGTTGACTTGCCCACTCTTGTTATTAGACGCGATTGCATATCGGCAGGCTACATGCCGACAATGACTTCCACGACTGCTACCATTACAACACCACCCACCACCCACCACTACCGCTGGACGTCCTCCCTCGACACTCATCTCTAGGTATGCGCCTGTTTCAAAAAGTGCTGATAGTGCTATACTCCAAATCGCATGCGCCGGCCGGTCGTCGAGCAACAAAGCAAAGAGGGGAGGAAGCACGCAAGATCCAACCCGGTATGCGTCACCACTTAGATCTCTTGGCGTTGTTATCGGATGGATTTCTTTATACTAGTTGCCAGTCCGTATCTGGTTCCGATTCATCAGATAACTAGATAAATCGGGCCCCCGTTCTCGCTAGAACCTCGCTCTTTGCTTAGCTTCGGCTTTAGCCAACCACCCGGACCCCCCTTACCTACTTATTGGCTATCACTACCTATATCAATCAACGCTCCTTGACCGAACCATCTCCCTTCGTTATCGAGCCTGTCAATTTCTTCCCGCCCAGCCTCCTCGAAGATCTCGCCTATCCGAGGCGCCGACCGTTCGACCCTGGGGGTCGCGATCTCTGTTACGGGGGTCAGCTCGCCGTGTTCTACAGTCACATTCGCTAACACCGAGAACGCCGCTCGAGGCTAGCATTGCCTACATTCAACTCCAATTTGCGGTCTCCCGATCTTCTTCATCGCCGGTTGCCAGCAGTCATCGGTCATCGGCATGGCCGGCTGAGCACTCGTATTGCCTTCTTCTTGTGCCATGAACGCCCCGAGACCTAGCATCTAGGCGTTTTGTTTTACCCGTCTATAGAGATACGGTTGACCTTCCTAGCGATTCCCGAAGCTCGAAGCCCTGCACATACAATATTGGGTTTCCACAATGGTCGAGCATCACCCCGTCCACAATAGCGAAGTCTATCTATTGGGATTGGCTCCGCGTCCTTCTGTCCCTCCCCCCTCTCCGCCATCCCCCGTAACACCGAGAGAAGTCGAACAGAACAGTGTTATCGAAGAGCTTTGCTTGGATGACGCCGATGGCGCCGAGGACCCTGCAGGGATCGATTCGCTTGCCCAGCAAAGAATTTCGGGGGCCATTCATGTCCTCAGCACTGAAGCGACCGCTCTGCGGAGTCTGACTTGTTTATACAAGACCGATGCTACAGCGGCGCAAGGGTTTAACGCCGCGGTAGAAACCATAACGAGGCACAAAGGCGACAAAGGCAAATTGATTATCATTGGCGTTGGTAAATCAGGCCTTATTGGGAGGAAGCTCGTCGCGACATTCAATAGCCTCGGCGTGCAAGCTACCTTCCTCCACCCGACTGAGGCTCTACACGGCGACCTGGGCAAGATCGGAAAGCACGACGTCGTGCTGTTTATTACGTTTTCGGGGAAGACACGGGAGCTCCTCACTTTACTACCACACCTCGACGAGACTTTGCCGGTGATCGTACTCACTTCACACACCCGACCGGAAGCATGCGAAATCAGCCGCCAGCGACCGGGCACCATCCTCGTGCCAGCACCCATCCACGAATCCGAAATTGCGTCTTTCGGTGTCTCCGCCCCCACCACATCAACCACCGTGGCTTTGGCGCTGGGTGATGCACTCGCGGTAGTGTCATCGCAGGAATTACACGCAACCGTTACTTCAGTTTTTGCAAAGAATCACCCCGGCGGGGCCATCGGAGAGTCCTTCGACAAGCCGCGTCAAATCCGCGATCTCGCAGTCCCGCTTGTCGAAGTTCCTATCTGGCCCGAATCGAGCGGCGAGGCTTGTGGTGCTGATATCCTCAAGCTGGGATACGAGTCGCAATCCGGATGGGCCCGCGTTGGCGACGCTATCGCCTCGCCGGGACGCATCAGACGGCTGGACACCGGTCGCTTGACGTTGAAATTGCGCGATATCCCAGACTTGGTTGTGGAGAGGGTTGAATGGATTAGAATCCACGCCGATACTAGGGTTTCTCAGGCTGCGCAATGGCTTCGGGAACCTCTAATATCGCTTGAGCCCGGGGAGGCTGGGGCCTACGACGAGGATTCCATCCTGGCGGTCATGGACAATGGAGAAGTCGTCGGTGTCCTGGAAGCCAGCCAACTCCTAAGCTGGCAGGAGTGAAGAAATACGCAGCGTGGGATTCTCTGGTACTGGCACTATTAACGACATGGGGGGCGACGGCGTCGGACGGGTTGAAACGAGGTTTGTCGCTACGCGTTACCAGCCTCGGATTTACTTTTAGGAGATGGGTCCTGCTCGGAATCTTGAATGGAGAGTCCCAACTTCAAGGCTCTTGATAGATGCCCACGACTTCAAACGCAGTAGTTTGGTGCACAACTATGAGGACCCCGCATTCGGTCCTCTCTTCGTGAATACCTATTATTTCCAGAGACTGGAACTACCTGTGAGGTAAGCAGGCCGTTTATCGACGGAACGAGCATTCCTCTTAAGAAGACGGTATTTCGGAGGTTACGGGCAGCACCAGGCGCCGGCCGAGCTGAAGTTTGATGCGCCATGCGGCGGATCGTTGTGCTTTCGCTTTGATCTCCCCTCTTCTCTCGACACGCTGCTCACCGGTACCTCTGCATTATTTCTTCGAGACGTTTGGCTAAAAACCCCCAGGTATGTGTTGTGCCTCTCTAAATCCTTTAGATTCTATGCGTACCCAGCTTCCGCGGTGGGACCCAATCCCCATCCTGCTATGTAGGAATGACCATTCTCTGGGGACAATCGCAGCCACCTCTCCGAGACCGACGTAGGGCGCACTGTTTCTGAAAAGCGCGAGCAGTGCCTGCCTGGGCACCTAGGTAGGTATTCGAAGAAAATCAGTGTTAGTCCAGACTGAGCGCTAGGGCCCGCAGGACAATATGTCGACAAAGGGTTCCGCTCGTATGGTTGTAAAGGAGAAGGCAGAGAACAGTGGGAAGAGCAAGACAGATAAACTAATAATTCCATGTTACGGATTGTGATCTACAGAGTGGGATATAACCGCGAGTACGATGCACGCATGCTATGCTTGCTAGGACGATCTCCCCTAGGTTTAGTTGTAAGGCGAGAGCGATCAATGTCACAAGGGATACTCGGGCGCAATGCCGCAATGCCGAAGACGATGCATCGATGTGGCTGATATCCAACCTAGCAAAGGGAACAGAAACACATGACACAGTTCTCCTGTACGCGCGCGAATTAATCTCCTGCCTCTAGGCTCGTGTTCCTTCCAGTCTTCCTGCATCCCTCTCCCTGCCACCCGCCTCGTAGCATCGCCGCGAGCTACCACGTCGTGGCCACACTCGTCGATTCCGTGGCCACACTCGTCGATTCCGTGGCCACACTCGTCGATTCCGTGGCCACACTCGTCGATTCCGTGTCCACAGCAGTCGCGATGGTCCGCGAGAGGGCGAGCGTCAGGGTCTCCGTCGGCGTCGCCAGCGCCGCAGCATTCAGCTCCGGCGGTGCCTCGGTGACCGGCACCGTCAGCACCGACTCGGTAAGCGTCAGCGTCAGCGTGGACGGCCCTACGGTCGTCGTCAACGTAAGCGGTCCGAGGATAGTCGCCACCATAAGCGATCCTTCCGCGATGGGGTCGGTGGCGGGGCCGCCCTCCTCAGGCCCCGGCGGGGTCGGGATCTGGCGGGTCTTCCGGTGGCCCAGCTCCTCGAAGACGGGTCCCGAGCGCGCCACGAAGGTGCCGTTCGCGAGGCTTGCGACAGCCGTGGAGGCGTCGGCAGAGGACAGCGGAGGCGGGCGCGCGGCGGCGCGGGAGAGGAGGGGGAAGGCCGCGAGGAAGGACTCGAGGAGGCGCATGGTGGGCGTTGGTAGGTATCTAGACGACTGGCTGGCTAGCTGCCTCGCTACCTGGCTGGTGGGTTCGTGGGTCCGAGGGGAGTGGATGTAAAGAGGCGTGAGACTTGGGAGGAGGGGAAGATGGGGACTCTTCGGCGTCTATATATGTTCGCGGCGTTGATGAAGGAACTGCCGCCCGGGATTGGATATGGTAGGATGGAGAAGGGACGGCGTTATATACCCGGCCCGCAGCACTCGGCATACATAAGGGCCTCGTGCGAGTCAGGGTTTGGTTTGGCTCCTGTTGTCTCGTCATCCTCGATATATCCGGCGGGCGGTATCTGGAACGGTGTTTGCATCAGAAGAAAGAAAGCATATCCTCGATGACGGAGGTGGCCTGCCCCCCCGTCCATGTCGGTGATCGGCCTTGGCAATATCGCTGACGGCGGTGCTCTGTCATGACTCCGATGCCTGTGCCCGTGGTTCACGACCCGCACACGGACAGGAGGAGGCGGATAGGCAGGTTCGGGTAGAGTCGCAACGGGTACAGGTCATCTGTCAGTTAGCTTGTTTGTGCGTCTGCGATGGTCCGCCTGTTACCTGTTACTCTAGAGTTGCCTCGAGCCACTACCGTCGAGCCCTTTGCCGAGACTCGTGCTTCCTAACCGAGGGTCTCGCGCTGCAAGGTCCACTCTGGGAGATGCTAGACCGTTCCGGAGGGGCCCTAACGTGCGTGTCGCATGCGTGACGTCGGCGTACTGGTATTGCGGTAGAACCACGGCGTCATAAACGTAGCGGCCGTTGGGCCTCGAGGTGAGACAACTGGCATTAGGAGGGGCGGCTTTTGCGGCAGCGCGCGTCTCTGACGCGTAGAAGAGGAAGTCGGCCGATAGAGGGATCGATCTATCCTAACCTCTACAAGCAGAACGAGAACGGCTGGAGTTGGATCGCTTCTGACGACCAATTCGGGCACATTGCTTCCCTTCCACAGCACTTCTTCCTATACCCGATAGAGTGGTGGCGCTGTACGTGTGTTTGTCCTTAATGGGAGACTGCTGGGTAGTACTGGGTAAGCCCTAGGCCTACCGGATTACATTGTCCGGCCTGAGCCACCATCGCCATCGTGGTAGCAAGAAAGACAGTCTAGGCAGGTTTAGGTAGTCTTATTCGTTTGCAGACGGACGTAACCGGCCATGAGTACGGCCTCGTGTCCGGCGGACAGCAAGTAACCATGCGGCTCGCCTCCGACCCGACGGATCCGAAACCCGGTTGTATCCGGTCACGACGAGGGCCTACCTCTCGCTGTAGCACTGTACACCTCGCTGTGTCATACTGGAAACAGCAAACAGCGACGGTAGTAGTCGTCGCCGAGCGAAGCAGCCGTGCGTCCGTATGTGGCCCAGTTGCACAGTGCTACACCACCGATTCGACGCGCGACTATAGTCCGTATGGTTTCACACGGTAGAACGATGGCGACCACGATGATAACGATGAGGGAGCGGTCTCGGTTTTTGGTTCCAGAAAAAGACAGACTTCCTCGAGTCTGGGCCCGTTTCGATGAACGGTTCATTAAAACGAAAAAAGGGGGGCGTGCCCATGGCACGCGAAATATGTACAGAGAATTCTGAAGTACATCGAGCCCCTTTGCTTCTATAGCATACACGCGGGCGCGCGCGCACGTACGTGTTACCTCCTCGCACCCTTCTCTTGTACATTGGTGATTTACATACACGGTACTCGCTCCTTGCGGAGCGTCGGCGCAGGACTCGATAGTTCCAAGCGCGACGCTGGTATATATGGGATCTCCGGACCTGTCGGGGCAGGGGGTATTCCTCCGGCCGGGCTTTGCGAGACCGGCCGCTAGCATGCCCAAGACGTCTCCCGGCTTGCGGTGGTTCTCGCAACGAGAGGGCCGCGTTTAGGTAATCAGTTCGTTGTTTTTCGGTGGTTTCTACTATGGTGGCGGGTGGGATCGCGACGCTAGCGACGACGACGACGGCACGGGTCGGGCTGCCGCTAGCCACGGCGTCGACAGCGACACCTTCACGTTCCGGTCGAATTCTCCTTCCAGCTCCGTCCTCCCGTGCGGATCGCCTCGCGAAATCGGCGCCGGCGTATCCTCGGCCTCTGCCCGCCCCGCTCGGTCGTATAGATAGGACGCTGCGTCCAGATCCAACATCTCCCCTGGCCCCTGGCTGGCTCCGGTGGTATATAACGGTCCTGCACTATGGCTAATAGCTGTGGCGTATAACGCCTCTGCCCTCTGGCCCGCCGTTGTCGCGTGTAGCGTGGGGTCGGACCGCTCGGGAGAGATCGTTCGGGTAATCGATGAGGCGGGTGCTAGGCACGGCGTCGACGGGTCCCACGGGTCCCGTTCGGACGGCTGGTACTCCGGCGTCTTCGCCAACCTCGGCGTTTCTCGGGGGTTCGCTGCGGCGGCCGCGTATGCGTGCGTGCTCGCGCCCGTGTCCTTTCCGTTGCCGGCTGTGAAGTTGGCGATGTGCGCGTCGGCGACGCTCCTGCGATCCGTCCTCCGCGACTTATACATCAGGAATAGTCCGGCGCATAGAGCGGCGAGCCCAGTAATCCCCAGCGCTACGCCGACCCCGATCCCGGCCGCCGCCCCAGGCGATAGATAGGCGGTATCGCCGGGATCGCAACTAGAATTACTCGACGCTAGGGCGTTGTTGATCGCGGCGTCGCAGCTCCCGGAGCTGTCGGAGGCCGCCGTTCCTGTCGGTGACGCGAATATCCATCCGTTTACCGGGATCGCCGCGGCGGTCGTGGCCTCTGTAGCGCGAGAACTGGTGACCTTCCAGCCCCCACTCTGGGATTCCCGCTCCGCGTACGTGACGATGCTATCGTTTCTTATTTGCGAGGTGCACTGGCCGGTGTCTCCGGGACCGAAGAACCTGACGAAGTTGTAGTTTCTGCGCGCTGGCTGTCAGCACCCCGGGCCACAGTATGCATATCCTCTCAAACGTACATCGGGCAGCACGCCACGTAGGTGCTCGACGCGTCCTTCGCGGACGCCGTCGCGGTATAGTAGTCTTGCGGGCAGGTTACGGGGCCGAGGCTCATTACCGTCTCCTTGTTCGCGCCGAGTTGATCCTGGCGCCACCAGGTGGTCATCGCCTTCGGGTGGCACGTAACATCTTTCCTGACCTCGATGCCGTAGCCCGGGTCCCAAGCGGCGATCACGTTCGGGACGTACTTCCAGATCAGATTCTCGCAGCCGGGCTGGCTCGGGTGCGTCGTCGGGATCGGTATCCAGGAGGTGACGATGCCGTCATTGGTCTCTGGTAGCCGGTTCATGGTTGATGACGGCGAGCGAAAACGGAGAAGACGAAGAAGGAAGGGGAGGGAATGAGGGAGGAGAGGGTTCTTCAAATCCAGCCAGATGCCGGCACCAGTGGGCCGTCATGCCACTTTATGAGCGTACCTTGGACAGACCGGGGGGGCAGATCCTTAGAGTGGGTATAGGCGCAATATGGATTTTTGCTTGATTAGCAGCCAGCAACGTGCAATTGGCCCATTCTATTTCTGTAGGACTTATGAACCTGGCCTGACGGGTCAGGATAAGGCTCGTCAAATTAGTGTGTGGTGGATCGCCTAGGGGGCTCTGGCTAGACGGACTAGGGGGCACGAAGGATCTCGGGCTTTGAACAGCGACCCGGTGCTGTAGCAGCAGCAGCAGCAGCAATCAAGCCTCGAATGCTTGGCGAGCATCGTGTCCTCGGGACAGGAGCCCCCCTTAGGAATGTTCCCGTAGCAGTGCTTGGTTTAGGGTACCATTTGGATCCAATTGCACCTAAAGTATACAGCTTGAGCTGCCCAATACAGTCTTCGACCGAGGCTTCGACGACTTTGGGGTCGACGGGGATCTCAGTTTCGTATTGCTCGCCCACTCCTGGGGCAACTACTCATAGGACGTAAGGGGTGAGACCCTGCGCAGCCAAGCCTTTTCGCCAGTGTCAACTCGTCAACCTACGACACATACTCTCCTACCTATATATGTCCGTAACTAACCAGCTACACCACCTGAACCAACTACCTAACTGCTACCGCTACCTTACCCACACATACACACCTTGGGCACTCACTCACTTACCCTACTCACTTACTCTACTCACTTAGCATGCATGTGTACCTGCAGGTTTCGCGTGCCATATCTGATAAGGGGAGGGGAGGGTCTCCAAGATGCCTCAGTGTTGGAAGAGAGAGAGAGACAGACAGACAGACAGAGAGAGACGGAATATTAACCGTGGCATGAACCATATCTGGCTGATCCTTGCAATTTCTAATAGTAATCACGCTACACTTGGGGTCTGCCAAGATGCCCAAGAGTTAGAGAGGCAGCTCGAGATATGCGAATGCGACCAGCAACTGCTGGACGAGTTCGGATCGAGTTAGACCCTGCCCACGAAGCACCGCGACCCCAGTCCAGCCACCAGCCCACGCGGCTACGCCGTGGGTGAGGACCGCTTACACTGATCCGTATCGTGCCATAGCGCCCATGTGGATATAGGGCTGAATTTAAGTTGCGTGGGTGCTCTTCTGCATATTTCCAAACGGGACAGAAATGATTCCAACCCGGTCTAGGTCTCCTGCAAAAGCCTGCATTTCGATCCTGGTGATGACAACGAGCGGGGATCATGGCGGCGGCGGCAGCGGGCGGTGGCTGGCTCTGTCAGCAGGTGAAAAAAAATGAAAAGAAAAAAAAGGGGGGCGCAGGCCGTCATTGACGGGCCATGCTACACCTGCGACAACAACAGCAACAGCAACTATTATTACTACTATGAATGGAACTTCACTAAGACTGACAACGGCATCGCTAGACGAGGACATCACCAAGAGCACGCGGTCGTAGACTCCGCGGGGCTTGAGAGCCCGCCCTCCTATACGTAGGTATGTATATACCGACCTACCTTAGGTACCTAATAAGCATTCGCACAGGTATTTAAAGTCAGACGTAAGCCTTAATCACATCGCTTCGATTCCAGCTGATTCCGTCCCAGCGCTGAATGCGCCCCGCTTAAGATCCTGTCGGCGGCCCAGGTAGCTGGTTGGCTAGGCATACGGCTAATCGCGCAGCCCAGCAAACGCGATAGATGCCGCGACAGCCCTGTTCCCGGCCGAGATGTGTGGGCGTATACCTGCCTGCCACACGATTCGGAATTGCGGCACACGGCGTATCCGTGGCCGGTGGGTTCGTATCAGCCGGAACGTGGCTTGAAAGCGCATATGAGTACGTGGCAGTAATCGCATGAACTCCCTAGCTAAGCCAATAATCATACGCAGAACCAACATCGCAATCAGTATCGTGAGTAAAGGCTAGCTGGCAATCGACGTGCGCGCAACTCATCCGGTTTTGAAGCTTGAGATGGCGTGGTTTAGAATCTAATAGCTGACGGCACCCTCGGATAACAACGCTGCTGATGGGTAACAGTTCTGTTCATAGAACTTAGATTACCTAGGTAAGTAGTCGGCCACGACACTGTGCTGGTTGGCGTCCCGTCTGGGTCAGTCAGCATCGCCGCTCTTGCTCAGCTCAAAATCACCCGTGCTCAGTGATGCTCAGGATTCAAATCACCTCTACCACCCCCCCCGACGGGACGCACGCCAACCGTCCACTCAAAACCAACATCGCCTCGCCCTTCCTCGAACTTCGTCAACTTTACGCGACTCTCACCATGGACGGGGTTTCGGCCGCGGCAGCCAGAAAACGGAACAGGAGTAGGATGCGCAGGGGACCTGGCTTCTGGCACCCTCCATCCCCTCGATGGCTGGGTGAGGGCGCCCGTTGCTTGGCTTCCGTGATACAGTTGTCGCCCAGCTGTTGGTAGGAGCAGTAGCTACTGCTTCTGATAGTCTTGCTCCTAGGGAAACGGCACTCCGATCCCGTGGTTATAACGGGCCAGAACACTCGCTTTATGAAGGATTGGGGCCGATGCCTCTCATCTGTAACGCCATGCTCCCGATGATGATCGCCGCAAACGCGTTCAGGGACTACTGCACCATCGAAGATCTTCTTGCCATAGGACCGTCGGAGGGCGAGATGACTCGACTCACCTTCAGTGGAAGGACAGCATCCACGACCAGTCCTTCTTCAAGAGCATGTCCTCGAGACGAACGCCGGGGAAGACAGAAACGGCGTGCGCTTTTTCAAAGCGTTTCCGGGCCTGGGGTTTCCGTTCTGGATATATCCGCCCACCTACGATTCACGACTCGAGAGTGGAGGGTCTGTATTGGATTAGCATGTGTTCGGCGCCTACCTTATTGCTTCCTTTGCTAATTAAATCCTCTAGAACAGTTATATTCCATGGTCCAGAGAATGAAGCACGCAGGTCAGAAAGATCCCCGACACCTATCATAACCACCGCCTGCCAAATAACAGTAGCACGGACGGCCAAGGCAGCTATTTCGGCTTTGATGTGCGCACCATCGTCAACGACCGTTTCCGTAGCTATACCCTTACGTGCAACCCGCAGCTTCTGCAGTCTCTCTCGGCGGAGAAGCGATGCGATGCCGCTTTCGACTCCGTCGAGCACCTCAAGTTTCATCTCCTTGACATGCATTGCCCAGACTTTGTCAAGGAACCGAATGTACTGGAGATATTAAAGCAGGAGGATGACGTGAAATCGACATCCCTAAGGAGGAGACGAAAGCAGGCCGTTGAGATATCGGCCGCAGAAAAGGGGGTCAAGGCAGAATTCCAATTTAACTAGGCTGGTCCGTACGGCGTATCATCTCAGCAGTTGCCATGGAACATTCCTTAGTCAGCCAGCACCTCTCCATGAGAGGTCGGCACTGCGATATCGTCGGCACAACACCCGTTCTCGAGTCTGCCGCCTCACCACATGAGTGCGCATACGAACACTATCATCGACGCCGCCAGCCTCGACATTTGCAGCTCCATTCATTAGACGGCATAGCCAGCTACAGTCGCTACCTGTACTGCCATCTTGAAAGACCTCCCTAGCAGCCTTTCCTATCCGCATCCGACGAAGTGCTCTAGACGGTACCATGTGCCAACTGAAGCTTCTCGCTGCTCCTCCAACATCCTTATAAACCTTCCTTTGACAGAAGAATGCTGAACCCCTTTCTGAGCGTCTCCATTACCGTAGCGTCCACTTTACCCTCGGCGAACATAATGACCAGGTCCTCAAAATCCAACTTCGCGCCTTGTCCTGCGACAGCCCATATCTCTCCCACCATTTTGCGCAGTATTCCGGCTCTGCAACTAGGGTCATCCGCAGCAATGGCTATGTTACTTGTGATCAGGGACATTCGACAGAGGTTGGTATTGGAGGAGTGGCTTCTCTCTGCGCGGTATCTTGCCATCATCTCGTCATAAAGGCCGCGGTAGTAGGCAAGACACGTCGGCGAGTCTTCCCACGCGCCTTCCGGTTCTACCCCTTGATCCATAGACTCCTTATATCCGTACATGACCGGATCCCAATCGCGAGTAAGCCACCCGGGATATCCCTCGTTGCCGAGAGTACGAGGCATAGCTGCAACGCCATCCCAATCAATAATGGCTTGGAGTTCGCCGTCGTGGGATACGATGAAGTTCTGGATGTCGAAGTCTGGGTGGGCAAGAACGAAAGGAGCTGCCCCACCGGGCTCAGGGATCCAGCTGATCAGCTGGTGCAAGAGCGTCTCGATACCTTTGGGGACCTGGTTCTGTTCGGGATGCATGTCGAGCATAAAGGTGTAGTGTCTTTTCGGGTCCGCGTATGCCGCGCACTCCACGTAAATGATCCCATCGTCGGGATCATCACGGGCGAAGCATTGATCAAGCATAGCCCTTTGGTCGACTCGTCGTGCGGGTCCGATCCCCGATACCTTCTCGTCCTTTCCAAAGACAAGTCTGCCGCCGGTTGGGAATGCAAAGCGGTCCAGCTGTATCATTGCCGCAGCGATGTTTTCAAGAGCGCGAGTCCGCCGTGTTTGGGTCAGCTCAGGGCTGACGCCGTTGAGATGGTGTCCAAACCATACGTCGTACAGAGAGGTCCCGGAAATGAAGGTCATCATTATGTAAGGACATTGCAAGGTATTTTGCGTAGTCGAGGAGAAGTCCAACACGTCAGGTAGAGGGATAGTGGTCTCGCGCTTAAGCATACGCATGGTACTGGCTTCGGAGGCCAGGGCCGAGGCGGATAAGTCGTTCCATTTGCCAACCGTGCCGTTTATGGGGATTTTTACGGCCCAGCGAAGACCAGTATTGAAGATCAGCGGGAATAGTACGTGGTAAGATCCATATAGAGGATCGCCAACCGAGGGCGTTGTCTGGGTGGCCGGAGAGTCAGGATCGATGCGACGCAAAACGGTGCTCGCAAGCAGGGGAAGCTGTTCCCTGTTAAGAGCCGAAAGAACGGCAGAAAACAATTCTGCTTTTTCGTCTTGCTCGGAAGTATGAGAACCAAACGACTGCTGGGGACCCTGTTGTGCCATCGAGTTCGCAGTCCAGCACGAGCGGCTGAGTGCAGGTTTAATGTGAGTAGAGGAGGAAGGGTTGCTTTTATTAGGTAGAACGTGTGCCTCATAGATGAGCTAAGGCGCCAGGTGAGGAACAAAGGCGGCCTTAAGTAGGTGCCTTAACCCCCTAATTCACAGGTGCTGTGCCCGCATCGCTACCAACAGCTCTTGTTTGTATCAGTTTCCCTCCGACCATAGTATTTGTTAAACGCATCCATGCTTCATTCAATTGAGGGGGGCGACGTTAGGTCTCGTTTAACAGTAAATCTTGTATGAAAGCCAGATCAATGGACGAGAACGCGGAAACAGTTGCCTACAACGCCAGGATACGTCCACATTCACCGCAGGGCCCTGTCCCTTTCGCCTCTGGAGCCCATTTACCTACATAGCAAACTGGATGTTTCACAATGACCAAAGGCGAAATTAATCCAGCTGTTGGATTAACTCGTGTTCAACTCATAACTAAGTACTCTCCCGCTGCTCAGTATAAATTAGCTCTCTGCTGACCAGAAGGGAGCCGTTGTCGAGAAAATCTAAGAACACAACCGATTCATACAGCACCGAAAACACCTCTGTATTTCGTCATAAGGTAGTTCCTATTTCTCTAGCCGAAACCATGGGCCACCATTGGCGAGTCTCTCGTCCCTATCAAGGGTTCCTTACGTGCTAACGCTGCGGCAGTCCGAAATGCAAGAAACCTACCACCACCCGGTGTATGAAAAAGGGTCACGTGGTTCAATGCCCTATACACCTGGAGTACTACAGGTTGGGTGGACAATGTGCGTCTTGTCACGAGGCGGAAGTCCGAGCGGCCAATGAAGAGAAGAAAAGAGACAGAAAGTAAGGGGATGGGGGGAAAGCACGCATTGTTCAGGCTAGATGGCTATATAGGCAGAGAATTTTTTTCGACCTACACTGAATGGTGGCACATTAGGTCAGTGCTCTCCAGAAGCCAGCTCCTCGCTGTTCCGCCATGGTATATGGTGTAGCTGAGAGTAGTTTGAGTGCTGAGCACTGCCTAAATCATACCGGACAATCAAACTAGCCTTCTGATACATACTGCCTTTGATGTACCATATAATATCTTCCTCAGTTGTTCTTGGAAGAGAGACTCGGCGTCCTGCTGCTTCAGCCAGGTAATATTGTTGTCACCAAAGAAGCCCTTCGGCTTGACGAGATATTACCACATCGTCCTGCCACAACTCCATTTTGCAAGCAGCTTCTCAGCGCCCCAGATGTTTCCGTTCAGTTTGACTGCACATGAATGTGTATCCATCGAGTCAGCATGAATGGGAAGTAAACGCTAAGGATGGAAGGGGCGTCATTAGCATACATAATATAGGTAGAGGGAACAAATTTATACTCCTGTCTCTTGGCATCCTATACCAAACTACTTTTACCGTCTACTACCCATGTATGTAAATATGGGCTTCCGTACCTGCACTAATTCATCACGTTTAGAGAGATATTCTTTCCCAGTCCAATGAAGCATCAAGTACGGAAGCAGAGCCTCCTGCTGCCTCGTAATCACTTAATCATCTAAGGCACGAAACGTCAGAAGCTGAACCTGAACTGCTGATTAATCAGGAGGATATCTAGGTCCCAGAACTGCGAAATAACAAGCTTTCATATGGCTCCTTTTACAGGTAAATAAACAGCTTATCTCCTCGGCTTACAACAGGTAAATAGGTAAGCGTAGAGATTACAACAGTGAATAGGCAAGAGTTGCAACAGTTATCAGTCAACAGGAGCTGACCAATGGGATGCCTAGGACCCACAGCCAATGCTATTTCTCAATTTACTCTGGATATATCCTGACTTTGGGCTATGTGCTGATCCGTACTTGAAAGATACCAGCTCTCTATTATAGAACCATCTGCACTCCGTCACTTGCGGTTCAACAAGCTAGCTAGCTTATTCACCCACTCCTCCCTGTCCCAATCGCCGCAATACTCGCAGACAACATTAAGATTACGACCATAATAAGCAAGCAAGGCATTAAGAGGCTCATGCCTATGGAACATACCACCGAACAGGATCTGACGCAGTCAAGCGCGCCTCGGCATGGGATGGAAAGACAATAGCTAGAACAATAAAGACATCGAGTAACAGGCTTTAACGACGAGTACCGGGACAACGAGCAAACCTTCCTAGAGACTAGGACTACTCAAACCTGGCCCACTCTTAACCAGTCGCGCAGCCTTAGGCCTTGCATGCTACCAGGACTATGTCCTCCTATCCGCCGTTCGTAATAGGCGACAGGTCTCCCCAGTAGATTCGCGCCGGATGGTTCTGGTAGCCGGGGTCTGGCGTTTCTGCGATACTAATTATCCACTTCTACGGATATCGAGATACTAATACCAGGGCCCGTAAACCACAGCATAACCAACAAACAGTCTGCTAAAAACGGGTAAACCAGCAATCCCGTAAAGCATCACCACTTAGCAACTATAGTAAATTTTATAGGTTAATCCGAAATAACAAAGCTTATCCGGATACACGTTATAGCGCCAGATAAGCTTCGCAACTCGACAGTATATAAAGTATGCGCTAAAGACGAAAAAAAAAGCACTTCTCGCTAGTTCTAATAACTCACGACAAGAGTCCCGGACGTCGACGAGAATTACGACGCGAACTAGAAAACCCAGGGTTATTCGACCCTAGAGCCTAATCTCTAACGCAAGGAATACCTGCCCGGGCGCAGGCGTAAAAGAGCCAACGGGCGGGCCATCCATCTCCGCCCGTGGCAAATTTACCTGCGGCGTCGAAACGGTGTTGGGCGGTAGCCTAGGGCAATTTCCCTATGCTTCCCCTGTGCTGAGGTTAAAGCGGCCACGGCCCAGACCCCATACCTGAAGCAGAATCGGGATGAAACTTCAGTCGGGGCGACTATTGAGGTAAATTGGCTCGAGTTGGAAGTTCGCCAACTTGCCTAGAGCCCCATAGTTACTTGGAGTGCATATCTCTGCTGCGATGCCGTCTGCGAGAGAGGTATGGACACACCTTCCCGCGGATTGACCGCCCTCTACGGCACGTGCCTACTGTGTATACCGATTTGATATTGCTTTCTCTGCCTACCGTTGTGAGATGCTTGAGCGTAATGTAGGAGGTGTAGCTTACGGAGAAGGGGGACTGCATTCGCTGCAAACTGCAAAAGAATTCGGTGATGTCCTTACTACCTGGGTACGTGGAAAAGGTGGGCACCATACGACTAATACGACCTCCTCTATTTTTATATATCTTTCATACCGCAGGATTAGTGATATGAGTAACTAATCTCGATTGACCTTTTTCTCCGTTGTTGCTGACTCTCTACGCGTGACATATAACAAGAGGTCACATGATATACACGTGGTTGCTGCGGTGACGCAACTGTAAGGAACTCTCTGTTTATCGTTTCCGCTGATCCTATTCGGAGGATAGTTATAATACGTTAAACCCCTTATTATGCTGATTAATTATAGAGGTAAATTCCTCTATAAATACCCTTATAAATACGGAGTCATTTTTAGGGGATACTCTATTTCTACTAGCTAAAAGTTCGTATACGCGTTTTAATTAGTTAAAAGTTCGTACGGCTCACTTAAAAGAGATGCCTAATAAAACCGCAGCATATGCGACGGGATCCATATATTACTATTTACCTACTAACGCGTCGATTTCCCACTTATTTTAATTCTATTCATATATAAATCAATCGAGGTCAGTTTCTCTCCGCCTAACCATGGTTAGTTTCTCCCCGTTTAACTAAGTATCGAGTACTAATCAATCCCTTTTCGCAGTTCAATCAAGCGTTAATTCCTACCTACCCCTTTTTCCCTAGCCTTCGGGGAGGTCCTACGTTTTCGGCACGAAAACGTAGAGAAGCGCGGAGTGCTTTGACGTATTTTATTTATTAGAGGCTTGGCTGCCAACGGTTCTCCTCTGATCGGCTCCAGGGAATTTCCTCTATTCCTTCAATAGCCTACCTATCTGGTCATATGCTCAGGTGGTGTCGGTTCAGCTCTACACCACATACAGATCGGCGAGGTCGAGCGGCCAAACACCTGGTAGGTATACCTACCTAGGTCCATAGTGTCAAGGCATATGGGTGGCTTCACATTTCTCACGACATCATTTCTCTGCTAACATGGAGCCCCACGCGGATGCTATTACGCCGTCAACTTTTTACTACTTCCGTCTTTTGCCGTATGAACTTCGCCGAGAAATCTACATCCTAGCCACACCGCCTCGAGTTGTCCCCATACAAGAAGGCTGGGAGATCGAGGACGAGGTCGATTTTGACGCGCACTTAGACTACGATTCTGACGAACACCTAGACTACGATTTCCTTACTTCCGATGATTTCAGGTATTTCTATGCTTTAGAGAAGTTCAAAGAGAGATATGAGAACGGGATCTGGCAGGGGCGCCTGGACCCTGATATTGCGTACTTTGCTCGCAATTGGCGTGACCGTATCCTTTTTGTAACGCCCGGCCCGCCCGGATCTAGACACTATAAACAGTCAATCCTCGATGACTATGGGTTTACCTCGCAGGAGAAGTTGTATCAGCCGTGGGAGCCGACGAGAGACACGCCGGAAATTCCCATGGATTGGTTGCAACATCATCCAGCTGTGGCTTTCGAGCTTGACCGGGACAGTTTTCTCTACAGCACTGCTCTGATCCCTCCCTTGCTGCATACCTGCTCTGAGTCCCGCGCGACCCTCGTGGCCTACGGCTATCAGCTCGTCTTCGGTACTCGTAACTGGGATCCGCTCACGTGGTTCCATTTCGAGCGTGACCTATTGTACCTGGCCAACTGTGCCCATCACAAGCAACACATTACGAGTTTTGCCGATCTGCTGTCCGGCTGCTGGTGGGAACCCGATAAGGTAGTAACAAGTCCATTCCTCGGACCTCGCAACCTCACACTAGGTCTAAATCCCAATCTGGAATCGCTATCTTGGGCTGCCGAAAATGGAGACGAAGAACTAGCTGAACGACTGTTACGTCAGGGCGCAGATCCAAACCTTGTCGATGAGACAGGACAAATTCCACTTGCATGGGCTATCAAGGAAAAGTCTGAAGCGGTGATAAAAGTGCTGCTTTTGGACGATCGCATTAAGCTCGACATTAGAAACAAGACTGGTCAGACTCCGCTTTCGCTAGCCGCGGAGACAGGATACGAAAACGCAGTATTGCTATTACTCCAGCGTGGTGCAAATGCAAACTCCATGGGCCGAAACCGTCGGACTCCGCTTTCATCGGCTGCGGAGAAGGGACATGAGGGTGTAGTGCGGATATTACTCGCGAACAGCAATGCCAAACCAGACATTCAAACGAAGACTGGTCGGACGTCACTTGCGCTGGCTGCCCGAAGAGGACATGCAGCAGTGGCTTCGACACTGCTCGAGCACGGCGCGAATCCTAATTCTAAGGATCGCCGGGGTCACACCCCGCTATCCTTAGCCTCTAAGAACCAGCACAAGGCAGTCGTAAAACTCTTGCTAGAGCAGGGCGTTGACGTGAACTCGAGGAACTATAAAGGTCTCACGCCACTTTTATACGCGGTAAAAAAAACAGAACAGGTCGCTTACCGAACTCCTGCTCGAATATAATGCCGATCCGAACTCTATGGATCGAGACGGCGAAACGGCGCTTTTCTCGGCAGTAAAAAAGGACGATGAGGCAGTAGTAAGGCTGCTGCTTCGATACGGCGGAGACCCGAATCTATCAAGCCGAGACGACCGGATACCGCTTTTAATAGCCATGGAACAGAACCACAATCCCGTGTTGGAGCTACTGCTGGAGTCCAACCCTGATTTAAACGCAGTAAATCGGGAGGGGTGTACGCTGATGCTTTCGGCGGTAAAGAATGGATACATAAATGCGGTAGAGCAATTATTAGCACAGAAGGCGGATCCAAACCTAGCGGATAAAAATGGTCGAACGCCGCTTTCGTAGGCTGTGAAAAGTTGTACGGATACTGCGCAGGTCTGGTTCAAGAAACGTACGGACCCGAGCGAAGCTGACACAATTAGACCAGCGCCGCCTCCGTCCCAGGCACATCATGATCTGGCTATTGCGCAGTTGCTGCTCGATAATAATGCTGATCCCAACCTAGCCGATGAAAACGGTCGCACGCCACTCTCGTGGCTTGTGGAAAGAAATCGTGAAACTCTTCCAACCTTGCCACAGAGTAGGTTTGCTCGGGCCAGGGTGACCCAAACCATCGACGTCTATCAGCGTGTTATAAATCTATTACTCAATAACCATGCTGATCTAAACCTGGCGGATACGAATGGTCGAACACCGCTTTCGTGGGCCATGGAGAGCTATCGAGAGGTTGTGCAAATATTACTGGATAACCATGCCGATCTAAATCTGGTGGACAAAAATGGTCGGACACCGCTTTCGTGGGCCGTGGGAGGGTCTAGCGAGGTTGTGAGGCTATTGCTTGGGAACCATGCCGATCCAAATCTGGCGGACGAAAGCGGCCGAACACCGCTCTCGTGGGCGGCAGAAGGATGTCGTCGGGCTGTAATGAAGACACTGTTTTTGCATGGCGCAGATCCGGAGCTGGCTGACGAAAACGGTCGAACACCACTTTCGTGGGCCGCAGCTAAAGGGACTGAGGCGATCGCAGAGATATTACTTCTTCACAATGCTGACCCGAACACCACGGATCAAGATGGTCGTACGCCCCTTTCTTGGGCTGCCGGATCCGTTTCCAGGGACAGTAATACCTCTTCCCAGGGCCAAGTATACGACCGGAGCGTGTTGGTGAAATTGCTTCTCGACTACGGTGCTGATCCATGCTTAGTGGATCAAAACGGTCGGGGTCCTATTTCATGGGCTGCAGAAAAGGGGTCCTTGGTAACAGTGAAATATCTACTTGAGCAGGGTGCCGATCTACACTCCGCGGATCGGGGTGGCCAGACACCATTGGGGTGGGCAGCGAAGACTCAGAACTATGCGGTAGCAGCGCTATTACTAGAGAATGGTTCTCCTCCTCTGGATGATTTCTCAGCTATCCTCGATCTTTACAGCTCTACGACAAGTCGGCGTCAAGAAGAGTCTGGAGATGTACCGGTTTTTCGAGGAACAACTCAGCAGTTTCTGAGTAACCCAGGGTCAACGGCATCCGCTGACAACAAAACCGGGGTTATCGGTAGCCCCAGTACTTCGGGACAGGCTGCATTTTCCCAACCAGATGCTGAGAATGAAAGGAGGATGGCGATTCTTAACGCGCTTATGAACGACGCGCACTATCGTAAGAAGACCGCTTCAGATTTCCTCCATGCTCTTAGTTCCGTTGTTGTAGATGAGAACAAACCCGACAACGTCCCGAAACGTGAGGACATGCTCCTAGAAACTTTTGGAGGCACACGAGCCCGGGGAGATGGGGGCGACGGCAGCGATGATAGTGAAGATAGCGACGACAGCGACAACAGCGACAACAATGACAGCATATACTACAGGGACGCCAGCGACGATAGCGGCGATGGCAACAACAGCGGCGACGGCAACAACAGCGGTAAAGGTGACAATAGCGGCAAAGGTGACAATAGCAGTAAAGGCGACAACAGCGGCAATGGCGACAAAGGTGGCGGCGGCGGCAAAAACGACCAAGGTAAAAACAGCGACAACAGCGACAACAGCGGCAAAGGCAACAACAGCGACGAAAACGGGCCACCATTCTTTAACTGGGACGAACTGACACAGGAGCTAATATTAGAACCTGAAGAAGACTTCCTTGAATCAAAATATATCGATCTTCTGGCTGTTTTCCAAGGGCTGAGTGCCGAAATATCATCCCCTTTCGCGAACATCAAATTAGAGGGATTCTTGGCGGCTATATACTCTGTGCTCCATCGAAGAGATGCGTTGTCGTTCTTCCTCGCCCAAGGTGTTCGAATCTACACCACCGAGGACGTTGCAGTAAATATACCGTCTAGACAGCTTTACACTGAACTGTTCAACCAGGCCATGCTCAGTGGCCATGACGTCCGTCTAGCAGCTGTTGCTTATGGCGACGGCCATGGATATGGTTCTATAACGTTATTTCAACTCGCCATACCTGAAGGGAGGGGGCTACCTAACCGTATCCAACCAAAAGCGGCTATTCGCAGGGCCCCAAAGAGTCTGTTACAGAAAGTCAGCTGTGGTATCGAACATTGCAGCAAAGCAACGCTGTCTATGCCAAAAAGGAGATATATGGGAACATACAAAACAAACATTAAAAAGGGGGCGGTTCCATCGTCGTACCACAAAACCGATCGTCAAAATAACTGCAAATTCTGACAGCAGCCATAGCCGAACGCCCCTGAAGACAGCTGTTAGCATGAGCCCTAGGAAGAGAATAATCAACTTCCGCGCCACGATACCGCAAATGATTGCCATGCTCCTCCATAAAGCAGCTACATTGGAAAAGATTAGATCGACTGAGGTTCGGATGCAACGGGATTCGCGCGTTGTGCAATTGGTCTATGGCCCGAATCAGCCAGGACATGACTCCACCAACACACAGATTACAGTGTTGTCGACAAGTGGTGCGGAGTGGGTGGAAGAAATGTTGTCTTGGAAGTGACGCTTTCTTCCATCTAGGGCTTATCCAGTGCTGATCTTCAACGATGCCAACTGGGCATGTAGCGGTCCTGGGCTTTCTATTACCTACTGCTTGGCTGAAAAGTATGGCGTTATATGGCGCAGTGGGCGGTATGGTCTGAATTCGGGAGGGGTAAAGGAGGAATTAGGACGGTTATTAAGAAGACGAGGGCGGGTTTAGGGGCGATCCAGACCCGGCTAGCAATATTATCAGCAAATTCAAGAAGAATCAGGACTATCGTTAAGGACCAGGATTTCGGAATAAGTTCAGCTTGGTTATCGGGAAGTTTGTCACATGATTCGGCGCAGATTACCCAAGCGGCCTAGCAACACTCGTTCATCTCCCCAGTTTTCTCAATGTCGCAGGCACCTCCTCTCTGGTATTGTTCCCACTGACCGTTGGCTGCCTCCAGGGGTAATACTCTCTGAACTATTTCAGTGGAATCTGGCGGGTTGCCCCGTCGTTTATTCAAGTGTAACTCTCTATTTAATTATAACCCTTTACTTCACTAGCCGGCTAGATAGTAACGCACTTCTTTGACAGGTTCGTTCATATCGTCGTATTCCAGATCGCATCGCCCATACCAAATCATGTCGCGAACATGGACTGTATCTTGCATCGCGACACGTCACGCATTAACATGTGCCTACTGTTAATCTCTGCGTACTCCCTCTCCCTCTCCCTCTCCCCCCTTACATTCTTATCCTTCCACCTCCATTAGCTGTGCTTGGTAATAAACGTCGAATTCAGCCGCAGGTTGCGCGAGCTCGCGTCGACGTAGACGGCGAACTCATCCTCGGGGATGCGCTGCTGCTGGGCGACGGCGTCCCAGATGCTGAGGTCGCGGCAGGTGAGCGAAGGCAACGGTCCAGGTCTCGCCGGGCGACAGGCCGATCTTCTCGAAGCCGTCCCGCCGGAACCAGCTCAGGTCTCACGTATAGCTAGGCAGGTGCTCGTAGTGGGACTCCCGCTGCGTAACCATGTGCTTATTACTCTTGACATTTAGAAAACTACAAAGAGAGGGCATAATGGCAAGTGTCACTCGTATACAATTTTGGCATATATAGACGTGTTACGATAATACGACCATTCTCTGGGCACTAACACTTTTAAAAATCAAAGGGCACCAACATAATAGACGATGAGCGAATGTCTGGTCGGCGGTATCCCCCCTTTCGTTTTGCGTCTCAACTTTAGGAGTCCCTACCCCATCTTCGCTACCGCCTCACGCCTTAACACTGAAATCGTGACCGAGTCACCCAGCTGCACATCTGTGTGCCGACGCAGGCGCAACATTTGCAGGCCTGTACTAGCTGGTTAGTACGTTCGCTGGCCGGCAGATTCGCTCTTAGATGCAACTTACCTTCAGGGCCCTCTCATCGTTGGTGGTGCCGCCGATACAGGATAGTGTCTGGTTGTTTTGGAATCGGAACTGGTTGTAGCAGGCGTTGGCGTTGATAACATCGGCGCAGTCGTCCGTTGCCGCAAGCTCCCGAGTGCATTCGGGGAATTGCTGGCCCAGGGCTACCGAGAGCCAGAGGAGGGCAGATGCGAGCGAGAGCTTCATCGTGAGGCGCCTGGAGAGCTGACTGGCTAGCTAGCTAGCGGCTGTACTTCACTGTGATGGCCTTCTAGTATAGAGTGCCGGAGCAAAAGTTGTAATATCTGACGGCGAGGTGCTTGCGTCGAACTCACAAATATCCCGGTGGTGAGCGGGATGACATCAGATCAGATATACTTGATAACGGCTGAGATTCCTTTGATTGTGGACCGCGGTAATTCAGATCCTCGGCGCTGCTGGCTCCGGATGATATGTGAATAATCATACCTGAGAACTCTCCCTCTGTTCTCATTTGCCAGAAACAGCAAAAATCTTCCATCATGTCGCATGACCGCTATAGTGCGGGGATCATAAAGACGGGAACCAGGAATCAGCCATTCCGGTCTAATTATAGGAGCTTCACGATGTATTACAAGTCCGCCACGGATGTGACAGAGGCAGTCGGTTTTCGGTTTCGTCGTCCAGCCTCATCCTCGATTTTGAAGGAAGAGGCCTGGCTTGAAGGCGGCATATAAATGTGAATGTCGGGAATCCCCCCCTGAGTCGAGCAAGACGCCGTGACACAACTGAAGGCGGCGCCTGTTCCATCGTCAGAGCGCCTAGCGAGCAGCCGCCATGGCTCCGAAACCGGGTTCCCCATTGAAAGTCTTTGTAAAAGACGGCGAACTGCTATATTCGAAGAGAATGTCTATGACAAATTATGGTACAGAAGAACCCACGGGTGTGTTGGATTCTTCGCATGCATACATATGCCGATGGGGGATGCACTAGTTAGGAGGCTTGGTTATGATGGCAGGGGCGAAATTCATCTACCGACGCAGGCATCAATATCAAGTCTAGACCTGTTGATACGTCGTAGGTATTAACCAGTCAGGCAAGGCTGCCTCTCCCGCGTCTACCGATGCCATGGACATATTGACACTTGCACACGAAGCCCGAATGTGTATGCCTTCTCCACATTACCCGGCGTCAGGGTGGCGCCCGCTCGCCTATGGAAACGCTCGCCGATATTAACGAACGATATTTTCCCCGGGCCAAGAGTAATACTTGTCCCTCTATCAGGCTTCGAGGAAACGGCAGCGGCCTGCGGTGAGGGAAATGATGGACTGGTCGCGCCCAAGATATCAACTATCCCGCGTCTCTTTCCATCTCCGTTTCCTGCTCCAGACTCGGTGACATCTTTGAGCCAGAAAGCCAGAAAGCCATCATCGTCACGATGCAGTTCAACACTTTCGTCGCTATCTTGGGGCTGTCAGCGCCCGCGAGTGCGCTGCTTCGCTTTGGCTGCTCGGGCCTAACCGTCCAACGTCTGGACCCCTTAGTCAACCCAGGCATGAACCCGTCGGCCCACCTTCACCAGATCATTGGAGGCGTACGTCGGAATGGCCATGGTCGGATTGGCTCTCGCATGCTAACGGCCGGCAGGATTCCTTCAACGCGTCGATGCCGGCGGGGACACACGATCTCGTCAAGCTGTCGACGTGCACCAGTTGCCAGTTCAGCGAGGACTTCTCCAACTATTGGACCGCTGTCCTCTTCTACCGCGCCAAGAACGGAACTTTCAAGAGAGTCCCGCAAATGGCCCAGGCAGGCATGGAGGGCACGCAGGGCGGAATGGTAAGCACGGGCTAGAAAGGTGCAGAGTACGCGTGATGACGATCTAACGTGGGCCTCGCAAAGGTCGTCTACTACATGTCGGACGCGCTGTTCGACACGGCGCAACGATCGACGGTGACGGCGTTCAAGCCCGGCTTCCGCATGCTCGTCGGCGACGCGACGTATCGCGACCGCGAGCAGGCTAGGCGATGGCGGCAGCTGACGTACATCTGCATGGAGAACCAGGGCACGCGGGCGCCGGAGAGCATCGGCTTCCCGACGCGGTCGTGCCCCGGCGGCATCATGGCGAACCACCGATTCCCGACCTGCTGGGACGGCAAGAACCTGGACTCGCCCAACCACCAGGACCATGTCTCGTACCCGGAGAGCGGCACGTTCGAGTCGGGCGGCCCGTGCCCGGCCACGCACCCGGTGCGGCTCCCGCAGATCCTGCTCGAGACGGTCTGGGACACGCGCGCGTTCAACAACCCGGCCGACTTCGCCAACGGCCAGCAGCCGTTCGTGTGGTCGAGCGGCGACCCCACCGGCTACTCGAGCCACGCCGACTACCTCTTCGGCTGGAAGGATGACTCCCTCCAGAAGGCCATGGACGGCCACACCTACGTCTCGGCGCCGATGCTCAAGACCCAGAGCATCGCCCTCCAGAACAGGTGCAAGGTTCCCGACATGGTGGGCGAGAACATCGACGGCTGTAAGCCACCATTCATCCCCTTCGCCAGCTAGTTTTTTGTCGTGCTAACGCGTCATCTGCAGGGTTGACCAGCCTCCCCGGCGCAAACCCGGTCGTTTAATGGAGAGGGAGGAGATGTACCTATTGATTGAGAAAACCCCCTTCACCCTATGCACCCACCCGAGGAAGCTATCTACATTTCTCGTTGGCGCTCCTCTCTGCTTGCGAGGCCACTCGATCTTTGCCAATACCTTCGAGGGCTGCCAGCGTCTAGACAGCTCGGTAGATACGATCGTCATTATCCATAGTGTCTTCCCCATATAATCCCAATCCTGGATTTAGCACCACGATTACTAGTGATGTAGCATATTCTTTGGTGTGCTGAGGACGCGAACTTTTTTTCAAGTCCGTGATAATACCCCTTTTTTCGAGTGCAGCCGGTCTCCGCACCAGTTGTTAGCGACCGCCAGCAGCCGACGATCTACCAGCCCTTAGCAGCGAGGCGCCCGTGCCTAAACCCATACACACACATCCCTAATACCTTAACGGTCGTCCTGATGGAATTTTGAGTGCTGAAATTGATGCTGCTTTCCAGCTTATATAGCCTTTACGTAGAAAAGGCCAGGATTGATTGCCGTGGAAGGGTATTGGTACCCAAGATCTCAACTACCTACTTATAACCGACTGTCGACAGCTGTCGTGAGGGGTGACGCCCGTATAAGCCAAGGAGCGGTCTGGTAGCTTCTAACCCCCACCTGTCCTAGGGAAAGGGGGCACGGAATGTGAGAAGAGACGCTGTTCAAACATTCGCATACGAAAAAAATAATACGATGAAGGTATCTAATATACCTATATACATGGCTCAAAGCTACCCGTAGCACCATCGAATATTTTTATATTAACTCAGGGCGTACCCAGATAGACTCAGTGGTGGGATAGCCTACGTGATCTTAGCATGAGACAGTACCGTGGTTCTCCTCCGACCCCCAGCGGTGATCCAAATTTAGGATGACGTTGCCGCACATAGATAGGTATACATAAGTATAGGCAGCATTTCTTCTTGTACACGGTGCCTTTGGGTGTAATGAAGGCGGCATATGCGATAGATATCTGTCTGGTGCACCATGTTGGGGTGTGGCACTTTGGCGCCAAGTACCGATTCCTATTCATCACCTCACAAGCTACTTATAGGGTAGTCCCGAGTGGCTACGGGAAATTGAAATCAATTCTATCACAACAGCCCTCTCTGAGCCACCACGACCGTCTGTTAGGGACGATGTGCATATGCATACGGAAAAGTCGAGAATGATACATGCCGTCACCAATATCTTGAAGCTCAGACCTCAACACCATTACGTGTAAACGGAGTCGTGTCATTAGAGACGCGTATTCGTGGTGGTAGCGCCCCGTATTCATAGGTCTCACTATCACGAATGGGAATAGCCTAGTTTCCCTCACATTGTAAGGCTGCCATGTTCCCGTGGGTGGCCATTCTCCCAATATTCAGACCTCATCAGCAACGATAGTCTGAGTCCCGTCAGCGTCAGCACACACACACACATATATATATATTACGTAGTGTGTACATGCATGCATATGTATCTATATAAGATAGGCCACCCGTTCAACTTCCTCCTCGAAATCACAGCGCAGCTGGAAAGTACCCAATACCCCCCCTTTCTGTTGTCTGCCAAGATACCCAACCCTCTCTCACCGCTCACGGGACATCTGGGAAACCACACATCCGAAGCGGCGGCCGCCACCGAAAAGCCACCCGCTGCCGCAGCCATGCTGGACAGGGCGCAGACGTTCCCCTTGCGCCCTACCAAGACCGCCTCGGAGCGCAAGTACGAGGCGTGGATGACGGCCGAGGTCGCGCCCTTCTCGGAGCCGCAGCAGAAGCGGGTGTGCTACCCCAACCTGGCGCCGTGGCGGCCGCGAGACGGCGAGCGGCAGCTGAACGGCGACCTCGAGGCCGTCGTCGAGGGGCTCGAGGCGCGGTACCGGACTCTGGAGTCGGCGCGCGCGCTGCGCGCGAAGTGGTCCGTCAAGTTCGAGGGCGCCCGCCGGCGCGTCGAGGGGTCCGAGGTCGCGTCCGTGCCGACGATCATGGCCGTCGCCTGGAACGAGGACGACCGCGGCTACGGCCCCGAGGACGAGGAGCCGTGGGCGCAGGCTTGCCGCGACATCGTGGCGTTTCTGAGAGAGAACGACGCGGCGAATTATGGGGTCGAGATAGTGCACTGGGACCAGCTGGACTACCAGGTGGTGGCGTAAAACGGGGAACCGGTCCGGACAACATTGGGAGATCATGTCGCATCTCTACCGAGCTGGGATAGTCTTGTTGAGAAGGAATTAGTTAGGCGAATCCATTCGGCGTATGTATACGCGCACGCGTGTGTGTGTGGACGTCGGAATAGTTTTTTGCATTTAGCGTTCTCAGTTTTCATGCAGCCATCCGTAGCTTTCAGCCTACAATACCAGTTCATCCCTTTTAACCACAAAGCACACATGGGGGACACAGGATGGAGCCACCCTGGGATAGTTTATACATCCTTCTTCATGCCAACCTTCCCAGCTTTCCGCAGCCCAATCGAGCCGATGACAGCGCTAAGGGCCGCCGACGCGAAGCAGGCCCAGAACGCGCTGCGGTATCCCTCGAGGGTCGCATGCGTGGTCTCGGCGCCGGGTCCGGCCGCGGCCGACTCGGTGACCGCGGACGCGATGATGGCGGTGATGGCGAGGCCGACGCTGTTCCCGAGCTGGGCGACGGTGTTGAAGACGCTGCCAGCGAGGGCCTGGTCCTTGGCGGGGAAGCTGCTCGTGATGATGAGGCTGCTGATGCTGAAGAGCAGGTCGGTGCTGAGCACGCTGAGGCACATGGCGGGGAAGCCGGCGGCCCAGTAGGTCCACTCGGGGCGCTGGACGGCGAGCAGCAGCGGCGCGCCGGCGCTCAGCGCGCCGCTGCCGAGCACCAGCGCGCCCGCGGGCACGCGCTCCACCGCCAGCCCCGCCGCCGCGTTCGCCAGCACGCCGCTCGCCACCATCGGCAGGAACCGCAGCGCCGCCTCCAGCGCGTCCAGCCCCTGCACCGTCTGGAACAGCAGCGCCGCCCAGTAGTTGAACGCGTTGAACCACGCCCACGCCAGGAACACCGTCGCGCACGTCGCCGCGAACTCCCCCCGCCGCCACACGCTGTTCGGCAGCGCCGCCGGCCGCCCCAGCCGCTCCTGCCGGCCCACCCAGAACCCGAAGAACGGCACGAGCGCCGCCGCCACGGCGAGCAGCGCGGCGCTCGGCGCGCGGCTCAGTGCCGCCGCGCCACCGTGAGCCGCCTCGGCGAAGACGTACGACAGGCTCGCGAGGCAGGCGGTCGCGGCCGCGACGCCGACCCAGTCAATCTCGCGGGCGAGGCGGCGGGCGAGGTCGGCCAGGGGCGCGGGGGGCGCGGGCGGCAGCGTGAACCAGGCGAGGGCGAAGGCGGCGGCGCTGGCGGCGGCGGCGAGGTGGAAGGCGACGCGCCAGCCGGGGCCGTTGGTGAGGACGCCGCCGAGGACGAGGCCGAGGGCGCCGCCGAGGGGGTAGCCGGCGCCGAAGGCGGCGAAGGCGAGGTTGCGGGGGCGGCCGGCGGGGAAGGCGGCGGTGACGGCGCGCACGGCGGCCGGGATGCAGAAGGCGGTGGCGACGCCGGCGGCGGCGCGGGCCGCGAGGAGCTGCGGCGCGCGGCGCGCCAGCGCCGTGGCGAGCGCCGCCCCGCCCAGCAGCAGCCACCCGGCGAGCAGCGCGGCCCGGCTGCCGACCACGTCGGCCGCGGCGCCGAGCGCCGGCAGCGCGCAGCACAGCGCCAGCGCGAACACGGCCGCCGGCCACAGCACCAGGTGCGCCGGCAGCGCCAGGTCCCGCGCCACGGCCGGCAGCGCGACGGTCAGCGCGCCCGAGTTGAAGGTGTTGAGGAACGTGACGCACGCGAGCGTCGCGGTCAGGGCGGCGGCGCGGGATCTGCTGGGGGCGGCCGGCGCCGCGGTGGCTTCTCCGGCTGTGGTGTTGGCTTCCGGCGTGTCGTTCGCAGGAGCCGGCGCGTGTCTGGCGAGCCGCGGACCCGCGAGGGTTTCCAACTCGGTGGTCGTAGAGGACATCGCGTCGGCGAGGAATGAAGAATGGAAAACACCAGCTATCCGCTCGTCGTGCTTGTTTGCCCGTGTGTGTGCCGATGCCGCCATTTATACAAGGCGTAAGCCTGCAGTGTAGGATTTGGGCAGGGATAATTTACATTGACTAGGTACATGCAGAAGGGCGCCGGACACATGAATGCCGAGCACAGAAGACATACCGAAGCTGGCATCTTCCAGGAAGGGTGGCAGAGAGTAACCCGTCCGCAATGAATCTCGAATCTGTAAAAACGCGTCTTACCTACTATGTCACTTTTCTACTTTTATACTCCTTGGTCCCAACGCATGGTTGGTTAGTTGACTGTTAGTGCTAAATGTGTAATACCTCTTTCTGTACGGTGTTAGTCTCCTCTCTCCACACACCCTTCGCGGAACGAGCTGTTGCGACATCGGTTCTGTTTTCAACTCGCACCTATACATCCTCGTGGAAAGAAATGCAAGTTACGACGTAACCCATACTCCAAATATTCCCTAATCAAAGTTGTCATTTTCATGTGACCCTCGCCGTACTCTCGTGGCTTTTCTGCCAACCCTCTACCAGCTGGGTGGGTAATCTTAGAGAACACTGGGTACGGTTGCCGCCAGTCCTGCGAATCCGGGGCATTCATTATTACAACCAATTGCCGTTACCCTCCAGTCTCTTGTATTAGTTCCTAAGACTGCTACATGCCGAGGATTATATAACCAAGAATTACAATACCTCTGATGCAACTACGACTTATCGACTTCAAATAGTGTAGCGATGCGGCGGGTTTGGTTCTTGCTGAGTTCTCATGTAGGTATAGATATGGGCTCTGCACCCATTTCTTCACCCTCTCTTCCGTAACGAGAGGTACTAACTGACCATCGACCTGAGGGTGCCTTCTAAGGCAATATATGTTCTCCAAATAAAGGATCAGGGACATAAATGGTTAGAACCTCTACATATATGCTTACAAAGCTGCATGTGTCTTGCGCGAGTCTCCAGCGAAAGTGGTTAGCAGCTATTAGTATGCGACTCTGTCGCTGACATTCGGAGCTCCTCCGATACGTACTAGGTAGGTATCTCTAGCAGAACATACCTCGATCTGGGCGAGCTGCATAAGAGCGTCTCCAACGTCACCATTATTAATTGTCCGGGAGATTGCTTTTCTCTCTCTCTCTCCTCTTTGGAAACTCGCTTCTCCTTCGAATATTCTCTTCCACCACCCAGCCCGTCACCGACTCACTGACTCACTCACTTGTCTCACTCCGATGAGGTAATACTCGTGTGAGCGCACCGTGGGCGGTCCTACGGATAATGGCGACCGACGAGAAGCCGGCGACGGCCAGCAAGAACTACAGGGGCTTCGTCGCCGGCGTCTTCTCCGGTATCGCCAAGCTGTCGGGTACGTATTTCCGCTGCGCCCGGTTGCATTCTATCGTTCCCTACGTGTGAAACCCCGGAAGGAGTGGGTGTGGGGAGGGAGGCAGCGGAGAGGGGAAGGGCGGGGAGGGGAATGGCGACGAGGGAATGGCGAAGCGGCGTCGACGTGCCTACGTGCTAACGCGAATGCGCAGTCGGCCACCCATTCGACACGATCAAGGTGCGCCTGCAAACCACCGACCCCGCGCGCTTCAGCGGGCCGTGGCAGTGCGTCGTCCACACGATCCGCAACGAGGGGGTGCGTGGGCTGTACAAGGGCGCGACGCCGCCGCTCGTCGGCTGGATGTTCATGGACTCGATCATGCTGGGCTCCCTGACGGTCTACCGCCGCCTGCTGTCCGAGCACGTCTTCGCGCCCTACCCGCCGACGCTCGGCGGCAGCGCCCCGCCGCGCTCGTCCCACGCCGCCGTCCACCTCCCGTCCTACGGCCACGGCATCGCCGGCGTCCTCGCCGGCTGCACCGTCAGCTTCATCGCCGCCCCCGTCGAGCACGTCAAGGCGCGCCTGCAGATCCAGTACTCGGCGCGCAAGTCGGAGCGCCTCTACTCGGGACCTCTCGACTGCCTGCGCAAGGTCTACGGCGCGCACCGCCTCCGCGGCGTCTACAAGGGCCTCGCCGCCACGCTGCTCTTCCGGTCCTTCTTCTTCTTCTGGTGGGCCTCCTACGACCTCTTCTCGCGCGCCCTGCGCGCCCGCACCGCCCTCAGCGACCCCGCTGTCAACTTCTGGGCCGGCGGCCTCAGCGCCCAGGCTTTTTGGATCACTAGCTACCCCAGCGACGTCGTTAAGCAGCGCATCATGACCGACCCCATGGGCGGCGCCCTCCACGACGGGACGCCCAGGTACAAGAGCTGGTGGCAGGCCGCTCAGGCTGTGTACCGTGAGGGTGGCGCCAGGGGCTACTGGAGGGGATTCTTGCCTTGTTTCTTGAGAGCATTTCCGGCCAACGCGATGGCCTTGGTCGCATTCGAAGGCGTTATGAGGGCATTGCCATGAAAAATGTAGAACACCACATTCAACTCACCCGATTACCGGTTTGTACGTTATAGATAGGTAGATACCACAGATCACGATAGAGAAGGGACAAGACAAATACTCCGCACTAGCAGAATTCATTGACGAAATGCCTGCTCCATCTACGTGGTCATAGAAGTGCCTCGGCACGCCAAACCCGTGCGTCACCGCCGACATTTTTGTGTCTACCGTATCCCTTTTCCCATCCCCTTTCCGTGGCCATGCCCCGCCTGCCCGTTTAGTCATCATCATCATCCGCCTCATCGTTGACGACGTTGAAGAACTTGAGCTCGTACACTCCTTTGGAAGTCGAGACGACACGGAGCCAGTCGCGAAGCTGCATCTTCTTGAGGAACTTCTTGGTCCTACACGTGCGCATTTACGATTAGTATCGCGCATGGTACGAAAGCGACGCCAAGACTGGGTGGGGCGGCGAGGTAGGCGCGTACAGATACTTGAGGTATCGACCAGAGAGGTCATTATGGGCAATGATTTCGATCTTGCCTTCGCCGGCCTGCTGGATGACGATGGTCTCGCCGAGATTGCCGGTGCGGCCGTCGATCTTGATCTTGTCCTGCAGGAACTTCTCGAACGCGGCCGTGTCGAAGATCTTGTCGCTGGCGGGTTGCTGGGCGTTGATTATGAACTAGGGTGACGCCGTGAGCGGATAGATACAGAGAGAGGTGGACACGGATACGGAGGCGGGTTGGGTTGCGCACCTTCTTCGTTGTCTTGACCTGCTTGCCAGTCTTCTTCTACATCGTGATAAAAATTGACCTTAGCCTACTGCTTCACGCCGTCATCTCGCCGAGTTGCCGGCGAGACTGGGCCAACAGCAAAGCGGTGTCAAGTTGTACATACTGTCTGGGGAGCCATGGTTGCTGGGGATGATGTGCGGACGCAAAGAGGTCGAATCCTGCGCCGGGGTTTGTTTCGCGATGGTAGGTTGGCGGGAGTGGAATTCGCTTGCCTGGTTGTCTTGCGAAGTGGGAACGAGGAAAGGAGAGGAGTGCAAAAAGTCGACGGAGTTTTTTCCAACTATTTGGCAAATTTTGGTGTATCGCGATGCGGTGGGGCTCGAGGGGTCGGATAAGGCCTACCAGATAAGGGTAAGCCAACCTCGCACTCGGTTTTTGCCTAGGTCAGTTGGGGGGGGTGGATAAATACCTAAGCACCTAAAGGTGGGCAGGGTACCTACTCCGTACCTGTGTGGCGCATTACTTACCTAGGCACGTATAGATCAGGCACACGTGTCTGCAGCCAGGTTTTACAACCCTCTCCGAGGCACTGATCCGAAGACGGGAATTGCCTCGGTCAGCGTCCGTGGATGGCGTCGCGCAGACCTACCGAGAGGTACCTACCTAAGTGTCTAAGGTATTGGTTTAGCCTTAGGCGTACGCTCAGCCCGTGGCCTGTTAAGCCGTGTCTCGTATTTTCCCCCTTCTTCCCCCCTGCAAGCCCCCGAGAGGCCATAATAGCCGCCGACAATAACTATATGTATTACGCATCGATTGCCCTTAGCAATTTCCGTTATTATGCGTGGTTATACACTGCTGCTATTAGCATTTATAATCCTATCCGGAGGATAGTTATAATACGTCAAACCCCCTATCATGCTGATTAATTTACAGAGGTAATTCCTTTATAAAAGTAACCCTATAAATAGCCCTATAAATAGCCCTATAAATAACTCTGTAAATAGTAAACAGGAGCAGCGTGGGCACGCTGACGGAGGCACGAAAAGGACTGCCCAACTGCCAACAACTGGCCCAGTGCCGATTAACCAAGATTACAGCTGCAAACAGCTGTAATCGGTTGATCGGCCAGCTGAAAACGGCAGCTGGGAAAGGACTAAAATGGGAAGGCAAGAAGAGCGAGAAAAGTATAGCAAGAAACGAGTGAATAACTGATGGCTATCGTGATAGCTACCGTGATAGCTACAAGTCTAAGTCTAACTGATGAAAATATAAGTGCGCGACCCATATAAATACACATCTAAAAGGCTACGTGGCCTAGATCCACCGCACCACTACAATATATATCTCAATTAAATATATAATAATATCCTATTTCTTTATAGTAAGTAGCTCTAAAAAACGAACGTCTTATTAATATATTATTCTAAGTATTAGTGGAATTTCAAATTAGACTAAAGCCTAAGCTAGAGAGAAAAACAAAAGTAGAAGAATATGCCGGCGTAGATTCGTAAAGAAACACCTTACGAAAGGCTGTTGCTTCTCAACTTGCGAATCCATACCTAGGCGATTTCAATATTGTTTTCTTACAAATCGTTTCCAACAGATTTAGTAACCACACAGTTGACTGAAATCGGACATCCAAACCCTACACAGCAGGGTAGTTTTCAGCTACGCAATTGGAGCTAACCTCACTTTGGTAGTGAAAGTCGTTCATTACCTTATTCTGGGCGTATATTATGGTGTAGTTATTAGCGATGTTTTGGAGATGGAAGTCAATCTACGAGGGCCTAGGGACCTTAACGCTATAAAAGTCTTTCGCAGCTTAACCTCGGAAACTTTATATACCGGCGGTACAAATCGGGTATTCTATCAAGGGTTTAGCGGCCGATTAGGTATATGTTGGCGCTTGGTAGTTGGCGGATGCTCGGGGTCTTAACGTTGGGAACTTGGCTCTAGGCAGGTTCCAAGACTAAGGCTCGAATTCCTCTAATTTCTCTATAGCGTACATCAGCCTCATATCGTTCTAGTCCTGAGAATCTTTGGGTTCCTTCGAAATTAAGGCATCAAGGTTTTTAGGTACCCTTTCTACCCAAAACATAATGCCGTCTAAGCTAAGCGGATATAGACCAATTAACAGTATAAGGTAGCGAAGCGACCGTATACGGCCCTTTACTTTTCTCGCATGCAAAAACGTCACGTTAGCTCGGCAATAGTCACGGTTCTCCAACTAGTTTACAAAGTTAGCCTGCTGCTGGAAAGGGGAGTTTGCATGGACAGCAGAGACGGAGACAGAGGATTTATCTATTAGTGAGCGACCACCAACATGTTGCGAACTGACTTCTGAGATGCTAGCTTTAGATTCAGCCACTTCCCGTGGAGTGTTGAACATACACGGGAGCCCCGCTACACTGAGGTAAAGAAGGCTCGAAGTCGGCAATGGACCACGAATGAGGACCCCAAGAAACTACTAAAATATATCAAGATTCAACGCCTGTAATTGAGGCGGGTGGCCGATGTCCTTCATCCAATGGTTGTTGAAGTAACCCCTCCACTCCGGCCATCTCTCCGGCCAAGAGCTCCTGGTCCGAAGTTTGGAACGAGGTCCAGAATCCTTGCAGCAACGCACCGCCTCCATCCTCCAAGATCAGAAAAGACGAGCGCCTAAGGGTGCCATGTGCAATGCCTAGCTCGTGCAGCTTTCGAAGTGCTGCCCGGCAAGCCTCAAGATGCTCAATTCCAGCTTGCCGAGCCGCAACGGACTCCAGCATAAAACCGATCACGCGACTATCGTTCTCGGTCAGGTGTCCCAGGACTCTTGTTGATATTCCCGCATCTCGTATCAACCGACGAATTTTGCTATCGTTTGCCAGAACTGAACGTCCGTGATACCACGGGTCCATGAGTGCTATCACCTTTGGCACTGCTACCTCTGCTGGAGCTTCAGATAAACGCGAAAATTCAATGTAGTGATTCGGCTGAAGGGCCTCGTCCGCTGTCGCTAACAAATGGTCGCCCAAGCTTTTATGGTCAACCTTAACTCCAGACCAGGCATCCATGACATCGGACAGGGTCCTTTGCTCTACCGACTTGACGGTAAGCTTGTCGTCTTTGCCATCGTGGACAAGCTGTGCAACGTTCCAGCGGCCAGCCGGAAGTTGGCCGAGCGGCACTTGTCGAAAATCGCTGTACCTAGACCCGGGGGGTTTGCTATCGAGAACCTCAAGGTATTTGATGGCTGAGCCGACCGATGCACGATAGTACACAGGCCATCCGCTTATGTGGTAGAAATTTAATACAACGGAATCATCCATGGTGAGGAAGTAGTCCAGTGCGTGGAGAGGCCACAAGGGCGGGATGCACAAAAGTGTTCAGAAGGAAGGAAAAGACTCGAGGTCGGTTGAAAGAGTAGCTTGAGACGAAGGTTGATGGCAGATCGAGAAAGGGAGGGGGAAGCTGTTGTTGGTAAAAAAGGAAAAAAAGAGGTAGCTTGTCGGCCCCCTCAAACAACACTAGGCTGTTGCCTAAAGGTATGATGCAGCCTAAGCCAAGTGGCAGCCGACCACGAGTTGTCATCTGTTGCCTGGAGAGGCCGTGGCAGAGCTTTCGAATCAACAACAAATCGACCAGCTAATAATGAACGACCCGTCCGAACCAACAGCATGAACCAACCGACCAATGATGACAACAAGGGGAGACCAGCTGACGGATAATGATAAACGGATCAACCAACAGACCTGGCCGACCAACTAACAATAATGAGAAACCGACCCAACTGCCAACCCTTAAGTGCTTATTACCTTAGGCAAACCAACCACCCTAGACGGCACGTCACATCTCTCCAAGCCAACGCAAAGTGACAGCGCTTGGCTTTTTCGGCAACAGAGGATGTCTACAGTGCTTGGGTGGCCGATGAATGCCCAAGGTGCCACTCACGCCCCGGTGGTGCTTTGTTATACGGGGAGGGAGCCCTGCGCCAACAATCAGGTTATAAAAGGTTAGGAGGATAATGTCGGGCATTAAGGTCGCCGGTTCGGCGACTTACTAAGGAAAGTCCTAGATAAGCTACGGATAGCTTCGGCATTAGGGTACTAGAGTACTAAGGTACGAAGGTACCTTAGGAGTATATTAAAATAAGAATAAGACTAGGAAACTTAAGGGAGGTAAGGACCTAAAAGATCCCTTATAGAATTATTAATTAAATTAAACCTATTCTAAGTATATCCTTTTATTATAGATAATTCTATATTACTTTTACCCTTATAACTTTATTATAAGTTAATAATAAGGAAAGCTTACGTTTAAGCCGGTATCGTATACCGAAGCCGCCGCCCCGGCCTTATCGTTACTAAATTAACCTCGATCCTTTACTAAAGAATTAAAGCCGTAAACGTTCCCGCTTCCGCGGATTACTACCTTAGGACTAATATCGGTTTCTATAGCGGAAGTAGCCTAGATAGTAGCTACGATTAACGAATTAAAAGCCGCGATAGTAAAGTTAAAGGCTAAGGATACCGAGCGATAGCGAACCTTTTCGGCGCCTTAGCTAGAATTAACCTCCGAACCGACTAATAAATCCTTCGTCGTATATTAACCTTAAAAATACGAGGTAGTTATAGCGGATATCCCGGAGATTATAAACTCGGGGGTAGTTATACGTAATCTTCCGTAATAAATCGTAGATTTATATAAGTAAATAGGATAGGTATATTAAAGCCTAGCGATACTAACTAATTAAGTCGATATAGGATACCGATAAAATACGATCCTAAAAGAATAATACGAATAATTACGATAGCTTTACTAAACCGCTACGGCTATATAAGCTACCGGTATCCGAATTACGAAAATATAAATCTATAAGTTTTAAAAGTAGGTCGTAGAATAAAGTACCTACTTCGCTTAGAACGTATAGGAAACCGTAGCTAAGTTTACCCGATAAGATAAAGTACGAACGGCCGTTATAGATTAATTACGAGACGCCGTATTATAAAACTAACGAGCCTTAACCTAATTACGCGAAGAATATAATAAGTTAGTAACGGACGTTAGCTTTTAGGCTACGTAAAAGGATAAATAGATTAACGAGATCCTTAGTAAGAAATACCTTATTCCTAAGGCTATGAAGGAAAAAACGTAACTAATTAAAGATAATCTTAAGGCTTACGCGGTTAATTTAATTAAGAAGTATTAATAACGACGATTAAGTAATAAACTAACGGATATTAAGTTTATTATTACCGGAATTAATTAAAAGGTAAGGATCCTTACTCCCGCGCCGGGCGCCTGTACTATAATAGCGTTTACCGGGAAATATATTAATAGCGAGGCTAGAATAAGGGAAATTATTTCCGACGGCGTACTTTAAGACGCCGCGGCTAAACGTACCGCCGCGCGCGTAAGAACCCGTTTCTAGGACGCCGCGGTAGGCGCCTTTATATTAAGAAGAGCCGGGTAAGGATTACCGTTATTATTACGGATCCCGCGGAATGCCTTAGGAGACCCGGGAGATTCCGACGACTCGGATAGCTTAGAATTTAGGGACCTATAGAGGCCGCGACGCCTACCCGGCGCCCCTAAGGAACCTTAGAAGCCTTTCGATCCGGCCGAAGAACGTATAATCCGGGCCTGGACTAAAGTTATAAATAATCGACGAAGTATTATAGTAACGATTAATTTAATATACCTTATTGAACTTACGGCTTATAACGGTAAAGACTTAGCTAAGTTTCGGTTATAATAAATTAAGGTTAAATCCTACCTTAAAACTTACGAAGAAAGTTTTACCCGGGACGTTTAAAAGATTAACTAAATAAGATTAATACTTACCGAAAAAGCCTAGCTTTAGTATTAATAACGACTAACCTAAATAAAACGGTTAATAATCGTCGATACTTAGGTAGGATATTCCTAAGTACTTTAAAAGCGGTTTAAAGATTCCGCCGAACGATATCGTAACTTTAAAAAGATATAGGAACTTAAGTACTAAGAAGATATCTCCTAATACCTTACCGAGCTTATAAATCTTAACGACGTCGTTTAATAATCCGGAACTACCTTTTAAAACTATATCGCCCGTACTTTACCCGATGAAATAACGAAGCTAGTTTATTTATAACTAGGTAGTATTCCCGAAAGCGACGAAGCCTTTCTTAAAATAATTAAGGAAGCCGGTTAAATCTATGAAAATATAATAACTAACCTAGGGATTTCGGGAAAAGGAGGGTCCGCTTCGTAAAAGGAGTATACGAAAGCGGATTAATAATAAAGGTAACCCGTAAAAGAGACTCGCTTCCGCTTAAGCTAACCGGTAAACGAACGTAAAAATAAAGATAATAAGAAACCCGTACCGGCTAAAGACTTACGATAGGTAGGTAATAAAGAGGCTTTAACTAGAATTAACTAAGCCGTTATCGACTAACGAAAAAAGGATAAGAAAGCCTACTAGAGGTATAGAAGGGATAATTACTAAACCCTAACTTACTTCGTAAAAAAGGACTTAAAAGGACGGAACTTACCTACGCTTCCTAAGAAAATCTTATCGGGAAAGAAAGGAAGGAAGGAGCCCGAACTACTACCTAATAAAAGGACTAGGATCGATACTACTATACGATAGGAGGAAACTCTTCCCCGTATTATAGAGTTATCCGATTCCGATAAAGAACGGGATTTTTAAATGCCTTCCCGTAAGCGTTAACGAAAGAAAGGGGCGATAAAAATAACGTAAAGATTACGGCTATAAAACGGCCCGGAACGCTAGAAGTAACGGAAGTAGTATTAATAGCGAAGAAACTACGAGTCCCTTAGCGTAACTTAAACGAATTAAGGTTAGGAAAACGGCTTATTCATACGATATAAATAAAATATTAAGGAAAAGAATACCTCTTACGAGTCCTTTTAAATACCGGTAATAAGGTACTCCTAATTAACGCCGCTAAAGTCGAGTAATTACGCCTTTCTATTAACTAACGCTCCAGGCCTAGAACCCTAATAGGATTCGATAGCTTAGAGATTTCGTTAGGGGAACTCTAGTATATAAATAAAATAAAGCTCCGTAGCTACGAGTATATCTACCGTATTACTTAGGAAATTAATAAATTAAACGAAGAAATCGATACTATCCTACCGTAATAATAAATAAAAGAATACCTCCCTTAAGGATTATTTATAAACGGATAGTTATACTTTAATTCGCCTTAATACTAGAGCTATCGCCTACGGCTAGCTCGTATAGGAACTATCCGAGAAGTAAAGGCCTTAGCATAAGTACCGGAATAATTTCGTAACTTCGTTCCTATTATAACCAAGGAAGCCGGATAACGGTTCCTTAATCGGTAACCGTAGGACTACGCTATCGAGCTTCGTCCGGGAACTACTTTCCCGTAGGGACCCTTATATATTATAAGCGGACGATAACTAGACGCCTTAAAATCCTAGCTCGACGAAATAATAGCTATAGGAAGAATCCGGAAATCTAAGGCCTCCTACGGCGCATTTATAATATTTATAAATAAGAAGGACCTTAACGCCTTAAAACCGGTAACTAATTACCGGGGGTTAAATAAAATTATAATACCCGTCCGATACCCGATCCCGCTAATTAACGAATTATAGAACTTATTTTAAACGGCGCGATAGTTTACTAAGATTAATCTAAAGTCTAGCTTCTATATAGTACGGATTAAGGAGGGCGATAAATAAAAAACCGCCTTTAGAACGCGTTATAGGCTATACGAGTATATAGTTATATCCATGGAATTAATTAACGCTTCCGTTACCTTCTAGGTTATAATAAACCATATCTTCCGCGACCTTTTAAACGTAGGAGTTATCGTATATCTAAATAACGTCTTAATCTATACCGATACGTTAAAAGAATATAACGAACGGGTTAAAAAAGTCTTAAAACGACTTATAGAAAACTATCTAGCGGTAGCCCTGAAAAAATACGCCTAGCGTACGTAAGAAGTTAAGTTCTTAGGATATAACATAAGCCCTAAGGGTATTATTATATCTAAAGATAAAGTAGAAGCTATTCTTAACTAGCGTACCTTAGCTATACTTAAGGACTCCTAAAGCTTTATCGGGTTCGCTAACTTCTACCGTAAATTTATACGTAACTTTTCGGGTATAGCTAGGCTAATTACTAGCGCTAATAAAAGAGACCGTAAATTATAAAAATAAGAAGTCGAAATAAAGAAGGCCTTTTAAGAATTAAAAGAAACCTTTACGAAGGCCCCGGTACTTATATATTTCGATCCTAACCGAGTTCCGATCGTCGAAGCCGACGCCTTAGATTTCGTTATTTCCGCGGTCCTCTTATAAAAGGATAATAAAAGGAGATTAAAACCAGTAGCCTTTTTCTTAAGACGACTTACCCTAGCGGAGATAAATTATAAGATATATAATAAGGAATTATTAGTAATCGTCGACGCATTCGAAAAGTAGCGATACTATTTCGAAGGTATTTAGCATTAAATAAAAGTATATTTAAAC